ACAAGAACGGATCAAGAATCAAGTCCACCGCCACGGGTGGGACATTCTGCATCAATGCCTGGTCTGTACTGAAATAATCTGCTGCGGCGTGCACATGCAGAAACAGGACAGAGTCACTGGTCGGCGCAGGGTCCAGCGGATCTTTGCGACTGCGTAAAGTGGCACGGCGTGGGATGACATTTGCTTGGAGTTTTGGGCCTAGTGTTGCGAGTCGCGCTGCTGTGTACATGCTCAGGGAATACAAGAGGTCTTTGTCTTCGATTGTTTTTGAGAGCGGGTAGGTGGTAAGGGTGAATGTTGTTGGTTGCTAAGGGGGTGTTAGTTATATTTATGTATGGTAATGGACATTATATGTAAAAAGGCATATAGAAAGATAAATATAGAAGGTTGGGGGGAGGAATTGGTGGATGGTCTTACTGTGGCTAGCCAGCACACTCGTACTTCATACCGCTGGCCCGGGTTCAGGTTTTCAAGGAAGAACCACGAGTCTGTGCCATCGGGGGCCTCGGTCGTTGGGAATGAGGCATTGAGGCGAGTACGCACCACGGGTGTCTGTGGTGATAGACGCTCCAGACCTAGGTCGTCAAGGTCTGGCTCGTCGGAAGGAATGGTTGCTGGTGCTGGTGCTAGGAAGATGGTCTTTTCCACGTTTGCTTGCGCCACTGCTGTGAAGAGGGGGAGCAAGAGTCCCAGAGTGGGAATGAGTTTAATATGCATGGTGAGAGACTTGATGTTCTGCTTTGCAGTATAGGCAGGTTTTTAGGTGGTCGAGGTAATGTTTTAGAGATGTCTTATTCTCGGCTCATGACCAGACTCGGGCAGTTTTCCACAGTAATAGGTCTGGAGGTCAATTAGCATTCAAGTGTTGAAGGTGCAATACTGGTAGTATATACAGTACCGAGGCGTGTGTGTCTTAGTACTTTGGCTATAATATGGTCGAATGGTGGTTCGAGGTGGTTCCCCCCGAGTGGATCCGACCTGACCGAGTATTCAGATAGCTCCAACACCGCTATCACATCACACCATACCCTCAAGAAGCTGACCACTTGAGCACACCTGGACAAACTTGAGAAATTTTCGAATTTGCGAATTTTCTTAACTATTCAAGATTGAAATATGTACTTTTTTTTAATACTGCTATATTCCAAGATACTGAAGTTATCACGTGGACTCACGAGACCACTACGAGGCGGTCAGTAACCGCTGCTCCTCACCGGGAAGGAGCCAATCAAATGGCCCAACGCGACCCAACGAACGGATCAACAACGAAGTTCCCCCCTGTACAGCACAGACGGCTCCTCCTCCACAACATTTCCTGGACTTTGTTTTCCCTTCCATCTTCTCGTCCATTCCTCCATTCTTCAGGTACGAGGAACATCCCCGCCCCCTTCCATTGTGCATTTCCGAACCTAACTGAGAGTTTCAGACCACCGCGTTTGTTGTTTGGGTTTCGTTTTCCCCTCCTGATTTTTTAGCTTGAAAAAACATCGACTCGATCACAATGAGAGAGATTATCAGTTTGAACGGTATGTCAACATCGTTCATCTATTCTGCTCGTCAGAATTGATATGTTTTCTTCAATGGACGCGCTGACATGATTGTTCTCGACAGTCGGCCAGGCCGGTTGCCAGATCGCCAACTCCTGCTGGGAGGTAACTATCCACACCCCATTGAGGGACAAATCTTCGGTAAACTGACAGCATCGATTTTCTAGCTGTACTGTCTGGAGCACGGTATCCAGGTATGTTGAAATTCCAATCAAACTCGTGGTAGCGCCCAATCTTGACTCGGGCACCCGTACCCCCTATTTTCTTGCCGAGAAAGGTAAACAACCGCGACTAACATGGATGATAGCCCGATGGATTCCTCACTGAGGAGCGCAAGAAGGCCGACCCCGACCACGGATTCAGCACTTTCTTCTCTGAGACTGGTATGAAAAACCTGATTTTTTTTAATGTTCCCCCGCCTTGATGTGCAAAATTCCAAAGCACGGCTTCCTAACATTCTTTCTCCCCCACTTCACAGGCCAGGGCAAGTACGTTCCCCGTACCATCTACGCCGATCTCGAGCCCAATGTCGTCGATGAGGTCCGTACCGGTACCTACCGTTCGCTCTTCCACCCCGAACAGATGATCACCGGTAAGGAGGATGCTTCCAACAACTACGCCCGTGGTCACTACACCGTGGGTAAGGAGATGATCGATGAGGTCCTCGACCGTGTCCGTCGTGTTGCCGATGCTTGTGCTGGTCTCCAAGGTTTCTTGGTCTTCCACTCCTTCGGTGGTGGTACTGGTTCCGGTTTCGGTGCTCTCTTGATGGAGCGTCTGTCCGTCGACTACGGCAAGAAGTCCAAGCTGGAGTTCTGTGTCTACCCCGCTCCCCAGAACGCTACCGCCGTTGTTGAGCCCTACAACTCCATCCTCACCACTCACACCACCCTGGAGCACTCCGACTGCTCCTTCATGGTCGACAACGAGGCTATCTACGACATCTGCCGCCGCAACCTCGGCATTGAGCGCCCCAGCTACGAGAACCTGAACCGCCTGATCGCTCAGGTTGTTTCCTCCATCACTGCTTCCCTGCGCTTCGACGGTTCCCTCAACGTCGACCTGAACGAGTTCCAGACTAACTTGGTGCCTTACCCCCGTATCCACTTCCCTCTGGTCGCCTACTCTCCCATCATCTCCTCCGACAAGGCCGCCCACGAGGCTCACTCTGTCACCGAGATCACCTCCAACTGCTTCGAGCCCAACAACCAGATGGTCAAGTGTGACCCCCGCAACGGCAAGTACATGGCCACCTGCCTGCTCTACCGTGGTGATGTCGTCCCCAAGGACGCCCACGGTGCCGTCGCCACCCTCAAGACCAAGCGCACTATCCAGTTCGTCGACTGGTGCCCTACTGGCTTCAAGCTCGGTATCTGCTACCAGCCTCCCCAGCAGGTCCCCAACGGCGATCTTGCCAACCTCAGCCGTGCTGTGTAAGTTTTTCTTTTGGTTATTTTGGGTCTTGGAACCTGATTTCAACTTTGGTACTAATTATGATATAGCTGCATGCTGTCCAACACTACCGCCATCGCCGAGGCCTGGTCCGCTCTCGACCACAAGTTCGATCTCATGTACTCCAAGCGTGCCTTCGTTCACTGGTACGTTGGTGAGGGTATGGAGGAGGGTGAGTTCTCTGAGGCTCGTGAGGATCTCGCTGCTCTGGAGCGTGATTACGAGGAGGTCGCCTCCGACTCCATCGAGGGTGATGAGGAGCTGGAGCCCGAGTACTAGATTAGCCATGTTATGTGACCGGTCTTCGGGACTCTTGGTTGTTTCACTTCTACGGGTTGGCTTGGGGTCCAACGGGAGTCTAGAGGTTCGGTCTTCATGCGTGTATCGGGCTTCTTGCAAATAGAAGGGAACATAAGTTTTGCTGCCAATGATTTTCTGGCTTTGTTGTTCGATATATCTTTAATATCCCTGAAGCAGCGATGAAATTTCCCCTCATTCCATCCACCTTTCGGGTTTCTACATACGTATGTCATTGTTATTACTTTCTGAAGTTGTCTCCTTGGATCTCATAAAGTGTGCAAGTCGTAAGTAACTAGGTTGACTCTCCAAGTGTGCTATCTCATAGTCAGAGATTGAAGAAACATCGTGCAGCATATACCAAGATTTACACTGTACGAAATCCTGACATGAAAGGCAGTGTATCATTATTGCATTGAACACTTTCGGGGCGTAGGAGAAGAGATGCATGCCAACCAATCCGGTCATAGTAAGTATAATCAAGTCTGGTTATATTGTCCGAGGGTAAATTGGTTTCTTGGGGTCGTACGGACTTCTGCGTCAGGGGCAGCAATACTGCCGTCGCCCATATTTCCCCGATGCCCATTTTGAGTTAAGGCGATCTGAATGCCGATTCAATTCAGATATTATAAAAATAAATACGAGAAAGACACTGCGAATCCGTTTATGGCTTGAGGGCCTTGAGACTATGCATGACCCGGAGGGCCAAGCAGCCAAGTATAAAGGACAAGCAGGAGACCAGGACTGAGCTCTTGTAGGGCTTTGACCGTAGGTTTCAGGGTAAGACAGTCAAATCCACACCCAGGGGTGTTAGAGGAAAGGAGAGGCTTTTAGTTGAACGTCTACATATTCTGGTGCTGACAAAAGCCATACAACTTATATATTGTATTTCTTAATCTATTTTGATATTGGAGGGATAATATCCTAGTCTCAAGGCGACCTTGAAGACACACACGACTTGAGAGTTTTAACATTATTTGATCGTCGAGGCGGGAGCTGCCAATGTTGATTTTGCCCATGCTACGTCTATAGTTTCTTTCGGCTTTGTCTATATAGATATACCTAGGTAGTATTTAGTATTGAGTGTATCATATTAGATCATGCCTCTGGGTAATGTTTTAGAGAGGTTCACCGGATGCTTTTCCTTACTATAAGCGCTTGAGCTTTGTTTTGGCCTTTGTTCCTTCTAGCTAGGATATGTTGTGGAAGTCGCTCTCTGATATATACAGACGCAATTGAGATTCAGAATGTACCCTAGTAACAACGGATTCCATAAGATTAACTGGTATAAGAATAATAACTCTATTAATTGGTAGGCTCAAAGCTTTCTCAATATCTTGCAATTGTTCTTTGTAGGTAGTTAGTACGGAGTATGCTCCCCCCCCCTTTCAGGGCAAGACAACGTGTTGGGATGGGCGCTAAACCAACTGACCGCCTTGAGATCCCCAGGAAACTTCCCTACGACATCGACTCCAGCCACTTTCTATCCCCATTTCTCTTGAAGTTTACTTTTCCTCCTTGGAGCTCGAGGTTTTCCATATCTCGTGTCCTCACCGTCCCTGTGAAATACTGCGCTCCGCCCATGCTTGTCGCACATTCAGACTAAGCTGACAGCATCCCGTGTCTCCAACTTGTCCCTCAAGGCCCCCAACGATTGTGAACTCATTGGAAGGCGGGGAGTTAAGCTCCTCCTAGGACACAGCAATGGCTGATACCGGTGAGTGATACCAAATACACCTTGTCAGACCCAAAATGAATTGCAGGAGAGCTTCGGCGCACTTAAGGAGAAGGCCCGCCGACCTCCGTCATCACCACCCCCCTTCATACATCCGCACCCTCTGTGCGCAACCAAGCGGAGCTGACGGATTACAATCTTACAGCACAACGACACCCGAATCTTCACCTCACACCTGAGGAAAAGCGCGTTTTCTTCCAGCTTTTCCAGGCTGCTGATACCACCAACCTCGGCGTCATCACTGGTGAAATCGCCGTTCCATTCTTTGAGAAGACTCACCTATCCCCTGATACTCTCGGACTGGTATGTGGATATAACATGGGTGTTGGATCGCAACAATGGGAGCCATGGCTAATTATTGGTGGTGTAGATATGGCAAATTGCGGATAAAGAGAACAGGGGTCTCCTGACCCCGTCTGGCTTCGGTATTGTTCTGCGGTTAATTGGACATGCCCAAGCTGGCCGTGCACCCTCCGATGAATTGGCTCTACAATGTGAGTGATGTTTCCCTTAGTGAAGTGGAACTCATACTGATCCCGCATCTGCTTCATAGCTGGCCCCCTGCCTCGTTTTGACGGAATTGTCGTCGACACAACGGCGAGCATCCCGGAATCGGGAACCAAAAGCCCTCCACCTGGAGCGGCTGGACCTATTCGTGTTCCTCCACTTCAGCCGGATGACGCCAACAAATTCGTCTCCCTCTTCGAGAAGTCGGACGTCAAGAATGGGATGATCTCAGGTATGTAGCTCTTCACTGCCGAGAAAGTGTCACTGCAACTAACACGTTTGCCGTTTGATCTATAGGCGAAATCGCAAAACAGATATTCGAACGCGCCCGTCTCCCAAATGAGGTTCTGGGTCGTATCTGGTTTTTGTCTGACACTAAGCAGCGAGGTGCCTTGGATGCCACCGAGTTTACCATTGCCATGCATCTCCTGACGTCTTATAAATCTGGCGCCCTGCGCAGTATTCCAGCGACACTCCCACCTGGTCTGTACGACGCGGCAGCTCGAAGGGGATCCGCCGCACGGGGGTCTTTTGGCTCGAGACCCGAGGTGCCCCCCATCCCGGCCATTCCCCAGCAATTTACTGGACCTCAGCGAACCACAAGCCCTATGAACCAAGCCAACCGCTCGCCTTTTGTAGGCTCTCTTTCCGCCCAGGCCACCGGGGGTGACTGGTTGATTACCCCACAAGAGAAGGCCCAGTTTGATAGCATTTTCGAGACTGTTGATACAGCCAAGTTGGGACTCATTACTGGAGATCAAGCTGTCGCTTTCTTCATGAAGGCTCAGCTCCCTGAAGAAACGCTTGCTCAAATCTGGGACCTTGCGGATATCGACGCAGATGGCCAGCTGAGCCGGGAAGAATTTGCCGTGGCTATGTACTTGGTGAGATTGCAGCGTAGCGGTAAGGAGCAGCTTCCACAAGTGGTCCCGCCCGCGCTCATCCCGCCCAACATGCGCCGCCAAGTGCCGGCACCAATGGCAACCCCCGCACCTCCCCCGGCGCCCGCCCCCGCAGTGCGGACAGCTGCCGATGATTTGTTCGGCCTCGATTCGCCCGCGCTGCCATTCGCCCAGCCTCAGATGCCTCAGTCCACAGGTGGCTCCAGTAGTGCTTTCCAAACACCAGGCTCGCCTTCCTCCAGAGCATCCCCTCAGACGGCATCGCACACCTTCAAGCCTTTTGTTCCAACTTCTACATTTGGCCAAAGCTTGCAGCCACAGATCACTGGTGCATCAGCCGGAACCCCGACAGCAGTTCGCTCACCCCCGCCTCCTTCGGATGATCTCCTTGGTGACAATGATCCCGAAGAATCTAATAAATTGACCAATGAGACTACTGAGCTCGCGAACTTGTCCAACCAAATCGGTTCTCTGGCCAAGGAAATGCACACTGTGCAGGAGAAGAGGACCTCTGCTGAACAAAATATTACACAAACTTCGCAGCAGAAGCGTGACTTTGAGGCACGTCTTGCGCAAGCACGGTCAATGTACGAGCAAGAGGTTACCAATTTCAAGGCGCTTGAGGAGCGCCTTAAGTCATCCAAGGCAGAGACGCAGAAACTGCAGCAGCAATATGCATTGCTGGACGGCAGCCGCCAAGATCTGCACAACCAATACACGCAAGTTTCGACAGCCTTGGCTACCGATGAGCAGGAGAATGCCAGCCTGAAGGAGAAGATCCGCCAGGCCAATGCCGAAGTTGCCCAGCTCAAGCCGGCACTAGAGAAGGCGCGATCTAGTGCGCGCCAACAGAAGGGTCTTGTTGCCATTAACAAAAAGCAATTAGCTACCGTCGAAGGCGAACGGGACAAGCTCCAGGGTGAAATTGACGGTCTGGCTAGTGAGACCCCACAGTACTCCGAGGAGTCTGCGACACCGGCCGGCAGTGTGGCCGAGGTTGTAAGCCCTACTGCCTCTACGGCAAGCCAAAACACAAACCCGTTCTTCCGTCGAACAGGTAGCTCGAGTGAACAGGCACGGTCCCCCGATGTCTCAAATGACCAGCAAAGAGCATTTGACAGCCTCTTCGGACAGTCATTCGCAGCTGCCCCAGCTGCCCCTGCTGCCCCTGCTGCCGGACCACCACCCACTTCGTTCCGCTCCGAGTCGCCACAAGTTGCGGTTGCATCTCCTATTACCTCTGTTGTTACGACTCCATCAGTCTCTCCTCCCCCTGGCACTTTGCCTGGTGCATTCCCTGCTGGGCCCTTCTCTGAGCCACCGCCTGCGAGCCAGTCCCGACAACTGACCCCGAACTTCCTGCAGTTCAACGATAATCAGTCTTTGACTTCGTCTACTATGGTCTCGCCTCCCGCAAGTCGATTCGGCGGCCCTGAAACCTCTGGATTCGGTACGCCTTCTCTGGCGGGTACCAGTGACTATGGGCCTCAATCAGTGGCAGAATCTAGCGACTACAGTCGTGTACCGACAACTCTTGAAGGTACTCCGGTACGGTCTCCGTTTGAGGAGGAAGGGCAAGACACCTCGGCTAGGTTCCCTGAGGTTCCAGCCGCAACTGCTCAGCAGCCCGAGGCTGCAACCTCCCCTCTCGCCAGTGAGAGCCAGGTCGAAGGCAGCAAGGACCTAAGCTTCGATGAACTGTTTGGCAGCAAGGCACACAAACGGTCAGAATCTCAGCAAGGAAACGACTTTGAGGAGGCATTTGCTTCTATGAAGCATGTACCTGGAGCTGAGCATACAAACGGAGCTACATCAGCCCGTCCATCTGAATTCCCACCGATTCAAGAGCTACACCATGACGATGAAGAAGATGAGAGCTCCGACGACGAGGCCGCTCTGGGATTCGATGACAACTTCACGCCTCCCGCACCAAATACCAAAAAGGAGACCCAGCAGGATTCCATTGACGCTGCTCAACTGGCTGCTTTCCCTGTCCCGGGAACCTCAAACAAGCCCCCGTCTCCTGGGGCACTACAAAGCCCTCCAGAGTATGAAGCTCCGAAAGAAGATAACGTTCATCTTCCTCCTCAATTCAATGGCCTTTTGCCCGAGCGCGTCGATCCCACCGTGGCACCGGATGCGCCTCATTCAGTGGAGCACACCACTGGTGCGCCAGTCGTAAGCAATGAGACCCAACGGGATTCTATCTCGGATGCTGCCATCCCACCCGGTGGAGCGAAGGTGGGAGGACCGGACTTCGAGGCAGCCTTCGCGGGAATGAACCTTGCGCCCGCGACCGAAGCCGATGACGATGACGAGGACGAGCCACAGAGTCATGAAGCCAAAAACACGACTGACTTTGATTTCTCTTTCGATTCTCCGTCCCAGAAGCAGCAAGCTATCTCCGGTGCCGATGTTGATCAATCCAGCTCCTCTCAGTTTTTCGCTTTCGACAACAACGTCCATGCATCCGCCGCCCCGCCTGTTGGATCGCCCAACGAAGGAGAACCCAAGCCGGCTGCGCATGAATGGGACGCGCTATTTGCGCCTCTTGACAACTCCAAGCCCGACACGGGCGAAGACTCGAACGAAGAGAAATCCAAGAAGCCTGGATGGGCTCTGAACAACGACACTGGCGAAGATGACCTGATCCTTCAGCGGCTGACCGGCATGGGCTTCACACGGGATGAGTCCTTGGATGCCTTGGAGAAATATGATTACAACCTTGACAAGGTAGATTTTCTTTCGTCTTTTGTTTTGCATCATACTAATTAAAGACCAGGCTGCGGACCACTTGACTTCGAAGACTTGATTATGACACCCTCCCTTTCTCACTGCACATATCTCCTACATACTTTTTGCTTTTGCGCCCATGTCTCTCATTCCCTAATGGAAGCCCTGGACCTGATGACCAATCTACCAGTTGCCTCCTTTGCATCGATGTTTCCCTCCGTTTGTCCAGCGCTGTGTATATCGTTTCCTTTCATTTTTTTCCCTCATGTTGCGACCACATTGGTCTATGGAACCGGCTCCTTGCCCAATGTCATTGGCCCGGAACCAAGGCTTTTGGTGTGTCTTGTTTGTTGTCTCTTTGCCTGTGTAGTGTAGTTTACGTTAATCCATAATCGAGTTAAATATTTTGATCTTTCTTGGCGTAGCCACAAACATACATATGTACGGATAACCAGTGTGTGTACATTGTTAGCTGTTGCCGCCTTAGCTTACAGGTCGTTCCTTCGCCATCGCGGTCAAAGTAGGGGACAACAAACATTCGTATAATGCCGCGATGCCCGTTCTAAGTCTCGTTCTTCATCAACTCTTTATCGCCATTAGATGCATACTACACTGCTTTGATCCTTGGTCCTCGATTGAAAGAAAATCTATACTCAGTGAACCTGAAGACAAGCTACTAATATGATTAAAGTTTCAGAGATCGACTTCAGACATATCACGCAGCAGTGTGAAATCTCGGATGTTTTTTTTACTATTATGAGAGAGAATAACATGCAATCTATGCCTTTGCGTGCCTGTGTAGTTCAATGTACGCAGAAATATTTGGCCGCGCTTCAAAGGCCTCCACAAGTTTAGTGAGAGCTGGGGGAAGAGTTGCCTAAAGTTGTGGTGAGTACAACCTATACTTGAAATGGGTACAAATAGCACTCACTGGAATGGTACCCGTTCTTGTATCGTTGTCAATGGACTGATAAACAGCGAAGTCGGCATAGGTGACCGTGTCACCAAGGAGGTAAGGTCCATCGACATCGGAGTAATACTGGGCGAGGAGATCATAGTACTTGGGTGCATAATCCTTCTTGTAGGGCTCGGTCACTTCTTTCAGGTTGGCTACCCATTGAGACTATATGTGGTGTGAGCAAGATCTGCCAGAGAAGGGATCCGTTGGTCACATACCCTCCAGTCAATGTAGATATCTGCCACTGCATCAACCAAGTATTTCTCCCAGTTGGTGTTACCATCGTAAGCGCCGAGATCGCGCGAAAGATAACGCAGAATTGGAATGTGCTGTTTGCTCCTATCAGACAATACTCGAGAAATGCAAACGAGCTTTAATGTACCTGGGTGATCACAGAACCGCCATACTCAAGGGCAGGTAGTTGACCGGTCCTTGTAAGTCCACTCTGACGTAGCTTTTCGCTGGTCTCTGGCCAGGCGTTGTCAAAGGGGTAGAGGACATGTTTGAAGTCCAACCCGGCATCCTTCAAAAATAGACTGCAAAAGGTCAGTTTAACTCTCGAGTTGTTCCAATAGCAAAACCAATGAAAGAATAGTGACTTACTTCACAAGCTCTCCGCGGCCTAGCCTGCCAAAATCGAGATCATGGTAAATAGTGGGTGGACAAGCCATTTTGCAGGGTACCAAGGGTCTTTTATTCGTAAGGTCTGTAAAGAGTAGAAATAGTTTACGGAGTGCCTGTAAAGGATGGAGTGAGGCAATGTATTGGATTTATAAGCTGCTACATGCCCAAATCACCTGATGGTGAGATCCCTGTAGGGCTACTACACTACATATGTCAGCAGGTTGTAGTTATGTCTCTATGTTGTATCTGACCAGGTCGACTTGACAAGATAACAGGCCATCAACCAAATCAACCGGCGGAAATCAACGCATCTATACTTACTGCTATCGGTGACTGGCAATCAAGAAGAATCTAAGATTCACCATCTGAGTTTGCCAAGTCACTACAAGACCGCATCACAGAAGCTTCTTAAGCCGTTCTAACTGATTTGGCGTTGTTCACTGCAGTCGTGTGAAGATGCCCGTGCCAGCATAAATTCTTGCGGTTGAGAAAATCGTGGCTTGTGTGCAAAGCTCTACATTTAAGACATGTTGTTTTCGCAGACATTGACAAAGGATCACAATGCCAACACACTCTTCCAAGTCCCCAAGAAGAGTTTTCTCGACTTCGCACTAATAGAAGCCGAGGCATCGACAGCTCGCATCCATTTTCCGCAAAGAGCTCCACAAGCTCGTATCGAGAATATACTAACGGAGGCTCTGTACGAGGCTGTGTGGAGCCGAAAATTGCGATCGACAGGGTCGTGGGAAAAATCACAAATCAACGGGCATATTATGTCCCCTGGCAAGAGTTCTAAGGCGATTAAAGCTATTTGTGTACTAATGGGCCCCGAAGATCATCTTATCGGTACCCATGCACTGCTCGTGTTAAACTATAAGACCCTGCGCCAAGTTATCCACGTCTCGTATGTTCTACCCCATCTCGTGTTTGACTGGATCGCAACAACTTATACGCTATCATCGCCCTTGGCATTTCCTATTGCAGGTAAGCTATGGAGGATGTGGAATGGCTTTGTTTCATTGAGGTGAAGAAAAGCCCCTGTCAAGCAGGAATGGAAACCAGGTAAGCCCCTATATAGTCTAACTCTCAGGCGCACATCAAGTTCTGCAACCATTCGATTTTTCCGACTTCTCTCTCTGCAAGATTGCATATCGCAGCCTCCACGGCCACCGCTTTGATACCCAGATTCATATATACCACATCTTTCACCATCATGCGCTTTTTCTCCCTCGCTATCTTGAGTCTGGCCTCTGTCGCCGTCGCCGATCTCAAAACCTGGAACGACGTGGTGGGCGACGTGCCCCAGTGCATCAAGACTTGTCTTAACGACTTCTACAACACCGCCGGCCTCAAGGACAAGTGTGGAAGCGCTGATAAAGCCAATGTTGACTGTCTCTGTGGCGTTGGGGGTTCAGTTTCGGATTACCAGGACGATGCCTCGCACCTGAGCACATGTATCCAAGATGGCTGCGACACCAATGAAATCATGGACGCTTCTACAAAGCTCGAGGGTTTCATGCAGCGATTCGAGAGCCTCGATAATCAGTGCGCTAAGAAAGGTACGTTTCTCTCGCATCTCTTCTAGTTCAATCATTTATGGGAGAAAATATGGATGCTAATTGTTAACTGCACAGGCTCCTCCAACGGTGCTAGCTCGGTGGTCCCAGGATTTAATGTAATGCTCGCTTCTGGGGCTCTGCTTCTGGTGGGCGCGGCCCTTTGAGTTAATTCGGCATGGTTTCAATGTTGTGTGTACTTGAGATCGGACATAATCTAATAGACCGACCACTTATTTAATAAAAACTTTGATTGGTGCATAATAAATCCCTCACAAAAGCAAGCAGAGAACCGGAAGTCAACAGATCAACTATGAAATAAAATATCCAGATATCTAGGACGAGCACAGAATAATACTAGAATTCACCATGGTCAGTCACTCTATGTTGGACGTTGCAGCCTGGTATGTGAAGGATATACCAGTATCCAAATTCAAATTTAAAGAAATGGGTTCGATCGAAAGGCGTTCGGTTCGGTTAGGATCTCCGTGGGTCCAAAGATCCCGATCGATCGGAAAGAGGAAGCAGTCACACGATTCGGCATCAGCCGTCGACTCATATGATGGAGTTATAGTTTAATATTATATGCCTCTATGGTGCGGACTGCTGCGAACTACCTCCAAAGGTAGAGGCAAATCATCTAGACTCGCGGTAAGAGCGTTTGTTTTAAATCCAGGCACACACGTGAGCTTGCCATTGATTTGTTTATATGGCGCACAAATTGCTTGATCCTTGTAAAATCGATGCTGATTGGCTGAAAGATGCATGGGCTGAGCTATCACATTGTTCTAGACATATAGCTCCATCGCCATTATCAAGACCGATGAGGCTATCTAGGACCAAAAGCTCCTGAAATAGCGCCATTTTGATATATTTTGATATATAGGGTTTGTAATGTGATTGCTTAACCCTTTAATATCAATGCAATTCATTATTCCCTCGTTGTAAGTCTCATCTTTAATATGTAAAATCACGTCATTCGGGCCTAAGAATACTCATCCGCACAACGTGAAACCGCAAACTCTATCTTCGTCGTAATTTGTTCAAATAGATGCGAGTTGGCAATTCTTGTATTCTTGTAACTAATCGATTTCGCTATGGTCTGAGACCGCTATGTCACACTCTCCTGAGGAGCTCCAGGGGATCGCCATTGCAGGGCGAGTCTCTTCAGTTCTCTCCATTCTGGGTTCATTCACCATAATTGGTGCCTTTTCCCTTTCTCGGCACTTCCGGAGTCCTATTCATCGTATAATATTTTTCAATTCCTTCTATAATCTGTTCGACTCTGTCGCTACGATGATATCCACTAGTGGACCTGCAGCTGGAGATACTTCATCGCTATGTCAATTCCAAGGCTTTGCTCTTCAAATGTATGTACTTGGCATTGGCACAGATTTGTCGAGGCAATGTTGTTCGCAAGGCAAAGCTGACCAAAGAAAAATATAGGTTTCCAGTAGCTGACGTGCTCTGGACATTCGCAATGGCCTTGGATACATACTTGGTTGTCTTCCATCATTTCGATACTCAATCTTTGCGCAAGCTCGAATTCAAATACCTTGGTGTTATTACTATACTCTCGTTCATCCCTGCCTTTGTCTTCCTCTTCATCCGTGATCATGAGAAAGGTGCTATATATGGTGACGAGACCGTGAGTATTTTGAATCGACTTGAAGCTAAATATGTCTTGAGGCTGATTAAACTTTCATAGATCTGGTGCTCAGTATCTCGCAATTGGATGATCCTCCGCATAATCTTCTATTATGCACCCGTATGGTGCGTATACTTCCATTCACCTGCTCAACTACTCTTCTAATGGTTACGCAACAGGCTGATAATAGTCATCGTCCTAATACTATATTGTCTCATCGGTATCGAGATAACCAGAGTCCGCGACGAGTTCGAATTGAGCAATAGCGATCATATCGCTCTGACCTCTGGCAATTCTGCCAGCAGCGTCACGACAACCGTGGAAGCGAATTCTCGGAAAAAACCCGGTTTCACCCCAGAATCTACTATAACAAGCGATGCCACGGAACAAAATACGTTCCAGCGTACGTCTCCATCCAGGAAAGCCCCGACCACTTATCAAACTCCGACACAGAGACGTGTGTCGCTGAGACAATATGTGATCATGCCATCGCTTTTCTTCCTTGCGATGTTAGCAACATGGATTGCACCTACCATCAACCGTATCTCGGAATTCGTGCATCATAAGCATGGAACCTATTCACTTCTGCTCTCTGTGAGTACGTTGGGGTCCCTGCGTGGGTTTTGGAATGGTGTTATTTTCATAACTATCGGTATGAAAGGGTGGAAGAGACGAGCTTCGGAGAGGAGAATGGCTCTTAGACAGGTAAGATTGTTGTCTTTTTTTCTGTCTTACATATCACCTCAATTGAGTAGCTGCTGACTTCACTGTGTTATAGATTAGAAATGGTCGTGGGTGACGTGGATCTCATGGCGCGTTCGTTCTACATGTTGTAAATGATACCCTAGTTATTTTATAAAATAGAATTCTGTGTTAATATGTAACTCATTTTATCTGATTCATTGGATCATCAGAGTGGTCTTTCAACTGCTGGCTGATCACTTGACGTCCTGCCTTTCATCACCCCAACCGATTTCAAGAAACATAAAGCTTGTAGAAGATTGCTCAACCTCCAAGAATATGTCAACTAGGTTTCTCGGTTGTAGATATCGTTATATTTCGACAATGATTGCCGCAGAAGCAAATTCGCCTCAACGCCTTGGAAGCGTGCAGGATTCAGGGCGTCCAGGAGAGCCTTGTCTTCTGAATTTGTCGAATGCCCACCATCGCCAAGAATCTCTCTTGCCAATAGCTTAGCAGTACCAGCAGCAGTTGTAACCCAAATGGCGGCGGCAAGCCATAGATTTGCAACATCGGGAACCCGACCAGCGAAGGGCAAGTTGTCAGGCGTGACAGAAAAGATACCATTGAAAGGCTTGTCCGCTACCCAAGGCTCTTCTGGGTCTGTGTTACGTCCCCGGACCTGGAACTCAGTTTCGTTCTTCAAGTTTGAAGCGGCGTCCGACAGCACTTGATCGAAGGTTGATGGCCAAGCTCCAATCGCGCTTTCAGTGGGATCAAGCTGCATCGGGGGATGATCGTAACTGCCTAGACCATCTCGATCTCCGTGGTCCCTTGCATAGACGTGGTGGTCCAGCCAGCGAACGAATGGGTACGAGGTACCGACACGCCTAGCCCGAGGCGGAGTAAAGGTGTAAGGGTGTGCGACGGGGACAATGGGAATCGGAAGTTGCGTAACAGGGGTGTTGTCGCTGCAAATCAAGGAAGATGTCCAAATCCCAGTGGCGAGAATCACAGTACTGCCTTCCGAGTTGATATCTCCACTCGCGGTCTTGATAGTCGCTATCTTCGATGTTTCGTTGTCCTTCTTGGTCGCAAAGCCTGTGACGGCGGCTTCCAAGAAATCCACCCCTCTGGCGCGAGCTTGGTTGACATAGTAGGAAGTAATGACACCTGCATTTGCGGTTCCATCTGATGGGAAATGCAAACAGTGCTTGATAGAGTTGGCGTCGATAAAGTCCGGGGCAAGAGAAGCGGCCGCTTCTGGCGTGAGAAGCTCCGCAGGTAGATCAGCCTCCCGTGCTGCTTTCTGTCGGCGCTCTAAGGTCTCTAACCCAGAAGGCGTAGCGGAAAGTTCCAAGCCGCCGACTGTTTCAAAGCCACCTGGAATTGTGAGGTAGTCTTGGACGGTGTCCTTAGCCAACCGAGTCAAGACAGGCGACTCATTGAGTTGGCCAACGAATCCTGGAGCGTGGCCAGTGGAGCCCAATAGGATTTCAAGGCTTTTGTCGATGAGTATAATATGATTTTCACTTTCGGCCTTGGAAAGATGGAACGCGAGCGCTGCGCCGACGATGCCTCCGCCAACGATAATGATCCGGCGAGGGGAGGTATTGTTATTCAATTGCGTAATATTCAATGTGGACGGCATCTTGAAAGTGTGTTCTTCTGATTTTTAAACTGATTTCAAAAAGGTGAGTACTCTGAAAGAGGCCCTGAATAGTTATCTTAACTGTATAATGACGCTATCCTAGCCCGATGTCGGCATACTTGCCCCCTCATGTATCCGTCTCCAGCCGCGTTTTTGCACAATCGCTATTGTTTAAATCGCTAAAGATTGCTTAAATAGTAAGGAAAGTATGTTTAGGCTGAATCGGATCCGCTCAAATCTCCTTGGCGTTTAACGATGACTCATTGTCATAGTCGGCATGTTATTTATAGATTTTCAAAAGGATGGCGCCTTTTAGAAAACGGCCATAGATGTCGACAGATTTCCGATCTCCCGGTATATTATGCGGAGAGACTCCCCAGAGATAAGGGGCGTTATCCGTTCATTTTAAAAGTGGGAAGTAAAACGGTCTATCTTTGATATAACTTTCTATTCAGTTATTGAGTGACTGATTAACTTTTAGAAAAGTATCCAATTATCCATCGCTTAGAGCTCCTCAGTAACATTGAGAGCCAGGTTCGTGCATCCCGTAGGCACGGTGATCCAGGCCGCATCCGCATCCGAGGCGGATTCACTATAGTTGTAACCACCGTTGAAGGCCATGATCTGTCCAACAGTAGTGTCAAACATCTCTGCAAGATCCTTGTAAACACCGTAGGTGAAATGGAACGGTGTAACATGGCAGACACTAGGAACGCACTGGGGAATCTTGAGGAAATTGTCGACGGGAAGCTCCTCATGGATAGACGAAACAGTCCTCTTGGCATTCTCGTAGACCGACGCGACGGTCATGTTCAGCTTGTACAAAGCGATTTTCTCAATGGTGTCACCTGCTATGGTTCTGTAGTCGTGCGGGCCACCTTTGAGACAAGTAGCTGTAGCATTTTGCTTGGTCAAAAGACAGGTTGTGCTGTCTGGGTTGCAGACCTGGGGAGGAATGCGGAGAGTGAAATTGGCAAACATGTGCTCGGCGTCGATCATTCGGTTGTAACGGGCGATGTCGCAGGGGCCACGGTCGAACTTCTTGGCAACTGTGAAGATGGTGTCTTCCGAAGTGGTGGTATAGGTAGTGGTGGTAGTGTTGAGCGAAGACTCGTCACATGTAGCCCGATTCGTGTGAGGAACGGCGGCAGCAATGGCTGCGAGGCAGGAGAGAGCGTATTTCAGAGATAGCAAGACCATTGCGAGCAAATAATTATCTTTACTAGAAAGGAGTGAAGAGTTTGGTCGGAAAGAAAAAGAAGTGAATCTCGGTTTTATATGTTTGTTATATAGCTTCGGGGAGGGGTCCTAACTTTGGAAAGATTAAGATGAAGCCAAGCTCCGCTGACCTGCCCGCAATTAGTATTTTGTGACGAGTGTCGGGCTCCGAGTAAGGTGGAGCATGGGTTTGGATGATCACCCCTCTCATCAAAATTAGTTGATGTTGATGCATCTGAGGGAGAGACAATGAAACCTAGCCCTTCCATGATTGGCTCGCATCCACTAACAGGAGACCGGTTCTGCAGGATGCGTGGCCATAGTCAGGCAGGAAGATGGTTGAATGCCAATACCTGCGCCATTAGATGTCTGTTTCATGCTCATATGGTGTGCATTCCAGACCTCGTCGATTTGACTCCTCGGCCAGGGCGAGTGTAACTCCGAGGAATATCTTGGGAAAAACACGCCGATTTTAGTCGGGATAAGCGAGGTGCACGCTTGTCAATACGATGCAAGAATTATATTCAAGATGGCTCAGCCTTCAACGGCGGAACTTTGAAGATTGACTGAGGCATCCTGGTCACGATGTCACTTGCATGAATGGACCCGAGCACAAGCCATAATATGAGGCCATTTATCTCCGCACGGAGGCATGAGAACTGGATTGCTCCAATAACCCCGTTCCTGAATTGCCTTTAACGTCAAGTCTTAGCATCTCGGAGTCGGCGCTGGATGCCCGATTAGGAAATAATCGGCCTTGCACCTATACGTACTCCAGTTCTTGGGCCGGAATCCTTGAATTTGAGGAAGATGAGCGGAGAATACCGACGATTTGCGGAGCATCTGGTGTTACTTGCGCAGTGGAGGAAATTAGTGAAACTCGTCGTCATCATCACGGAGAGTAGGACCGCATTAACAAGACGCGGATGGTTCAAAATGTGGAACCTCCCGAGGTCTGGAGAGGAGAAAACGATTAATCAGAAACGAGATCTAAACCTAGTTGCGGTTAGTTTACTTTTGTACCATTTGGCCCAGAATGCACTTCCTATTTTGATACTGTCTGTATCCTTGAGTGTGATCATATATTGCGCGGCTGTTTGGCTTTCAGCACCCATGCCCATAGTTTGGGATTTGCAATGAACATTTTCCCATTTCGAAAACGATTTAAATGCGGTTTATAGCGAAATCCCCGATTCGAAACGACTGTGAGATTTCGTGCTATAGTGAAATCCAATGTATTCCTAAAATAATCCTTCTCCGACCTGCGGATCTCAGAAATAGACCTGTCCTCTGGCTGCAGCTCTTCGTATAGTCGCACATAATGGGATAACTGTCTCTGTGAGGTAAAAAGGACTCCAGATCATAGTCAGGATGGACGGTATTCCAGAGGGTATGGAAAAGACGCAAATCATCGGTCGAATCAAAGGTAAGCAGTCTAATAAGAGACCAAGAAAACTCATTGTCTTCTAGAGAAGTGAGTGCGTCGGAAGAGGAAAGAAACGGCTGCCTTTCTCCAGGATCATTTGGGCGGGACGCCTCCCTATATCCCTCTCTAAAGACCTTGATAAGGTCCTCGCTAAGAGCATGTCGGGATTGGGTGAGTCCAGGAGGAGCCAATAGTATCGCAAGCGGGATGGAAGAACAAAATGACCAATTGATTATTGATGTGATGTTAAAATAATCATCAACAAAAATATTGCTGGCGCTTAATCAGGGTGACGGAGAGGAAATGGATCTGGTAAAGTGTGTGTTGGGTAGCCATTTGTTCGTTGGACAATAAGATCTTTGAGAGCATCTCCCACAATGATGTAGTCCAACCGATTCTCTGCGGAATCAATCTTGTCCCCGATGGCCATAAAGCCGTTCCAATGATTACAGGGATCCTGATGGGAAGCATCGTTTTCGTAGTCCTCGCGAGAAGATATGGGAGCAACGAAACAGTGGGGGGCGTAAGAGGGAGAGACCCTGCATGATGTACCATGGCAGTGACGAGACTATTGCAGAACTCAGACTCTGTCGCAAAAGGTCCACGAGGAACCTCGTCTAAAGAATAACGTTCGTGGAGAATATGACCCCGAGATATGCATTCCCCTAACTCGACTTTGCGCTTCTCTTCAAAAAGAGAGCCAATGCGGTCGAAACGAACCTGAGCAAGTTTCCATGTAATTTTACCTAATTGAAACATGATGTTCGCTTTGTCGACTAGGTTTAGACGGTCTGTTGAAGGATTCGTTGTCCAGACCCTTTGAAGAGGCCATCCTTGCGCCTTGCTCATCAAGATATTCAGAGAATCATTTACTTTGTTGGCCCCTCAATGGGTCTGTGATGCGGGGGAGATATGGGCTGTAGATTACTGCCGGAATTTGGTGTCACTACATCGGTACTGACAATATCTCACAAGCCCTTCGGTTCGGGTCATTCGGCCCGACCGATCGTGATCAATGACCAAGCCTACTAGTAATTCCTACTAAGAAAACTAAATTACTTAATAAGGAGATTCGAAACTTTATACCATCCATAGATCTTACGCATTTTTAACTGCGTCTTGCGAGTTGCGAGTTATTTGTTCATCTGTCCAAACCACCTGCCGCTTCAAAAGCAAATCAAGACGTTGAGTGTCAAAGACAAGGTCAAATACCGTTGTCTTTTGTTGATATTTCACCTGAAACGGATTAGGATGTCTAGCAAAGATGTTAGCCAAGAAAATATAAAAGTATCAGGTGTTTCTTCCTTTGACTGGGATTCTGATACCCGAAATCCATACAATTGGTCTGCGGTATGTCTCCGATTCAATCGCAGCTAAATCAGGAAAATATTGATGGAACCGCAGGCGAAAAAAGCCTTTATCTTCCTGACGACAATGCTGGTCGTTCTCAACAGCAGCATGGGGAGCTCGTTGACTGGTAATGCCATTCAATTCATTACCAAGGAATTTGCTGTGGAGTCTCAATTGCAAAAGGCATTGCCAATGTCTATATTTCTAGTCGGTAAGTATCCTATTCTTGAGAAATAAGAAACAATTATTCTAATGTTGAGATAGGTTACGTATTTGGTAACGTTGAACTATTGACAATTCTTCGAGATTTAACTAACCACTTATCTTCGTGAAGGTCCAATTGTATGGGCGCCACTCAGTGAAGAGTTTGGACGTCGTTTAATTGTTATTGTGACTTTCCCCCTCTTTGCAATATTCACAATGGCTTGCGCCTTGGCCCCTACGTGGACGTCATTTTTGGTCTTCAGGCTTTTTACGGGAATCTTTGGAAGCTCAATCGTCGCACTTGGTCCTGGTATTCTAGCGGATATTTACCAAGATCCCAAGGCTAGAGGTTGGAGTATAGCCGTCTTTATGGGAGTATGTATCAAAATCGTGTACACTTGCCTCATTTCCCTTCCTCTCTGACATAAAGTATTAGGTCACCGGCTTTGGCCCCATGCTGGGACCTATCGTGTCGGGCTTTACCTCGCCACTTTTGGGTTGGCGTTGGTCTTTCTGGGTTGCCCTGATCTGTGCAGGAGTAACACTGATCTTTGTTGTGTTTTTCCCCGAAACTTATGCAGCAACCATTGTGGTGAAATGTGCCCCTGAGAATTCGATGATTCCTCGACCGATAGCCACTGGCATTTCCAACAAACAAAACAGATCATGGAGACGCGTTATCAGTGACGTACTGCTACGTCCCCTTTACCTTCTTGTCACAGAACCTATTGTTAGTGCCTGCTCTATGTACTTGGCCCTGTGCTATTCCATCTTTTACATGTCATTCAACGTCTTCCCGGCTGTCTTCCAGCAACTCTACGGTCTATCACCAGGTCAATGTGGATTGGTCCAGCTGACAATTGGTGCCGGCTGTGTGTTAAGTCTGCCGATATATTGGATGTATGAGCAAATCTTGCGCTGGGTGGTCCGCGGCTCCGTTGGGGGTCTCAAGGAAGAATACTATCGTCTACCGCTTGCCTGCTTAGGTGGCCCATTATTTGTGATATCCCTTTTCTGGCTGGGTTGGACTTCCCGTATCGACGTGCATTTCGCAGTACCTATGGTAGCCGGTATTCCTTTTGGAATGGGCTTCATGTGTATCTTCATTGCTATTCTGTGAGTGAGAAATTAGGCTTGATCTCGATATGCCGAAATGAATCTAAGCTGACATGGCATGGAATAGGAACTACGTTACCGACGCATATCAGATGTTTGCAGCATCAGCCAACGCAGCTTCAAGTTGCAGTCGCTCATTTCTTGCGACATTTCTTCCCCTGGCTAGTTATCCGATGCTTTCACATCTGGGAATTGCAGGAACTTGCAGTCTCTTAGGCGGACTCAGCGCAGTGATGTCCGTTATTCCTTTCCTCTTGATATGGAAAGGTGAGGCCATCCGTTCGCGGTCACACTTCTGCAATACACTAAAGGATCAACATAAAACGACTGAGACATCTCCAAGTCCGGTGGCTGGGGAGCCGTGATAGCAGTGCATCCTGTACAAATCCAAGATTCAATGCAGCTGTTGAGACTGCGCTTCATATTTTTCGAAATATATCTTGGTCCTCATATTTTCTTCATGAAGTCTCAAGTCATAAATATAGATCCCGTCTGTAGTATATTTCAGCGCAAGCGGGGATTCTTGACAAAAGCTTATTATGCATATCAAACCATCTTATCTAATTTACGCGGAGGCTTAGAGGAAGGAAACTATAGGGACTACATTTAGGGCCTTCACATTTGAGGAGCCCGGGAGAGATACTTCTAAATGAATACAACTGCATCTACCCTAGAAAAGAGGGTGGTAAGGTATAATAAACTTTGCTGACAAAGATATAATGTCAGTATATATTCTCCGAAATAAGTTACGCACAGTTAGCAAAATCCAGCATTTTGGGCTGTCATCCTGGGCTCTGAAACTTGGTAACGTCGTTTCTTGTCTTCCTCAAAATCAGACTTGACCTTTCCAGCAACCTCCTCGTTCTTTAAGATACTCAGGCCAGTGATAGCCATACCCTTTGCCGCATGCATGCATAGCTCATGTGACTCTTTGCTTCCTGCCACCGCGGTAAATCCAGGGGTGTGGTTATTCGCTCCCGGACCGGCTGGGATACCAACATAGGCCTGAATACCAGGACACTCATAGGTGACGTTTCCTATTAGCATAATTTGTTAGTCAAAAATTTGCAACAGTTAGAATGTTATCTGAATGAAGTTAAGAACTGACCTTGGTCCGTTGATCCTGGGACTCCAGTTGAGTTCAAGTCGCACCGCACTTCCGTTCCCATTTGAGCCATTGCCTCTGCATATGCTGTTGCCAAAGGCTTGTTCGGTCGTAAATCGGCGTAAGTGTTGTGTCTAGTTCTTATGTCAGCTACTGGTGGGCTATGAAGAATGGAAAGTATGACACAACCTCTGAACCTCCATAGTACATCCAGCCTGCAAGGCCGCACCTTTGAAACAATTCTCCACTCTCACAAAAAGCTCTTCCGCCATTGCTACTGTGGGAGATCTGATGTAACAGTCCAGTGCTGAAGAGCCCGGGATGATGTTTGGGCGGAGCCCACCGTCAGAGATGACACAGTGCACGCGATTGCAAGGATGGATCTGCTGACGCAGAACACCTATGCCGCTATAAGATAGAACAGCTGCATCAAGTGCATTGGTGCCTTCCCATGGAGCCATAGCAGCGTGTGCGGTCTTCCCCGTGAAACGGATGGTGACTTTCAGGCTCGCAAGCGTAGGCATGTATGCATCACCGGTAAAGCCAGGGCACTCGCTGAAGGGGCCAGGGTGCACCATCATGCATGCGTCGACATCTTTATAAGCACCGGCGTTGATTATAGGAATCTTTCCACCAAGACCCTCCTCAGCAGGTGTTCCCACAAGACGAACACGACCAGGGATATTTTGCTCTTCAAGGGCTCCGGCAACTCCTAGGAAGGCACCAATAGACATCATGGCGATGAGGTTGTGTCCACAGGCATGGCCAATTCCTGGAAGAGCATCGTACTCTGCATTGAAGGCCACGACTCTACCCCCGTGGCCATACTCTGCAACAAATGATGTCTCAAGGCCGTAGGCGTGCCTGGTGACTTTGAAACCTAAGCTTTCGAGCATCGATGTGATATTGTCGTGGGCCATAAATTCCTTGTAACCGAGCTCTGGGTTGCTGTGAATCTATTGGAACAGTTTTAGCTTGTTGGATAAAAGACGTACCCGGAAGATTGTTTGACAAGGACCATGGTGGTTATACCTTTTGGTTAATTTCCCACAGTTGCTGGGATTTTGAATCGATTATGCGCAGGATATCTTGAATATCCTCGACATCTTGACCATGTGAGACTGCATCTCTATTTCCATCAGAAGGGGGAAAGTGATCGCCGTCATTCTTTTGCTTTGATTGGGGTGGTTCTCTCAATAGTATCTGCAAATGACAGGATAAAAGGGTGGTTCAGTGATCCAGAGAGCTGCGTCTTGGATTTTTATAAAGCCACCGAGTTGCGATCAAGAGTAAATCACCTTTAAAAAAATAATATATTTAGCTATCACCACTTATCAGTGTAGTGTCGGCATCGGTCGGGCCGAAGCCGAACATGTCCCCGATGCCCAGATGAGTATGTACATGTACATTATTGTGGACTGATTGTGCCTTCAATGCTGAACGCGCGGCTATTTCATTACATCAGCCTTAATATGCAATTTGATGCAAGGGGTCTGATACCGATATCGTAAGATATTCTGGGGTAAATAAATCCCCACATGCAGATCCACCATATTTCTGACAGATTTGATGCCTGCAGCTTAACATTAAGGCACTAAGGCATCAATAAGGCATCCAACTATCCATGGATGGTGGGCTTATCGGTAGTCTGGATTCTGGCTTGTCTTCCTTCCGTTCGACATACCCACTTTGGCTAGTGACCATGAACGAAGGAAATAGGTACGCCTTCAGTATATGACCTGTATCACACATCCTCACACAGTACCAAATCCAGATCGCTTTCGGCCTGTCTGCGCTGCAGGAGACAGAAGCTCAAATGTGGCGGTCCCGGCAAAATACCATGCCAACGATGCCGAGTGACCAATGCTGAATGTGTCTTCGTCCCTCCAAGGGCAGCTCAGCCGGCATCAGCCCTATCAGATACCGAGTAAGATTCTCGTTGTATTCATCATCAATCTCTTATTTTTCTTTATTTTCTTGCTTTTTTCTTGCTTTCTTTTTTAACAGCCATTGATAATGAAGCAGTGCCAAAACAGCCCTTCTTGAGCGGCGATTGGACTTAGTGGAGCGACAGCTGCGACTTGAGATTGAGAATTTGCGAGCAGAGGTTGCCGGACGATCTCATGACAGCAATGCAGTATTTTCGCAGAGTTTGTTATCACAGCGTGAACCAGCTGCCCTCTCAGTTGCGGAAACGGACACCTTATCTTCTAACATCGATTCCCCCGTTATCACTACCGAGAGTGAATGGGATGAGCTATACGAATTCTTTTGCACCAACTGCAGCACTGTCGTTTCTGTGATAGATGACCAGTTGTATTCGCCTAGCGAAACTATCAAGAATCACCCATTCATGTCGGCTGTCATATGCGCAATCGCCTCAAGGGCTGTGAGACCAGCAAAGTATCAAGAATATGTCGCCGCCGTTGACAAATTAATTATGCACACATTTCAAGGGCCGGCGCCCGACCTGCTTGGGGTGCAGGCCATGATACTCTTCGCAACATGGACCGGTCGGATACGCCTAATCGGCTATATTGTATCAGTGGCAACTGAGCTAAAGTTACATGAGGCAGCTATCCTGATAGGAGATGAGAACACTGAGTATACCCCTGATCTTGTTGGGCGTGCGAGGACCTGGTTTACTTTATGCTGCTTAGACTTGCAGTGAGTTTACCGATATCACGCCCCTTGAGCTCTCACTAAATTCCCGCAGAACGAACATCAGCCGGCCTTTCGTTATTAACAACATGAAGGATTATTTACCTTATGCAAAGTACATCGCCATGTCTCCACATCATCGCCCCGTAGATGACAGAATTCGAGCCTATATCAAAGGCTTCACGATAACTGGTAGGCATATCAAATTTGAATTCAAGTTTACTTTTCGTCGCATTAATGATTGGATAGGGAACCTAAAAGGGCAACTTAAAAGCTCCCAGCTGACAGCTAAACCTTTGTTGCAAGAGGTCATCGATCTCTTCACTTCCTCTGATGAACAGGTTGATCAATGGTTCCATGAAATCAACAACAATATCCATCCACTCTATCAAACGTTCCCAGAGAGGCAGGATCGAAACCGACTTCTTATGCCATTTGCCTTCATGAAGCTGTGAGTTACGAAACTAAACACAGCCCCGAAATTCATGGAGTTAATTCCTTTTCTTTTTCTAAAGCTATATCAACGGCCTAGCATTGCAGGGTGTGGGGTCGGTGGAGGACTTGAGCGCAGATCCAGCCCGAATCGAGTTTATTCAGCGAGCCTTGGATAGCGCAAGTCTAATAATCCAGACTCAGTTCGAGTCCAATAGGTTCAGGCGAGCATTTCAATACACAATGGTATGTGCAGTGGAGAAAAGTTCATTCGTTCCTTGGTTGGGCCTCTTTTTCATTCATTTTCAATTGTTGTTAACCCTGAAGTGACTTTGTAGGACTATTTTGGCACACCAATATACTACGCCATTAGCTTCATTTTGAAAGCCATTCCTTTGGCTTATAATTTTGTTGACTGCCAGCGGCTCCTGACCAGAGTACGACAAGCAGCTCATATGTTTCAGCAAGCAGGGGCTTTTGACGCGGCAAATGAATTACGACAAGGTGTTGATCGAATAGCAGCTTCAACTCAAACGGTTCTTAGTCCTGAGTCGCTCGAAACCCCCGGAATCGAAATTCACCTCAATGGTTTGTTTGATATTCCGAGCTTTATCGACGAGATGGTAAGATGATTCCTTACTGGGACTATTGTGACAAGGTCTGACTGTATTTTTAGGCGTGGGATGATGATTTCCCCACATTGGGCATGTTTCCTTCTGTATGAGCACTGTAGTTCTTCTCTACTAGCTCAAGTTTGCCCTTCCATCTCCCAGCGGCCGGCTTCTTTCATGGCCTGGATAAATTCCTCCTTCATTTTCTCGGCGAATTTGTTGTTAGTGAGAACGTCGAGGCAAATAAGTGCATTTGCCTGGCCAGCCCTCAGTGCCTCTTGGTGGGCAAACTCACCAGCCGATGCCTCACGGAATCCAATTGAATGCGGGAAGTCGGTTGCCTTGATCGAAAACATAGCCTGGATACCTGGGCAAATATAGGAACAGCTACCAAAGTCCCTGTTCGGTAATCATCAGATTGTGAAACATGAATAAGCAAGCCTGAAGGACGAGAAACTTACGAGCATCCCGGTTGGTCATAAAGTACTCGAGATTCTTCCAATGTAGGCAGTTCCTCTGGTTCTATACCCAAGTGCTGTATCATATAATCACGATATTGCTCAGCAAGTGTGTCATTAGAAACAACATCCTCGTAAAGGGCAGTCCTGCACAAGAGATGAAGGTTAGTGTTACATTTAAGGCCATCAAGTAAGCACATGATACTCACCAGTCGACCTCAACAGTACATCCCGTTGCATCCGCAGCAGCTTTGAATATGGGCTCGAATCTGGGCTTGAACTCATCCAGCTTCTTCATAGTGGGAGCTCTAATGCTGAACAGTCCTTCGGCGTAATCGGGTATAATGTTCGAAGCCTTTCCGGCTTCAAGAATGCATCCCTGAATACTACACCCCTTCTCAAGATGCTGGCGCAGCATTGAGATTGCGTTATATGCCTGCACAATAGCATCGCAGGCATTCCGCCCCATCCACGGAGCCGTGGCAGCATGTGTTGCCAGGCCATGGAACTGCACCCGTACCTTCCACGAAGCCTTAGTCAAACACAGAGGCGTGCTAAAGTTGCGCATACCATGAGTCATGACGCAAGCATCGAACCCCTTCCAAGCGCCGTTTGTCGCCATGATCCACTTCCCACCGCCGGATTCCTCGCCTGGAGTTCCCATTACGACGATTGTACCAGGGATTCGATGCCTCTTAAGAATGGTTTCAAGAGCAATTGCCGATGCCAACGAGGAGATAGCAATCAAATTATGACCACAGGCATGGCCTAAGCCAGGGAGGGCATCTATTCTGTTCAGAAACATATTGCAGACATCGCGGAATCGTCAAATAATCGGGCGGCACATACCGTACTCTGCATTAAAGCAAACCGTTCTGCCTCCTTCAACTACGGAAAATCTCGCCTCGAATGCAGTCTCGAGGCCGTATACACCGCGATTGACTGCCCATCCACGGTTCTCTAACCAGTCTGACAACAGCTTACAGCTTTTGAATTCTTTAAAGATCGTTTCTGGGTTATTGAAGATCTAAAGTGATTAAGTTAGGGGTTTGTTTTCTTTTCTAACGGGGATCCATGGAAAGTTCGACTAACTTCAAGACTCAAGCGCCGCAGTTCATCCGTTGCATCGTCAATCGTGTTCACAACTTCCTTAATCACATCAGCCGACTGCAAAATCATATGGTTCTCCATGTCCATGGCACTGTGAAGTCAAAGTTTGCTGGATCGTAAGAAGTCGGGTTGTCGATTTATACCAACTTTATGTTCTCTGTTATCGAGAAATAGTATTCGAGAGGCGCCTTAGCTAAGTATTGATTGGCAGAAACTTGGCTATGTATAGAAGGACGGCCGGGCCGACCGAAACCGACTGAGCCGAGTGCAGAAGACCAAAAGTCAACGTCGTGGCAAAAAGCTAATTTACCACCAGATAAGCACCTTGGCAACTACGCCAAGTTACGTTGCCATTGCCCATGGGAATACTATTTAGAGCTGTGATGCCAATTGATGGCAGACACACGACAGGATCTCTGCTGCATACATTGTGCCTTGGTCTTGATATCTCGGACTCGTACCATTCACCATGACTCAACCAAGTCCTCCGAATGCCCCGCCAGACTCCGATCCTACTGCTGATTGCAAAGGCGAGCTGAAACAAACCCAGGACCTCGATGTTGGAGCGACAATTCTCAATGGAACAATAGACAATCTGGAAGTCGATAGTGGCGAAGCTCGAAGTGTTCTTCGAAAAATCGATATGTTTTTACTTCCTATACTCGCATTTACCTATATGATACAGGTATGTTAAAGAAGTTGTTTGAGGAAATATGATCCCTAACATATATCTTGCAGTTCTTGGATAAGTCTTGTGTCTCATATGCCGCACTCTGGGGCATGGTGGAAGATGCTCATCTGGTTAACGATCAGTATTCCTGGCTTACAACTATCTTCTACTTGGGATATATGGCGGGCGAGTTCCCAATCAATATGCTCTTTCAGAAATTTGACATAGCGAAGACATGTGGTATTTTCATCATTCTCTGGGGCGCCACTCTTTTGTGCATGACTGCCGGTCACAACTTCGCCGGTCTGGCTACAGCGCGTCTATTTCTTGGCATATTAGAAGCCGGCGTGAGTCCTTGCTTCGTTTTATTGACAACAATGTTTTACAAAAGGTTGGCTACATGAGACTGTCCAAACATTCTTTTCTGAGGCTTACATGAGTTATAGGTCGGAACAGCCCCTGCGAACCTCCATCTGGTTTTCCATGAACGGGGTTGCAAATATCCTCGGTGGGTTAATCGCATATGGCATCGGCCATTTACATGCTGCTCTTCCAGCGTGGAAATTCCCATTCATCATCTTCGGCTCGATAACCATTGTTTGGGGTATTATTTTCGTTCTTGTGACTCCATCCAATCCGACAAAGGCCAGATGGCTTTCAGCCAGGGAAAAGGAAATTGCGGTCTTGCGCGTTATTGAGAACGAGACGGGCATGGATACCAAAACATTCAAGATGGAACAAGTGAGGGAGGCCCTGATTGACCCTCGATTTTGGTTGATCAACTTGCATTGTCTGGCAAACACCATTCCAAACGTGCGAATCCCTTCCAGTCTCAATTCACTTTGGCCAAGCTAATTCTTCTCAGGGAGCTGTGTCTGCATTTGCCCCACTTATAGTCAATGGATTTGGATTCACCAAATTTGAATCCACTTTGCTTGGTATGCCATCGGGTGCTTCACAGGTCTTGGCATTATTGATTTCAGGGTATGTTGCGAGAACCCTATACAGATTCCTGCCTTTCTAACCTCATTTTCTCCAGATACTTGGCTACCCGCTTCCAGGACATCCGGCATTTCCTGATGATTGGCGGACTTTTGGTCGCCCTTATTGGAGGGGTTTTAATCTTTGCCCTCCCCGAGTCTAATCGTATTGGTCGATTGCTGTAAGTTCTTCCTCGCTTCATATAAATATTTTCAAAATTTGCTAATCAATTACAGCGGTTATTATCTTCTTGTTGGCTTCAGTGTTAATTTTGTCTTGTCCTTGACCCTACTGCAATCTAATGTCGCCGGTCGAACCAAAAAGACCATGTTTGCATCTTCATTCTTCGTCAGGTAAGTGACTACTTCGCCTAAGTGATTATTAGATACTCACCCCGTTATGAACAGTTATTGTGTTGGCAATCTCATTGGACCCCAGCTTTTCTTTGCGCGTGAAGCACCTCGGTATCAATCCGGATTTGCGTCTATGATTGTATGCTTTGTCGTACAAATTGCTATAGTTGTCGTTATGTATACGGTCAATGCTCGAGAGAACAGAAGAGTAAGCTGCAGATCCGATCCTTGACTATATCAAGCATTACTAAAAGACGCGCAGCGTGACCTTCTCAACCCGAATGATACTGAAGTCCATCAGGCTGCCGTTGTATCCCTCGGCTTATCAGACATGACAGATGTGAGTTCTAGCCATAAGGCTTTCCGCCTTGGGCTCGGTTGTCTGACGAAGTTCTATATCAGGTACAAAATCTGCACTTCCGATATGTCCTCTGAGTGTAACAAAGGTGGCAGGAATTGGAATCTATGTCACTCATTGTGAGCTGGACTAGATATAATATTAACTGGGCCTTCTGTCCACACTGTGAGACCGCTTAACCTTGGTAGTTCTCTCTTTCTATTATGTAGTTGGCTTTCTTGCAAATTTACTTTGTTTTCTATAATCCAACTGTATCAGACAATACATTTCTCAATTTTCGAAAATCATTTGGTAGGTGTTAAGAATACTATAGGCATGCTGCAATAATTTACACAAGGTGGCTGAGAACTGCAGCCAGAGGCAGACATACCTAAAGTATTTGAGCGAATGTGTGCCCTACCTAGGTACTACCTGCGATGTACGTAAGTACTATATACAGGATGACATGATGAACAAGAACTTTTGTACTGACCCATTGAGCAGGAAATATTTTGGCTATTTTCTTTATTTCGATATAAGGCTCGAGTCGAATTTATTCGTGGCACGGAGAGAAGTTATATAGATCATTAGAAGATGCCCAGGGGCTTGATAATTTTAGATATTTCAATGGACAATTGACTTTTCCCCGGAAAGTTTCCAAAGTTAGAAATTTTCCAGGCAACCTAATTCCCCCTTTTTTTCCGCAACTATGTATGCTCCATAAATATAGTAGGATCGAAAACGCCCGGTTGGGTAGGCAGCCCTGTTATTTATCCTGTTGCCTAAACAGGGCTCGACGAGGGTATAGTAGCCGGTACTAGTTAGGTAAAAGACCCTGAACGGAGAACACCGTAGCCAATCAGCGTGCAGAATATCTATTATATCCACTCCTTAAGCTTTTGCTGCCGTTCATGCAAAGCTTGGCTTCAGGCTTAATCTTTTATTTCGAGTGTTTGTTCTCATGAATCTGCTTGTCGAAGACAGGAGATTCAGATTCGATTCTTTATATAGTAGCTTGCGATCCTTTGCTGTATAAAGTTTATTTTAATGCAAGACAAAAAAGAATCTGTCGCCGAAGCAGAACCAGTAAGCCTGAAACAGTGAGCATAGTGTAACTTCCAAGGTTCGTATGTTCAGTGGGGCTGAGCCTACCACTGGCCCAGTGAAACCGTAAGATTGATACATCGTCTCGTGGCAGTTTAGCGTAGGCGGTACAATTTCTACGGGGGTATGGCGGGGGGTCTTTTGTCCACACGGGGTCTGGAGGTTGGTTGCCGTACACCCGACCATCGCTACGACTCTTTCCCCGATTCTCCTCTGAGGACTTTCCGATTCCATCCACAGTCGACAGTGCCTGCGTGTGCTTCAAATAACGCGCATCGCATGCTTCGCTTTTCATTCTTTACTTTCTGAAGCACCATCATTTGTCTGTATCACTTCCTGTCGTTTCTCCATCACCTTCTTTCAATTTCATTCGCTTGTCAAACAGATAACAATGGAGCTTTCCGCACGACACCCTCACTCAGTTCCTCTGGGTACAAAAGACCTAGGTCCAATCTCCATTTTGGCTCCATTTTCGGCCTTGATCATCTCTGTCGTGTTGGTTGTATTTTTCTTTGTTCGATTCTACGTCCTCGAGGGATTTCTCATCCGTCGTCTATATGGCCCCATCTATACAGAGATGAGTGAGTTAAACCGTCGTGGCTTCATCAATCACCACATCGCTGGTGTCACCAAAGTGATCATTTTGATTGTTGCCGCGTACCCGTTTGTCAGTGTCGCTTTCTGCAATGGACCAACATTTAGCACGCCTTTCGTTAAGGGGTCAATAGTGACACTGGGGGACATGCTGATTGTTGTGGCTCAAATGTTGATTGGGATATACATCTTCGAGCTGATCTACCGCATGAAGTTGTCACCCGTGGCTGTGATGCACCACGTTGGGACAATCTTCATTGGGCAAGCGGCGATCGCAATCAGTCTGCGACCGTTACGCGAACCCGACGCGTATGTCGAGTTCGTCCTCTGTACTGTCTGGGGTAAGTATATGGGGCTGTGGTCTAGGGACGAAAAGAGAAAAAAACACAATTACTAATGAAATTGGGGTTTAGGCGCATTCGATGCCGTTTTCGAGTTATTCCCCCACGCCGCTATTATTCTGTATCGAATCTTCCCCGATCGGCACGAGCTCCTCAGCAAGGTCTTCCTCTTCTCCTGTTTCACGACCGCATTGGGGACAGTCACCGAGACTATTGTTACGATGTGGCTGTTTGCAAGCACGTGGGACCGGTGGCGGCTTGCCTTCAAGATTGTCACGCCCATCCTGCATCTGGCGTTCGCCACAGCCCAGGTCCATGGCAGTCTTGTCTTCTGGCGGATGTATCTCCGACAAAAGCGCTTGCAGAGGGAGGCTGACGAGGAAGCCAAGTATGTCTATGACGGGGGTGATGGCTCGGTAAACGATCTTCAATCCCTGAGCCAGAGTGGCCAGGGGGAGGTCGGCTTTGGCTTGGTCAACGTGGGGTCGGCTGTCCCACTTGTTGATACTGTTGGGAAGGCACGTTAGTACCTTTGTATGTGTGGACATTTTAGGACAGCGTGCACAATGTATGTACAAAGTATTTATTTCACTCTCGTTCAAAGCGAGACTTTAAGGTTTTGCTCTTTTTTCGTGTAATTTATCATAGTTGGTTTGAAGAGTATGTCTGAATTTGAGGCATGTACTTGTACATATGTAGCCTGATGCAATCTAGGTCTTAAAGGTGATGCTCAAAATTCCCCTTGCTTTTTAGCCACAGTGACATCCTTATATAACCCTAACCCTGATGTTGACGGGAAGGGACAGGGCAGTTTAATAGCCAAGACCAAACCGCCACTATTCTAGAACATTCTTGTCAATATATTTAGAACAGAACCGTCCACTTCTAAAGGTAAGGTTTTGCAGCAATCCAAGCCGATTGGTTTTATTATTATTTCCGAGGAATATGCACTGTTGATCTGTTTTATAGTTAATCAATTCGCTGTAGTGTAGGTCTCATCCATATTCCTCTTCGAATCATGCGCATAACTCATACAATTATATCTAAAGATTAGTAACTTCAGCAGTCTTGTACACGATATTGTTTAATACCGTCACCAGTAATCACGGCAAGCTTAGAAGGCTGCACAAAGATCATCTCCAGCTTGCCAGGGTCTTTTAGGGCAAGGTTAGAAAGTTCTGGGGAAAGTTAGAGCTTTCAGCCGCTTAGTCTGCGCTTAGTCGGTCCATGAGTGCTTGCGTTGTTGCCCTCCAGGGCTCCAGGGCTGTGGAAGTACTCAGGCTGCGGCCAGCCATGGGAACATACATAATGTACATGGAGGTAAACGGGGTCCTGTAAGTTAGCTACTTACATATGTATGTAGGAGTATATGTAGACAGTCAGGTTAGCTATACATAGTTAGTGAAGTCACATTGCTTGGATTGTATGCTTAACTCGACGCATTCATTCCTCTCCATTTGCTGCAAAGGCCATGGAAACTTCAACTATACAGGACTGCCAAAACTGCGTGCGTGTTGTAAACGATTAGTCTTTACATGTATGGTCTTTTGTGTGCGACATGGAATGTGAGAGTTACATGCCCCTGAAAGAAGCCGACTGGCTTGATAGATCTGCATCTCGGCTCATCGTTGCCTAATATTGTGTTTCGGTACAACCGAATTCCAATTCTCGAGCCGATACCTGCCAAATAGGGATGCTTGTGTAACGCGACTGCGCTGCCTAGTTAAGGCCGCGGCGACTACTCGATTGACGAGAGTACCGGTCTCTCCGGAACTCATTATCGGCCAATTGTTTCTAGGCTTCGGGGTATTGTGATCGCTACAATAACCAGTCCAAAATTGATACTATGTCAAAAGGGGTTTAGCAAAGGACATACAATAGCAGGAAGGGAATCAAGATAAACTGGTAAAAATTAGGGTCTGTTAATCACAGTTCAGCGTCTGATAATAATAGAACGTGGTAGCATGACCTCGTGCCCATGACGTGGCGTCGATGGAACTTGGTCGCCTCACGAGAAACAAGACTGTGTCCGCTTTCCATTCATTCCTCCTCCATGATATGATCAAATGATACAAATGCATCCATTAGAGGCATCTCCCCATTTATCATCATCATCAATTCATCCTCATTTCAATTCATCATCATCTCGATTGATCATCATCACCATTAATTGCAGTACGGGGGATTTCAACCCACCACTAACTGGTCTTCTCATGCTGTTTAGCCATTCGCTGCATGTCAAGACCTATGATCGGTTAGTATCCCGTGCCAAAGATGCGAGGAAGAATTGAGTCTCTGCTAACTTACCAAAGTCTTCCCACGAGCGCTGCCTGTCCCTCTTTCGAGGGCCTTTGCCATGCATAAGGTTGTCGAACCTTTGCGAGTTATGCATCACGATGTAAGCCAGCGCGTTCACACATGTCACCCCAAAGGAAAGAATCCACACACGGAGGACGGTTAGCCAGGATGTGGCTTGACCGAAGACTCCATATGCGGCCATCATGGTTGCAGTCAGATCGACGGAACCCACGGCGGCGAGAAGGTATAACGACGGGCAGTTGGCCCAGAACGAGCTCGATCCAGATCCATTGATGCGTGTTATCAGAATCAACCAGCTCTGAGTCAGAGAGATCTCCAGGAATAAGACCTCATCTCGTGAACCCCAGCCTTCGATAACACCTCCGTCTTCGCCCTGCAACAGAATGGTGCCCAGCGTCACCCAGGTACCCACTGCTAGAATGAACCCTAGCACGATTGATTCTCCCCAGAGTCTTGGCTGGTTCCATTTCACAGGCGATTGGGAATAAGTAGCGTTGTCATATGCAATAGCCAAGGTTGCAATGTCGGCAAAGATGGCGAGGAGGACAACAAGGCGGAGGTCGAGGGTCTCATTCTTGATTACCATCCACAGTCCGAAAAGGAGTTCCAGATGAATGGACAGGGCGATCCGGAACACCACATATGAGTACATACGGTGGAAAATTCGGCGAGCGATCTTGATCGCTGCGATAATTGCGGACAGACCAGGTTCCAGGAAGACAATATCAGCAGCAGAACGGGCCGCATCGGATGCGCCCTCAACCGCAATTCCCGTGTCTGCCTTCTTCAGCGAAGCAGCATCGTTCACACCATCGCCAGTCATTGCCACCAGATAGCCACGTCGCTGGAGGATCTCAACTACACTGTACTTATGCTGAGGGTAGACTTCCGCGAAGCCGTCAGCGGCCTCAACAAAGTCATTCACTTCCGAGCCAGACATGGAACCGGCGCCTGTGACACCAAGTCGCTCAGCATTGTAGATGTTTGTTCCGAGACCGAGTCTACGTGCCGTTTCGCGCGCGATGGCCACTGCATCTCCAGTGAGCATCTTGATGGAAAGCCCCAGGTCTTGGGCCTCGGAAACCGTCTTAGCAGTGTCATAGCGTGGGGGATCCAAGCATGGCATGATTCCGAGAATCTCCCATGGTCGTCCTTGACGCTTGCGGGCAACTCCGAGTGCACGGAATCCTCGGCTGGCGAACTCAGTGACCTTTGCCTCATATTCCTTGCAGAACGGCTCGCACAGGGTGGTGTCGCTCTCCACTTTTCTCAGGATGGTCATAGGAGCACCCTTCATACAGAGCATCTTCTCACCATTCAGAGACTGCACATATGCAGTCACTTTCTTTGACACTGGATCGAATGGAAAGAACTCGAGAGTCTTGTACAAGGCGATCCGAGCTTTAGCCCTCGGGTAGTGGCGGAGACCTTTGATGAACACTTTGTCAATAGCATCGATCCCGCCTTTCTTTCGATTGGCTGCAAGGCATGCAGTCAGCATAAGCTCTTCTGCACTCATTCCAGGGACTATGTATGGATCTCCCAATGTTAGTCTGTTGCGGGTGAGTGTGCCCGTTTTGTCTGAACAGAGGATCTCCACTCCAGCCAACGACTCGATAGCTGAGAGATTCTGCACGATAGCCTGGTGTTTTGCCAGGTAAGCCGCACCAACAGCCATTGTTGTGGTGACAACCACGGGAAGACCGACGGGGACACCAATCACAGTGATTGCAAGCGTGAACTCAAGTATCTGGACAATCGGGTTTGAGCGATAATAACTGCTAATCCAGACAACCAGAAGCGTTAAAAGCACGAGAATCAGAAGAATACGAGCCATTGCGCGCAAGACACGAGTGAAGTGGCCAGCGGTATTGCCGGCCTTATTCACCAGGACGGCTGCGTTTCCGACAAAGGTATGATCACCAGTGGCAGTCACAACCATGTGCCCAGTACCGCGTTTGACCGCTGACGAAGCAAAGATAAGATCGCCCTCGTGTTTATCAACAGCGAGAGATTTCCCCCGTGATTCCAGACTGATCAACCTGAATGTAGGTTTTGTCGCATATCAGCTTGTCGCATATCAATCTGCCATCTGCCGCAATTATTGTTCCCTAAAGGAATATTAGCCTCAATATCTTTTTTCTTTCTCAAATCGCCATGGACTCACATCTTTCACGAGAATGATATCACCAAGCACGACCTCTTCGGCATTTATTTCCACGATGCGACCGTTACGCACAACCAGAGCTCTCAGGGCAAGAGTTTCCTTAAGGCTCTCGACAATGTTGCCCGCCTGATATTCCTGGGCAAATCCGACCACGGCATTCAATACGAGCAAGGCACAGATGATTCCGAAATCAATCCAATCTTGCAAGCAGCCGGCTAGGACAATGGCAACCTGGAATCGAGAAAATATTGTGAGTATATGCTTTTTCCAACCAAACTATGGTGGTCAATGTTGAATGGTCTTGCTTACCTCCATGACCCACTGGACCGGGCCATTGAAGAAGGAAATGAACTTGATGAAGTGATTCCGTTTCTGTTCCTTCATGCGATTCCAGCCATACTTCTTGCGCCGAACGGCCACCTCTGCGTCATTGAGACCCTCGTCGACCTTAGTCTCCAGCAGCTCAGGAGGGCATTGGCAAATTTCCCCAGCTCGGATAGTGATTGCGTCCACGTCAGGTTCCTTTCCATCTTCGGCCTCCAGTTCATCGATGAGGCAATCGAGAGATTCTTCGCTCTCTTCCTGGAAAGAGGCAATGGGTTTCAATGTCTCCGGAAGAGAAAGGTCGTCTTTTTCTTTAAGATCAACGACGCAGTCTTTGCTCTCGCTGACGGTGGAATCATGCGTTTCAGCTTCGGAAGCCGCATTAGGACCAATTTGAGGGTGGTCCGGGGGGTCGGAGTCCGCCTGGAGCGGCCGCGTCGATCTTCCTGGGCCTTGATACCAGCAAGCAGACTGGAACGAAACAGTCTAACTTGATCTTTCTGTTCGGCTATCATGCTGTCCGACTTTTCACGTTCGTCTTCCGGGTCAATGGGAGAATCATCTTCCAAGCTATTGTTCAGGCTTGCGCGAAACTTGTTGTATTCCTCCTCGTCCTTGGCGTCTTGGGAGTCATCGTACTGCGTCTGACCATCTCCCTGCTTTTCCTTTCGGGGAATGGTGGCTTCGTTCGAATGGAAGGGAGATATGGCAGAAAGCTTGGGCAGGAAAGGCCGCTCTTCGCTAAAGTCCGTATCCGAATTATCCAAAGGACCAGTCGAGGACTTTGGAATAAACCCTGCCAGGCTACTGGTCTGGATGGGAGGCAGCTCGGAATGATCTCGTCGCTTGAAAAGACTGAGAGATCGGTTCCGTTGCTGGTTCCGTTCCTGAGAACGGCCCCGTTGCTCGCTTTGAAACAGACTTCCGCGCGGCGGAATAGAAGCGCTACGGCTATCATCCTCGTCCGTGATACCTTGAGTCGGAGGTTTGTCAGGCGGATGACTTCTGAGCGGCGCGTTTCGTTCATCCATCATGTCTGACTTGGGTCTGGCCATGATGGCGAAACGGCAGCAAGAAACTGAAAGAAATTAGCAAACTGTCAAACAACAAAACACAGATCCTATGCACACGTTCATGGAAGAAGACCATTCATTTGATACATCAAAACCGGATGGAACATTCACGGGAAGGTACGGTGGGAGGTCGCTCTCCTTCGGACCAACACGCCCAGCTCTCAACCGACAAAAGAACAAAAGTCCATGAATATACTTACATGAAAGATGTTATTTATGCTCTGGCTTCAAGCGATGTGAGGACAGAAGTTGATGGAAGAAGAGGGGTTGCGAGTGTTGCAGGAGAAACGTTGGGAACGCCGAGGATCGAGCTATAATCTTGAAGGAACGATCCTCGACGACTAAGCCTCGGAGGACTAGGCGCCAATCACCATCTGAGAACATGGTTCATTACAGACGCCTGCCTATGCCTGCCTGCGCTTTGTTCGGTATACACTGACACTTATCGGCTTATACAGAATGACCCAATATGGCTCTTTCGTCTATGGGAATTCATCGAATCCACGGCGAGGCTCACGATACTGTCCAATCATACGGTCGGAGAAGGTATACCAGCTTATCTGAGCCTGAAAATGAGCTGCCAGGCTACGGTGGGACAATGCATGGTAACTTTACTGTTGCGTTGCCTAGGTCAACGCGCCGTGGCCTACAGTCAAGCGACAGAAATGAGATCCGCGATACCGCCCGATGGGCGGTATCAGGTGGGCTCCTTGTTGAAACATTGAGGATTCGGAAGGGCGTATCAGCTTATCGGAGCCTGGAATATGAACATTGAAAGTAACCAGTTTCCGGCGACACAGACAGCTTCGCCGTTGCCTTCAAGCTCACCGCGGCCTAGAGGATATTCAACATGATTTTTTTTCATGGTTACAATAAACAGAGTTGCTCATAGTTTATATTCAGTTAATGGCACTGAGTTCAATTCGCCTTGTCATATTGACTATTCGCTTCCCAGCACGCAGTGCAATTGGAAAGTGCGATCATCCATACAATTGAATGTGCTATTGAATGTGGGAAATCAGAATTATTCGATCTTAATCTCTACAAATATTTAGGGCAAAATCAAAATGAAAGCAAAAGCAAAAGCAAAGATTGAGATATTTCGCGTATAGATCCGTGTACATATGTAGTTCACTTTTAGGGCAGGTATAAAAATCGTGGCCTGAGGCATACACAGGCGAATCTGGCATATTACATAATCCCACGTCACTCCCGAGCCTTCAGATTCAATGCGGTCTGATAACTGCGTGTTCATGTAAATCGACTTGAGATCTCCGGCATCTCATATGATTAATTAAATAGACTGGGATTTTGTTTTTTTGTTTATTTTTGTCTTTATTGAGGTCAAATCCACGATGGTTGTTCGTTTGTGCTAGACACTCGAAAGGTGGAAGTCTCATGACCATCTCGATACCTTGAACATAGCTGAGTTCTTTTACCTCTTCGTGCATTCTCCCTGGTCTTTGCCTTTTCAACGTCGCGTGTCATCAGCAATCATGGCTCCTGAAATCCCAGGATTCTATTATGGTAAGTCGTGTCTTGATGCGTTTCTTCCCTTCTGCCGAGGTGCGCGAGGGCAGTACGTAAAGGCGCGTGGTACTGAGTGCCAGTCACACCCAAGCTGTATTGTACTGTCTAGCATCTGGGCTACTGTGTTATACGCGCAGTAATCAACTACCCCCTACACAGACTAACTCCTGTGTCAACTCATACTGACTGAGTATCACAGACCCGGAGAAGAAGAAGTACTTCAAGATTCAAGCCAACCATGTTGCACCTCCAAATGCACAATACTCACAGCAATCCGTGAAACGAAAGCGGTCCGAGCTGACGGTTAGTAAGAGAGACTTGTGTGTATTAGTACATTCACTAATCAATCTCAGACACGCGAAAACAAGACACGATTAAAACAACGTGAGAATAAAGAGACGATCAGGAAAGCCGCATCGTTGAAGCACCCGCTAGTTAATCTGCAAAGAGAGATTGGAGCCGTTGAATCATCCTCCCGTGCCAGGCAAGAACAGCAGGCTCGCATCCAGGCCAGCCAACTGCATCGTGGAGAACTCCATCGTTTTGAGCCATGGCCTAGCTCGTATAGCATCCGACATGTCTTGCGCAATCCACGTTCTGGGACACTGATTGCCGGTGAGTTTCATTGGCTTTTATTATCCCGATACGTGGCTAACATGAATGGCAAGGCTCGGCTCGCGGATATGAATCGTCTGTATCGTAAGTTGATGGACTTTCGCTGTCAAATTCCAATTATGGCATGTACTAACCAGTGAATAGGGTCTGTTTTCCTGATATTGACGAGTCACAGTGGAGCTATGATCACACCATGGAACGGGTGCTATTCAGAGAACCGTACTGGGTGGGCACATTCATCCCAGCACTTCCTTTCACTGTTTAACGCCCTTTCTAGTTAGGATCCATGTCTTTGAGCCACTCAGGTTACCTACTGTACGTGTCCATATAAAACTATTCTATAGACTCACTGCTAACAGCTCCAGTGCAACAATGAACGAAGGACCGCAGGGTGATTGCTTCCTTTCAGCTCATCTCCTCCCAGAGCCCGACGAAGGTGGCAACTACCGCTGGCCAACATGTACGGTTCCATATGTATCTCTATCCCCAGACATCGCGCTTATCCAAAACTTTCCAGTCTCTCATCCAATCCGGATCAGACCCCACTACCCGATGTCCTTCTGGTGCTCAGCGCCCCAGCCCGCAGGATCAAGCGCCCACTTCGCCATAGGAACATCCGAAGGGCTGCACACCCTTGAGGGTACCAGTAGCCATTGGAGCCTATCAAAGAAGCCATTCAAGGGCAACACGGTTTCCACGAGCAACAGAAGACGCTCCGAGCGCAGCCAGAGCCAAAACAGCGTGCATGCCGTGGAATGGATGTCACAGGACGTGATAGCGGCGGGACAGAAAAACTCTAAAATCTTCCTCCACGATCTGCGCAGTGGTGGCAGTGCCACACGTCTTCAACACAACGATGCCGTCATGGAAATGAAGCAGATGGACGAGTACCGGCTCGTGGCAGCGGGACCTAGCTCGGTATGTAGCGCTGTCTGCTCCTCCTTCGTTCCTTCCCTACGCGACACAGCAGCGTGTTAGCTGACATTCACCTCAGCTACGAATGTACGACCTCCGCTTCGCGCCAAAGGCGCTTAAGCACCATGACTCCTCGAAACCCTATCTCACTTTCCCCGATTTCTCCTCAATTCCGTTCCCAACATTCGACCTGAGCACCGAGCTCGGTCTCCTGGCCAGTCGTATGTTTCCCTTGAATATCAGAATAACCCAATTTTTAGTTCGTCCGATGCTAACATACACCTCGCTTTAGCCTCCCAGGACTGCAAAGTCCAGCTCTTCTCTCTTCAAACCGGACTGCACGTCTCCTCGCCTCTCACGGGGCATCAATATTCCTCACCACCTAGCTGTGTACGATTCGAGTATGGGAATGATACCCCGGAGTGGCGCGGGCCGCATGGACCGAGTTTGTTGGTCGGCACGGATGATGTGGTTGAGCAGTGGACCTGGTAGGGGTTGGTAGAAGTTGGCGCTGGTTTTTTTTTTTGTCGTTCCATTTTCTCTGGTATGGGAATTTGTGCATGGTCTTTGGTGTTTCTTGGCGATTTGTCTTTGAGCTGGTTTGTTATCCTGCGTTGTTGGCGTTCGAACGCAGCAAGTGGGTTTATGCTGTATGATGACAAGAAAAGTCGGCTGCTTATGCGGCCTTGTGAAGTACGTTCGGTAGTATTTTATGATAGTCTTCTCACATCGTCTTTTTAGATGTCCTTTTTAGTGACCCTTTTTTGGTAGTTTTCTCAGGTAGTACTTTTTAGATATATTTTTAAATGTCTGTTTGGGTCCTTTTTGGTGGTCTTTTTTAGTGGTCTTCTCAGATTCTTCTCAGTTAATCTTCTCAGTCTTAGGGGAAAAGGCTTAATTTGTGAGATGGACTTTTCTATGTATGAGCTTTGATTGTTTTCTGCGTGCAAGCATGTATTGTGGTGAACTGGAGGATTAGCAACGTCGAATCTTCAAGACATCTTGCAAGTCTACTCCCCTATGTACACAGTAGGAACTAGCTATTCAAGGGATAACACAATAATCGTAGGCCTTGTAGAAACGCCACAATATACCAGATATTCAAGCATTCTACTGCCATACGGAGGATCTAGGCAATGATCAAGTAAAATGATAACATGGGTATAATTGACCTAACCACAAGTAAAACCAGTATGCAACGCAGGGCGAACAAGCCAAGAACTCCCGTCGACAAATGCAAAAATAAAAAATAAAAAAACAAATCACCAGTACAAGGACCAAGCCAGCTCCGACAGTACTCCTTCGTCCCCAAGGAAAATTGGATCAGTCCAGACCACCAGCCAACCACTCACCAACCTCGACACCAATACCCTTAGCCAACTCACCGACCCAGTCACCAGAGACATTGACACACCACTTATCTCCGGCATCAGCAGTGGTATTCCCACTGCTCGTCGCCATAGCATTATGGCTAGCAGCGGGGACGACAAGCCGCAGGCGTCGCAGCGTAGCCAGTTCGGCGTAGATACGGTCTGCAACGGCTGCAACTCGAAGTGGGGTTGCTGGGGGGTTCGGGTCGATAGCATGGTAGATAGCCAGGAGACGTTCTAGGGGGAAAGAACGGGCCGTGAGGATGGTAGACGGGCCGGCGATGCCTGCGCCACCTCCGATGGCTGACGTGGTGGCTGAGGAGGTCGCGAAGGCGGAGGAGAGGGTTGATTTTGTGATGCGAGTTTTGGTTCGCTTTCCTTTCTTGTTGGGGGTTGAAGGGTCGTCGTTTGCGGCTTGCCTCTCTTCTGCCTGGGCTTGGGAGAGGACTTTCAAACGTCGGCGGTGGTGAGCACGCTTGTTCCGGGCTGAAAGGGATGACGAGGAGAATTTGGAGAAGAAGATTGTATCCAGTCGTTGAGGCGTGTGCGAGGCCAGATATGCGGACGTGAGGATCAGGGTCGAGAAATATGGCAGAGAAGGGAGAGCCGAAGGCATAGAGATTTTTGCCAGCGGGGCCCGTTTCGCGCTGGCAGGAGTCTCGTCGGGCACGATGCGGTGCACCAGCGCAGACTCTCCCTGGTGTCGGAAGATGGCTCTGTTTTTGACAAGCAGCCGGGAGAAATCCCACTCGTTGCTTCCGCCTGGGGGCGTTTCGACATTCACTACAGGTGCAACAAACCGAGGCCACAATCTATCACATATGGTCCGGAAATCCGGTATGGAACCTGCTGTCGGTCCAACCAATGAGTCGTAGACTGTAGATACAAAGTACGGGTATACCCGCGAGGAGGTTTCATCGGGCAACCCATCCACGACCGGCGCGTCCAAACTGAGAATGATGTGGATGGCCTCCTTCCGGGTATAGGGGGGAAGCTGACGTGCGGAACCGCTGCACTTTGGAGGAACAATGGCCGTGGAGTCGAGCTGAGGACTAGAACAACACAGATAGACGGAATCTACAAATCGTCGGGTTAGCCACAACATTCTATACCCAGCAAAAGTCGTTCAAAGCCAGGACTCACGATCTCGCCTAGCCGTGCCAGCGCTGACAGCAAAGTATGCGGTGCCTCTCTTTGCCTGTCAATCTCATCCAGCACCAACACGAATTTGCCTTGATTCTCGACGGGCCTCGCTGCCAAGCACTCCTCAAGCAAGACTGCAAGGCCACTGACTTGCTCGCATCTTCCCTTGCCGGATGCCTCCCATTCTTCCTTCTGGCCCAGTGCCTCCAGTGTATTCCATATAATTTTCGTCAGGAGATGCCGTCTCGTAATACATTCCGAGCTTCTGACAATGGCGTGCGGCACTTCAAGGGTCGCGAGGACAGCCCGGAGGATAGTCGATTTGCAGGTCGCAGAGATACCATGGACGACCAAGGTTGGAGGACTAGGAACATGAGGCTATTCAAAGATCATTAAGAGGTTAGCCACTTTCTCCGAGGATGATTGGCGAATGTGAGGAATTATTATCGGCATAGTGAACTCACACTCAAAAGACTGGCTAGCTGTCGCATCTGGACATCGCGACAAGGCCATTGTGTGCTCAATGAGCTGGCAACCTCTTTTGGTAGCATGAGAGGCCCAGTCAGTTTATTTCGGACCTTGTAGACTGAATGGTCAAAGGCAAGTTGCGGCATCTTGCTGAAGCTCCGAAGGGCGGCTCCTTTGGTACGCACGTGATCACGCGTCGCGCAGCAAATCTGGCGACAAAACTAAACCAATTACGAATACTAGGGTTGGAAATGGAGAAAATTGTATGAAAACTTAATTCAGCTTTCCATTGCTAAAATACATGCAAAGAGTGTGTGCAGGATCATGTACGATGACGAAGATCTGGCCCAAAGACCAAATGGCACCTATCATCAATCTCAAGAAGCAGCAAGCTGACCGGAAAATAACCAAGGCCATCAATGGACACAGGCTCCAGAGCCATTGTAATATCCATGCTCGGCTCAGCTGCCATGCAACAATGAACCAATGTAAGGGAACGGGCACAACACAAAACGCAGTTCGAAAAGAGCAAGGCGCAAAAGTACAACGATGAATGGGTAAAAATAAAAGTTGAAAATCACAATGTGGAAGCGAAAAAGAAAAAAGAAACAAAAACAACCCAAGCTGGAAGAACCAGTCCTCAAATCAAGGCAATAGAATACCAGATTGTTCCAAGGAACGATCCAAAACTATCGCCAGATACCCTCCAGACCTCGGAATGCCAGGCATTTGGGGAGGAAAACCAGGGGGGAAAGGGAAAAACAAGAAGTACAAGATGTTGGGAAACAAAGGAGCAGAGGAACATAGTTCCAACGATGTCTGCATCATGCACGGGTCGCTTCATGAAAGGTATGCAGTATGCAACATGGGCCAAATGCAATGATCAGGGCACATTGCTTCAAAGGTGTATGCCGTAAAACGCAACTGTGGTAAATCACGGGATAAATGATCATGGCATGTGCAATTGATGTAGGCCCAGTTCGATGACAGTGTAAAGGGTAACCGTAAAATCGTGAAAGAAAAAAAAAGAAAAGTTTCGTCGCATCGTCTCACTATGGGTACACTGGGGTTGTGAAAGACAAGCACTGATGTGGGCGTCCCAGACCCAATCAGAAGTAGTTCTGGATTTGCTGCGGTCCAAGCTTCGCGGACAGCTGAGGGGTGGGCGCAGTGTAAACAGACGAGGTGTCACTTTGGCCGGAAGGAGTGTTGGAGACAGAGCTCTGAGAGGATTGAGGTACATAGGTCTGGCTGCTGTATCCGCCAGATGAGCTCGAAGACTGAGTACTCTGGGTACTCTGAGTACTCTGAGTACCAGGCTGATGGTAAATGAATGGCTTCTGCAGCAAGTTCTTCGGAATCTGTGCAGTGCTGCTCATTTCATTGGGGGTGACCTGGCCGCTGGTAGTAGCGCTGCTACCGTTGCTGCGGCTGTTGGTATCCGCAGCCATGATCTTGCCAGCAATACGACGACCGTGAGGAGTTTGGCGGATTGACGGAAGAATAGGACGAACAGCCTCCACAATGCGGTTGCGAGTGTCGAGGTCACAGAAGTCCATGGCAGTCTGAACAACGTAGTTCGCAAATGAATCACGCAGCATCTTTTCAAGCTCATTGCCCATAAGGAATTCATCAATCATCTCACGCTTCATGTAGTTGTCAGCAGTCCGGAGGCACTTCTCGATCACATTGGAGCTGAACTTTTGCTTGGACAGCTGAGGAATATTGCCTCCAAAGGTAGCACACAACGGGTTGGTGAAGCTAGGCTCCGCAAGGTCCAGAATGTATTGCACAACATAATTTCCGAAGGGATCCTGGACCAAAGCGAATGAGTGCGAGGTAATCTGTGAAATCAGACGAGCCTTCTGATGACCCGAAGCATGATCAATGCAACGCTGAAGGACACAACATCCATGTCGATGAGTACCAACAACCACACAATTGCCTCCGACAGCTTCGTAAATGAACTCGGCATCCTCGGGAGTGAGGCGGTTGAGGCATTTCTGAATAACATGGTTGCCATTCAGATCCTGTACCAGATCAACGACATGATACTGCAACGCATTGATGACTGTCTGAGTCTGCTGGGAAGTCGAGATGAATTCAATCATCTTCTGCAGTGCACGAGTTCCATGCTGATTCAGGGCAATCTTGACCAACTCTGGCGCAGCATTATCAATCAAAGCAGTGCGTTGTTCGTCGTTGGAGTATTCTAGCAACTTCTGGCAAAGATAATTGCCAAATGGATCTGTTCAAGGAGAAAGGTTAGTAATGATAATGTGGTTAAAGGGCAGGAATTGAATATGTTTCATACCAGTCATGAGCTCAATAACATGCATGTAAGTCTCACTGAAAATCAGCTGCACGTGCTCCGGGTTACGCTCCTCCAACTTGCGCTGCAAGTATCGACAACCATGCTGATCCTTGCACAGGCTGTACAACTCACCCTTGTAATGCTCCAAAGGGTAGTTGCCGAAACGAGTGAGCTGGGTCGCATCATTTTCCTGGCGACGCTGAGCCATGCTGCCTCGGGCTGCAGGTTCATTAAAGCGGAAGCCAGGACCACCATAGCCAGGATAGGCATTGGTGTAGGCAGAAGCCCCTCCGAAGTTTTGCATATGACCGTTGATCGGGGTTGCTTGGCCGACATAGGGGGGCTGGATTCCATAATTGAAGGCAGGAACTGCAGGGACTTGGAATGGCAAACCCATTTGAACAACTGAACTAGGAACGTGGTTGGTAGAGGCAGCCGAAGTGAGCTGAGGCCCGAAGGGTGGAGCACTCGCGTGCAAAGTCGATTGATTACCATAAAACTCGTTCTCATCAAACTCGGCCTTAACCTGGTTATTCACACCACTCTGGGGAATGCGTCCCATGCTTGTATTGTGGTGATGCATGTGCTCATTTTGAGTCTTGGGAGGAGTAATAGCGTTGCCGGCTCCATTTCCCTTAATAGTAGGCAGATCACTTGTTGAGTATGATGACTGCAAAGCATTGGGCCGGCTCGAGGCAACAGGTGTTGCTGTCTCATCATGGCGGTCATCATGGAATGTAATCTGGCTTCCCATGGAACGACGAGCACCGTGGCGTGAGGTATGGACAGGGTTGCCGTGATCCTCGTTATTCTGGCTTCCGAGCTGTTCCAAGCGCCCAACGTTGTGAATGTTCTGCGGCATGCTCTGGTGAGACGACCGGTGCCGACTGTGGTTGGAATAATTCTCGGCCCCTGGGGCACGAGGGTTGGCAAGATCATGGGCATCAGGGTTCGCCGACAACTAAGCAAATGATTAGGATTCAGGGTGTTGTGTTCAATGGCAGGAAACTTACCATGTTCGAGTCACCACGACGGGACAGGGTTGGGAACTTGTCATCAGGCTCGGTCAACTTGATGTAACTCTTGATGTCAGGAGTCGACAGGCGTTCCAGCTCCCTCAGATGGCTATGAGGCTTGTCTTCGTCACTGGGGAAAAGATACTTGGGGACGTTGAAGTTATCAAGGCGGGATCCGTTCAAACCCGAGATGCTAGACCGATGAGACTGGCCATTCGGGTTGCCAGAGGGCAGCGAGTATCGATGAACAACACTATACAAATATTAGCTAGGCCCTCGACATCTCAACTCGAAAAATGGGGTTTTCACTCACGATGGGCCCGACCGGAAGGGAGAAGTAGGATCGGCAAGGAAGTCGTCCTTCTCGGAGTTTCGGCGTGAACCAGGGACAGAGTGTCCGGCAAATCGGTCAATTGACGGCTGGGCAGGCTGGGAAGCAGCCTGAGGCGAAGTCAAGGTCGAAGGAGCAAAAGCATTGAAGAATCCGGGCGAAGACGTCACACTTGAGGTAGAGAAACGAGCAGGCCGGCCAAAGGCACTCGACACAGTAGTATCACGGTACTCAGGCGGGGTGGTTGGCTCACTGACTGGGCCAGAGATGCCAGCCTGAGCCAAGTCCCGAGCGAGCTGGTCCATCTCCAGTTTCTCGCGAGCGTGCTGAAGATCCAGGATTTTCATATCTTCTTCAAAGCGGCGCTTCTGTTCACGCATGTACTCGATGTGCTGTCTCTTTTTCTCAAACTGCTGAAAATGTCAGATATGGGTTCCCAGAATGATGTGATCAAGCAAAAGAGTCAGGAAGTTTGGGAAAGATATCAGTTTGAATGAAGTGAGAGAAAGGTGTAAGTCTCGAACAACTCAATCGACAAAAATTGTCAGAATTGCACAAGAGGAGCCCGGAAAGACACCACAAAAGACACCAAAAAAGAGATATCTTCATAGGACCCCGAGAACAATCACTTGTATGAGGAACACCAACCGAACGCACGACGTTAAGTCAAAAAAGCAACGGGAATGTGACGTAAATCAACGGCAAATAGAGCAGATCCGGTAGCACAGGCAGCGAACTTGTTCGGATCCGAAGAGATGAAACAGATGCGGAAATTATGAAGCAACAAATAAAACAAGAAGCAAAGGGGAAAGTGCAGTTTTTATACCAACCCGGACCGGATTGCAGCCTAGCAGGCTATAATCGATTTGAACTCTGAATAGGCTCAGAATGGACGGAGTTGAACCACCAATAGGCGTAAATCACGTCAATCACTTCGGCGAGTTTGCCTGATTGATGAAACGGAGAACGGAACTGATGAATAGAAAACAATAGAGCAATTGAAGGAAAGAGATAAGAATGATGAATAGCGGGGGATGAATAGCGGGGGGTGAATGGCAGTGGATGAATGGTGGCAATCTCGTCACCTTAAAGATGCACACAGGTAGCGTGATATGCCAGAAGCTGACGGAACTCCGGAGACTCCTGTGTGATATCAAAGAATTGCAGAGGCTGGATCACCAGGACACCAATTCAAACATCCCCGCTCATCGCTCCGCCAACCAACATTCAATGGAATCGAGACAGGCACGCAGGTTCAATGCACAGGGATACTTGTTAACTCAAAAAGAAATTCCAATCTTACCGAAGACAATAAATCCACCGGATCCTGCATCTGGCCAGAACCAGAGCCAGAGTTCGAGCCAGATCCCGAGGTTGGATTCAAATAATTCCATGACGAGAACTTGCTCGAATCGGTCGTAAACCGACGTTGCAGGTTCGCTCGAACATCACCAGCCGGACGAGACGAGAATCCCGATCCAAAGTTCGAATGACCCGGGGAAAGAGAAGTGTACCCAGGGAACGCAGACTCCGAGGGCGGGGATCGTGGGGAGGGGAATCGCAGCTCGTCGAGGCGTTCACTCAGCCCGTGCTTGAAGGCCATCGTGGACAGGCCGAATTGTTCAACTATACACCAAAAACGACGTCCGGTCAGCAAATATAGGGATTTGTTGACGCCAAAAACGGGTTTTTAGGGGGAGCTTCTCCGGGGAAGCAATTACGACCAGCCCCAGATATTATGACGCGACGTCCTCCGGTGGCCGGGGAATATCCGAGTGGGAGGGAAGTGTGGGCTGGCGGTGTGTGTGTCGTCGGCGTTTCAAGCAAGGGGAAATCGAGAGAGGGGCTGAGGGGTTGGCCAGGCGGAGACGATCTGCGCTCGCAAAAAGGGCCTAACTCACACAATGAACGCCTCGAGAGGAGTCAAATCGGTTGATGGGAGAAGTGCTATACGATTTCAAGCTGCGCAAGTCATCTATGGGCAATTTTGACAGGAAATATCGTGTGTACCTGACGGTGCGGAGATCAGCAGGGAGTTGCAGAGTGGGATAAAGCTCCTCTTACCGCTCCGATTTAGCGAACGAGGGATCGAGGCGCGGGCGAAACGAGCGTGTCGCGCGGGGAAATACAACCTAACAATGACCCAAACAAACGATACAAAACTGTTGTACAAAAGGGAGTTGGCAAAGGGGAGAAAAAGAGAAGAAGAGGAAGAGGGGGAGAGAAAATGGGCGGGAGTCCAGATCGGAGCGGGGAGATCCTTTTTAGGAGATGACTGTGCTCTTCGTTTTTTTTTTTTTTTTTTTCAATTTGTTTCTGTTTTTTTCCTTTTTGTTTTTATCCAAGAGTTGAGTGGCAGTGATCTTTTGATCTTTTGATCTTACTATTTTTACATTATTTACATTGCGCCCAGGTGTATGGTCGAGGTTATATAATATGTATTCGTTCCAAGGTTGCTTCCACGCTCTTTCCGGGTGAGGCGCCAAAATGATACACGTTCCTTATGTATACTTCTCTACTATAGTATATTGCCGACACAACTTGGCGGCCACAGCAGATGATCGGCCAGCAATTACTCGGAAATTGATCGGGTTCTATTGATTGGAGAGCCTCCGTTGTCTGTGCGACTTGGGCGATTTGTGCCGGGAAGAGCCTGGGGTAATCAATGGGCTATAGCTCCTGCGAGTCGTTGAAGACGCTACGAGTGGTCAATTCCATGGTGGACTGGGGACAACCTGGGCTATACGCGAGAGAACCATTGTGCTAGAACTCCGGTAAGGGGGGTAGTTCAATGCGCTGGTCGACAGAGCGTGGCAGCTGCAGGTGCATTTGGCCCCCCTCTTAATAGCCACTTGTGGAGACTGAAGTGACCGAAGTGCCCGAAGATGTGACAGCGGATCGCCCTCTAGAGTGGTTAGGCGCCTGTACCTGAATCCTGGATGTGAGATTACTGTTGAAAGAGATATTGGAGAGGAATTATATCCCAATATCAGAATAAAAGCAAAAATAGGGGCTCGATGAACAACGGTTCGCGAGCTCCTCACCCATGGATTATTTTCTTTTCTTTGTTCTCGTTCCACGGGTCTGCGCCAACGGCTCTCTCCTTTTTTTTACTAGGCCTTTTCTTCCATATCCCATTCTTTTATACTTCTGGAATTTCTCGAATACATCTTCAAATCTGTTTTTAACTTCCCCATATAATCTGCAAGATAAGGGCTCTCGCCCTCAACGTCAAGACAAGCGGTGTAAGTGCCACCAGCGCTGATCCGCGTCGCTTGGAGCCCCTGATCCACCGAATAACAAGCATACCAATTGAGCGGGGATCCTCCAAACCCCAGTCATCCTTATTAATTATTCACACATCGGAGAGATCGCCAATTATGAGCCAATTTTTCCCCTCTATGTACTATCTGTTTAGAATTCCGATTATTATGGTTTTCGATCTGAGCTGAGTACTCGCTACGGTCTGTGCTGATGTTTGAGGGAAGTCTCCAAGTGATAGATCGGTTCGGAGTACATCGAACCCCGACTTGACTGTGCACGAACTAACTAGTGTGCTAGCTACTTACATACAATGTAGGTACGGTCGTAGGATCCAATAATCACTATGATCACACTCGTACCAATAATAATTCCAAACATAATGAGACTCAAAACCCACTTATTGACGCCCAAAATTGAACCAATTTTATTTACTTTCTTTCATGCCCAACGCCTGATTTACGCCTCCGAAATTGACTGGCTGCCTCGGTGTTAAAATCACGAATCACAATTCGAGGTCATTCGTAAAATGGACTTACTAGGAGGCACTATGATTCTGCTCCGAAAAGTACTCCGTACCTTGGCTGAAACTCCCTAGATAAAGAGGAATCTCCGCCCCCTCCGTCCAACCAACCCCTGCTGCAAAAAGCCCTACGATGGGCCTTCTAGGCTGTTGATAACGGATATACCCTGGTCGATAGCATTGCTAATCCATTCGTTTGAATTGTCTCATCGGAGGATACTGTACGGAGTACATAGTACATATCGGATGGCAAAGATGACCCCTGTCTTACCAACCACGTGTGGATGGCATTGCATACTTTCTAAGCTCCCTACAAAGTACAGCGATCAATACCATCTTCAAATCCTATGACTGATACATTGGCCATTCATTGTGCCAGTAGATCCATGCATTCGATAAGAAATATGGAATTCCTTTCCGGAAAAGGCAATCTTGCGGTGCAGTCTGTGTCCGTAAAATAAAGGGTGGCAATTTCAAAGTTGCGGTCAAAGCTATTTCGCCACAGACATCAAATAATACTACATCGTACATGCAGGACCGAGTGTTCCCGATACTCGATAAATCATATGCCACACAAGCAGTGCGACTATGGTTACTAATAATAATCCTAGTATTCTGTGAACGGAATGCCTTGCGCTTGCTTGGTATCTGCGGTGGGAAACCCACCTTTCCACGTTGTCTTATACGTGACCGCTTCTTTACTATCTGGTGCTGTTCTCTATGTTGTATACAAAGTATTGTTGTAGATCGTCTCCCTCAAGCAGAACCAAGTCAATTCTGATCAGTAATTCGTCCGTGCAGGCATAAATGTCCGGGGATGGCCTGCATGCGCAAAGACCCACTAAATGTACTACCATGTCAATGGACAAATCCTTGACAACTTGGCAAGGTCTCGTAAATCCAACCCTGTACAGAGTGCTCCCATGCGTTCTACAAAGTTGAGACTAAGATAAATCATTCTTCAACCCAGTTTAGGTTTAGTGGTTAGCCCAAAACCTGCTTCTTCGTCTATTCTTTTGGGACTCCTACTGCCTCGGAGTTAAGGCTAGTATGCTCCGATCCTTCGATCTTGTACAGTTACTTGATAATAAAATGGATTTAACTAAGAATTCAGATGGGTTAAGTATTTAATAACCGATAGAGTGCTTAGGAATTTCGATTCTTTGCCCTATCGTTATTTTTGATTTTCGTTCTGAAATGATGTATCAAGGTCTGCTCAAAATATATATCAAAGACAGTCAATCCCCGTGTCTTGTTACTACACAAAAAGGTCCACAATTGCAACAGGAAAGCTCTAAATATTCCTTCAGTCAAACTAACAGACATGTCAGGGATTCCAATGACTATGCCTGGTTACACAGAGAAAAGTTGCCTGTATATGTATGGTAAAGGTATGCTGTACATAACAGAGGGATAAGCCCGGCATGTCTACTTCATGCAACTATTCCCACTCCTGGTAGCACTTACTTCTATAGCTAATGATTATACTTCTAGCTATACTACTGAGGAGGCAACCCATTTAAACAAAAGACATCGGGATCTAAAACGATGGATTGTTACCTGTTATCAATTGATGCCTCAGGCAACTATCAGCTCCAGCCCGCGGCTTATTAAGCCATCTCCAAATTACTCAAATCTTTCCCCTCTATGAGAATCCATCTTGCGAGCTTCTCTTTGGACAACTGAGTAGTTTGATTGGGATATCTTTCTTGATTGATATCTCTGCACCTCAGCTGTCTAGCTAAAATGCCTCCGCGCAAGAGACCACAGCCCTCTGCGGCCAGTCGAGCGCGACGTCCTTCAGAGGTAACAAAACTTTTTTCCCGTCGCAAGTCCCATACCTCTGATGATTATACTGACTGCTCTGCTACTTGACTAGGCCGGAAACCAATCGGCGACTGACTCGACAAAAAGCAAGCGCCCGTCCCAGTCCAACCCTGTTCCTCAGCCTCACCAGCATTCCGTGCCCGGAAAGGTTGAACCGGCTTCGAATTTCAAGGCTAGAGATCCATTCGATGCGCTTTTGGAACCGTTTTACTACAATAAGGGACTTACGGACCCGATCGATACGGCCAGGGACAAATGGAACCTACTACCTGCATTCCTCAAGGTCAAAGGGCTGGTGAAGCAGCACATTGACTCCTATAACTACTTCGTGGAGGTGCAAATGAAGAAGATTGTCGAATCAAGCTCCACCATTCGAAGCGATGTGGACCACAACTTCTACATCAAGTTTACCGATATCTACGTTGCCTCACCTCGGCGAGCCGACGAGCAAGGCGATGGTGGAATTGATTTCGAATCCACGATCACGCCGCAAGAGTGCAGGCTACGAGACACTACATACGCCGCACCCATTCTGGTTGACTTTGAGTATGTCCGTGGCCGGCAAAGGGTTATCCGACGAGCAGTCCCCATCGGACGAATTCCGATCATGCTCCGCAGTTCTAAGTGTGTGCTGTCGAATAAAACGCCTGCTCAAATGAGCGTCCTCAATGAATGTCCCCTTGACCCTGGTGGTTACTTCGTCGTCAATGGAACAGAGAAGGTCATTCTTGTACAAGAACAATTGAGCAAGAACAGAATTATTGTTGAAACCGACCCAAAGAAAGATATCGTCCAGGCCTCGGTTACCAGGTATGTCCACGTTGGACCGTTTTTGTTCTGCCATCACTAACATCCACAGTTCCTCCAACGAGCGTAAATCCAAGAGTTACATTGTTTCCAAAAAAGGCAGACTCTACGTCAAGCACAACGTGCTCAATGAAGACATCCCGATCGTCATCTTGCTCAAGGCCATGGGCATCCACACCGACAAGGAAATGATGCAAATGGTTACAGGTGACGATAGTCTGTATCAAGATGAGTTCGCCATTAATTTCGAAGAAGCCATCAACGTCGATGTTTACACTCAACAACAAGCCCTCGAGTGGATCGGCTGTCGCATCAAGATCAACCGCAAACAAGCCGCTTATCGCAAGACCCACGTGCAAGAGGCAGTTGAGGCTATTGCATCTGTCATTATTTCTCATATCGAGGTCAAGGACATGAACTTCCGACCCAAGGCCATCTACGTTGCTCACATGGCTCGTCGTGTTCTGATGGCAAAGAGTGACCCGGCCCTAGTGGATGACCGTGATTATCTTGGAAATAAGCGGCTGGAGCTGGCGGGTCAGATGTTGGCCCTTCTTTTTGAAGATCTGTTCAAGAAATTCTGTTTCGATATCAAGATGAACATCGACAAAGTCCTGAACAAACGCAATCGGGCTGAGCAGTTCGATGCTTGGACTATCGTGACTATGCATGGAAATCATATCACTCAGGGTATGAACCGAGCCATCTCCACAGGAAACTGGAGCTTGAAGCGTTTCCGCATGGAGCGTGCAGGTGTCACTCACGTTCTCAGCCGATTGAGTTACATTGCAGCTCTCGGTATGATGACCCGTATTAGCAGTCAGTTCGAAAAGACCCGTAAGGTCAGTGGTCCTCGTGCCTTGCAACCGTCCCAGTTCGGAATGTTGTGCCCTGCAGATACCCCCGAAGGTGAGGCATGTGGTTTGGTCAAGAACTTGGCCCTCATGACGCATATCACGACCAACGATGAAGAAGGACCGGTGCGAAACTTGATATTCATGCTCGGCGTCGAAGACATATCGAGTGTTGGCGGACAGCAGCTCTATGCTCGGGGTGCTTACACAATTTCTATCAACGGTACCCCGACTGGTTTGACCAGACGTCCCAAGTCCTTCCTCAATGCCTTCCGAAGACTGCGCCGCATGGGCCGGGTTTCAGAATTTGTAAGCATTTACATCAATCACCACCAGCGAGCCGTTCATGTCGCCACCGATGATGGACGTATCTGCAGACCGCTTATTGTCGTGGAGAATGGCAAATCTCTTATCGGCGTCGAGCATCTCGAGAAGCTGCGTGATGGCAAAATGGAGTTCGACGACTTCCTTGCGCAAGGGCTCGTTGAATACCTCGACGTGAACGAGGAGAACGACTCCTACATCGCCATCTACGAGAAGGACATCTCAAATACTCACACCCATCTTGAGATTGAACCCTTCACAATCCTTGGAGCTGTTGCTGGCTTGATTCCCTACCCTCACCACAACCAGTCCCCGCGTAACACCTACCAATGTGCCATGGGTAAGCAAGCAATTGGCGCCATTGCTTCCAATCAGTTCCAGCGAATTGATTCCATTCTTTATCTCATGGTCTACCCACAAAAGCCTATGGTTAAATCACGAACCATTGAGCTGACAAAGTACGACCAACTACCTGCGGGTCAGAATGCGACTGTTGCCGTGATGAGTTATTCTGGCTACGATATTGAGGATGCTCTGGTCCTGAACAAGGGATCCGTGGACCGTGGCTTTGGACGTTGCCAGGTCTTCCGCAAGTACGTCACGACGCTGAAGAGTTACCCCAACGGAGCCAAGGATTCCCTCAAAGGGCCGACATACGAGAATGGCGTTCCAATCCGGAAGCACGCACTTCTCGAGTCTGATGGCCTGGCTGCGGTCGGCGAAATGGTCAATAATGGCGAAAGCTACATCAACAAGGTCACGCCCAGGGTACAAAATTCCATGGGATTCACCGGCTCCGACATTGGCGGTGGAGATGTTATCGAGGCATCCATGAACTACAAGCTGCCGGATCCTTCCTACATAGACAAGGTCCTGGTATCTGCTACTGAAGGCGAGACGCAACTCATTAAGGTGTTGACCCGACAGACCCGTCGTCCCGAGGTTGGCGACAAGTTCTCTTCCCGCCACGGACAGAAGGGTGTTGTTGGAATTATTGCAGACCAGGCGGATATGCCATTCTCGGACCAAGGCATCAACCCTGACATTATCATGAACCCTCACGGTTTCCCCTCTCGAATGACAGTCGGAAAGATGCTGGAGCTGGTCGCTGGTAAAGCAGGTGTTCTGTCCGGCCAACACGGCTACGGTACCTGTTTCGGCGGCAGCCCCGTTGAAGAAATGTCCCAGATCCTGATCGACAAAGGTTTCAGCTATGGTGGCAAGGACTATCTCACTTCCGGTATCACCGGTGAGGCTCTGCCTTTCTATGTCTTTACCGGTCCCATCTACTACCAGAAACTGAAGCACATGGTTCAAGACAAGATGCACTCACGTGCCAAGGGTCCCACTGCTACTCTCACCCGCCAGCCTACCGAGGGTCGTTCGCGTAATGGTGGTCTGCGTCTCGGTGAGATGGAACGTGATTGTTTGATTGCGTACGGTACTAGTCAGCTGTTGCTGGAGCGTCTGATGATTTCGTCTGATCGCCACGAGGTGGATGTCTGTGAGCAGTGTGGTTTCATGGGCTACTTGAACTGGTGTCCTGGGTGCAAGTCGTCTCGTTCCGTTGTGAAGATGGTTATCCCCTATGCTGCCAAACTTCTCATTCAAGAACTGATGAGTATGAACGTTACAGCTCGTCTGAAGCTTGACGATGAGTTCCCTGAGATGAAGGGACGTTAAGCTCTGGACTTGGCTTTGGGTCGATTGGAGTTTGGGATAATCAAAATGGGACATGTGCATACTTGGTCTTACGAATGAATGGCATAGCGCGGCGATTTAATATCATCTTTACCTAATTATTCTTTTCTGTAGCACGTAGCTGGAGCTTCAACCACAGCACCTTGGATCGACAGAAATTGGTTGGCAATAATCCTGACAAAAACAAAATTTCTTTTTCAAAACCAACTAGAGGAAAAGAAGAAAAAGAAAAAGAAACCACACCGCATTAGAGCATCAAAACATTCGACTCAAAAGCCACATGTTGATAGCGAGTAAACTCCCCGATCTCCTCCAAAACCTTGAGCCTCGTCTCCAAGGCCTCTTCCAGACTCATCGGCATATCACCCTTGGACTTGATATTATCAAGCGCCAGCTTTTGCAAACCTTCCTTAACCCCTGCCCCAACCGGCATCTCCTTAGTCCAATCCAGACGCTGGGGCGGGACATTGGCCGTGGAGATGATACGGATATTAGGATCAACAAGGAAAAACACCAAGGCGCGCGTGTGCCCGGGCTTAGTCTTGTCCTTCAGCTGGAAGCGGGTGAACCTGTGTTCTACAGTGCTCGGGTACATGATCACTCGGCCTACTCTGTTGCGGATCGAACCTGGGTATTGGATGGCCGGCTCGCCGTTTTCCAAACCAAAGACTTGCTGCAGCCAGATGAAGTCGTTTGGCTCGTGCTCGATTTCTGTGAGCGTGTCGGACTCTACCATGTTGCGGAATTCCATATCCGGATCGATTACATTCTCGTGGTCGTATGGTATGCATGCCGCGGCGCAGATGTGCTCGTTCTGGTTTATGTTTTATTATTATCAAGTACTACGGGTTTATTGAAGCTTTTTGAACTCACCATCGTGCCCTCCACATGCCAGTCTGTCTCGAATTCTGGATGCTCCGGAGTCAGATCAATGCCTAGCAGACGTACGATCACCTGCAATCCACGATCCTTGTAGTCCCGGTTGAGATCGACACCTCGTTCAATCCGAACGGCGCTGGGCAGGTCCTCGGGCAGTTTGTCCATCAACCAGGGTGGGACTGCCCAGGGAATGAACTTGCCTGCATCGGGTTGGATAGCACGGTAGTTCTCCATTCTCCACTGCTCCATGCGCTCGTCAAATTCACTCTGCGCCTCTTTTGGATGCATCTGGGGTATCTGGACAGAGACTTCCTTTGGGAGTGGGTAATACTCCGCCTTACCGTATTCGATTCGGGCACGGGAATGGAGCATGTCCTTGAGGGGTGTCAAAGTTGCGTTCCACTGCGGAATGATGAGATTGAAAACCTGCTCGAGGATCTTATAGATGTTCCGGTGTTTGACTGGGTGCAGGTTGTTGATGTACGTGGCTATGTGCCATTGTCCATCATCGCCGAGTTCCCAGTCTGCAGGAAGGATCTGGTATTTCCGGCTGTAGGGCCGAACCTTGATATCTGCCCGGGCCAAGACGCGCCAGGCAATGTCTTCTCTGGTTATTCCAGTCTCTTTTGGGATTGGGATCACTTCGCCCTTGCCGGCGGACTTGAGAGCGTCATCGAGCCCAATGATACTGTCGGTGAGAATGCGGGTCTTGCCGTAAATGAGCGGGTACAATGCCATGGAAAGGAGGTCACGCTCTTGGCTTAGATGTCCTGGATGGAAGAACTGCATTGGTTCCACATCGTACTCTAGCACATCGAACTGGGTTCTCATATCGCGATAGACCGACTCAGGCACATTTGTGTCGGACTTGGTGACATCGCCATTGTACAGGGCGACTACATCTGTGGTCTCGTAGATCATGGCTTTGAATTGAAGCTCATCAATAATCCACTCAGCCATGTTGAGCGTAATGTCTTTGCCACTGTTCATGGCGGCCTTTTTCCACTCCTCTTGTGTGCCGGGCTCAAATATCTGAAACGATCTCAGCGGAATGATCAGTATTGGTTGTATTGAGAACAACTGACCTTTTTCCACCATTTAGGAATATCGGTCAGGTCCTCCATGAACTCTACCATATGTATCTCACGGAGGGTCAAGACGGGCAGGCTATGAGAATTTTCAGCATTGAGCCCCTCTCGGGTCTTGGGGATTCTGCACTTACTCCACGTATCCTGCTTGGATGTCTCTATCATCCAGCGCAGATGGAAACATACTCCGACTTTCGATACCGTAGATGTTTTTCTCCATCGGAGCAAAGTCTAGCGGCCGGTTGAACCCTGGAAGAGCGAAGCGGTAGTCTCTCTCTGCCTTGGTGTGGAGGAAGCTCGCCTCGTGGGATGGGTGTTGGAACATCGTTGCGTTTGGTCAAGAACAATATACCAAAGCAAAGCCCTCAAGAGTGATATAAATAATGATGGGATGATCTATCTTGCTCGGTCAGAATAAGACAGGGCCAACGAAGGGCGCCAAAACCTACTTTAACTAGATCAGACAAGCCCTAAAATACGTGAAATATGATGATTGAAATGGGGAAATACTGGAACTGATCAAGCTAGGGACACTTAAAGCGAGAGCCGAAGTAATGATGCAGGGGTGTCGTCGTCCTCCATTTTAGGGTATATCGCAATGGTTGCCCTCTAGACGGGAGCTGCGGAACTTGGCTCCGGGCTGTTCAGCCTTTTGCCTCTAACAAATCGGCGTATACCCGGGTGATCTTGAGGTATCAGTCATAGTGATTCAACCCCAATGACCATGGAATTGCGAAACTTTGCTGTATGGTTAAATCAATTGACCTTCAAAGGCTCGATGGAAGCAAATTCCTGTTCCTTGCGCCTATATAGTCACGCAAAAGACTTGAAGAAGAAAAAATATTATTTATGCATGGAGGCAAGCAGGTGTGTATGGTCCTCACACAGCACGATGTCTATCATGTAACACTCTAGTCTTCCCTAGGTCAAAGCAAGACCGAAAGGCAAAGAGATGGTCATTATACCAACATCAAAGCTCCCAAGTACTCTCTAACAATGCCCCAATATCGACCAGGCTCGGCTCTCATATGCCCAACATGAGGGGAGTTCTTGAAGAGTTCACGGCGCACCGCCCAACCCGCAGCCTCGGTGTTTACCGCATGAGATTCCACATCGCGCCAGTCCACCAACTCATCCGTATCTGAGTAGATATAGCAACGACTGAGAGTCCCGTCCGGTTTAGCCGCTCGCACCAAAGAGGTATCATTGATGAGCTCCCGGGCAAGGGAGATAGGATCCGGAAACAGGGAAAAGGAATGGATCAACTTGAATAGAACCAAGAAAGCAAAAAGCAAGCTTTTGCCAAGCAGCCGCAAGATCCACATCTGCGGAAGCGCAAAGGAGAAAGCCTTGAGTCCAGCTCGTAGGCTCGGACTGCCCGGTGCGCTATCTAGGATCATTGCCGATATGGGCAATGGGGTACCTGTCGCATTCTTCCAGGCTTGCAATAGATGTGTAGTGCTCGACATGCCTCCATTCGAGAAGAAGTGCACAAATACTGGATTCTCAGGGGTCACTAGACCGCGCATTGCTTCCACGGCTGGGGCGACGCGGGCTCTTCGGGTCTGGGCCCCCAGATGCCAGATGAAGTCACTTGATGAGCTTCTGACGAAGACGATTCGCGCTGATGGTACTAGCCGTCTATACTCGAAGACATATTTCGCTAGGGCGCGCGGGGGTGCATTCATCCAAAAAGCAATGAATATCACTGGCCGATCCGCCTTCTCGCTTGGGTTGGGCGGGTCTTGGAGATAGACCGAGGGTGCCAGTCTGATAAATGCTGCCAAAGGGTTTTCAGCTATTGTGGCCATGATGCAACCCCGGGTACCTGGTGTGAGTTCAATAGTGTAGGCGAGTTTCAGGCCTGTGGACGGCGATCCTCGGCTTGCCAAGAGCCGTGCGCACTAGCCGAACTATACGATGCCGTTTCTGACCACGAGCATGACTTACCTGCTAGTTGAATTCATGTGCAGGGATATGTAGAAAACATGTTTGATCGTTCTGAAGGACAGGGGAAAATCCTCAACCCTTGGTGGTGTAAAAGTTCTCGACATCCCGAGGCTTGGAGGCAAAGGACTGCAAAAGAATACCACTGACTTAAAAACCAATATTAGAACGCGGAAGATGGACTGCCTACGAGAAATATGAAGATAGTGAGGTTTATTGCAAGGCCTTTTATGTATTCAAGTGAAAGTAAACAACTCCCCAAACGCCATGTTGAACCTTGCTATGCCCTCGAAGGAAATCCCACCCCGGAATCTAGAGATTTCCACTATCTAAAAGCCCAGGAGAATCATGAAAGTGTAGGTTTAAAATGATCGTTGCAGACATTAACGCTTCCCCAAAGTTCGACCACCGCCGTCAGACTTTTTAGTGTTTTCCTTGCTCTTTTGGCTTTCAGCCTCACTTCCCGAGGGGGTGGCAGAGTCGGACAGATCCTTTCGCTTCCCACGCAAAGTTTGTCCAATTCCTTGGAACTTGGGCTGGTCATCTGGGACAACTAGACCATTCTCATCACGGGGTTTGACAGGTTTGATTGCATACCCGAAGAAGAGCTGATTGGGCGGGAGTCGAAGTGGTTGCGGGCCGTTGGTTCTTAGGGTTGGAGGTGGATGCGAGGAACTTGAAGCACCTGGAGTAGGAGTGGAAGGGTTAGGAGTCGGAGCCTTGCTGCCCTTTTTAGCGTTCAGACGCTGTCCTCCAGACAGAAAGTTAGATGATGCCGCACGGGCACCTGTGGCAGCATCGGTGGCCTCGGGGGCAATGGCGGGGTAGTTGATCGATTGTGCCATGGTGCCATGGGGGTGCAATAATCCACCAACTGGAAGCTTTCCACCGCTAATGACGCTACCGGGCGTGCTAGTCCCGCTAGTCCGCTGTGGTTCTTCAAATCCAACCGGAGCAGCGAAATCAACCTCCAAGTCAGTCTCTAGAACGGAGACAGCATTCTTAGTCCCAGAAGGTTTTGTCTCCAGCACTGCCATCTCATATACTTGATCGTTGTATGAAAAAGTGAAGACGTCGCCTTTGGAAAGGCATGAGAAATTCCGGAAGGCGTTTTCTAGCACAGCTTTCGGGTCACTAATATCGAGGAAGGAGGTTGACTGTGCTTGGAGTTTGATGAACTGGCCGGGAGGGAGGTCTGTCGATTTGATTTGAAGGAGATCGCCAGGCTCCAGTAGTAATGTTTGCATCAGCTGTAGAGAACCAAGTCTTAGCACAATCTCGACACATTGAGGAGTCTGTCTTACTCACCCAGAATGGTAAATAGATCTTTCCTTCTTCAGCAATAAACTCAAGAACGCCCGCATGTGTCATCCTCTCTTTCGCACCATTGTGAAGCTCGAACAACATTGGATAGGTAATGTGAAGTCGGGTAAGCTTGTCCAATGCGCTGGGAGGCATGATGACTTTGCCACCATGGTTCACATTCTCTCTTTCAGGACCAGGAAGCATCGCCACTGGATAGCAACGATAGTATTCATCGAAACGACGGGACGTAGCACCCGGGCGCGCCATGCCGGCACCTAGGACTCCATCCATGGGGTCGTCCGACCAGTAACCAGGTCGGTACTGAAGCTGTTAGTTAGGAGAGTGAAGATTGGGAGAGGGTGGAGAGTTTAAGTGGACTCACCATATCAAATTCTTGGAGTGCAAAAGACTAAAGATGAGTAAAGAGGAAGGTGTCAGTGAGACCGGGTTTATTTGAGAATATGCCGCTCTCTGGATCGCCGTCAGTGACGCAACTCGCTCCGCCATGATTTTCCGCTCCGACCCCGGACAAGGAAATCAGCTCTCTTAGAGGTGGTTTACCCTTCAATTTTGCGCAACATTATCTTTCACATTTATTTTCAACCGAAATCCCCAACCAAAGCGCCATGTCGAGCTCATTGCCACGCCCCAAGCGCGTAGGCGAAGATTTCGCCAGTACCGACTACAATGACAACGGCGAGGATTCCTCAGAGCACAAGAAGCCCCGCTTCGACCTTCGCAATCCCTCAGCTCTTGCAGCTGATGCGCCCGAAGAAGACGCAGTACTGGACGCCGATGAAATTGGCAGACGTGGCCAGAGAATAAGACGCAAGGCGGTCAATCTCGAGGGTTACGATTCGGACAGCGACAATGAGGGGTTTTCTGCGCGCACAGAAGAAAAGTCCACGCGCAAACAAGCCAAGGAAGACGCGGAAGATGATGATATGTTTGCCGAGCTACAAGAGGACTTTGGCGAAGAGGAAGTCGACGGCGACGAGGTTATACACAAGAACAAAAAGTCCGTTCGCTTCCTACGAGACGACGAGATCGAGGGCCAAGTTCCTTCTTCAAAAGGCGGAGGAGCGCTCCATGTCGATCTGAGCAAGGGTGTAGCCCAAATTGATGAGGAGGAAGATGGAAGTGGTAGTGAAGTTGGGGAAGAGGAACGCGCACGAGTCGACGAAGTGGTGGACGAGGAACTTGGCGCGGGTGGGAAGAAAAAGCACGCACCTCTCCTGGATGCCTTCAACATGCGAACAGAACAAGAGGAGGGTCGATTCGACGACCAAGGCAACTACGTCCGCAAAGCAATAGACCCCGATGCAGCCTACGACTCATGGTTGGAGGGTGTCTCCAAGAAGGATATCAAGAAGGCCAAAGAGGCTGCTGAGCAACGCGATGCTGAGCGCAAAGAGAAGGACCGAATGGACGACAGCATTTTGACAGCGGATGTCCTGAAGACGATCATCACCCACCTCGAACGCGGCGAAACAACACTCGAGGCACTGGCCCGACTGGGCAAAGGCCTTCGCCGAAAGCCTAAGTGGCAAAACAAGAAGAACAAGAAGAACGCTGTCGAGGATATCGAGATGACGGATGAGGACCCCAACGAGGTGGCCCGGAAGAAAGCAATCGATTCTATTACTGGCGCCGCCGATATCTTGATGGGCCGCGGCCAAATAGATATCTATGACACAGAGCGCGAAATGCTTACACGGCAGTACCGGAACGACACGGGCGAGGACTGGATTGACCCTCCTACGAATGAAGTGACTGAGCAAGGTCCATCCATGTGGGAATATCGGTGGTCAGACGCTAGGGATGGAGGGGATGCCCATGGGCCATACGATAGCGCGATGATGGACTCATGGAAGAATGCGGGCTACTTTGGCGAAGGTGTTGAGTTCCGTCAAGTTGGAGATCCAGGACCCTGGAGCGGCACTGTCAATTTCTTGTAACATAATTCCCCCATATGAGCTACGATATTGCTTTGGCTACACAAAATACCATCGATGAATGAAATATTAATATCAGATCCTCCAGAACAGAGGACTGCAATTGAATCTCAAAGGCAAAATCAACTCAGCAAGCGCCAGTCCTATCATACATCGTTTGATGCGACAAAAAATAAAAATCAAGATCCAGTGTAGTTTTTTCGACCCGCTTAACTGCCCACCGAATAGCCCAGTACTAAAACATGTAACCCAATTAAGAAAGCTCCATGGCGTCGCCATTGGTAGCAGCAGTGAAGCTAACGGCACCTTGGTCACCGATGAAGCGCTGTTCATATTGATTGACGAACTTCACACTCCGAGCGGGGTCGTAGAACAATCGGAAGCTGCGCTGGACGTCATCAACACTAACCTCCTTCGCCTTGCGTTTTTGACTCAAGAGGTGCGAAGTAGTGATAATGTTGCTGGCGTAACGCAGATTTGACTCCTGACCAATCTTGGTGAGAAGGGCGAGAGCATCAGGCGAAAGATCGATCTCTTCTTCCTGCGCTCGGATGGCGAGGATTTGACGGATCTCGTCACCAGAGTACATCTGTGTGCTGACGATCACAACCCGATCGAGGAAGTCAAGGGGTAGGCCGTGAGGAGAGGTGTAGGTGGTCCCGCGGATGCGTGCCTGGCCGCGATTGCTAGCCATGATGACGATAGGGGCTAACTCAGCCTCAAGGGCACGGTTGATGTAGGAGTAACACTCGATATCGAGCATGTGAACCTCGTCAATGAACAGGACACCAGGAATAATCTCTGCCTTGCCCTCTTCCTTCCATTCAGCCACCTTGGTATTGATCTGGTCCCGAACTTCACTCCGAATCTCGCCCGTATCGCCGGAGAAGAGGGCTAGGAAGCCTTGTGAACGCGAGTTAATGACGTCGATCTCGTGAAGGCTGACGGTGTGGACGATCTCCTTGCGAACTTGAAGCTCGCCCTCGGGGCATTGGACAAACTTGGTATCGGCGCCCATGGCGTCGTAGTCTCGAGAGCGTGCGTATGACCGACCGAGCTTGGTGATCTTGCCCGAGGACTTGTCGATCGAGATCACATCTCCCGCCATTACTCGCTCCTTGGTCATCGAATCAATCATCTTGGTTCCCATGTCGTAAATCGTTTCCATGTCCGTAGTTTTGATCGTGAGCTTTCCTTGTTTATTGCCCTGCAGGTAGTCAGTATGCAATGTTATTAAATCATTCCGCGTGGAGAAAACCACTCACGCCAGTTACACTCCGGTCAATTTGAATCTCCACAACTTCACCCTCAATGATTTCGCTCTCTTCCTTAATGCGCACACCGATGGACTTCCGGAATGCCTGGGTCAGGGCTTCTGTCTTCGACATCTCCATTGAGAAAATTTCAGAAGCAGCAAGCATGGTAAAAGGTACGTCCGGTCCGAGAGATTGTGCCATGCCCATTGCAATTGCTGTCTTTCCAGTGCTAGGAGGCCCTGCGATCAGAACGGCGCGACCGGCAATCTTGCCTTCCCTCACCATCTGCAAAATCACTGCGGCGGCCTTCCGGGCCTTTTCCTGACCCACAAGGCCTTGGGAGGATGTCCGAGGCTGAAGAGTGTCTACATCGACACCGAGGCCTCTGATATGCGAATGGGCGGCGATGAGGTTCAGTCCCCGGAGCTCCTTGCTCTCTGCGACAGTCGAGATTGGCTGTTTTGGTGTCAGCAACCGTGAAAATATTCTAGAAGAATTGTAACTTACTACAGCCATATTTGCAAATTGCCAGAGCGAAATGTATCTTAAAATGGAAGATTATGTTGGTAAAATGCGCCAAAGCTCTAGAAAAGCAAAAGAAGAGAGAGAGCCAGGGCAGATCGCAGATCAAAGTGCAACGTCACCGCCCGGCAGAATGATGCCTCAAAGAAATAGGAAACCCGTTTGACTTCATGTGTACTCGTCTTTTTTGCGTCATTTGAACCAATTTCACGAATTTGGTGCTCATCGCGTCTTTGATCTGACGTGTCTGGCTCCCTTCACTAGCTCAGAGGGAGTAGACTAGGCGTTTTCAGCAATATCTACACCTATAAGCACTGTACCTCATCGACAAGTTTTCGCGTGGTGAACGCGTTAATATTGCGCCTTTAGCGTTGCATTCTACTTCAGTGCAGAAGTGCAGACTGCATCTCGCGAGTCAATACACCCGAAACATCACACTTTAGTTCTGTTGCAAATACGATGAGTATTTTGCAATACATTCATTTCAGGGAACATGGCCAGCAGAATGGATGTTGACTCTCCTAACCCTAATACCCGCAAGAGACTCTCGGGCCCATTCCCCTCTGCGCCCCCGACCAAGGCGCAAGATCCTCGGCTTGCCGGTACCGTTAGGCAATCAGTTGATCCTCAATCTTCAAATGCCCAACAGGCACACCCGAACCTCCCCGCCTACCCCTCCTTCATCCTGAAACCCACAAACTCGCTTCCACAGGTGCCTCCTCCATCAATCCCTAACAGCGCCCCGGGCCCTACACCCACAAAAAGCCCCAGTTACCAAGGCGCATCGTTCATCTCAGATTTGGTCAACTCATTGATCAAAGTGAACAAGTGCGAGGAAGAGAAAGAGAGACTCCAAAAGGAAATAGTTTCTATCTCCAAAAACCTACAGAGGGCGAAGCAATCCCAGCAATTCCCAAGCGTCATCGCTCACTTCCAGCAACAGCTGGACGCGGCGAATGATGAATTGGCCAACCATGTCAACTCGATCATTCAGCATCGATCGCTCTCTAATCAGGCGCAGGATACTTTTAATTCGATATTGTCGCAGTTCAAGCCCCAGCCCCAGCTCGAAAAAATACCTGAGAGGGTTGAGAATCTGGAGTCCACAATCAAAGTAATGGCGCAAGGCCCTGCCCCAACCACCAGCGGTGATAATCCAATGAAAGGGAATGCCGAAATCGGAACAGTCCAAATGGACATACGAGGCCGGGACCAAGATATCGCTGAACTCAAAGGAAAGCTGGACAAAATGCAGCATGCCATGGAGAACCCCAATGGATTGGAGGAGGCACTGGAATACATGAAAAGGATTGCGAACTCAGTCACTCTTCAATCCAAATGGCGTGGTCAATTCACGAACAAAATGTCAAGCCTTGAGGATGAAGTGAAGGCTGCGGACAAGAAGCTTGAGGACAAGATTTCTATCATCAAGAAGATGGTGGACACCATCGAGGAAGAACTGAGAACTTCCAACCAGCAGATAGAGACCAACATTTCGGATCTTGGTGGCAAATTGAAAATGACGAATGAACAGGTTGAGGGCAAGCTTTCTTCTATTGAAAACGACCTCAAATCGCTCAATACAAAGCGACAAAATGTCAACAATAGCGCGTCGACTCGATTTTTACAAATTGGAACTGATTTTGAAGCCCAAATGGTGCACGCCACGGAGCAGATTACCGCCCAAGAAGATCTCCTGGCCTTACTCAGAGCCAAGCAACAAAACCTTGATAACGGCGGCCAGCTCTCATCAGAAGCAACCCCAACTCCCCACAGCGGGGTGCTTACAAGAGTGGCGTCTTTGGAAAGGAGAGTCCAGACCCAAGCAGACCTCCTTAACAATATCAAGAACCTCCATCAGGACGTGGATGTCATCCGTGTGGCTGAGTTGACCGCTTTACGCCAGCACCAGGAGTCGAGCCAGACATCACTGGAAACTAAACAGGATGACACTTTGAAAATGGTGGAAGATCTGACCAGGAAATCTGAGGAAATGACCAACAATCAGACGACACTCGCCGCGGCCCTTGACCAACTTAGGGCGTCCTTGCCAAAGGACTTGGAGCAGCTCCGAAATCACCTTCAAAGTGGACTAAATGGATTCGAAAACCGCCTTGCTCCAGTCTCCGACCTTACTCAAGCTGTAACAAAGTGCGAGGGTAGAATTGAATCTCTCAACAGGGCCATTCGCTCACTAGAAACACGATATACCAACATCACTACAGGCGACTTAGTCAATTCTATGGCACATGCCATGCAGCAAATGTACCCCTCTGTTGATCAACTGAGTCAACAATTGACGGCCTACCGAACTGAAATTGAAGCCAAAATTTCTGCGCTCAAGACAGATGCAGACGCGTTCAAGGTGGACATAGAGACGTTCAAGGCAGATACGAACCGATTTAAGACAGATACACAAAAGGCTCAGGCCAGCGCAGAGATGTCTCAAGCAGCACAGGTGTCACCCGAGCAGCTCCAGACTTTGACTCAGTTGCCGACTTTGCTCCAACAGGTCAAAGACCTTTCTGACAAGCTTGTACCGATCGAGAGACTCATCAGCGAGCATAGTGATGAGTTACAGAAGAACCTTGAACTGCGGAGCGAATTACACAACAGAATCACCGCTCAAGACGACACCATCGGAGGCATTGTTCAAAAGGGCGATGACCAGGATGAAAAAATTGAAACCATCACCGAGTCCACGAAAAAGATCGACCCATTGATCAATACGGTTGATGCTCACATCTTGCAACTGGAAGAGGTTCGACAAACGATCGACAAGTTGACTAAAGCCGCGGCGGAGGGAAACGCTACAGCGTGTGATGACCTGGACAAGATCAGGATACGGCTGGAAAGCCTGGAAGGTCGGAGCGAAACCGAAGATGAAGTTCTTGACGAACTCCGGACACAGCTGGAAGACTTGAAAGATCGGAACACAACCGATGATTGCGATTTCGGCAAACTCAAGGAACAGGTGAAAGCCCTTGAAGACCGGAAACCACCGGTATCACTAGAAGAATTCACTGAGCAGGGGGATACGGTGAAGATGTACATCAAACGTCTGAGGAATGCCGAAGACATTTTCAAGGCGCTTGGAGCAGGAGCAAAGATTTCAGAGATGGTCGATAAACTATTGGAGGAGCACGGCGATGGGGAGGAAACTTCTCCATCCCAAACTCCTCAACCCCAACCAAACGACCGTGCTTTTACTCCGAAGCCTACGGCAACACCCAAGACAGTCCCTAAGGACCCTAGTATAGGTGGATATCAGATCCAGCACAATGGGAACGGTCAGGCCGACAATCCCACACCAAGCGTTTCGAAGTCAAATCACTCTGCGATACAAGCTGGACAGTCCCCACAAACCCTCAGTGGGCTAAGCAACCGTCACCAATCGCCTTATTCTGGCAAATCCGCCGAACCTCGTCAGGTTCAACATTTGAAAGGAAAGCGACGAGTGTCCTCTGTAATAGACTCTGATGACGAAAGAAACACAACCGAATCCTCTTCGGTGGTTGAGTCTTCGCCGGCTCCCAGCTCTTCTGCCCCGTCATCTTTTGCTCCGGGCTTCAGCAAAAAGGACAAGAAGGCGGCAAAGAAGAGAGCGGAGCAGGCAGAAGAGAATCCCAAGGCTTCAAACAGACCAGGCAAGAAGCGAAAGCGGAGCAAGCAGGATGCCTGAGCTGGTTCAAACCTGATCTCAGATCTCATGTTCTCCAAACCCATCGCTGTAGGCCTCTCCTTCCCCCTCCGTCTTCCTTGAGTTACGACTTGCCAGGTGAACCATCGATATCTCCGTGAGCCAGCTTTAGGGAAGCATTATTAGATACGTTTTCGCCACTCGGTCGATAGGCTGAAAGCCTGACCGGCGATTCGCTATTCAAATCGATATTACTCAGCACACCACTGGGTGAATTATTATTTGTACATGGGATTGCCAGCATTTACGTCTAAAATCTAAAGTCACGTGACCCATATCTTACCCCAACCCCAACTATGTAGACCCCAACTCCAATTATGTCGACTCCAAAAACTTCACGACCGCTATTATCATAGTGTAAGCATAAAATACTAGTATTAATCATTGCCGAGAAGAGGGAATTACCTTGGCGGAATGCTTCAGGGTTCTCAGAAATAAGCCAGTGACCCGCTTCGACGTCCGCAATCTGCGCGTTGGGGAAGAACTTCTTGATGGCCGGCACAGTATCGTCCGAAACGTAGTTGGACTTAGTGCCACGAACAAAGAGCGTGGGGCCGTTGTATTGGAGGTTATCAGATTCCTTGAAAGGGAAATCGGCCATATGACCCAACGAACCGCCGATGACGGATAGCGGCACTCGGAACTTAAGCGTGTTATCTTCCTCGGAGCGTACCAAGTTGGTGAGAAGGAAGTGGCGGATTGGCATAGACTAGGAAGTGTTAGCATGCCAAACATTACCGGAGGGGCCTAGGCTTATCGCCCCCATTTCTCCCCTAGCGGTTAAAAAGAGGAACACCTTACCTCTTCATAATCCTCGAGAATTTTGTGGGCATCGGATTGCTTCGTAACTTTCTCAGCTTCGATTTTCTGCATGCCGCGAACGTATTTGGAGAAATCGCCCTGCAGTGCTGCCTTCACCGGTGCGTTGTCAACGGGGATCAAAGCTGACACGCGTTCTGGGGCACGTAGTGCTACCGCCATTGCAGCTTTGGCACCCCTGGCGAATTGTTAGTTTGAGAATGGCACATAATTTGGATGATTCGTTTGCTTCAGTTGCGCTTGGCTTAGGGAATAAGGAGGATAACATACATGGAATGCCCAATCAGGACGCATTTATCCAGTTTCTGCTGTTTGATAAACTCCTGCAAATCATCCGCCATGGCACCATAATTGTGCTCCGGAGCATGGAAAGATTGGCCATGGTTACGCAGATCCTGTTTATATTAGTTTAGGATTCTTGAGTGACCTTTTTTCATGTCTTTCCGGGGACAAGCGGAAACATACCAGTGCAAAGATCTGGCATTTCAGATCCCGTGCCAAGGCCCTGACAGATATGTAAGAACAGGTAGTTTTATTTCGATATTTGGCTACAAAACATACTTGCCGATACTCCTGTTGTTCTGCTTTGATCCAAATAGTCCGTGTAGAATCAGGATGGGGTCTCGGACAACTTGACCGTTTTCCGGGCCAAAGACTTGATATGCTAGCTCGGACTGTAGCACACGGGCTGTGGAGAAAGCCCGGAGGCCTGGAACACCACGCGCAACTGTCCGGAGAGAGAACATGTTCCGATCTTCTTGTTGGGAATGGTAAGTATCAAAAGTCGGATTCAAGATGATCGGGAACCTTGGAAATACCGGGCCGCGGTTTCGCCCGTCGGTTGCTGACTAAGCGCGTTTGATGGCCCCGGCCCCTGAGGGCCCGAGGCCGGCCTAATGTCGGGGCCGACTAAGGGGGGGGTACCCTTCCCGACCTAGGCATAGCCCAACAATTTTAGGCCCCTAAGCATTCATAACTTTCGCTTATGGCGGAATTGCCCAGGTGGTTACAATTTGTCCGTTGAATTATTTTATCACTGCTAACTGGTGAGATGGTCCTAACTCGAGCCAGAAATTAGAGAAACTGTTATAGAGATAGGGAATAAATGAGTTTAGGGTAAATTGATGCTAAACGTCACTTCGATAACAATTAAAGGTACTCTGCGTTAGGCGTTGGTTGCGGCGTGTAAGATGCCCCGGGGGCGCCATGACTGGCGGTGAAGGCCCCGTTAGGGGAGCCCGGTAACCCCGCAACTGCCACAATTGCCAACCGCTGTACTCCGTACCTAACCAAAGCAACTTTGGAAGGTACCTAATCACTGGCCGAGGTCTGGGCCTAGGAGGATCTGCGACTGGCCGACTTCATCTCACCAAAGCCGACTACCCCTGCTAACCCCGCCTGATCAGCTTCTAACTTTCATCAAATCAAATAAAATCACCTCATTATGGCCGATCAACCAAAACCGCATAAGATTTCTGTTCCTAACGAGAGTCTCCAAGACCTTCAGCAACGCCTGGCACTTTCTAAATTCCCAGCTCAGCTGGAGTCCTCCGAACAAGATCCTTGGGATTTTGGAACTCCAGTGAAAGAAGTGCAGCGACTCATAGAGTATTGGAAGAATGGCTTTGACTGGCGGAAGGCAGAAGCCAAGTTGAATGAGTTGCCCCAATATCAAACACAGATCGAGGTAGATGGATTTGGTAGTTTGGATATCCACTGTGAGTTTTGTGCAATACACATTCTCAAGGGTTCGGTACTCACGAGGTTCAACATGTAGATGTCCATCAAATCAACAACAACAAGAACGCCATTCCACTACTTTTTAGTCATGGATGTGAGTATCAATCTTCTCTTCTTTCACATTTATTATATTGCCCATAGAAGCGCGGTCTCTAATCTCTACATATAGGGCCAGGATCGTTTCTTGAAGTCACAAAACTACTACCGATGCTAAAAGGTGACGACGACAGTCCCGCATTCCACGTTGTGGCTCCATCGCTGCCCAATTTCGGCTTCTCTTCGGGGGTGACTCGTCGTGGGTTTGGCCTTGCACAGTATGCCGAAGTCCTGCACAAGCTCATGATCAAGCTCGGCTATGATCAGTATGGTATGATCCGAAAAGAACCGGGATGTACCAGCCACGCCAGAAACTAACTTGGGCATACGCACAGTGACTCAGGGCGGAGATTGGGGATTCTGGATTACTAGAACCATCGGTCTACTATACCCCGAGCACTGCCAAGCCTCTCATATCAACATGGTGCTGGCCAATCCCCCTCGATTCACCGATAACCCATGGACAGCCCTGCAACACGCATTGCTGCCGTACAATGACCGGGAAAAGGCAGGTCGCGAAAGGAGTGAATGGTTCGAACGAGAAGGCTACGGTTACAACCAACTCCAAAGCACCAGGCCGCAGACCATTGGTGCAGCACTAGAAGATAGCCCTGTTGCCTTGTTAACTTGGATTTATGAGAAGCTGCACGACTGGACAGACTCATATCCCTGGACAGATGACGAGATTCTAACTTGGATATCTATCTACTGGTTTTCTGGAGCCGGACCCGCGGCTAGTGTCCGAATATACTATGAAGCTTTTCACGCCGAGATGGTCAAGGGAAAGACCTACCAGGACTTGATTACATATGTCCCAGTTGTGAAGCTGGGAATTGCGCACCTCCCTCGGGAAATTTCCGTCATTCCTTGTTCTTGGGCGGCTGGCCTAGGCCCGGTTGTTCTACAGAACGAGCATCCCAAGGGAGGTCACTTTGCTGCTTGGGAGGTTCCCGAATTTATCGTCCAGGACTTGCGGGCCATGTTTAGCAAGAATGGTCCTTGCTATGGGGTCGTTTCAGGGAAAGATGGATACTAACTATGTGATGGTTACTTAGTACTATTTGCGGCTTCTTGGTTTTGATATTTGGGTAGGTATCCCAGAGCCTATCGTGATCTTAGCAGATAGGTGGGGGATAAATTGAAGATAAATTCGCTTGTTCTTGCGGTTTTTACATGATAACAACGGACAGGAAGTAGAAGTAAAAAGAGGAAGGATTAGTTGGTATTGGTAATAGATATATTTCCTCCCAAAGTTGTACGCTCATACAACCATCATCCCAACGCTGACCAATAAAGATAGTAATACATAGTACAATGGGAGACTTGTCACAGTAGCACTACCAGTTGCCCTCTCAAAGGTGACTAGCGATGCATTGTGGCTCGACGCCCCTGGTAGAACCACTTGCGTGGAATTCGCGGCGTCCAAACTACCCGTGAATGTGAATTCGAAAGTCACATTTACTTTTGTGTCGGTGTCCGGCCGTGCATAACGATGTTCAAACCCAGCAAGTGTCGAGCCAGAGAAATTCAACTCAAGAGTTTCATTGGTCAGAGACCCATTGACGTGTGTTCCAGTGGGCCATGCAAAGAGGATTTTGCCCAATTTTCCCTTCTCAGAGCATATACTATCCGGGAGGGAAATCATCTGATTCCAAAGACCGGTGTTGTCATAGCGTGCTGGTTGCAGATAGCTCCTTTCACTATCTGCCCAGTCTTTAAGATCATAGACCCCATCGAACAGAATCTTGTTGCTGTTATCCGCCGCCTGGGTTATGTTGAACGCAACAGCATCCATGGCCTTCTCGACTGAAGTTTCGTTGTACCAGTCCACTGTCGTGGTGAGATGAATGAGATCTAGGTCCTCACACACACGGTATGAATAATCGATATCCGAGACACGTACGTTGCTCTCCCAGGCCTTGAAGCCCAATGTGAAGGGATTGACGGGTCCCGCAGGAGTGGGAGTTTTGGCACCGACCCATGCAACGCCCAGCATGCGCATGGATTGTCTGCCAACGGGACATGTGATCAAAGTTGAACTAACGATGTCGTCTTCTGTCAAGTTGTTTGGTGGTGTTATTATTGTGTATTTGAGACTGGCTGCGCCTTTGAAGAAGACGCCATCCCAGTCGGTGACCGCACTAGCATGGCCACGGCGTGGTGCCTGATTGTATCCGTGGTAGTGCGAAGGTTGGAGATCGTCAAAGTCGAGCCGGTGGGTATCAAAGCAGTGGACTTCGCCCGTGGATGATGTTGTTGATGAAGAGGTGTCATCACTATCACTGGAGTCACTAGAGCCGCTGGAACCGCTGGAACTACTGCTGTCGCTATCGCTGCTAGAGCCATCACCGCCCTTCCGTGATAATACTCGCGTTGGGACGGCTAGCAAGGCCAGGATTGTGAGAAAAGGGTGACGAAGTAACATTGCGCTCGATATCGTAAATCAGTTCATAGGGTATCAAAATAAAATTGTGCGTCAGCTCATCATTCCAAAGTGTTCGTCAAGAAGAAGGAAAAAACTAAAAGCAGAAAAAATGAGCGATGGCCCGGTCGGGCATGAGTTTATGAGCACCCGCTTTGGCCGTGAAAATGATTCGTTCTGTGCCCTAGTGAAGTGATAACACGGGATTTATACCTAGCTGACCCTGAATGCCAAGGTGCCAAGGGGTGGAACGGGACAATGCTCGTGTTCGCCAGATTACCATTGGACAGGAGGTCATCAAGGGTCCTTTTTTTGGAGTAAATGCAACTTTAATGGTCGTATTGATCAGCTGTTGGCTCAGGGTTTGGGGGCTGTGGATTACTCGACCAGTGTAGCTCAATGGATTCAAACCAGAGAACCTACAATTTCTTTTCAGAAAGAAGAATCATCAAATTGACAAGAGAGCCAAACCAACCTTGGAAAGGCTCAGCACGTTTTGGACCAACCTATGGAATTAAGGCAAGCACCTTCTTCCTTCTGCGTCACTGAAACCACTCGTCGCTTCCCTCTCTTCGGCCGATTCATCGTACTACAGCCTGGTTGCCAGGCTTAATACTTCCCAGAGGTAAAGTCAAGCTACTGTATCGCGTTCTGTCATCAAACGATTATTGAGGCATGGATATATACATGGTTCATATTCACAATATCTAGCTGTCCAGCAGCACCGGCACCTTCTCAATCAGATATTCAACAATGGCATCGGGGCCACGCTCGACTTGCAAGCCTTGGGGAATGGCGTGCAGCTTGATATCAGGTCGAACAGAGCGAGCAATTTGATGGATCTGCTGGGCCTCCTCGGCGGACCACATAGAGGCGCTAAACTATTCAGGATGTTAATACGGAATTCCAGCTTGGGAATGCTCGGAATTCCCGAAGTCGGACTTACCAGAACCTCGGGGTTGTGCTGCTTGACCTTGGCCTCGACCTCGTCGATTTCTGTGTGAGGTTTGTCAACCGAAATTCACTCTCAGTGGCTCTCAATATGCTTACTCTCGCAGTTGTCAACGTGGATGATAGTGTATCGATCGCTCAGAGCCTCGGCGACGCGGCCGATGAGGCGCTTGGCGCGCTCGGGCGCGGTGTTGACACTAACCAGCTGGAAGGGACCTTTAGGAGCAGACATTATGGTGAGACAGTAATAATAATTACAACAACGCGACAATCGCGGGGGTTTTAATCTTTTTATTCTCCAAGCTGAAATCGGCCGCGCTCGCCACTTCCCCACATTGTGGGAGGCTGCCCCTCCGGCTTATACAGCGCCGGGGTTGACATACTCCGCTATCGGTCTCGATAGCGCGTATTATATATGAGGTTTCCGCTTCAATTTACTTGTATCCTCTTTTTATTCTCCAATTAATACAACCATGTCCAAAATCGCATCTACCTTCTCGCGTAAGAACTCTCAAATCGACTCCGGATCCCAGACTGACGAAAAATAGGCCTGGTGCGCTTTGTCCCCAAGTCGAACCCCACCAAGGTTCTAATCGGAGAACCCGTCGATCCCAAGTTAGATGTCGGATTGGCTCTCTACCAGGGCAAGGAGGTTGCGGTGCACCCCTTCTCCGGCACTTCAGTACTGAGCCCTGGCCAAGTGACTGAGACGACGGAGACCATCGGGCGCATTCTGTCCCCATTGGCGCAAAGCGAGGTTGGAACTATTCGCTGCATTGGATTAAACGTGAGTTTCTAATCACGATGGAAGCATTCAAGGGAAAGGAAGTTGCTAATGCGCACTATAGTATGCCTCCCACGCTAAGGAGATGGCTCTCCCGATCCCCGAAGTCCCGACACTGTTCATGAAGCCGGCCAGCTCTCTGGCGGATCCTTGGCCTGCACCAACAGTTCTGCCTAAGATTACGCAGCAAGATAACACCGGAGACTACGAGTCCGAGATGGTTATTGTCATTGGCCGTGATGCTAAGGATGTGTCTGAGTCCGAGGCCCTAGACTACGTTCTTGGCTATACAGCTGCGAACGATGTTTCCAGCCGTACTTCCCAGATGAATCAGAGCCAGTGGTCTTTTTCAAAGGGCTTTGATGGCGCATGCCCAATTGGTATGTACATTGAGGCTGTATACTATTCAAGAGAATTTTGCACTGACTTGATATCTATAGGCCCCGTCCTCGTTTCCGCTACTCTCATCCCCGATGCTAGCAAGCTCCAGATTCGTGGTCTTAAGAATGGCAGTGTTATGCAGAACTGCCCATTGACGTACGTTATTTCTGCTTCGCATTTCTTCTGGTATATAAAATATCACCAGCTAACATTGAATTTCACCGCAGTGACCTGATATTCAGCGTCCCCCAGCTGATCAGCTTCCTCTCCCAAGGCACCACCCTGCCTGCCGGTACAATTATCTTAACTGGCACCCCGCCCGGCGTCGGCGCAGCTAAGGTCCCGAAGCAATTTATTAAGGCTGGCGACGAGTTCTCCGTTGAGCTGCTGCCCCATGTTGGCACACTCATCAACAAGATCGAGCACCAGTAACGACCCAGTATATAAAAATGATATATACGACTTCTTGAGGCAATAGCTTTCAATTTATATACATTCAATGAGACTTGTAGTTGCTCTGGCGACTGTTAAATATAAATCTAAATACTATGCATGCTGTAGTCACGTAAACTCTAGCGAGGTGATCGCCTGCACCTCCATGTATATGCTCCTAAGTCTCCTTGGATACACGACACTAATTACTATCAAAGCCGCCCGACGGGATATATTCAATTCCTAGCCACAAGCCACAAGGTAAGGAGATTTCTCAAAGATGCGAGTCAATAGTCCGTATCAAAGAAGCTTTGACCAATCACAGAGCCCAACCGGATATAGACTCTTCCCTTGGCGGAGTAAAAATTTCCCGCCACATAGATCCTTTACTTGGCATTTCGGACAACTTTGTTGTAGACGAAGGCTAAAGTGCTCAGCAAAGGGTAAAAATTTGCCAACGGGTAAGCTGAAACTATGGATATGATGCTTATAGGCTTAGCAGAGTTTACCTTTAACTGATCGGATGTTACTATCGTAGTTAATTGTATAACGTGAACCCGATAGTAGTACTGTATACGAATAACATCACACTTTTGGAAACATTTAGCCAGAACCGCAAGCCGAACTGTTCACCCGGCAGTTATCAGCTGTCCGACAGGGTCCGTGGGCCTCGTTGACCCGCGATGGTTCGATTTCAGCGCTACGGGATTATACCGGGTCGGCGTCCCGAGCTGTCCCCGTTCGGGGAGTGGTTTGCTTAAAAGACGGTCTGCGACTCTTTTTTGTTGGGAAGAGTTTTGCTGGATTTCCATTGTTAATTCGGAGTTCTCCCCCTCGTTTTTTTCCGTTTCTTTGCGTGGATGTTGTTGGTTCCTGACGCTATCAAAACTTAATGACTCTATACACATCCATCGTGATGTGATTCCTTGAACTGAACTCAACCAGTCTTCTTGATGCTGCTGTTCTGTACTGACCATGGATATTTTATCTCGTCAATTGTCAAAGCTCTTGAAGAATCATACAATTTATGTGCGAAGCTATATACACTGGAACCACCCTGCCGAGTTCGATGCCGACGCCGATGCCGAATCTCACCTAACCAACGCGAACCCGAACCCGATCACTCTATCACACCCACCAATGCTCTAAAAACTCAAACCGAAACAATACTCACCAAATGTCTGAACGCGAAGCACCGAAACCGAAGTCGATTTCCAGTCCAGTGCGTTTACTCCTCGCTACGCCAAACCTTACCCCGCCAGTGCAGGAAGATAGTGGGAATAACACTGACGAGGACAACCAGCGCCGACCCAATGCCCGCGCTGGGAGCAACACCGACATTCTCGAACATGGGAGCAAACCTAAGTTGATGTTAACGACAACCTCGCGAAACAAAATGGAGGAGAGAAAGAAAACATACCAGAAAGGACCAAGGAAACCCCAAATCTGTCGGACAAAGGTGATGAAGACACCGATGTTACCAGCCTCCTGAGGAAAGCAATCGATAGCATAGGTGATCATCACCGTGGTGACAAGCTGATTCCCGACAGCGCCAATAGCGGTGCCGATAATGGGCGTGACGTTCCAGTGTCCGCTGGGCGATTCCTGCGTACAGACCAGGAAGACGATCATACCGATGATGGTGAGCGCGAAACCGAAGTAGCTGAGCCACAGGCGGAATTCTGGCTCGGCCTTGCGGTCGATGCGACGGCTGCGTCGGCTCATCCAGAAGTCTGACAACACGCCGCCCATTTGCTCGCCGATTACAGAGCCTATAATCGCGCCTAGGAACTGCATGCCTAGCTGTTCGGAGTTGAGCTCAAACTTCTCTTGCAGGAGTTGGGGAATCTCGACGGTTGCGAGAATGTTGCCGAAGAGGAAGACCATTGCGTATGCGCATGCTGGGATGAGGATTGATGGGTGTCGAGCCATTGTCAGTGGGCGGACGAACTCGAACCATGAAAATGGCGTCGGGTCGATCCGTCGTAGTGACATGTACTCGATCTTCCTTGTGGACTCCTTGCTGTCGATGCCGCTGCCCAGATAACGGGTTTCAGGGCCGAAGAACAGATACAAGATGAATTGGCCGCCGTTAATCTTTGGATTTATCAGCTTATGAGCAGGTTATTGACTACTATGGGGATGAGAACTTACCATTGCCAGGATCCAGTAGATCCAGTGATAACCAATGCGATAGGTGACGAAGCCGAAGATGAAAGGTCCAACCGGGACACCCAGGGTGATCATCAGTGTCCAAACACCCATGTAACGGGCGCGGTCCTTCTTAAAGGTTGTCTCCATCACGACTGCACTGCCAATGGCGGAGGCAGGCGAGATAAAAAATGCCACAAGAGCTCGGCAAGCAGCCAGAGAGGCATATGTGGTGCTCTTGGCACAGCCGATATTACAAACGAGACTGCAGATGAGAGAGACGAGGAAGATAGGCCGGCGCCCATACCGGTTGGACAGCGGTTTCCAGAATAGAGGCGCACCTCCAAGGATGGCAATTTGCAAAGACGTCAAGTAACTAGCATCTTGCATTCCGACGCCGAGCTCCGTGGAGATGTCTAAATAGGCAGGAATAATGGCGGCGGCGGTAAATGTGCCCATGCAAGCGTGGAACGCCACAAGGACAAGGTTAATCATTTTCTGCGCGTTGATACATCAGTCTTTTGTCCAACGGGATCCTTTGCTTTTGTCTTGTTTCAGGATCATTCGCGGCGAAATCATCTTGTAGCAAGGAGAATATTGACTTACTTTCCACTCAGGCCAGTTGTAAGGGTCAGCCGGACTCATTCCGGGAATAGGATCCAGTTCCAGAGTCCCGTGTCGCTCCATCAGATAGTCTCGGTGTGCTTTTGGCAGATGAGCAGCCATTGACTCGGCGTAGGTGGCTGCCCGCCCATGTCCTGCGCTCTCAATGAGATCGATGTCGGCTTTCGTGCCTGGCACTTCCTCGACCTCATCTCGTCTCGACGAGCTCGATTGCAGCTCGAGAGAAGTCATGTTGCTTGCGTTTCCCGATGAGAAAAGTGGAATTAGACAAGCAGCCGAAGGCTCGAATTACCCTCTATATATGACCCAAAGTGATGGTGTGTTGATTGCCGTGAGAATAGTCGGAGGGTTGGGGAGTTGGATGAGAGGACTACAGGAAACAGGAAACAATGTCTCAGGGTGAGCCAGTTGAGGGCACCTGGGGCGAACAATAATGACCACAGATCTGGGGCCTTCTGTAGCTCCGCTGGGGACGCGAAATCAGCGAGGGACTTGTGAAAAATGCCAGGGTGAGTGTGCATAGCCAAGACACTAATCCCACGGCGTTGGCCCAGTCGGACCTCCCCTGCGCCTGGGGTAGGTATTCCCGGGGTTCTCGGCTCCGTTGCGGGTCCTTCGGGGAGGAAATAAAGAGAAAATGAGGAGAAAATGGAGAGAAATGCGGAGGCACTCCATGGTTCCTGATTGGAAAGCGTCGGTACCGGCGAGTCAGGATGCCGCTAAACAAATTGCTGTCATGGGGTCGTGTAAAAGGCGTCGCCATGGCACTTGACCACGGCTAGCCGATGAAGCTTTTTACTATGCAGGGCGGCTTCCCTCCCGAGCCAAGTACCGAAAGCCTCTTGATTTCGACGTCTTGGCGCAATTTCCCTGGGATCAAGCAATTTATTTCGCCGCATGCACCGTTCAGCTAGGGAAACCCCAATCGGGACGGCATTTCCAATTCTGCCTGCAAGCCGCGCAACCCTGCGACACATTGGACTTGGTCTGAGCACTGTGGAGAGAAATCGGGAAGAACATAGTAGCCACACTTCCTTGGCGGTATTGCCACGACGCCTTATTTCCGCTTGAATGCTTGAACGCTTGGGTAGTTGACTTGAATTCGAACACAGCTCTCAATTTTATTCAAGTACGGAGTAGAGTAAATATACGTTTTGAACCTGGTCGTTGTTGTCTTCAAGACGTTTGAAGCCCTCTGGGGGGCAAAATATAATTCCGCGATCGCATAAGCAGTCCACAGGTGCCACACCCCACAATCACCTCTCCACGATTTACTCCTCTACTGTTCCTTCTCCTTATCGACAAAAAATGGCGTCAATGGGGATAATGACAACAGCGCCTGCACTACCAGGAGGCAAGAAACTTGTTTGTCGAGTATGCCAGAAAGCATTCTCCAAGGCCGAACACTTGAGGGTGAGTAGACTTCCAAGGCTGGGCTCAAATCCAACTTCCCCACGAAGGAGGGACCGCCAAGTGATATAAGATAACTAACGGGCCACTATAGAGACACGAGCGTTGCCGTATGTTCTAATTTTATCAGATCCCGCGTCCTTTTTGATCCCTGCACAAATTTCAAAAGGAAATATCCACCCAGCTGACCGGGAGACTTAGATACGGGATCTAAACCATATGTCTGTAAAGAGTGTCGGAGGCCCTTTGCCCGCCAAGATGCTCTTACTCGCCATGAAAAGCTGCATGCGCGTGCTATAGATGCAAATAATGACTCGTCGGAGATTCACTTGCCGACACAGCCTACCTCTTTCGATTCTCTTGCTTCTTGGGATACGAGGAGTGCTTCCACTGCTGATCCAGCGTCAACTTCAGCAACAAGTCACTCCTGGGACGAGTCTCATCCTGGAGACCATGCGAGTATGCAGAATGTCGACTTGGAATTAGACTTTGAGTTGGTCTGGCCTGATTCCGAAAACTTGTTTCAGAGCTTGATGTCCTCGGATACGACAGATCAATGGCAAATGCCGCTTGGTACCTTGCCTTTTCCGCCTACCGTGCAGGATATGAATGGTATGGGCTTCGGGTCTCCAAATTTATTCAATGACCATAGGTCTTCTGTAGGGGCAATACCGTCCGGTGGAGGGCATCAGGCAGTGCGAGATATCACAGAGATGGTAACGAGCTCGGTGAGTTAAGCTTTGTATTTTGTCAGACGAGGAAGCTAGGCTGGTTGAAAGTCTCGGTCAAGACAAAGGTTGAACCGAAATTTGATCGAAACTGACATTTTATTTTCCTAGTCATCCAGTATTACCGCCGCCGTCAAAGCCACATCAATCACCTCAGTATTCCTCGACGAATGTCTCCATATGTTCTTCGTCCGATTCATCCCCACATTTCCAATCTTGCATCGTGCAACTTTTGTCTTCCGAGAATGCACGCATGCTCTCCTCCTTAATGCCATCGCCATCGGCTCTTTGTACCTAGGCCCCAAGGACTCGGTTGCAAAGGGTGAAGCCCTATGGCGCCTAGCACATACCGCACTTTCAACTTCATGGCAATCCATGATCACACATAATGGCCCCTATGATGCATGTAAGGGCGTTCAGTTGATGATCACAGCCCTGCTGGGCCAGATCTATGGGGCGCTATCCAAAAACCGGGCAATTCGAACCACCAGCCAGGTATTCCATCCGCTGGGCTTCTTATGGGCAAGACACTGCGGCATGTACGACAGCGAGCCGTACTCAATGGAAAACCTTCCATCGATCGATGCCCCCGCTGCAGAAAAAGAACACCAGTGGCGAATCTGGTCTGCGCGGGAGATCCAGCAACGCACCCTATTAGCCTACTACGTCCTGGACGGGCTCGTGGCTCAAACTTCGAGCGATGGTGCCTCTTCTCGGCATGTGGCAAACCCACTCACTCTTCCGAGTAGCGAAGAAGCTTTTGATGCTAGCACTGCCGATGAATGGTTGACTCACATGCATCCCCAAAAGCCGGATCAGTCCTCATTTAGGACGGTTTTTCGCTCCCTCTTCCCGCCAGTCGGGAGCTTCCGCTCTCTAGAGTATCAGTTCTCTGCCTTCGCACTGCGTGTGGTGCTAGAAGGGCTTCAGTCTCTGGTCTCCGACTTTGATGACAATGAACTAGCCGTGGGAGTTCCAAGCCAATCAGACATCCGGCGAGCTCTGGCTCAGGTCCACGAAACAATATCCATGAGCATCCACTTCACCGCAGCAGAGAGACTCGAAATTCTCCTGCGTTGGCACACAGTCTGTCTAGATACAATGATCAACTCTACCGTCCTCTCCCGCTACGTCTGCTTACGCTACAACATTCTCCAAAACGTCTCCGGTGGATGCGGAACCGTCCGCCCGGGCTTCGATCTAGTCAAATGGGCTAATTCAGAAGACGCGCGGCGGGCCGTCCTCCACGCAGTCGCCATCCAAGACATCGTAGAGCAATTACCACGTGGCCGCGCGCACGTCGTGCACATGCCTAGCTCACTGTTTGCAGCGGCGACAATATACGTCGTCTTTTCACTTGCAGGAGTCGGCACTGTGAATTTGCCTCGCAACATCGTTTGGCAAGATGCTTTGCTGTCCCATTCGGATCTCAACCTGGGCCACGAGGATATCCGGCCTCGATCTGGCTCCGAGACAAAGCGCTTTGTCGAGAATGGAAATGGGGCTTCCTCGCTTCCGCTTCCTATTGGTGGTGCTGTCAGGAATCTGCTTTATGAGCTCAACTCTATGCAAAAGTTGTTCCGGTGCTTGTCTTCACAGTGGGGTATTGCGCATGACATGGAGGATATTATTTCCCAATGGATTCAGCTGTGTCATTAGGTGATCCGGCTGGACTTTATCTCCGAGTTTATGAATGCTGAACACATGGAATTTTGCTCGTTCTTGGCGTTGGTGGAGGTGTTCCAGAGAATGGTTATTCAGTGACACATGCTCGAATTATTGACATGTACTTATATACCCCTGATATTGAATTTGATTATCCAAGTTGAACAAAATTGTGAAACGTAACTTGTGCAAGTCTGTTCACACTCTGTGCAGAAGTGAGCTCGAGCTTTCGGCGAACTTTGCTGTATCGTATGTTAACTGGGGATGTGCTCCATACTAGAACCAGTGAGTTATCCTCGTCTCTAGTCCCAAAGCGAATTGGTTCACCAGTCGACATCTAGCACAAGTCATGCAACACTCTTCAGAAGAGGAAATATAACCGAGATTGTCCTAGATAGAACTGCTGGTAGTACAAAGCCAGCTCCTCGTTAGGGCGAACGATCGCTATTGATAGGCCCTTGACAAACATTAAATAGCAATTCCCTCCAAGCCATTGAGAAATTTATAGTTTATTTAGGGTTGTGTGTCCACGTGGTCCACATGCTCTGTCTTTCATGCATGGTTGCCCTGGTGCAGCTGCTCTGCCCTAATTTTGTGCGGTATGTGGTATAGTTAGCACAGTAAGGTGTTCCAACCCGCTGACCAGGGTTTCAAATGAACAAATTGTTGGATATATTGTCTATTCCTAATTCTCACTGGCAATATTGACTTATGGATCGCAGACGAAAAGACTGTATCCAAGAGCTAAGATGACTCGGTAGTCTTGGACGCATGTCAAGTAAACGTAATAAAGACGTGTCAATAAGTGAAAGCAATATAAATGGAAAAGACTGAACCTTGAAACCTACATGAGAATCAAGTTGTGATAATCACGTGTCGACGCCGAAAACGCGGGGTAGACGCGACGCGACGCCCCCCGATCTTTGCGACCCACTTCCGGTGTCATCCACGCTCCTTTCGGCTGGAATCTAGCCACTGGCATTCTTAATCTCTTTGACCTGTGGGTCCAGCCGTGAGCTATCCATTCAAATTCAAGCCAAGTGATCTGACCCGGCGGCAGCGTGGCGTCCTCATGCCAAACAAGACCAGATGATCGTCAATCAAACTTAAGACCCCACAACCCGGAGTCGGCTCCAGAATGTCCCCGATGGATTTTGCATCAGCCCGTGGCACCAAGCTTAGCGATATAGTAATCGATCACCGCCCCAGCACAGGCCGTGGCAAGAAACTCACCTTTGCGCAAGAGGGCGTTCTGAGGAGACTGTATGAACAAGCATTGCCCTCCGTGCCCAATGGCAAGCTGCCAATGAAAGGGTTTTGGGTGAATCTCGCGTCGCGATTTCACGAGCAGACTGGTCGGGAGTATTCATGGTTGTCTGTGAAGCGGCGGGCTGCAGGTTGGGGTCAAGAGTCTCTAGAAATTGACCGGCGACTGGATACCTCTCGTGTTAGCGAGCTCGGGAACAAGGAGTCGGTAGCTGAGCCTAGTCATCAAGATATTGCTCGCGAATCGCCACGACAGAAGGGTTCATGCGACAGCGACCAACCCGCGCTGCCACAAAACAAGCTTTCCACGTACCCGCAGGATTCGAATACCCTGGAGTTATCTCAACTTGAAAAAGGCCCCGGTGTCGGCGACGGGTTGCAGCGCAGTTGGTTTTCAGGTGTTATAGACCCAAATCAAGACACCAGTAGGAAGCCCAGGGCCCCTCGCATGTCTCAACCCCGCCCCCAATCAAAATCGCCGCAACGTGTATCGCAGCCTAGATATCGTCGCCGATCTCCTTCACCAACGAAACGCGCCAAAATTATCTCCAAGCGGTTGCATCACCAGCTGGCCTCCTCCTCCGATGGAATAATCGCGTCTGGTCCCACCCCTTTGTCTGGCTCCTCCGCAGCCCATGAGGATGTGAAGCTCAGCCATCAGAGTAAACGAAACCCCCTGGATTCAACCGTGTCCGCGACACAGTGGAGAAAGATGAGCCGGTGAACCACGCTCGTGATTCAGCAATATCCAAGCGTGGAGAGAATAAAGTCAGTAGCGGTCTTCTTGCGTCGCCGCACCTATCTGAGCAAGATGACTTACCACTGGCCCCAACTCGGATTAAGAGAAGGCGTGTTGCAAAATGAACGGGCCAAGAACTGTGATGAATGACTCAGATAAGATAAAGTCGCATATGAGCATTGTTGAAAGATCGTCAGAGCTATGAAAGGGACCAAATGATAAACTGGAGATACATTGTTTCCTCCCGCCTTAATGCCTACCTACATACGTATATCCATCATGATGATATATAGAAAAATAAATGAGCTTAATTTTCTAAATTAGACACCGTACCGCTTCCTAGCCCCACAAACCTACGTATATATCCTAGCTGCGTAATTAGACCACGCATATTGATACATACATAGGAAGTAGCCTACATGTACCAAAAGGATATAACCACGCGTTGAAAGACTATCTCCCGTTTCATTCGGGATATGTAGTTATTGGGAAACACTACATTCTCCGTCTTTGTTTTCTCTCCTCTTCCCGTTAGCGATCTTTGACGGAATCTGTGAGATACGCTAGTCTGCACATGCGCCCATTCCTCGCAAACGGGTATCCAGTTTGCCATCTCGGGGGGCGTTGTACTCCCACGCACGGTCCAGCTGTTCAGGGTTGTTGCATTAGTTTACTGGGCTTTTGGAGTCATGGCTAGGGAACCGATTGTCATCAGTGGAGGCCATGTGGCGGTGACAGGCTAGACAGAGGGTGGAGTACATGGATCCGCCAGAAAAACGTCCCAGCAGGGGAGACATCTGAAGTTCCCGGTGAGCGTGGGGGCGAGCGGAGCACTGGCGAACACGCTTAATGGCAGTTTGTCATTGATAGTGATTGCTGGAGGGAGTTATGTGTCGTGTGTCTGTTTTTCTTGAGTTCTGACCCGATTTGCCAATCATCAGTCTATGACTGCCGATATTGCGGCCAACGTCGCCTGCCATACATATGAACAAAGGCCTTTCCAGGGATAACATAAATCCGGAACGAGTTTCTGGCAGCCACAGAGAGACCAAATTATCGGGACAAATAGAGAGAGTAACTGACTATCTTGTAATAGCAGAAGAGGACTCACCAAGGGGCTATCATGCGAAGGTCCATGTTGACGACGGATATCGCCACAGCAGCAGCTACGCGAAACGAGAACTGGTTGGGAAGGCCACCATACTGGTAGGATAAATCAACTGACAGGGTGATAGTTAATAGCAGAGTAAAGTAAAATAGCTGGCGCTCCTTCGGCACATAAGAGGGGAGGATGGTATGAAAAAAAAATGTGACAGTTCATATGTGGGGAGAACAAGTTCAAAACATTTAGGTGAATATGTAGGATCCTAAAAGATGTCAGACCAACAGTGATGCCACAGTCACGGCAATGTCGTCACATAATTTCCTAACGGCGGTGATCTTCATCGCAACGACAGCGCGCGCCGACGGGCCGGCCGAACACCAGCTTTGTTCAGGGGGTTCTAAAACGCTTTAGAGAGTTTACTGCCACAGCTGTGGACAAATTATGGATATCGCGAAGGCTATTACGATACTGGTAGATCTGTTGTCGTTGTTTTGTCGTTGTTGTTGTTGTTGTTGTTGTTTGTATATCTCGACGATGGTATTTATTTCCTAATCGGGTATAGCGTTAGGGCTTCCTAAGGCCGACCTATACAATTCTTAGGACGGAACAAGCTTACCTCGCCGCTGTTTGTTTTTATGCATCACAAACGTGAATCATTACTTCAATGTTGTATACGCAGCTTATAGGATGTCTCGTCACCTTGGCATGATCGTTTGTATTGTTTGATCAACGACTAAGGCCGAGAATTTACGACTCATCGCTTCAATCTGAATCCTTTAAATTGCTTGCTTCCATCTTCCTCTTCCTCTTTCTTTCTTTACCCCAAGCGACACAAACCTGTTCTTCTTCATTCTGAGAACGTACTTGAGTCTGCATTTCAATCATATCAAATTCAAATTCACATTCATCCTATCATATTATCTACCGCAAACTGTTCACGCTGCCAATATGGGCAAGATAAAGTGGGATGCCATGGCCGACCAGACTGTGAGTATATTTTTCACTTTGCTATCGCTTTTCAATTGGCCTCGACTTTTGTACTATGTCTGGCTGGGCAAACCTGCATGGGGGACCGTCATGCTTCGCTACATGACCATACCAAATGCCTTTCAGATTGAGTTTTGATTTAATCATCTCAAACTCCTTAAAAGCCGCCATCATACTCATGTTGGAATTTTCTTGAAACTTGTTCACTATTCCCAGCCTGCTGGAACCTCCCTCTCTCGGCCTATGTTCATGGACCGCGCACAAATCTTTCAATGACAATTGTGGCTGACAACCCTAATTTGATACAGCTCCTTGCCAAAATTCTTGAGACCCATGACCTGAGTGTCGACGTGGCCAAGGTCGCCGAGGCCTGGCGTAAGTAGTCGCAAACACTTTTTATATCACCAAAAAATGGACATTCTAACATTCTCTCAGCTGTCCAAGAAGACGGTCACAGACCGACACCTCGTGCCCTCAAGGAGCGTCTCAACCGAATCAGGGAAAACGTCCGCATTGGCAACCCCGCCGCCTCTGGACCTTCTAGCCCGGTTACCCCGAAGAAGCGTACCCCACGAAAGAAGCCAAACGAAACTCCCACTCCTGCTGGACCTTCACGCAAGCGTAAGCGTGTCCCAAAGGACACCGCGGCCGATGAGGACCAAGTCAATGTTAAGAAAGAGGAAGACCTGTCTACTGAGGAGAAAGAGCTTCTTGATGAGTCCCTTATCAAGCAGGAAACAGGCCTCGAGCATACCGACCCCCTTGTTCACCGGGAGCCCAAGGAAGAAACTCTCGATGCTGAAAGCGAGAAGACCGATCCTGAATGGGCCGACCACAACGATGAGGATGCTGACTCCGACTCTGACCAGCTGCTCAAGTAGCTCAATGGTCATTCACAAAGGGACTCATGTCAGTCGCTTGAAATTTCGGTTGATTCAATCTCGATGATCAATATTCAACTTCGCGTTTTACTTTGTATCGGGTCTCCTTGTCTGGGCGATTTGTTGTTCCCCAACAATGGATGTGTGACCCGATCGTTCAGAGAAAAAGAAAAAAAAAAAAAAATGTCGATGGACAATTGCCTTTGTGTCCACCGTGAGGTGACGGGAGAAAAAAGAAAATAATCAAAAAAAAACCGGTGCCCATTTGTCTGGGTTGCACCGAAGTCCATAGTTGAATTGACAGTCGACTCTCTTGTCGTCTACTTTTATTTTATTCTTGCCGTACGAAGGTAAAAGAAAATTGGTGGGATCAGGAACCACCTTGCATTGCGAGAAAGAGACCCGACTAGTCGAGCTCATCGCCATTCGCTGTAAATTCATCTGATCATAACCCATTGTAAATTGCTCCATAGCATCCTCTGCTCCTCCCAGTTATGAGATTTTGAAAGCTCTCCCAGATAAAACCCGGATACCATTAGCAGACTGACACCTTCACCATGTCGACGCAGTCTGGCTCCGTTGTGAAGAGAAAAAAAGAGCGCGGTAAGGGCGCTTAGAGGTCGAATTCCTCCTCCTTGATGACATCGGAGTCAAGGAAGAAGGCACTGGGTCAAACAAAATTAGTTCTGTGAATTTCTGTTGGCACGCCCACAATTGTCAGGGACTTACTCTCCGGTGTTCTCGTGCTTGATCTTGAGCTTCTTGCCTTTCGCATCCTCATCATCGGTTTCCTCGTCCTTGCGAGCTGGGCCTTCTCCGCCAGACTCGGTGTCAACTTCCTTGGACTTGGCGGCAGCGGTCTTCGCAGACTTCTTGGGGGTGGTACGCTGACGCTTCTTGGCGACGGGCGAAGTAGGGGCAGAGGTGCCGCTTGCGTCATTCGTCTCCGCAGCCTTAGCCCGAAGGCGGGTGACCCGGTGGCGTACGGCGCAGGCGGTCACTCCTATAGGACTGATTTAGCATAGTTCCTGTATCAGCCCGAAAATGGTCGAGGGGGTATGAGGGGTTGAAGCAGATTTGCAGGTTAAATTGTGCATGGCAGATAGCAAATGGGCCAGAATAGGTGAGGCATGCACAATACAAGAAGGACAAATAGCTCAGGCGTAGAGCACAACAACAAAAGATAAGATGTGTGGTATAGAAAGACGCTATATTCCGGGGTTTCGGCTGCAGTATAGGGCGTGATGACTCTCCGCGTAGTACTTACCATCACCCATGTACTCAGCAAGAGCATTGAAGTCAATAGGAGTTGGGCTAGTGGCGAGTATGCCAGCCAGTAACTAGAGAATATGATGGTTAATTGTTGAAATAAAACGAAGACGCTGAGGCAGATGGGGGCAATTTTGGGAAACGACATTTCGAAGGGCATTGGACGTAAAATATTGCTGTTATGGGTCATCATCATCCGGGCCGAGGTCGTCAATGTCGGGGTCAAAGAAATTAACTGGCCGAGAGCGCAATCCACTGGTCCAGCAACCGATCGCGTAGTCGATTGACCCAGCCAGCGACTGAGTGGGCAATCGACCTCGTCTAGCGCTGAGCGCGCGATCGAATGACCTAGCGCTAAGCGGGGCAATCGACAGACCTTGTGGTTCAGCACAACCACCACAGTTATCCAGAATAGGGTACAAACGAACGGTAGTTTGATAACGGACGAAAGCGTAAACGTACCTTGGCATCTGCCTTCTCATTCCAGGTGACCTTCATTGTTGCTTTGGTCGTCGAACGAGCTAGAGCAAATGGTATCAGTATTTCTCTGAACCAAAGTGACGAGTAGAGTGAAAACAGAAATGGAATTTGGGAGGCTAGAAGTATGCACTCCTCTTACAGTAAATTGGAAGTTAACGCACCTGCAAGTGTAATATGTGCGAGTTGGAGTGATATGAAATGAGGAGGTTTGGAGAAGAAGAATTGGTCGAAAGAAAACACAAGTGTTCGGACGGGATCTGAAGGTTTGCGTGTCACCCAACAGTGCGCAAACAAGTCGCCGGCTACTCGGTTCTCTTCTCTCACCATCTCTACAGATTACTGGAGTGTGATATCACTTGGCTTCATAAGTGGAACTGTATACCTAGGTATTACAAGTACTCTGTATACTCTCTGAAGGCATATGTCTGCAAGATCAAAATGTCCGCAAGATGAAAATGTCTGCCAGGGCTAGCTCTCATAGTATGAGGCTGCCTATTGATGCAGGAATACAGCATGCATGAGTCTACGTGCAAGTAATATAGAAAGGTTACGAGGGAAGTCTCCAAATGTGATACCCGAAGAACAATGAAACCAATGTTAAGAACACAATTGGCTGGATCAATTTATCCAAGAGCATTAGAACTAGCATGAAACAACACCTGGACGGTCAAGAGCAGGTGCGTGTGATTACATTGTCTCTGGCTGGCCAGAAATCAAAACCAGCCGCAAAGCTCATTCTATGATTATGGGGCGAAATGTTATGGTTTGTTAGATCTGACTTGATACAGGATCATACATACATGCAAAGACTATTCACAGGTGCGGTATCTAGCTGTATCAACATGGGTCTTCCGAAATGATATTGCCATATATCGGATGTTGAGGGCAAAGGCAAAAGAAGACCTAATCAACCAGCAAATATTCTGTATATATAGGTATCAACAACTGGACACACATGGGTGTGTGGTTGCTTGTCAGAAAAGCTTTTGATATTGTTATCGGTAGCAATACCTATTGTAGTGGGGGACATAGTCCTCACTACGTAGGTACATGTAGTATCTGATATATCAAATATTAGTCATGATGGACAGTGCTTTCAACCTTGGAAGGACTGTATTTTGTCATATAGGCAATATTAACGTGTTAGCAAATATCATAGAAGCTTACGCATCAACAAAAGTTTATTTCTACTTTTGTGACATGGCGTGTGGGGAATATGGCGTCTGCAAAAGCATGCCGAAGTTTCCTTCGGCGACTCAGCACAGGCCAGCACACCCTGTAGCTACTAGATTTTACATATACAGACACGTACTCCCTTCCATATCTAAAAGGCCCAAGAGAGCCATTGCGATGAAGGGGATCTACGTTTTTCTTGGAAAGGGATGTTCGCGATCAATTTGCTGTGTTTCAAAATCAAGAATACCCCATAGGTAACAAGGTACCCCAGAGACCTAGACTAAAGATCAAACGATTTCCTCCCTTGCTATGCCGCAGCAACCCCTCCATAAATGTCAGAATCAATGTCCTTATCTCCCAGTCATTGCCAGGGCTATGAGACGGAAGCTCTTAGATCTTGCGCTGCTTAGTGGGACTGGAGCTAGATTCATCTCCATCCCCACCCTGACTCTCGAGATCTGAATCCTTTTCAGACTTGGTGAGCGCGGCGCTCTTGCGCTTGGTGGTGGTTTTGGTAGGCTTGCGGCCACCGCCAGTGGGCTTGTCGGTCTTGCACTTGGTAGGAGATTTCGTAGAGGTTCCCTCTTGGCGGTTTTTTAGGGTGTAGATGTGCTGTCTCACAGCAGCAGTGCTGTCGCCTATAATTTGTCAGATGATTTCGTGTAATGATCGTGTAGGATAAAGGGGATCATAAGGGGAAGGGTGGGAATTGTAGACGTGACAGTTTCAGTATATAGCCCTCAAGTATGTACTCACCCTGACCCATCGCTTTAGCAATCGCGGAAAAGTCCAATGGAGCATGGACGGCCAAGATGGCCACAAGCAACTACCAATTGTCAGCCATGATACCAAAGACCTTGCCGGTACGAGCAACCTCGCGTCCCGGGGATGTCACTGCTATCCGTAAAATGAGCACACTTACCTGCTTGTCTCTCTCGTGATCCCAGGCACTAGCCATTGTGATGAAGAAACGTTCGTGGGGTTGAAAATGGACGACTGGGGAGACCCGGGGATAATGGTGATGTTGTAGAAAGAAGGAGAAGTGGTGCAGGAAATGGACAGAACACTTCCCCAATGTCTCGTTTGGGGGATTTGCTCCACGTGAGCATCAATAGCCTTACGAAATTGACTGGAATATTGAGACAAAATTCGTGATTCGAATCTCTTGCCATTGCCTTTCTGTCTTGACATCCCAGTGGGTGGATGACATGATTTTCTGACATCCACTTCCAGATTCAAGAATCTCCCTAATACCTTGTTATGTACTGCTTGCAGCTATAACGCGTTCGGGCACAGGAACTTTGGTAGTTAGATCGAATGTTGTTTGGCACAAATCTCAATTGAAGTAACGAATTATATCGACCCGGGAATCTATACTGAAACACAAACAGCGCAGAAGATAAACATGTCCATAGAAGCCGCTCAGAAAAGAAATCATATCCTGTGTTCCCGTTGACAACAATGATGAACATAAACAACACATTGGTGCCTACAACTGTCCAGCAGAAGGCGGTGTCGAGGTCCACGGCCCACTAACAAAGTGTGACTCTGAACCTCTTCGTGTCTCCCCTTGTGAATGTTCGAGATGCTCGGGATAATGACCCGACTGGTGGTAAGGAACTTGGTGAACGTGTGCTGTTTCAGAGAAACCCGTCGGCCCACCGCTAGGACCAAATTGATGTTGCGAAACATACTGGTTGACATTGACTTGCGCCATTGGGTTGTGGTATTGTTGATGGCCTTGAGCAAGGTTGGCTTGGTGTGATACTGACTGTTTTCGTATCATGTGCTGCTGTTGATATTGACTCTGTACATGTTGCAGCGGTGAGAATCCCTGCAAAGCAGGGTCCGTGGGAGTATGTTGCGAATGAGAACGTGGGTCCGGCTGACCTTGTCCGAATCTACCTTGGTCAATCATGGAGTGCGGTGAATGGTGGGAGAAGCTCTCGGCGGAAGTTTGGTAGGGCTGCCCTTCCCGGACAAGAGAAGGATTCGAGACACGGCGAGCGGATTCTCCCGAAGACGGTTCCGCATGCTGGTTGGATGAGTAAGACCCAAAGAACGGCTCAGACATGGTTGATGGGTGTAAGTTCATCGAGGCACCCTCACCAGAGGCATTCAAATGGCCTTGTTGCGATTCCAATTGCCACTGTGGCTGGGAATTGGAAGCTCCATCCATTGACCTTGCCATTTGCCCCTGTGGATTGCTTGTTATTGTCCACGATGCTGGTGGCTGGTGGCTATGCAATCCAGCAGGATCAGCAGAAAATCCTTGGAAGGATTGTGCATGTTGTGCCATGTTATAGCTGCTTGGGTGTCCCTGATAAGTACCTGGGTTATTACCCCACGTTGACGAGGAGATACTTGGGCCCATGTGGTTTGGACCAGTGATTTGATAACCTGGATGTGTCTGGCTCGCATAAAATACCGGCTGAACACCATTCGTCTGCCCAACAGCGCCCTGCTGCAACGTATTCTAGAGACAAATAAGCACCACGACCAATCAATACCTGCAAGACGCGAACATTTGAACATACCGGGCCATATCCGGCTGCGTTTGCAGCCATCTGCTGCTCATATCCGCCGGGCAAGTGTTGACCCGTTTGATTCGAATACCAACCCGGTACCCCGGAAGACCCATAAGTTGGATTGTCTGACTGCCCATATATCTGGGAGTCAAGGGAGTTCTATCCCACCATCAGTGCCATTCTTGCAATGCTTACGCAGACATAATGAGCGCGATTCCCTACGGAAATTCTCGCACTGTCCGCCGCAGAGTACGTCCCCCCTGCCATTGTCTCCACGGACTGCAACTCTCGAGTGCTGGTGCTTGTCGGATGCGATTTTGGCTCCTGCGATGGCCCTGCCCCGCTTGGTATCGGTGTTGTTGACGGGGTCAGGACGATCGGTTCGGTCGGAATCTCCCATTGCGACTTTCCGGTCGTCCGCTGTACGTAATACCATTTACGTCCGACACCTTCCCATTGAGGGAGCCTGTTGAGTATTATTGTTAGAATACAGCTGGTATGTTCTTTGATTTCGGGTTTGACTTACCAGCCTTCTGGAAGTTGTGGTGGTGGGGAGGATGGACCTGCGGTGTCCGCAGGGGCCTCGGGCGCCATCTCGGACCTAACAGGATCCAGCCGATGTCAGAATGTCGGAAAGAAAAGTGCAAGACATCCAAATTCTGGATCTGAACGGATAAAATGTAAATATACACGGAACAAAAGTGTGGGATAAACAGATGTGAGGTTCAACGAGACTCGCCGATAAGACGATCTTGTGGGGCTTGGCCTTTGATCGCCGTGCACAGACCGAGTCAACCCAAGGACGCAACTGCTACGCATGTTGTATGCACATATATATCAAGCAAGGAATCATGTATTCCGCGCCAAATCGTTATTCTCATGAAACAATAAATATTAATTGTAAGACAATATCAATTAATAGCTGCTGTTTATCCCCCTCCCGAATGAATAAGCAACCCCAGCGCCAGATCCTAGAAACCCATGGACATATCGGCATAAGAAGAAAAAGAACACATGCGTCCAGACGCATGTGTTCTGAACGCATGATAGAGCCCGAAAAACGACATAGTTATAAATACAAAAAGATACTGCTGTTGGGAAATCGCCATAGCTTATTACCCCGAACGTTCCAGGGTTGGCTAGAAGTCATCGCCAGCCCAGTCCTCGTCACCACTGAGTTCATCGTCAAGAAAATCATTTTCGTTGAATTGCAACTCAGTCGGTCGCTGGTTGTCGATCCGAATGTTCACAATATCGCACATTCCCTGTATCTTCCCAGCCTCAGGCTGCGGAGTCCCCACTAACGAAGACCCACTAGCAGCATCGTCAGTTTCATTGAATTTTTGATGTGCCAGCCGAGTGCTTTGGCGTTTGGAGGAAGTCGATGTTCCAATATCAGCCGTGGATGGTCGTGGATCATCAACTCCAGCACCGAGTTCATCGGGGCCATTCCTTGTCATGAAAGTGGTGGGTTTGAGCAAGCGCTTGTGAAGGGAGCGGAGGTTGGGGTCTGGTGGCATGCTTCGTCGCAGGAAAACCTTTTCGAGCAGGCCGATCCATCGCTCACGAAATGTGGCACGGTCACGCCAGCCAATCTTCAGGATTGCACTGATGACCAATCGACGTAGATCACGAAGTTGGGGTGCCGCATTCACCAGCGAAGTGAAAAAGACCTCCGCGGTAGCGTCATCCCATTTGCGTAACTGTGTGAGCTCGATTTCCTGGAGCTTCACTGGCCATGTGGGAACTTCGGTTTGGATAAGTAGGTCTTCAAAGTGCGGCTCGACATCGTGGTAACTGGACGCATCATGCATAGAAAGGTCCATTTTGAAAACTTCGAGATTCTCACAGCACTGAGCTAAAGTTTGGATGAAAGACATGTTGAGATGGCGATTGTGGCTTAAACTGAGCTCTCGGAGATTGGTGCCATGTAAGGACATATAGGCTGTGAGATCTGATGACCACAATCGATCACAGTTGTTCAGAGTGAGCGAACGGAGGGTATTTGGTAGATTGGTCAGAATTTCCCCGCTGACCAATGAGCTTTCAATAATATCCAGTTGCTGAAGCTCTGGAAGCATATCAAGAGCTTCAAGGAGGCCAGCCTCTTTGGCAGCGGACGTTTCTTCGTCGGAGTTATGAAAGTGGAGCAACTTCAGCTCTCTGAGACCCTGAAAGGCGCGCTGCGAGTGCATTTTCACCATCATTTTGACAAGCTCATCGGTTTCTAAAAAGCGGCTGTTCCAGTCCCAGCTACGGAGCGTAATACCACAGGTCTCGATGGCGGAAAAGAGAGCGTCTGGATAAGTCCACTTTGATTGGACAATGTGCCATGGAGGTATTCCCACCGTGTAATCATCTTTGTGATACAGTCGTATCGTGTGCAAACGAGGCGTCTTTTGAATCAACTCAGCAAGGTCGAAGTATCCGTAGGGTCCACTTTTATAAATGAGCACTGGTTCAACCTCAACATGAAGTTGCTTGATCTTGCTAGAGTAGTTCATCGAGAGGGACCCTTGCGGGCGTGCCAGCAGAGAGAGGAGCACATGGCTCTTGTAGGCAGGAAGAAGAGGGGGGCAGTGATATAGTGCGGCCAGCGCAGGCTCGTGAAAGCTTCGACACAGCAGGGCGACATTGACTAGCCACTTGACAGAGTCATTGCGGGCCGAGCGGCTTTCGTCGAGTAATGGATGCGACGCGCGCAAGAAAATGTCGAGAAGGATTTGGTAGGGCAGAGTCTGCCAAGGAGGAATGACACCGGATCCCAGGAAGATCGGTTCATCCCCATCTGTCTTGGCACGTTTGTGTAAAGCTCTCCCAACTTGACTGCTGGGTTTCGATCGTTTAGTCTGCTTTGGCTTCGGGGTGGTTGCAGCGCGCCGAGCACGTTTGGGTTTGGAAGGGCGGGTAAGCGCAGATTCGGCATGCGGGTTTGGTGCGTCGACCGGCGCAGCTACCAATTCTTCCGACTCTTGGTCTTCCACGGCTCCATCAAAGCTAGCATCCGTCGAATCTTCACGATAGGATTTTGGCATTCGAGTTGTACTGCGCGAGCGAAGAGATAACGAGGCACGTCTCGAGCCAGGCAACCCTCTTGATTCATCTTGAGAGGAACTTTCCTCGTGGTAGGTCTGCACCTTCGTGCGGCTGGACCGCATAGGGCGGGTGGACCTCGAGCGCGAACTCGAGGGCGCCATGACGGATAAGATCGCGCTAGGATAAGAGAGTGGGTAGCAGAGAGCCGAGCCACATTTTACGCACGACGTCTCGCGCGCAACAATATAAGCAGAAAATCAATATTACTGGGCTTGGGGAGGCAACAACTCTGCAATAATTGTCGCTCAAATTGACCCTTGCGACGGTCCGAGTGAGCCGGTTTTCTTTGACGGATGAGGTCGAAGAAGGCAAGAATGCCAAGACGACAAGCTTATCGATAACAATAGGAAGGCGTCAATTGACGCTAGCTCTATTGGGGTTGGCTAGCACGTGATAGCCAGACAGGAACCCCGCCCTCAGGCCACAACACTAGTCCTCTTTGAGGAGCACTAGATGGCCCCAAAATAGATTCTCAGCTTGAGCTTTAAAGATGGGCGCTTCCAGCCACCTCGAGGGGAAACCTCCTGGAACCCTACACCATCGGCGCATTGCTGTTCAGAATCTGATTTTCTTCACTTTTTCTTTGTATTCATACACCGAATATTTTGTGTTGAAGATAGCCTACATCTATACCCCAGCTCCTGATTTGACGATAATGACGACTTGCCTATGCGAGCTAGGATCCGCATGATTGTTTGCCTGCATCCCGTGTCTAGCTCTATTCTACAATTAAATATAGAGGTTTGTCACTCGGAATTGCCAGATTTCAGATGGAAACATCATTTCCTGTTATGATGGACTCCACCGATCGCTCGAACCGTGGTGAGCTCGGCGGACCGCAAATGGTCATTCAACAATATGCGCGATATCCTCCGACTTTGGAATCGACGTTGCAGAGTGCTTCCTCCTTGGGAAGTGCTCGTAGCCAAATAGATATCAACAAATCGCCTCCATTACAGCGAAGAGAAACCCCCAGGAGCTTGCAGTCTTCCCCGAGGGGCATGCGTTCTGCTCTACCCCCATCATCGGCCAATCGCTCCGGGACATCCATGTCTCCGCCAATTTTTGATCCTCATCGCCATCAGCCGATGAAAGATCCTGCCGATCACGCAGATTCCCGAGTTCTTCCGTCACGGGATATCACTGACGAGACAATCGATGATGCCTATGTCTCATTTATCTTGTACTGCAATCCTAATGTTCCATCCTCGGTTGACACATCAGATCTGCGAAAGACCTTCCGTTGTCTCCCGCGGAGTGACGGAAAAAGTTTCAACATCTTTACCCTATTCGGGCTCATTCGAAGGCGGCTGCAGAATGAAGAGTTGAAGACATGGATCCAATTAGCAATTGAGTTGGGTGTCGAACCGCCCTGCATTGAAAAGAAACAAAGCACCCAGAAGGTACAACAGTACACTGTCCGGCTCAAGGTACATCTGCCCTCAAACTTCCAAGTCATATTCGTATTGCTAATCTCGCCCAGCGTTGGATGCGTGCTATGCATATCGATGCTTTCTTTGAATATTGTATGGGCCTGCCCCATTCTTACTATACACAGCTCCCGCCATCTGGTCCTTTCGTCAGCGAATCCCGGGATGGTGTGTTATTGGAAGAAGATCTCGCACTCAGGGCACTTGTGCCACAATGGAAGCCAAAGCGGGGAAGGAAAAGGGTCGAGGATAGGTACAGCGAGGAAGACAAAGCAATCAAGCGGCCCCAGTTAGATACATCTGTTGGCGCCCTACAGCAGGGTAGTTTTCATTCCCATTCGGTGACATTCCCACAGAGTGCGATTCCATTCAGTGCATTTCCTGATGATATGGAACCAAATGACCCCTGGATAGCGGCGACCTCGTCGTTTCCGAATGGTTCAGGGCCGGATCAGCAAAGTCAAGATATACGCTGGAGACTTCCCGAGCGGGATGCTTCTCCTGCTAATTATCCACAGTCTGCTATCATTCCACGGAGTCATCTACCATCAGATGTCCTCATGTCTGCGGAGCCACGGTCAGCAGTCACTCCGTCAACCGGTGAAAAGAGCCGCTCTAGGAGACGACATGGACCTGCGGTTTCATCTGCTTGGCCGAACAGCAACGGCTTGTCAGCCGGGAAAGGCCGAGGAAGGCCGCCAAATAAAGGGTCATCATCTGGTTCCTTTTCTACCTTCCAGGTCAATCCAAGTCGGGAATCATCACAGGCACCCAATCCTAATACTCAGGCTCCTTCACTCGCCCTGGACAGAAATCCGCCCCAAATATTTCAGGCCCCATCTCACAATCAAACTCCAACATCTATCTCTCAGGGAAGGCCCAATAAACTTCAATTGCAGGTTCCTCAACATTCAGGGGCGCCAGTTCGCCTTGCCACTCCGCCGAGATTAGTAGTTAATGGTGTGAATGGTGCTGTCATTCCCGGGTCTGAGGGGCCCAATGGCTCCCGCCAATATCCCACCACAGATACTCCAAAGAATGGTATCACTACTCAAACATCTTCCTCCAGTGGGCAAAGCAATGCGGCCACTACCCCGAATCCCTCCATCGATGACATTATTCATGCGCTTTCTGCCGAGCTTCTTCGTGCTAGGCTGACAGGGCGGACGGCGACCCTCGCTCCCAACGAGGCGGGTGCCTTGGCTTCGGCGATGGTGATCAATTTGTCTTCATTATATTCACAGTTCCAACTTGGAACTCCTTCGTTGCTACTGGCCTTTCATCTTGGCGTTGGTCATCATTTCGGATTAGCAGGCACTAATCCAGGGTCACTGGTTATCAAGGTTGAACGTGCCATCCCAAGCAGCGACGGAAATAGGGGTGCCCCAGCCTCTAAAGAATCATTCAGTGGGGTCCACTATACCGTTTCTCATGAGTACAAAACTTCAAGCCAGTTTTCGATGCAAATCACGCTTGCAAATGTCAACCCTAGTATAGGAGGGACAGGTGCGTCTGACCATGCAAGTGCGATTGTCGGTCCAAGTCATGAGAATATTGCCAGCGATAAGACGGTTGATCTGGATTTTGACGAAGATGATCCCAGCCAGCCTGTTTCCGAAGCAACATGGAAGCAGCGTTACACGAAACTCCGTGCTCAAATGCAGAAAAAGGACCAGGCTTTGTCCCAATACAAGAGAAAGATCGTGGAATCTGTCATGGCAGACATATAGCGCTTGTCATCCGAATATTTCTTTTAGACTTATATCAAGATCTTAGCATCATGTTTTTGCCCATTTGTCATATGCACTTTGCAGGCCTTGTTTGTTTTTATTCGATAGGATACCCCTTTGATAAGTTCAATCCTACTGTTTGCTTGACTTTACAAATGAAATTCCTCATATTGGCCCCTATGCTGAGGCTGGCTTGAGATTCCTTTGCTACCCCATGGGCAATTTACACCACATCAAGAACTATAGATGGTAATTTTTGGTTTGAACGTTTGTGACTTCGTATCTTCGCTATCCTCCTAGAAAACAAAGGATATCAAAGTTTGCTTGGAAAACATGCTAAGGAGAGTTCAATCAAGGTGCTTTTGTCATACTGCTTAATGAAGTTACTCTAACCAAATGACACCGTTTACATGTAGTATTTGAACATCGTAGACTTCATTAGCCAAACCTGTAGGCAAAATGAGTGGTTTTAACTCAAGCAGAAGCCACAAGCTGACCAAGCGAAACGCGTTAAAGGACCATCTGAGACAACTAAAGGTTGTTACCTCCATCACTCCTCTCCTACCCAGCTATTCAACTTGTACCGTCGCGTACCACACTACATCTAACAGTGTCCAACCCAATCTCATCACCATACCACAATGACTTCTGTCAATACGCCCGAGGAGCAGGCCATCGCCTTCCTTCTGACCTGTGTGGAGAATTCCCAGAAGGGAAAGGTACGTAACGCCCAATTTCAACATCGGTTTCGCAAAATATCACCAAGTTCACAATCCCTACAATCCAATAATATCTGCTAATATTCCTGGCTATTACAGATCAATTGGGATAACGTCTCACTCGATATTGGCGTCAATATGAGCCCTGAAGCGGCGTAGGCTCTCCAGCTATGCTATGTGTTTTACTGCAATTGTTAACAACCAGCAGCAGGAAATACTACTTCAGCATTGTGAAAAATGCCAAAGAGTTTGACCGCTCTGACAAGTATCCCGAAGTCCCCGGAGATCCTTCCTGGCAGTCCGTCACCGCCGAGGATATTGGCCCCATCGTCATTGTCGAAGATTCGAATGATACCATCAGCTAGCAAAAATACACCTTGGATCTTGATCCATTGTCCTCCCCCTATCTACAGGTCTGAGCTCTTTTTTTGTTTACAAATCGAGCCCACGGCATATCTTTGCTTGGGGAGTGAAGACAATTATCTTTTGAGTCATCGTTTCTTCGCGGTCCTTTCTGTTTCCTAGGCTAAGGTGCTATCTAGCTAGCAACCTAAGATACTATGAATAACTATTATCCACATTGAAACTTAGTGAAATTGATACAGGCTAGTTCCACACCTACTGTATGATTTCATTCAATCTTTTATTGTCACAGGAGCCACTAGACGGACACCTGAACATCAAGAATCGCCTTCCGATGCTCCTAGTGATGCTCCCTACAAGAGATGTTTTCCATTGAAGTAGAAAGCATATTGAATTCGAGGCTATTATCTTCTGGGCGCCTATCCACTAGCTTGATCGTAGCATTCTCGCACACCGAAGACCTCTTTTACCCAAGACTTGGCAAGTCAAGCTTGTTTCTTCTTATTCTTCTCCATGCTCTTGGTTTTCTGCGGCGATTTCATCTTCATAAGCTCCAAGCTCTCTTCCAGTATCTCCATAGGGTTCTCGGTAGGCTTGGTGAGCTTAGTGGTCTCGGCAGTCTCATTCGGGGCATTCTGGGCTACCTCAGTGGAAGAAATCTCTGGCTGATGGACCAAATTAGTTTTAATATTATTTGGATGGATAGAGATCGGCTTGCCTTGGGCTCGGTGGTCTCGGTAGTCTCATTCGGGGTATTTTGAGCAGCCTCAGTGGAAGAAATCTTTCGCTGATGGACGAAATTAGTTTCAATATTGTTTGGATGGATAGAGATCGACTTGCCTTATCATCGCCATAGATGTGACCGTTGGTCAGCTTGTATGCTTTCTTCAGCTTGGCATACTTCTTCTGAAATGACTTTGCACTGGCATAGCCAAATTCCTTGGCCACGAGCGCAAGATCGACCTGCAATTCGAGTTTTAGTATATCTACCGTGTGTCCGAGCCAAAGTCTCTCGGAAGTTGTCGATGGATCGTACCGTGTTGGTTTCCTTGTTGGTATGTTTCTTGATGGAGTCTAGATACTCCTCATCCGGGGGTTGTCCTTGTAAGAAGGCATTGGTTCGGTGATCTCGGAAGGAAATCTCCGAACTCCTTCAATAAGAATAGATACTTGTGAAGTGAATCGAAGTTTGGGTAGAAAAACAAATGATGACAAGGAGCAAATATGCGGTTATGCGTTGTCGCCGACGACAACATCGATTAATCAGCGACTGGCTTACCTCGATTCAAATTCAGATCTACTTATTTAGCAGCCTAGCAGTGAGAACCAAAACACAGGCTTGGACTTGCTGCATGTTTTTAACACCTATTCCTCCCATATCCTTTTATATTTATCTCCAGTGAGTGAGTCGACGGCTCTCGGGTCAGATTCTATGGCTATCTATGCGTGAAGGAGGAAACAATCCATTCCCTAGCTCACCACTCTTTCATAGATCGAAATATGAATGCACTCCACTGCCGCCGCCAAATGAAACGTGATTTTTGGTTTGTGAGAAGACCTAAACATACCATGCTTAACTCTGGCAAGTGAGCGAAAACATCGAGACTAAATCTGCATACTGTATGATAATAACGAAGGATACTAGCTAATGAACATATGAACGAGGCCCTTCTAGTATTCAACGAAGCCTGATCAATCTTGAATCTTTTCAACTTTGACAACAACATGCTGATCTTCCTGGTTCCCTGTACTCGGTGTCCTCTCGTCGGTCTGCGTTTCTTGTTCGACTTTTACGGCTGGAGTTTCCTGGCGAGAAGGAGGACGTGGTTCCCAGCTGATGGTTGGGGCATAATTGGAGAAACGGGGCAGTTGGTCAAACTCCCGCAAGTCGAAGCCGGATTGAGTACTGGGTGTTGAATAAGGGTAACCGGTTGACATGGTCGGGAACTGGTATGGATTTTCATACATGAAGGACGATGATGCTGTGGGGCTGGGTGATGGTATCCCAGATGGTAGGCTTGACGCCAGTTGGAACTGCATTGAGGCAAAATCCTGAGGAAAGTAATACTGTCCTTCGGTGCTAGCCTCCGACATCAACTGCGGAGAATGTTGCATAAGGCTCTGTAAGTTGGCGTTGCCTTGAGTGCCCGGTTCACACTTTACAAAGGGATTGCCCTGAAGAGAAGAATCAATCGATTCCATGGTTGGCACCATGAGCGGCGGAGCCATTGGAAATATGCCTTGCATCTCAGCAGGGGGCTCTATGGTCTTTCCCTTCTTGCCCTTTCGCTTTGGTTTGCTCGCCCCTGTGTTTCCTTCCATTTGTTGTCGGAAGCGGGAATACCGCATGCGAGCGGCGTGACCATTGGAGACTTCGACATCGGAGGCGACCCGATTCCAATCGACCTATCATGTTCAAATAAGATTAATTAAGTATTCAGTTAATGGTTGGGCAATAAACTGACCGACTTCAGGTCCAATTGCTTGATAATTGTGTAGAGGAATTTTGCAGTAGGAGTGTCGGTCTCTAAGACTTTGTTCCGCTGACCCATGATTGGAAAGATGGTCTCAGTGATAGAATAATAAAAATGGAGTTGCGAGGACACTAGGAGGATTCATGAACAGTTTAGATCGGCTATATAACTAGTATAGAATCAAAAAGGATCATTGGGATATGCAAAGTGCTTGCTAGCCACATCAATGCTTGCTTTGTACTTTTCAAATGTAAGAGACAATAAGATATGTGCGAATTGCATGCCTCCTGATATGGATCTATCAATCTGGTTTGCCATATTCAAACCAAATTTCATCCTGCAGTATCCCGCCTGCTTCTTTATACCTATGCTTTGGTTGATATATATCAATGAATCTTGGTATTTATAGTCTGATAAAGAGATGGGAAGAGCAACCTTCCTTCCTTATGGCTTCTTAGGAAGCATGCGAAGACAAGCAGATGCCTAGGTCGTTGTATTAAGGTAGACAGGGGGCACGTGCGCTCAATGTATAGGTCACGTGATAGTCATTACCCTAATCCGACTCATACTTTCTCAGTCAGAATAAGAGGATTCATAACTAGAGGTCCATTCTGGAGACTGACTGCATGAAACTAGCTCTGGCGAACTATAGCTGCAGATCCTTTGGGAACTATAATGACACATTGTGGACCATGTGCAGTAGTACAAAACTATAAAATGATTTTTGATGCCAAGACAAGCATACATTGAAGGAAAAGGCACACAGTTACACTACGCGGCTAGATTAACGACACGCTGACTAATTCACCCCCACACCCGTGGACCTAACCTTGGAAAGCAGCGGGTATCCTCGACTCGATCAACGACACTGATTAAATAGATGATCAATCCACACGAATAGCAGCCCCTCCTTCTTCCGAAAAACGGAGATAGGTTCTAGCCAAAATCATCATTATGACTTTAGTGGCTATAGGGGCGTGCTACCTAGACACAATTCTAACGTGAGTTCTTTCCGCTGTATCTTAAGTTGCTTTGCGTTTGGAGAGTCTAGTATTCACATGCTCTGGTCAGTACCCCCCATTACCCAGGTGAAGATGAGAAGCTTCGTGCATCCAGGATCAGTCGCCGGCGTGGTGGAAACTGCCCAAATACTCTCGAAGTTCTAGGGCAATTGTTACAATATGGGCCATCGAGTGCCGAATCATCCCTGAATCTCATTACTGTCCTTCCCTCCAAAACATCAGTGGCATCTCAGCAAATTCAATCGAGCTTAGGTAATATGGTTCGTCTAGATAATTGCATTTATCGAGAGATATTCAGTGAGCCAGCTTCCAGTTACATCATTGCCAGCCAGGCCACCTGTAGTAGGACGATCGTCAATTACAACGAGCTGCCCGAAATGACTCGCAATGAGTTCGCAACTGCTGTTGATCCCCTACGTGATGTAACCGATCGACCCTGGTTTCATTTTGAGGTGCGTTAAATATTGGCGAGGTGCTCAGCTGGTCACGAATCATGCTAACTTGAACTCAGGGCCGTGCACCAGATGTAACCTTGGAATGTATTCATTATCTCCGGGAGAATTTTCCAGGGGCTAAAATCAGTGTTGAGGTGGAAAAGGCAGGCCGGCCAGGATTGGAGGAGCTTGCAGACGTGGCAGATGTTGTTGTCTACTCGAAGGGCTGGGCCCAGGTGAGATTTTTTCTTCGCCTTCTTTCAAGCACATCTAATATCTGAGCAGAACAATGGATATACATCCGCTGAGGATTGCTTGCGAGATCAATCATCGAAGACAAGCCGAGCGTAGGCTTTTCTGTCCAAGTCCCCAGAGAAATAATCTAATCTATCGTTTATAGATCCTTGCTATGCTGTACTTGGGGTCATGACGGGGCTGCAGCACTTGAACCAAAGACTGGCAACTTTGCTCATGTCCCGGCGCATACTGAAGAAGTGGGAGTTGCCGAGTGAGTTTTGAGCTTTCTGGTGTATTACAACACAAATAAGCCTATACTGACAGTCTGTAGCACCATCGGGGCTGGAGATACATTCAATGCTGGCTTGCTATACGGTCTCGTGTACCGGGGTCATGATTGGGATTTCCGAAAGATATTAGAATTTGCAAATCTTATTGCCGGCTTGAAGGTCACGCAAGAGGGCTTTTCAGACCTGCAAAGAGCATTAAACTTTCCATCATATTAACGCGCCTTTTACTTAACCGAATTCTGTCAGATCTCCAAATTCACCAAATTAAAGTCAAGTATTCTGTCAATGCACCAGGTTGCCAATTTGTACCTACTTTTGGAATAAGAATGGTCATGGTCTAAAATAGTTTAATGTTCTGTTGTTGATTCAATTTGGACAATATGGGCAATATGAATGGAATGAAAGATATATATTTTGACAGAATGGGAGACTTTCTAGACTTTTTTCGTTCGTTGAACTTCAGTCTACTTCTTAGAGTGATTTTAGGCAGACAAGTTCTAAGGTGGCAAGTATGAAACAGTACATATAGAGTAGATCACGATTCCCAAAATCATAAAGCAAGGTGGTGTAAAACACCAACGAAGGTGGACGAAGTATCGCATTTGAAGGTTGGCAGGAAATTAGGGCGGTGAACAACGGCAGATAAGCTGGTAGCCCACCTGGCACGTGACACAGCAAGGTTCAGGGCGGTGGAAAACAAAAAATATTCTGCCATCAACTTTTTGATCTCGGCCTTCTTTTGCACGATCAATTTCAATTTCATTTTGACACAAACAACAGTCACCATGGCATCAGTTTACAAGAGTGTCTCAAAGAAGGCGGCTAGACAGCCCGCCGAGGATATGTCCGACGAGGACATCGAGATGGAGGAGCTCCTCAATGCGGAAGACGACACCACCGATAGCGAAGAGGAAGATTCCGACGATGGCGAGGCGGCTGAGGTTGTGAAGAAGCAGCTTGCTTCTGGATTCATGCCCAAGACCCGAGTACTTATCTTGACATCCAGAGGCGCTTCCTACCGGTATGAATATTGCGCCTTGAGATATGCTGAATGAGTTTACTGATCTGACAATTTGCTTTTTTCTAGCCACCGACACCTCATGTCCGATATCTGCGGCCTCCTCCCCCATGCCCACAAAGAGACTAAGCTCGACACGAAAAAGAAGGCCGCTGGATACAACCTCCTCCTGAACTCTCTCGCTGACCTGCACTCGTGCAACGTTATCTTCTTCCTCGAGGCCAAGAAGAACGGCCAGGATCTTTATCTCTGGCTTTCACGCCCTCCTAATGGTCCCACTATCAAGTTCCACCTCAACAACTTACACACAATGGGCGAGCTCGGCGCTGGATTCGCAGGGAATTGCCTGAAGGGCGGCCGCGGCTTGGTCGTGTTCGATCGCTCCTTCGACGAGCAAGGCCCGGATATGGGCGCTCCCGGTAGTGAATACCGTGCGCTTGTTCGGGAGATGCTGCGCGGAGTTTTCTGTGTGCCCAAGCGTGGTGTCAGAGGCATGAAGCCATTCGTCGACCGCATCATTGGTATCTTTGGAGTGGACGGCAAGATCTGGATTCGCGTTTATGAGATCCGCGAGTCTGAGGCTGGCAAGAAGAAGGAGGGCGAGGAGACTGTCAAGCCCGTACCAAAGGGCAAGGACAACGCCCTGCCCGAGGTTTCTCTGGTCGAGATTGGCCCCCGCTTCGTTCTGACCCCTATTGTCATTCTTGAAGGCAGCTTTGGTGGACCCGTCATTTACGAGAACAAGGAGTACGTCAGCCCCAACCAAGTCCGTAGCGACATCCGACAGGGCAAGGCTGGGCGTTACTCCCAGCGCCGAGACGGCCAGACTGATCGTGTGGCCAAGCGCTCCGATCTTGGACTGTCCGAGAACTCTGTGCGGAAGGTGGATGCGTTGGACACAAGGAAGCTGTTTGCATAGGGGGTTTATGTTTTTGTTTCGTCGTGCTATTTCTAGACTTGATATCCCTCGGGATGATGTTTCGACTACATGTGTATATTTGATGCGACGCTTTCATCATGGTCCGTTAAGGCGTCGGGGCAAAGTCTCATCCTGGTTAATTTCAAAAGTTGATTATTTCTATCTGTTCTTTGATTTTGCCTATTTCATTGCCATTTGGAGAGCTTTTTCTTCAGAATAACTGGAAGGCAGGTTGGTTGGACCTAGTGGACGCAAGGGGCAACATTAGCTAAGCGTCATATAAAGCCCTCGACGCCATCGCCCCAACCCTGTCTGTCTTTGCCTCCTGACACCATCTATCATGGCATCATTCTTGTTGGCTAGCCCTACATGGCTACAAGGAGGTTGCTCGTCCAATATGTTTACTCTTGATCCCACGCTGTATCTTTCTTCTGTTAGCCCCAACGGCGGGGTCCATATTCAATAGGTCCACCGTACGCGCGACAAGTCCACGAGTGTTGATTGCTTCCATTCGTGACAACACTGTCCAACTTGATTCATACATAAATACTCGGAAATTAACCGTCTTATCTCTTTCAAATTATCTTATACAAATAACAACCTCTCATCAGGTAAGTCATTATTCATTGACACCCTATGAGTCATTCTAATGGTGTTGTTCTTTACAGCAACAACATAGATATTTCCATCATGCGAATTGATCATCTTGCAACGGAGCTTCTGCTCCATATATTTCGTTCATGCGACTCAGTCTCCGATGTCTTGAATTTATCAGTCATCTGCCGTCGACTTCACCGCGTCCTCAACTCAACAAGCAAACTGCATATCCTAGCCAGTGTCGCGGAGACCGAATTTGGTCCGCTCGACGATATCATTCAAGTGGTGACGCAAAACGAGAGCCAGCCCGCTCATCTCATTCGACATGCGTCTATGTCTGATCCCCTTCTAAAACAAGTCATCCAGCTCGGCATGGTGGCGCGAAAATGGGAGACGATCTACCCGTTTAAGAAGTGGAAGGTAGACTTCGAGAATCGTCGCTCGCTCACCGATGAAGAGCGAGTACGGCTGCGCCGCGCAGTATACCGGCTATGGCTGTATCACAGTGCATTCCATTCTCGTGTTTACGATCGCCACTCTCGTAGTCTTCGCCATGTGGTGTTGGAGCGCGCTCAGTTACTCCACAACTGGTCCACCCAAGAGCTGGCCGAGATTGAGGACTTGCGCCTCGTCATGGGTGATATTGTCCAGAATCATATATGTCCTAGTAATGGGACTATTCAACGCAAATTCCGCAAGCGTTATCCAGACAGCATCCAGCAACTCTCGTTCAATATCCACCTCAATTATCCTCCGCTTTCAACTACTTCTCTGTCTTCGCATGATCACTCCTTGGTTCAGAAAGGCCCTGATGCCTCGATTCAACAATACTTTCATACGGCTCACCCAAGTAATTATGCCGAGTCGCCAGCCAAATACCGGTCTCGGTTTCGCAATGACCTTTCCCATGACCCAGGGTATGAAGGTTGGGGTGACGAGATCCCACATTACTATATTATGCAGGACATGCTGAAGCTCGATCCTGGTCAGATAATATGGTTGCGCGACCATGCTTTGCTGAAGGAACAGGTAGAGGAATACGTCTGGTCTCTAGGGGAATGGTTCCGAAACAACGGTGAAACATTTGGTGACACGTTGGAATATGTCATGAATGAACGTGGGCTTGAGGTTGGGGAATTTCGATCTGCAGTGGCTGGTCGTGACATGGGCATTGTCCTAAACTAGATTTATGCTTGTTGACCTTTTGAATTTATCGAAATTCATGTGCATGGACTTGTTTTTTTTTTGCGTAACATACCATATATGTAAAAGTCTACATGAGCTTAACCAAGTATTCGAAATATAAGAGATTCTGTCGCTGTAAATCGACGATCTACTCTCCTAGCAAGCGTTGTCCATCCACGGGTGGACACACACACGCTACTTATTAATACGGCGCTAAAAGGCTGGCCCCGATAAATAAATTGGCCTGTGGAGCACGTGGACCCTATCTTCAATGACACGAGGCATCGACACTGTCTCCTTGATAGCATAGCATGACTACAACATTGTACAATTCTACTAAAATGGTTGGAATGAATATACGAATTTCAGAATTTTCATACAAAAGCCACGCAGACGCAATGTTAGACGCCCAACCAAGCTGTGTTCACCATCGTAGAAACATATCAAGCACACCGGTTGGGCGAACAGAAAAAAAAGGGGATCAATTTCGTTGAGGACCACGGGGAAAAACGAACAAAAAAAAAAAGGACCGAAGAAGGGGAATCCGGCAGCCGGTAACATCAATTCCAGTAAACCCTTATTTTCCCGTGTGGTTTCTCTAACAGATCCCGCCTGTGTATCATCTTTGTAGCCGTCGAATTTCAGACTCTAACACAGATCAAGACCATCTCAATGTCACATCGCAAAAGAAGACTCGTGGCAGTCGGTGCATCGTCCTTGCGAAGGGTAATCTAACAGCAGCCCGGCTTCTGCTCGCTATCTTGCTTGCTGGGGTCGATAACGGGACGGCGGTCGAGGACCTGCTGGCCACCCTCTCCGGAGTCGAGAGCCTTGCTGGAAACAATGCGGTAGATTTCTATCGAAATTAGCATTCTGTGCCAAATTCTAATGAATCGACAACCAACCTGTAAGGATGTTCTGGAAGGCCAGCTCAACGTTGCTGGCATCAAGGGCGGAGGTCTCAATGAATGAAAGGTTGTTCTCGCCTACTAAATGTCAGCCCACACAATGAAACTGGTCGTCGGGAAACGCACTGGCGAACTGCTTGGCCTCTTCTGTGGGGACCGCACGCAGGTGGCGCAAATCGCTCTTGTTACCAACGAGCATGATGACGATGTTCGAATCGGCGTGATCCCGTAGCTCCTTCAACCACCGGTTGACATTCTCGTAGGTCTGGTGCTTGCTAATATCGTAAACGAGGAGGGCGCCGACAGCGCCACGGTAGTAGGCAGAAGTAATCGCACGGTAGCGCTCCTGACCAGCGGTATCCCAAATTTGTGCCTTGATTGTCTTCGAGTCGACTTGAATGGACCGGGTCGCGAACTCCACACCGATCGTTGACTTCGAGTCCAGGTTGAATTCGTTGCGGGTGAAACGACTCAAGAGGTTGGATTTACCAACACCGGAGTCTCCAATAAGCACCACTATTCACTCCACAATACCTCCGCGGTCAGTGTCGGGGTCTTTTAGGAGGGGGCACAAGGGGGGATGGTGGATAAGACGAGGGCGGGCATCATCATCAGGTGGCGACGTTACCTTTGAAGAGAAACTGTGGGGAATATCATCATCAGCATATAGTTCTGAGACATGGAGGAGCTCGTCGTCCCAAATCAACTCACGTCATATTCGTCGTTGGCCATTTTGAATGTGATCGAGCTAGTAAAGCTCGAAAGGTGGTATCAAAGTACAGGTAAACGTGGCGGGCAAGTGAAGACCGAGGGGTGTACTTGGAGACTTTGAGAGGGCGAAAGTCAGATATGTCAGTACAGAGCTCGCAGCAGGCAGAAAGAAAACCAAGGGAGCACACACACGGGAAGTAATACAGAATCAGCAGGGGATAGTCAGTGATACTTGGGGCCGAGTGTCTCTCCTTAATCGTGCCTCCCCCCAATTGTGGATTAGCGTGGAGATCACGTGGGTTGGCGTTTGACGCGCGGGCGGTATCTTTTATCAATGGGCAGTAACTATCAACTTTCTTGTTCTTGCTCTTGCTCGCCTTACTTTTGCTTTTGCTATTATCTGCGTGCTTTTTTCCCTTCGTCTTTACTGTATCCAATGAATATGAACTACGGTAGGCATTCGCTCTATCTCGATTCCCCTTAAGCCCCGTAATTCAAAGTTTCAACTCGAGCACCGTCTTGCTGTACCTTGGACATGGGGGATTGCACGCTGCACAATGAAGGATTTGTTGACTTAATTTGCTAGGCTACTACAATGGCGTCTGATTTTGAAATGAATAATGCCTCTGATCGAAGTGGAATTGGTGATGCAGATTCCCTGGCATCTACCGCAGAAAGTGAAGAGGCAGCGGAGTACCTCGTCAATGACATCCATGCGGAACGGAGTCTCTACGTAGAACCGGATTCTGAGGATGATGAAGGAGTCTTTGTCACTCAGTATTTGGTCGAGTGGGCTGGGTACAGCATGGACAGGTGCAGTTGGGAGCCGAAGGAGATGTTTACTTCGGAAGAGACCCTAGACGGCTGGGAAGAGAAGAAAAAGCAGATCGCGGAGGGCAGGCTGCCTCGCTTCAATCTCAAGTCATGGGAGAAGCATATGGCTTTGTTGGAGAAGAAAACAAAAAAGCGAAAAGAAGATCGAAGGCGCAAACGAGAGCAAAGGGCACGACAGAAAAGCCCCCCTCAGGCTGAATCATCTCGACTGGCCAATCCCGACATCATAGATGCCCATGAGCCCGAAGCAGGTATTACATCTCGCAGAGCTCCCAGTCGCCTATCCGTGGATTCCACCGCTTCGGCCTTAGTTGTTCCAGCTGAAACCCCACCGCCATCAAAAAATGTGGCTCGCCAATCGCTGCAACAAATAGCACCTCCAAGATCAGCTACCTCCATTGCGCAAACACCCCGGAGCAATCCTCCAGGGACAACAACCTTAGTTGCACCTGTCGAAACAACCCAAAGCAAGCTTCCAAACTCGCGACTTTCTCAGCTCGCAAAGAAACTTACTGCCAAGCACAAACCCCCGGCGCGCCAGACAAGCCCCCCACAAGCAGCAAAGCCAACATTGTCTTCTTTTGGTACGGGCCCGGGGGCCAAGCGCGCATATCGTGAGAACAAATGGAACGAACGAGCACCGGATTTGTCACAAATGGAGCTGATGAAGCCCTCTGAATTTCCACCAAGGACGAACATAGGCGCCACCACCTCAGTGGTTGGCCCATCTGTAACAAGTCCCAAATCCCCGGAAGCCCAAAGTCAACCTGCTTCTGGGAATTCAGTCAGCTTGACCGGTCCACTAAAGACCCATACAGGTCAAACAAACGATAAAGCTACAAAGCAACCACAGAAACCCGTTGTTCTCGCGCCCTCGTCAGTCATGGCTCCCCCAATGTCTCGCTCTTCGAACTTAGGCTCCACTGCGTCAGTTTCCTCGTCGGCTGTGTTGTCTGGCCCCACTGCACCGTTGAATCTAGAGAGACTTGTTGGCCCTGTAGATTCCACTATCTCTATTTCCTCGCAGGCTACCCAACCAAAGTCCTTTCCACAGCCCAACCTCACCCAGCCTGCAGCTTCCGCAGATTCTATTGTCTCTACTTTCTCGCCGCCAGGTGAGGCTCCTTTGACGAATCCTGCTGGGCGGTCAACATCTGCCGTTACTGCGCCCTCGGAAGCTCCCCGTCCCCCATCACAAGCCAATATCGACAGGCCTACCGGTCCTTCGGCCTCTGCCAGCTCAGTCTTCCCTCCAGTTGTTCATTCGGGAGTCCGTACGGAGGCTACTTCAGTGAAACCTGCTGTACTCTCGGGTTCTAACATTTCTGCTTTCCCACCAGCCATTCCAACCAAGCCCCGTGCAATGGCCAATTTTGAGAGACATACTGAGAATCGAGACTCGCAAGACAGCCGCGAGACAGTCCGACGCTGGGACACCTATAGGCCGGACTCACCCAGACAGCCTAACAATACAATCGTGGCTGATACCTACCGACCGTCAGAGCTCTCTCGTCGCTCATCACCCTCTCGATGGTCATCTCCACCCCGACGGTCACCACCCTATCGACGATCACCACCCTCCCGAAGGTCACGGTCACCGCCCTCTCGAAAGTCATCGCCCCCTCGTCGACCATCAGAGCTCCCCCATCGGTCACCGCCCCCCAGTCGACCGTCAAGGCCTTCTATCCGTGGTATGAGTGATCGTTACGCCCCTCGTAGCAGCCCACAACCCAGCCTTTCCATCGCGGAACAAATTGCAAGAATGCCGGTGCGTGATAGCTGGGCGCCCGGTTGCGTCAGGATTAGTAAATACTTTTGCAACCAAGCCCTGGGAGAGATTCTTGTCCACGTATTTATCGGGCCCGACAAGAGACCGCGTGGTGCTTTCAGATTATGCGGCATCCGTTCGGATGTGAAGCAATCTCTGATCTCGGCTAAGAACCCAAAAACACACCAAGTCGAGGTTTGGTTTAAGCATCTGTGCACAGTCAGAGAGTACGAAAGATTGTGCGAATCTAGTGTCAGTATCAGATCCATAAATTTATCTCTTATAGAATGCTAACATTGGCTATAGGAGATAAATTCCGTACTGAGTACCGGCTGGGTCGAGGGCTTCAGCGACACCAACGAAAATTTATTTCATCTAGCAGAGGATCTGCGAAAGGACGACCTCATCGCCATTCACTATCCTATAGGGAAAAGAAATGGACCGAGAAATATTGTCTGGGTTGCTTGGTCATGTGGGTCACAGGAATTCAAGTTTCCACATCCTGATGAGGAAGTGCCACCTGGCGTTCCTCTACTCGTAGCCGCTCGCACTATGCTCGCACCGATCGAAGCTCTAGGGGCAAGTGGACCTAGCCAGCTTAGTGGACAACCGAATGGCTTTTTGCCAGATACTACATCGCTTTCACTGCGCGTCGAGCCGTCTAGTGCAGATGAGGGCCTGTCGAACTTCCACTATGATATGAGAATGGGCGGATCCGTGCAATCACAAGAGACGCCGGCCCCAGCGGCGGCCCAAATCTTTCCTCCCACAAGTGAATTCAAGGATAATTCAATTTGCGCTAACCCCCAACCCCAAGATAACCACGCGGTTCAAGCGGCTGAAGCGGTTCAAGCGGTTGAAAAGTTCATGAAAGCCCACAAAATCAATGTGGAAGAACTTGCGACAATCGAGGAAGGCGGAAAAGTATCAAAGGCAGGTATTTTCTACTTGCACTTTCCTCTAGGAAATGAAGAAATACAAAACGAACTGCAGCTTCTGCAGGTACACTTGAGGTACCATGAGAAGATTGTTTTCACAAGCGACAGCCCCGGAGATTGGGCAAAATTTGTGCAAAACAGCAGACAGGGCGTGGCCATAGTATGTGATCGATATTTTTACACGTTCTCAATTGCCCAAAAAACTAATCAAGAGCAGTTTCACGAATCATTCGCCGGATATGATACGTTACAGCCTCCACTCAATTCTATCCTTCCAACCAACTCGTTCAATTTCTGGATTGTTCGCATGCACAGAGCACTTGAATTAGTTGATCCCCGTTATTGCTCACCGAGTGACCGCCATCTACGCATCTTTCCATATGGCGGTGTCATACTTCTTACCGAAGATGTATTGACAGACCTAAAGGGGGTGGCGGTCACTCTCCAATGGATTCGGAGTGCAAACAAGCACAAACGCAAATCTTGGACGTTGATGCTCCCCCCTGGGATACTTGAATGGATCGAAAGGAGACTCGGCGATGAAAATCACTTGCAAGATCATGGACTGTATGTCATACCTCTTTACCGCTATTTGGCTCAAGCTTCTAACGAACCTAAATGTAGCCTGCTGCTCATTCACACGTTGATCATCAAGAACAACGTCATGGACCCTCGCGCAGCCTTGTTCGATAAAGCTAGTCTACACCCTGACTCAAAAAGCAACGTCATCGCACCCTCTCTTAATGAATACGGTACTCGCACAGAGCATCACGACCTCAAAATCAAGGACAAAGTTGAACGCGACGCAGACCATCTGATCGAATTCTTCGCAGGGTGGTCACTGATCAACATACCACGTTTCCGGAACTTCGTCGCTGTCACATCTCTCGGTGCTCCCACTGGGGCACGGTGGGACAAATGGGGCCATATGACTGTCATGCGAGGTGGTTTCGGCCATTTCTTTAAACGGTTCAAAATAGACTCGGTGGCCCTCATGGCCTATCTGTCAGGTGGTCCCACGATACGGCCTTCTACTGGCCAAGCAGCTCCCCCGACAACCGTGACCACACCCCGGACGCCTAATTTGGCATCTCACAACTCCAACGCCTCTATTCAATCTACCTTCACAGGCAGCCCAAACGGTAATGACATGAACAAGTACCCTGCTCCCTACAAGTGATCCTTGCGAAGTTCCGACCAAAGCAGGTTACGCCACACATACGTATGGTTGCTCTCATATTCTCCTCCTCTTGCAAAATCTTTTATGATACCCCGGTTAGTTTGTTCTTGTATGTATTATGCCTAAAAAGCTATGAGGCCATGAAATGAACCCACACTCTGTACAGATCTACCTAGGAGACTTCTAGTCATTTATATTAGTTTTGTCCAGTTACATTTCAAATTGAGACTCAACACTCCTATCAGTAATAGAAGACCTATGATACGAACGTTCGGAGATTCCAAAAGTAAAGATTTGCTAAACTGCACGCTAACTGCCGCCAATGCAACTGGGTTACGAAGGACAACACCCGAAAAGATATAAATATGTAGTCACCGGGGATGAGATGAAGGCATACCATTTACTTACACTCAACCAGTCGCTCGATTCTGGTACTCCGGGACGTTCGACGCATTGGAGCCATCCGCATCATCTTTCGGTTTCGTCTTTTGATCCTGGTCTTTCTTTTCCCCGCGAGTCTTTGCTTCCCACTGACTTTCCTCGGCGGAAATCATAGCATGGAAACGTCCGCCCTGTCCACGGGCAAGGTAGATAGGCGGTTCCTTGCGCTCGGCCACGGCCTGGGTCACGAGGACGAATTTCACGCTCGAGCCGGGCGCTTCGAACATGGCGTCACTGAGAATGGTCTCCATCTCAGTTCGCAGCGCGCGTGCGCCGGTGCCCATTGCGAAGGCATTTTCGGCGACTTTGTGGAGTGCCGGTGTGGTGAAGCGCAGCTCGATACCCGAGAGGGAGAACAGGGTCGTGTATTGGGCTAGAAGGGAGTTGCGGGGTTCGGTTAGGATGCGCATAAGTAGGGGTTGAGACAATGCAGAGAGAGCGGCGGTAACGGGAATCCTGCCGATCAGCTCTGGGATGAAGCCGTAGCTTTGCAGGTCTGAGGGTGTTAACAGGTCGAGTGCGTTGAAATAGGTTGGCTCGGCGCTAGTACCGGCTGGCGAGGTAGAGGAGAAGAAAGGGAGGTGCTTCTTATACAGCGCTTCTTCCTCAGACCCTGGGAGGATTGGAAGTGGCTGGTTGGTAGAGATATTTGGCGAGCCAGGAAAATCACTAGTGTTTGAGGCGGTCCGAACTGGCTGACCAAAGCCTATGGATCCACGGGATATTCGATCCATGATAGCTTTGTGTAGTCCGACGAAGGCGCCAGAGAACACGAACAAAATGTTGTCCGTACGCACATTGTACACTTCTCCCTTGGCGGCTGGGTTGGGGTTGTTGGGTTGGAATGACCCATTTCCCAAGGGACTGTTGGAGGGATAGCTATTCGGGGCACTATTTGCGCGGGGATTCTTCTCTGGCTTGGCCTGGACCTGCACAGTTGTGCCTTCAATGATCTTCAGAAGCGCCTGTTGTACTCCTTCGCCACCGACATCTTTGCCATGACTAACCTTCGCGGCTGCAATCTTGTCCACTTCGTCGAGGACAATAATTCCACGCTCTGCCTGCTCCACGTTGTAGTCTGCAGCTGCCAAAAGTCGGTGAACACACACTTCGGCGTCCTCTCCAATATAACCGGCTTGGGTGAACACAGTGCAGTCGGAAATACTGAAAGGCACAGAAAGCACCCGAGCAAGGGTCTTTGCCATAAGTGTCTTTCCCACACCTGACGGACCAAGTAACAAAATATTGGACTTTTCCAGCTGTAGCGGTGACGTATCGGCGAAATCCGCTTGCTCCAAGGGGGTGTTTGGGCGCGCGTTTGGGCGGGATTTGGGGGCTTGAGGTATGCTGGTAGTCTTCTGCACGCCTGTGATATCATCTGCTGTATCGAAGAATGAGTCAGAAAATGAGCGACAGTATCAAAAATCAATAGGTGGTATACCGTCTAAGGGATGAATCTCGAGTGCTTCCCTCCGCTGACGCTTCGCAAGAGCCTCGGCTGCTTCTTCCTCCCGGCGCACTAACTCTTGCACGCGCTGGTAGTGATTGTACACAGCGACACTGAGTACTTTCTTTGCACGATTCTGACCGACGACATATTGATCAAGATATTGCTTTAAGACTTTCGGCGTAATGCGGGGGACGCCAAAGGCCGGGGTTGACCCTAATGGCCCGGGAGTAGGGAGTCCAGTTTCATAGCTACCAGTAAATGGCTGAGTTGTGAATTCTGACCGGTTGAATTGAGACAATGTCGGAAATGTGGTGGAGGAGCTAGACAGTTGGCGTGTCGACCAGCTGTATGATTGAGGAAGCCGACACCGGACAATGTCACGACTAGCCAAGGTGGCCGGTAGGCGACGCTGTAAATGCCGCCACAGCATTGCTGGGCGCCAGTAAAACACAAGAGGGTTATGAGAGACGGATAGAGAGCCCTGAAATCACAAAGTAAAGGAAGGACCTCGAGAGGATTGGAGAGCAATGGATCAGATACCGGATAGCTTCCCCCGCAGGTGATCTTATCTGATGAGTCATCAGGCCGATGAACACCTGGGCAGGTGGTCCGGCTATTCACGGATAAATTCAGCTACAATTGAACATACTAAGTAACTATGTCGATGCACTCAAAGTAAAGCGAGGGCTATATTTGGTGCTCGAGGCCTAAAATATCTATGTCCCAATGTTCTTGCAGGTCGTACCTGCTGAAGGCCAAACCCCAAGTCATGGCAACACTCAAATACAGCGCAACTACGTAGATCCATAATTCTCCATAGTAAGATTGGGAAATAACACCCAAACACAAGAAGTCCCGTGTCGAATATTCGGTGACCGATTACGGCACGCCCGTTGAGCAAACTGCACATAGTAACTTCTAGTGTAATCCTCCAGTAGCCTCAAAGACGGGTGTACATTTCGCAGCCACATAGTGGCAAATGGAGCAGTCACACCAACAAAATCGACAGTGCTGTCAACCCAGCGTGAAGAGAAACCATTACCGATCTGGCGATTGCACGAAGTTGAACCACTCATGCAACACAGGGTTGCACGGCGGTATGCCGTCAACAATAATGCCACAGTTGTCAGATCCATCTGATTCGATCCGTGAAGGGCGACAAGATGGGCGCTTATCTCAATAAAGCAAATGTGCAGGAGTCTGGTCTTCAACAATCATTCCGAGAAGACAACAATCCTCATCTCTACATTTCCAAGCAGGTATGGGATCCGAGGGGAATTTCCATCTCCCGGAAGGGTTGAGCAGCGAAGATTTGGATGATGCGGAATTGTGCTTGAGAAGATAAGCTGGCTAGAAAGCTAGCTTTCAATATTTGAGCTGTTGCAAATTCAGTTCTGATTCCTACGTGTGGAAAGAGTGAAAAATAGGAAAATAGAAGCAGCTCTTTCATGACAATGATGGGTATTTGGTTATTGGTCTCTAATGTCGAGGGCAGTTCGATGGCATCCGTGGCCCCGGAAGGCGTTGTATTCCCCAGGAATACAGGAAGATTTGAACCGCAAGAGCTGCTTGGAACCGGGTGTAGATTTCACCGTTCAGATCCAATAGAAGCTGATTCGATCGTGTTTTGGTTGAGCGCAGTACACTCCGGTGTATTCGCCTAACTCAACTTAGAAGAGTTCTTTGGATGCATTTTTTCACGCCATTGCCGGAGTTCACTTGTTAAACAAATATTCACGGCTAGCAGCAACCACAGTGGTAGCTCGGTCATTGACCGAGATATTTTTATTTTCATCCTGGCCACTCTTATTTATTCGCCTTGAACACAGGCTGCTGTTCCATCGTCTGTGAGATGAAGTTACGGAGGGCCGACCACCGACCGGCCGTCGGGTTCGACTCGGTGCTCGCCTCGCCATTGTTAACAGCTGGGGCTGATGTGATGTTGGACATCTCGGTCAGGTTCTTGTTGAAACGGTCTCGCTCCAATCTCTCGAGTTTTTCCCGGCGCTTCAGGGCACCTGGCTTGTGTCTCAGGGTCTTCTGCTTGATCACATTCACTTGACTGGCGGCATCATTGGATTCTTCAGCCTCGGGCAAGGCATCGGCCAAAGATTCGAGGTTGGCGACAAGTTTTTTTGATGCACGTCGACGCTTGGGAGTCTTTTGAGAATTTTTCTCGATCTTAGACACGAGGGCAGCATGCTTGATCTGACGTTTATCCCTCTTGCTCGTGCGAAATTCGTCACCAAAGACACTGGGTTTGGCTATCGCGCCTCTGCCCGAGGCAGTTTTCGTCATTGTTGATTTGCGAATGGGAGCCTGTGAAGATAGAACGATAATTAACCGGCTGAAAGTGGAACAAGATAAGTAATAATGCAGCTTACCATGTTGACATGTGAGATCTACAGCGGGGAGCAACGAAAAGACGAAATTGCGACGGGAAAAGGGAAACCCCGTCGACTCCAATTGTTCACCGCCTGCATCCACTCTCCCCACTGTTTTTCCCAGGAACTCAACGCTGTTTGGCTCTTCAAGTCAAATAATTAGTCCATGTATGTGTCAAAAAGGCTAAAAGAAAAAGAAAAAAAGATAATAACAAAGTTCTCGTGCGCTAAATTGCCTCTCCGAAATTCGACGGCTTTCCGGTGACATCAGAAGTCGTGGTCAGAAGGCAATCCCGAAAGGCTGAAATTATTCTCCCAACACGATAACTTGTATGGATATACGTCTCAACCTACGTCGGATCTGCGTTCCTCACACCTCTACCATATTTCGACCTCGGTCAGCCACCCGGATCCAGACCCGATTCATATTTCCACATTTGCCCCCGCCGACTTCTTTGCCTTTTAAATCCACCTTCTCCGGACCACTTTCCCGCAGATCGATTGTTTCTTCTACACACATCATGGGTTCCCTCGCTCCTCATCAGCGCAAGCACAAGATCACGGTGGTGGGTTCCGGTAACTGGTAAGAGCTCAGTCCTTAAAAGAACGGTGGATTTTTGTTAATTGTGGTTCGATAGGGGCTGCGCCATCGCTAAAATCGTTGCCGAAAATGCCGCCAGCAACCCCGACCTCTTCGAGGAGAAGGTAGAGATGTGGGTATTCGAGGAGAATGTCGAGGTTCCGACGACTTCTAAGAACTACAATGCCTCACTTGCCGGCCCTCAGAAATTGACTGAGGTGATTAACAATGTCCATGAGAATGTCAAGTACCTCCCAGGAATCCAGTTGCCAGTCAACCTGTACGCCAACCCGTCCCTCGAGGATGCGGTGAAGGACAGCACACTTCTCATCTTCAACCTGCCCCATCAGTTTATCATTAAGACCTGCGAACAAATCAAGGGCAAGATCCTCCCCTACGCCCGTGGCATCTCTTGCATCAAGGGCGTGGACGTCAACAGTACAGGTATCCACCTCTTCTCAGAGACCATTGGCAGAATCCTGGGCATCTATTGTGGTGCCCTGTCTGGTGCAAACATCGCCAATGAGGTCGCCCAAGAGAAGTGGTCCGAGACCAGCATCGCCTACGATCCCCCACACATGGACTCCCGGGTCCCCACTCCCCAGCGGTCGCCTTCTTCCTCCACAACCAACTTAGTGGAGTTCCAGCACAAGGACACTTCGGGTCAAATCTCGGAGGTTAAGCTGCAGGCCCTGCCGTCAGAATACCCCCCTGTCGACCATGCCGTGCTGAAGACCCTCTTCCACCGCCATTACTTCCACGTGCGTGTTGTCAACGATGTTGCCGGTGTGTCTATCAGTGGCGCTCTTAAGAACATTGTTGCTCTGGCCGCTGGCTGGGTTGTCGGTATGGGATGGGGTGATAACGCCAAGGCGGCTATCATGCGCGTGGGCTTGATGGAGATGGTCAAGTTCGGAGACGCGTTCTTCGGCGCCACGATTGACAACCGCACCTTCACCGACGAGAGTGCCGGTGTGGCAGACTTGATCACCAGCTCCAGCAGTGGTCGCAACTTCCGGTGTGCCAAGTACAGTGTTGAGCGCAACCAGCCTATCGAGGAGATCGAGAGGACTGAGCTCAACGGACAGAAGTTGCAGGGTACCCTGACTGCTATAGAAGTCAACAGCTTCCTGAAGAACCAGGGCATGGAGGATGAGTTCCCTCTGTTCACTGCTGTTTTCCGTGAGATCTCCCCCCTGTCTGCCATGTGACTGCTCGATCCAAGCTAACATTGCACAGGTATTTTGGAGGGAACTATGAAGGTCGAGGAGATTCCTTCTTACATTGAGCGGTAAAAAAAAGTCCTAGTGTTCTTTGCTTTTATGTTTGACTTACTTATCAAAACGTTCGGTTCCCGTATAGCCCCCCTCAGGCCCGAGCCCCGATTTCTGCATCTCAAAATTCCAATGGCGAGGATGATGGCGCTCGGTTCACCGCTGCACGATTATAATTAGGGCTGGGATTGGGTATTGGACATTGCGTGTATAGACTTTCATGACCTGTATTTATGAATTGCATGCGGATTATATTCTAGACATTTGATTTTGAATCTAAGACTGTTCGATTCGTGCATGGACTACAACGTGTACAAAATGCAAGTACATAGCACATCCATGGATCCATATGAGATGTGTTGACAGAAATACCAAGGAAAATGGATGATGTCATTCCCCGCGCGGTCTGGGCTTTCTCCAGGAACATACGAGGGGAACGCTGGGTCCCTCTCTGCCCCGACTTTTCATTCCCTGCTTTTCAATTCCTTTTTTTTTTCTTCTTTAATATTCTCTGAAGTCTCACTTCTCTGTCCTTCACTATCGCAGTGAAAGTAGGGTGAATCCTTCCAGATTCTTCTGTGCTCTCACAATCTGTTAGTTTAGATCCGGATTCATCCAATCGTTATCGACCCGTCGCAATGGCCTCCCCACGTCAGGTTTATTTGCTTCCATTGAAGGATGACGGTTCTCCAGACGTGCCCGGTGGGTACATTTACCTGGCCCCTCCGCCCAAATCTGGATACGTGCTTCGGTTCATCATCGAGGGAACGAGCTCCATTTGCCGACAAGGCAGTCTCTGGGTGAATATCCCCGAGGAGGGAAAGCCCTTCGAACGTTACTCATTCCGGGAGTTCAGGTAGATCTTCCCAGTTCTTCCTTATATGTTGTGTAATTTGAGAGTGGCGGTTGCTGAACAGAAGTAGACTGCAGCCCAACTTCAATGAGAACATCCAGATCGATATCCCCGTGACATTCGCGGGAGCCTATGCTTTCTACACAACATTCTCTCCGCTGCCCGAGTTCTCAGTCGAGGAGGTGTCTGCCCCGAAGCCGACTCAGACCCCTGTTCACTACATTGATGTGTCGCCCAAACTTACCCTTCAGGGGAAAGACTTGCCGCTCAATGCACTCTCTATTTTCTCGATGATCTCAAAGTTCATGGGTCAGAACCCCACAGACTGGGACAGACACCTTCGTGGAATTGGTCAACGGAACTACAATATGGTTCATTTCACACCCCTCATGCAGCGTGGCTCGTCCAACTCGCCCTATAGTATTTTTGATCAATTGGAATTCGACAGCGCGTTTTTCCCTAATGGAGAGGATGATGTCGCTTCATTGGTCGCGAAGATGGAGAAAGATTATGGCCTTCTCACATTGACTGATGTGGTCTGGAACCACACAGCTAATAATAGCAAGTGGCTGGAGGAGCATCCCGAGTCTGGATACAGTGTGGAGACCGCGCCATGGCTGGAGGCAGCCCTTGAGCTGGACTCGGCGCTTTTGAAATTTGGCGAGAGCCTCCAGGATGTCGGTCTTCCGACAGAGTTCAAGACGGAGGAAGATCTGGTGACAGTCATGAACGCGGCGCGCAAAGAAGCCATTGATGGAACTCGTCTATGGGAATTTTATGTTCTCGACGTGAAGAGTGACGTTAAGAAGATTCTGGACGAATGGATCAATGCAAACATTGATCCTGCGCTCGTCGAACGGGACGAGATGCAGCAGTTCAAAAACTGGTCGCTCACGCAACAAGCCAACGTTCTCCGAGAGCTTGGAATTCCATCCGTCAGGCAGGTTCTCGGACGTTTTGGCCGCACCGTCGACCCAAGCTTTGGAGCAGTTGCTTTGAATGTGCTTTTTGGGGATTACAATGAGGGACACACCAACCTCGCCGAGGTTGAAGACTCCTTGTCCCAGCTCCTCGATGAGGCCAATTTACCATTCTACAAAGAATATGATGCAGACGTTGATACTATTATGGACCAACTGTTCAATCGCATCAAGTATCTCAGAATTGAAGACCATGGTCCTAAGATGGGTCCTGTCACCAAGAAAAACCCATTGATTGAGACTTACTTTACCCGCCTTCCTCTCAACGATGTCACGAAGAAGCACGACCCCAAAGCCCTGGCTTTGGTCAATAACGGTTGGATCTGGAATGCCGACGCCATGAAAGATAATGCCGGGCCCGATTCCAGGGCCTACCTACGCCGCGAAGTTATTGTGTGGGGTGATTGCGTAAAGCTTCGATACGGATCCTCTCCCGAGGATAGTCCTTTCCTCTGGGACTTTATGACGCGGTATACCCGCCTTATGGCCAAGTTCTTCAGTGGTTTCCGAATTGATAATTGCCATTCGACGCCACTAGTGGTTGCAGAATATTTGCTGGACGAAGCTCGCAAAGTCCGGCCTGACTTGACTGTGTTTGCGGAACTCTTCACGGGCTCGGAGGAGGCCGACTATGTCTTCGTCAAACGCTTGGGCATCAATGCTCTGATTCGCGAGGCTATGCAGGCTTGGAGCACAGAAGAGCTGAGTCGCCTTGTTCACCGTCATGGTGGTCAGCCAATCGGTAGCTTCGAAATGGATTTACCTTCTGCTGGCAGTAGTCATGCCATTGCGTCAGCTAGGTCTGGCAAGACTGACGAAAGGATCACTCATATTCGGCCCTGTCCAGTGCCGGCCTTGTTTATGGACTGTACCCATGACAATGAGCTGCCTGCCCAGAAGCGCGACGCCAGGGACACTCTTCCAAATGCTGCCCTTGTGGCAATGTGTGCCTCCGCGACTGGAAGTGTGATGGGCTACGACGAGGTGTATCCCAAACTCATCGATCTCGTCCACGAGACTCGACAATACGCCTCTCACTCCTCTGATTCCGAGAGTCTGGTTGTTGGATCTGGAGAGGGCGGGATTGGTGGTGTCAAGAAGCTTCTGAATGAACTCCACACTATGATGGGAGTTGAAGGCTATGACGAAACTCACATCCATCACGATGGTGAGTTCATCACTGTCCACAGAGTCCACCCCAAAACCAGAAAAGGTATCTTCTTGATCGCACATACCGCATTCCCCGGCAATGAGAGTGGCGCCATTCTCGCTCCTACTCATATTGCCGGTACCAGTGCCAAGAATATCGGAACGTGGCAGCTTGAGGTTGATGCCAACGATGAAACAAAGGCGAAGGTCCTGGCAGATGACAAGTACTTGAAAGGTCTTCCCAGCCGTACCCATGACATAGAAGGCACCAAGATCGAGCAAAACGACAAAGGTGTCAAAATCTCCGTACTGGGATCTCTTGTTCCTGGGTCTATCGCTCTTTTTGAGACATGGATTCCCGGCGCAGATCATGCCGATGGGTTTGAAAACAACCTCGCTAATGGCGCGGACGACGCATTCTCTGAGCTCAGCTTGGTTGATCTGAACTTTGTGCTATACCGGTGCGAAGCTGAAGAGAGAGACTCTAGCGACGGTCAGGATGGCATTTACACCATTCCAAAGCATGATCCTATGGTCTATGCTGGTCTTCAGGGCTGGTGGAGTGTCCTTGAGGATATCATCAAGTATAACCAACTAGGCCACCCACTCTGCGATCACCTGCGAGAGGGTCAGTGGGCTTTGGATTACATCATTGGTCGCATGGAGAAGGCGGCTTCCAAGGAAGGATATGTTGCCTTGAAAAAGCCTGCCGCATGGCTTCGTGAGAAGTTCGACACGGTCCGCAACTTGCCCAACTTCCTTTTCCCAAGGTATTTCGCAATCATTCTGCAGGTTGCATACAATGCTGCGTGGAAGAGAGGTATTCATCTCCTTGGAGACAATGTGCGGCACGGCCAGGAATTCATTCATCAATTGGCTATGGTCAGCGTTCAGCAAACTGGCTATGTGAAATCCGCATCCTTGTGGCCCACCAAGATGGTCCCCAGTCTTGCAGCCGGACTACCTCATTTTGCAGTTGACTGGACAAGATGCTGGGGAAGAGATATCTTCATCTCTATCCGTGGCTTATTCCTTTGCACTCAACGGTTTGATGATGCTAAGGAGCATATTATCGCTTTTGCGAGTGTGCTCAAGCATGGCATGATTCCCAATCTGCTGAGCAGCGGAAAATTGCCAAGATACAATTCTCGGGATTCCGTCTGGTTCTTCATGCAAAGTATCCAGGACTTCATTGAAATGGCACCCAACGGCATTGATATCTTGCAAGAGAAGGTTCCAAGACGATTCCTGCCTTATGACGACACTTGGTTCCCCTTCGATGATTCTCGGGCATACTCTCAGTCTCCGACTCTTCTTGAATGCGTGCAGGAAGTGTTCCAAAGACACGCTTCTGGCATGTCTTTCAGAGAATACAACGCTGGTCCCGATCTTGATTGTCAGATGAAGCCCGAAGGTTTCCAGATCGACGTTAAGGTTGACTGGGAAACGGGTCTGATTTTCGGTGGCAACCAGGATAACTGTGGTACTTGGCAAGACAAGATGGGAGAAAGCACTAAGGCTGGAAACAAGGGTTTCCCTGGCACTCCCCGCGATGGTGCTGCTATCGAGATCACCGGTCTCGCCTACAGCGCTCTGGCGTGGCTGGCACGTCTCTACAAATCGAAGTCGTATCCTCATGAGGGTGTGGATATCGGCGATGGTAAGAAGATTACTTTTGCTGAATGGGCCCGCAAGATCAAGGACAACTTCGAGCGGTGCTACTTTGTTCCCCTCGATCCCAGCGAAGATAGTCAGTACGACGTGGACGCGAAAATCGTCAACCGCCGAGGAATCTACAAGGATTTATACAAGTCTGGCAAGCCCTACGAAGACTACCAGCTCCGTTCCAACTTCCCCATCGCGATGTCAGTCGCTCCAGAGCTATTCACGCCCGCAAAGGCTCTCGTCGCTCTATCGATTGCCGACTCCGCAATTGTGGGCCCTGTGGGCATGGCGACACTGGACCCATCCGATCTCAACTACCGTCCAAACTACATCAACTCCGATGACTCTGATGACTTTGCAACTGCTAAAGGTCGCAATTACCATCAGGGTCCGGAGTGGGTCTGGCAACGTGGTTATTTCCTCCGTGCTCTATTGCATTTCGATCTCCTGCGCCGAAAGACGCCCGAGGAACGAACTGAATGCTTCCAGCAAGTCACCCGACGACTTGATGGTTGCAAGAAGGCATTGCGGGAGAGCCCTTGGAAGGGGCTAACAGAGTTGACGAACAAGGCTGGGGAGCACTGTAATGATTCGGTGAGTTACTTTCGTCTTGATATATTTCTCACTTTGTACAATACTAACCAAAAATCTAGTCACCCACGCAATCCTGGTCCGCAGGATGTCTGCTTGACCTCTACTATGACGCATCGAAGCATTCCTAGATTTGGTTTTGGCCTTTGGATACACGACTAATTAGATAATCACATCGCATATTAGATATCATGCATTGAGAGATTTTTTCCAGCGTTTTAACTAGACTCATGGTTGCACCGCGTTATTTTATTGCAATTTAAACTACATGATCTACAGAAAGTATTTCAAAGTTGGGTTAATATAGATGTACAATGCTGTGATGGTTGGTTGCATAGTTCATGCAATGGATGAGTCCCGGGGTTATGCGCATAACTGATGACTCATCCATATGCAGCCGGCGCCGGAAGCCGTCATTGATGGTTTGATGAAAAGCAGAAAAACAAAGGGGAAACTCACCGATTGTTCACAATCATCTCTCGGAAACCAGAACGAAGGACTCGAAGTACAATCGCGGCATAAAAAGCAATCAAATCGTATCCAACAGTTGACCGTCCCATCTCCCTGACGTCAGTCATTTCAGTGATCAATGGAATCCTGCCGCATGCCCTTGACGAACAACTAGCTCCGACAGCCCCTCGCTCGTCGAAACCACCACGGAAACCTGGAGTACGGGGACCCTTTATAAAACAGATTCATGTCTCTTACGGCATCAGCGGCCTCCGCTGCGTTGACGTTGCTTGCCGACAGGCCCGAAGACGGAAGCAAGAGGCCGTGGCGTCCCGACGATCCGGTGAAAGAACAGCGCGATCTGTACACGCAGTTTGTGATTAGCTCTGCGCTGGGTCTCAGCGCCTTTTTGACGTTTTGTGTACGTGTTTTTGTTATTATGAGGTGTGGGTTCTGTTCATTGCTGACTGCTTCGCTTCTAGATCTTGCGACCAAAATGGACCGAGTTGTATGCCGCGCGACGACGACAAAGAAATGCTGCTTCGCGGTTACCTGAGCTTCCGGATACCCTTTTCGGTTGGATACCTGTTCTCCATCGGATTACAGAAGAGGAAGTGCTGCAGTCTGCCGGCCTAGATGCATATGTGGTATGTTAGAATGCTTTGGCTTCTCTACCAGACAATGGATGGACTCTTGCTAACTTAAGTCTCTGGGTAGTTCTTGTCTTTCTTCAAGTTTGCGATCCGATTCCTCTTGGCTGTCTTTATATTCGCTGTCGCCATCATCCTCCCTATGCACTACAAATATACCGGCCAATATGGAGTTCCTGGCTGGGATAACGTCCCCGACAATACGACCATGAGTTCAATTGGTGGAGGCGAAAAGGCAAAGCCAGTTACAGACCCTGCATATCTGTGGATTTATGTATTGTTCGCATATGTCTTCAGCGGCTTGGCCATCTATATGCTTCTTGACGAGACAAAAGTAATCATCCGCACTCGGCAATCCTATCTCGGGAATCAAACCAGCACCACTGATCGCACCATTCGGTTGTCCGGGATCCCAAGCGACTTGGGAACCGAAGATAAGATCAAAGAATTTGTGGAAGGCCTGCGAGTCGGCAAAGTCGAGAGTATCACGGTGTGCCGGAAGTGGCGTGAGCTGGACGAATTGATTGACGAGAGAATGAAAGTCATCCGTGAACTTGAGAGAGCATGGACAAAACATATGGGATACAAGCGCCCAAAGAGCGATGGAAATACTTTGCCACTGACCGAGCAACAACCCCGTGATGCAGACGATGAACGGTCCGGTCTCCTGTCTGGACACGAGAACGAGAATGTCTCGGGTTATTCGAATGAAAGACCCAAAGTTCGTATCTGGTATGGTCCATTCAACCTTCGTTTCCGGCTGATCGATGCAATCGATTACTACGAGGAGAAGCTACGGAAGATTGATGAACATATCCAAAACGCCCGGGAGAAGGAATACCTTACTACCGAGATTGCTTTCGTCACGATGGAGTCAATCGCCGCATCTCAAATGCTTGTTCAAGCAATCCTTGATCCACACCCAATGCAAATGTTCGCTCGACTTGCACCGGCGCCGGCAGATGTTATTTGGAAAAATACTTACTTGTCCCGTACTCGACGAATGGTTCAGTCATGGTCCATCACCTTCGTCATTGGATTCCTCACCGTGTTTTGGTCTGTGCTCTTGGTTCCTATTGCCTCATTACTGGAGCTGAAGACCCTTGAGACGATTGTCCCCCGGCTGGCAGAGTTCCTTCAAGAGCATCCGATCCTCAAGTCGTTGGTTCAAACGGGATTGCCTACCCTCGCATTCTCGCTGTTGACAGTAGCTGTGCCTTATTTGTATGAGTGTAAGTTTTCCATTGAACATATCCCTTCATGTAGTTGTTCAAATCGCTGATTCTCTTTGCAGGGCTCTCGAACAACCAAGGAATGGTGTCACGTGGTGATGTTGAGCTGTCCGTGATCTCCAAGAACTTCTTCTTCTCGTTCTTCAACTTGTTCCTTCTGTTCACTGTGTTTGGAACAGCGAGTGGTTTCTATGGTTTCTGGGAAAGTCTTCGGGATGCATTCAAAGATTCTACAACGATTGCCCTTGCACTGGCCAATTCTCTCGAAGGCCTGGCTCCATTCTACATCAACCTGTTGATTCTTCAGGGGTTGGGCCTTTTCCCCTTCCGACTCCTCGAATTCGGAAGTGTCGCACTATACCCCTTCCAATTCCTGTCCGCCCGCACGCCACGGGAATATGCGGAGCTTTCAACGCCTCCCAAGTTCAGCTACGGTTTCTCCATCCCGCAAACCATCTTGATATTAGTTATCTGCGTGGTTTACAGTGTGTTCCCGAGCTCATGGCTGATCTGCCTATTCGGGCTAATCTACTTCACGGTCGGCAAATTCATCTACAAATACCAACTGCTGTATGCCATGGATCACCAGCAACATTCCACTGGCCGCGCATGGCCAATGATTTGCAACCGCGTATTCTTGGGGCTGTTGGTTCACCAGCTGGCCATGATTGGCGTTCTGGCTCTGCGCCGAGCCATCACCCGGTCGTTACTTTTGGTGCCACTTCTAGGCTTCACCGTTTGGTTTTCATACTGGTTTGGTCGTACATACGAGCCCTTGATGAAATTTATTGCTCTCAAGAGTATCAATCGAGACCAGCCGGGTGGTGGCGACATCTCCCCCTCGCCTTCATCGACCCTCTCACCGCCATCAGGCCTGGATCGCGATCGCCTTCCGATACGCATTGGCGGACAGGACCTCGAATTGCGGCTAAAGAAGTACGTCAACCCGAGCTTGATTATCCCGCTGCATGCTGCCTGGCTTCCCGGTCGCAACCCCGCTCGAGACAATGGGAATGGCGCGTCCGCGTTCGAGGTTCATCAGACACAGAATGTTTGATCTCACGGGTTGTGTGGATTTCAAGTTCGCATGATCTACCCTCGTGCTGTTTGTCTATACACTCTTTTTTTCTGCATATGTTTTTACCCATCATGTTTTACGATCTTAATACCTCGTTCGCATTTCACTATCTTGTTCTGATATGTTTTCATGGTTATGATATCCTTGCGTGATATGTTTGCTTTCCTTTTGTCGGGCTCGTCTCGTCTGTCCCTCGCTATTATTCCCCTCCCGCGCAGTAGTTGAATTTTGTCATTTGATTTCCCAGTCCTTTCATTTATGTGTTTCAGTGTTTATGTCAAAGTCGAATGTAGAGCCCGTATGATACTGGCGATCCCTGAATTTTGTCGCTTTCTAATAATGTGGTCTATCTTACCGTCAGGCATGAGCGGCTGCCTTTCGGACTCACCATCCAGGCTCCAACCGAGACACATCTCGTATCTTGGATTCCTCGGTAAAGATATCGGGTTCGCTTAGGTTGACTCTTTTCTCGCATTCCTCAGTTTCAAATTAAGCCCGCGGGAAACGTGGCAGTGTCTGAGCACAAAGTCAATACATGGTCTAACCGAAGAAAGAGCGGGTGAGAAAGCTGAACCCTTATGTTTCCTCTAGCGAATGCAGAAGTATTTAGATGGATGTAATTTAGTACAATTGTCCAAACAAAAAGTGTGTCCAAGTGATTGAGTTCAATGAGGCGGCCTGAGACATCATTCTGCTAGGTAGGGGTCACATCACAATTGTGACCTGTAGACATCGATATTAAAACAATACAGTATGCGTCCAGTAGCCCTTCTTTGCATCCGAAGATTGAATTCGAAATTCGGTTCGATCTAACCTCCAGCGCGGACATACCTCGAACACCTACAGAATCGCTGTCTTCTGGAATCCCTGGGGTCCACATGGTCGGGGCGCATTCCTGAGCAGTGGGGGATGGCACAGTTGTCTCTCTTGCGGTGAGGAGATGAAACAGTAAGAAAAGAACAAAGACAAAACAAACTATCCTTGGGGGTTGAGGAATGTGGGATATGTCGAACTAAATACTAATTGTTCAAGGATCTTAGTATTGTCTTATTGTTGTGATCATCATCACACGATTAGAGACATCTGCATGTAAGCGGTGAGGTTCGACAGAGTGCCAAGGCATGCGCTGCATCCGGGGCGCATTCCTTAATTCTCTTTTCCCGAGATCCTCTGGAATGTCAATGTTGCAGATTGATAGTGGGTTCTGGGTTGGACATTGAGGACTTTTTCTTGGATTGTAACCGGGGATCCAAGGCTGCTACGGTGCCTTAGTAAGTGGGATTATTGAATTGAACCATGGAGCGAAGTGGAAATACTTTCGATGCATAAAGTTAAGCTTGGTAGTTCGGCCCATGGGTCACTAAACCCTAACCCCGTTGCCCTCCAGAGGCCCCAAATGTCCATTCCAGAATGGAATGGCAGTAGCTGCATTTACTGCATGACTGCGTGATTGTAATTGTACTAGTATTAATCACCTACCTAAATAGGTAACTATATTCTTTTCTTACATGTCGCTTGACGTGCTCCACTTTTGGTTGGATTTCGACGAGGTACATCTCAGGCGCCCTAGAATCGTTCTATTTTGTAAGTGTCGACGTCAGAACGGCTAATTGTACTTGGAATTAAATAGATGGCAAACTTAGTTAACTTAGTTAACTTAGTTATCGCCGCTGGAAATGGTGAGGTGCAGTATTTAATTAAACAAGTCAGACCCTTGCCTCGCCCTCGAATCTCTCGGGTTTCATTTTGTCGTATCAAATTCCCGTCGCTGCACCACCGCTTTCAGACGTGAGGCCGATACAACCTTGCACTTAGCACGTACTTCATTCTAACCTTAGTTCACAGGCTGTGTATAAACTTTTCTTAAAAGTGAGTGAACTTTCTTCTTGAATTAAAATTACTGCCAATTCGGGATCTTGAGATTGCAGCTCAGTGGGCTTACTAGTGTTCTAGACAATTCATCCGCAGCTAGACACTTAGTACTGTATAGACTTGATTGTGTGGAGAAATCATTTCCCTCGCGTCTTTGCGTCACTCAATTGCGATCTTGGATCTTGTTACTCCGAGTATCTTCACCTGCCGAAGGCACTTCTGTTCTGAACACCAATCACTTAATTGCCGTCAACTTCGCATTGATTCAATTCCAACATCTGATTTCCAAGCAATGTTCTGGAATTGAACAAAGAGACTGAGATCCAGTGGTAAATATTGGATCACTCTCTTTGCTGGAAAGGTGTATCAACATGCCTGCGCTGCGGTCTTCGAGTCAAGACTATGCCCGTCAGATGTCCACAAATGCCTCCGTCATGCACACCAAACGAGGCTCAACGAGGTCAATTCCCTCGGATTTGAATAAGTCCGGGACTAAATACATGTCGAAGGCTCGAGATCTCTCAAAATGCAATTCGACAAGCATCTCATCCCCTCCCGCTGCAAACATTGCACCAGCAGAGATCCTACTGGAGATTTTCTCCATGCTGACACCACGGGACTTCGACAATGCCCGGCGGACATGCTCACAGTGGATGCGGGTCAGCCTAAACCACAAGCTACTTGAGAACATGCTGAAAAGAGCAGGGTGGTGGGATGCATGGCTGCAAGACCGCCAAACGCCACGCATCTCCCGGTTAGATGAAAGCGAGGTCTGGAGAATGAGCCGCCGCTTTGCGACAGAATGTCTCCTTTCGGGGCGAAAGTTGAATGACGAGAAGCCGGGTTTTTTGATTACCGCCGTGGTAGACTTTTCAAGTCTATCTAATTCTACTAGAAGAACATCCCGCCGCACTCGACCTGAGCAGGTTTTGCAGATGACCGAAGGCAAAAGTTCGGGGGTGTCAACCTTCAGCATTAGCAGCTGCAGTAACTATCTGCTCGTGACGACAGGCTGCATGATCTATATTTATTCTCTTTCGGGTCGAAAGTCTAGGCCAATATCTGCAACAGACTTCGGCGATGATGACTTGGCGCTAGTCTCGCGCATCTCGTGTCCCTTTGATATTCTCTCGGCCGCCATCGACACCAGCAAGCCCCAATTCACCATCGCTGCATTGCTTTGCAACCGCGTTGGCATGATTTGCAACTTGGATATGGCTTGGGCCAAAGACTCAGCTACCAAGGGATCTCGTTACAATAACAAAATGGCTACCTCATCCCCCCACTTCTTCTACAACATCTGCACAGTGGACAACCCACCCCGAACAGTTGCTCTCTGTCCTGGCCGGCCGATCGTCGCCTTCGGCTGCGCCGCGGGCATCGAAATCCACAGTGTGAATGGAACAAAGCGCAATGAACAGCGCAAACACTTCAGCCTCCCACAACCCTCCGAAATCCTTCATTTCCTCCCAAGTAGTCCAGAAACACCCAGCGAGCTACGTCTCATTTCCTCACTCTCCGGGCCAGGCGTGCACGAGTGCAAATGCCCCCCTTCGCCCTCCCCTTCATCTTCATCCTCGGCATCATCACCAAAACTCGACCAAAAGAACAACCAATTCCATTTCCTCGCAGATATCCAGTCCTTCAACCGCCGCCGCATTCCCCACACCCCATCCCGCAGCTTCATCCGCGCAACACACTGCCACCACTATCGTGCCGTCCCCATCAACGACGGTTTCCACATCATGTTCATCGAGCCGCGCACAAGCCTACTATGCATCGGCACCGACGCCCCAATCGGCGGGTCAACAAGCCTAACTCGCGCATTTGTCTGCGTTCCGCCGCCTTTCTCAGACGCCCAAGATGGACAAATCAAGACACCACCCCCATCTCCATCTCCCTCAAACACAACTCCGCCTCCAGCAGACCTCCCAGTGCCCACAACCTTCACCGCGGGCTCCGACCTCCGCTGGGGCCTCCGTGTTGTCGCAGCCTATGGCAACCGCCTCGTGCTGTACTCCATTCCCTTGGATGTATTCAACGTGATCCGAAAAGAGCGTGAACGTCAGGCCGACGGGGCAATGGGCGCCAGCGATCTCGCGCTCGACTGGTACATTGACTCGGAGCGGTCCCGCAAGCAGAGCGAGAGTCTGGTGCAGAACCAGAATGGGGATTGGGAATTCCTTTTGTCTATCTCATATCGGCCTACGGCTATGATGTGGCCGTTTAAGATCTATGGCAAGGAGATTGGGTCTGTTAAGGGGACTGTCGAGCTTGCTTTGCAGTCTTCTGAGGGTAGTGTAAGGGTTTGGGCTTTTGGGAAGAATGGTAAAGGCACGGTTTTGGATGTGGATACTGGTGATACTCCCACTCGGTCTCTTGGTGTTGGTTCTGATGGGGGATTGGAGGATTTTGGGATCGCTCAGAAGGTTGGTTTGGGTGGACTGCAGGGTTCGAGGAAACGGAAGTTCGAAGAGGTCAAGACTGGGTTTGCGGGTCGATATGGCGCTGGTCGCTATTCGGCTGATGGAGTGGATGTCAAGCCCTGTGCTGCTGGTGTTCACGGAATACATCAGGATCCGTCTGTTCGGCGTTCATCTTTTGCCGCTTGCATTATAGACTTTAAGATTCCCTTGTATTAATATAATATGCTGTGAATAATGCTCTCCTCAGTTGTCCAGGTGTCCAGGTCATGTCGTTGTAACTAGCTGTTTGCATTCCTTCCTCTTTCGTCCCCTCTTGTCTCTTCTTTCCCTCTCTCTCTCTCTTCCTCTCCCTTCATCATCCATCTCTCTTCTCTTGCATTCTCTCATCTCCCTTTTCCATCCAGTCTGTCTCTTCCATCTTCCCTGCTTATCCAAGCCTTCGCTCTTCTCGCCTTTCACTCTCATTTCACCTTCCAGGGTCCTTCTTGGAAAACTTTCTTAACGGATTCCATATTTTGACATAGTAAGTCGACATCCATGGATTGTATTATAATCAATTACCCTGACCACTTTCACCTAGATCTGTCATCTACGATGGATTCAACCCCACTCGCCCGCCTCCCTCAGGACTGCTGGATACAGATACTAGAGTATCTGCCAAAACAAGATTTGAATAATCTGTCACGAGTTTCCCACGACACTCGTGCCTCAGCCGAGCCTTTCCTGTATCGATCAATCCACTGGAACTGGAAGAATCCCCCGGTCCACAAAATCTTGCTCCTCCTCCGGACTATCTCCGAGCGACCAGAGTTGGCTTACTACATCTGGCATGTCAGTTTGGTATGGTGGGACGTGGAATCCCAGGGAAAAGCGCTTTCCATCCCCAAAGGAGAGGGTAACTGGACCAAGATGATGCTACAGTTTAGGCCCACTTTGAGATGGGCCCGGAAGGTTGTTCGAGACGCAAAAGTCTCGGCAAAACTCGACACCAAATGGCTCGGACGACTGTTTGATGGAGACGCCTATGCCTACGCTACACTGCTGGTATCGCTACTTCACAACCTTCGCAGCCTTCGGCTGGACTTTTCATTCCTGCTTGAAGGGGGCTTCCCAGGGGAGATATTGCATCATTCTCTCTTCGGCAACGCACCCCGCATATTAAGTCGCTTCTCAAAATTAGAAATGGCCGACTATGGAAGCAATTTTCCTCTCAAAGAATTCCCCGGCGGTATCAGAATCGGCAGGACCCATCAATTCATCCCCTGGTTCCACCTTCCTTCCTTGAAGGTTCTCGAGATATGGCTCTATAGTGTGGAGGGAATCTACATCTTTCCTGGACAGATGCCGAAAAAATCCTTGAATTTGTCAAACCTGCGCAGTCTTGTTATTGCCAAGACACATGTTTTGCCTGAGGACATTGCCACATTGCTGTCTCATGTGCCATATCTGGAGTCCTTACATGTGGGCATGGCCTACAAATGCCGAGCAACAGCCGAGTTTCTCAGGAAGCCTGAGCGCCTCCTTCGTTCCTTAGAAACTTCGGGTCAAGCAATCAAACATCTTTCTATCAGCATGGAGCTTCTTCCATGTTGTGCAGAGACCTTCCATGTACAGGCGATGAATGAAGCTGGTAAGCCTTTTCGTGGCATTTTGAAGAAGTTTCCCAACCTGAAAACGGCATCTTTGCCGCTCCACTTTCTCATCGGTTGGGGTACAACGACCTACGAGCTTCGAGATGTACTGCCATCCACTCTCGAAGCCCTTCATATCAGGCCTGATCTCTGGCGAACCTCACACCTAATTGAATTCGAAGTGGAAGCACTTAAGACATTAGAGGAATTCATGAGACACAAAGAGAGTGGCTCCCATCCTTCTCTTACAACTTTCTCCTACCAAGGACAGCATGATTATGATAGTGATCTGCTCATTGCTCTGGGCTTCCCTGTCGATTTTAACTACAACTACTTGGTTAAGCGGGAAGCAATGAATCTCTTCTGTCGCAGGAAAAGGTACAATCTGTTTTCTCGATATTCTGACTGCACACCTGGTTTCATGTTGAGGAGTGTGACCTTGGTAAAGAACGTCGTTTACTGGTTCCCTTGGCCGTTCGTTAGGGTCGATGAGCTCCCCGAAAGCATGCCTAGACATTTCAGAACCAACATCGATCACATCATCGGATGGGGAGTCAACTGATTCCAATCCAAATGATGCAAGTCCAACTGATGTGAGCTCCTCTGATACGAACTGGACTGATCTCAAGTTGACGCGCATCCAACTGATGGTCAACATGTAATTTGATTGTATCGATAGCCAGAAAATCTCCATAACAAATATGATCCATCTTCTCTTTTTATTATCCCTGAATATAATCTTCCAGCCAAGCTATATAAGCATTTTAGGCCAGGTCCCGAGGTCGGCTTCAACGAGAGAGCCGTGGACCCTGATGACGGCATAGGGCTAATTTCGGCCCCATATCTCCACTATAAATCAGAATTCGTACAATACTATAGTAAGTGGGATCTTTGCTATGTATTGCCCCAAGGTGGAATTGAGCTTCAAGGCCGAAAGAAGTAAAATCATTGAACTTTTTATCCACTTTGACACGCTTATGAAATGCCCCGTCGTAATTTAACTTGAATATCTCAACACAGCTTATTTCGTTTCCGATTTCTCGCGACGAGCGCGAACACCTTGAGCCAGAGTTTCCAGTACTGACTCGGTATCCTCCCAGTTGATGCAAGCATCCGTGATACTGACACCGTACTTGAGACCAGCCTTGCCCTCCGCGGGGACCTTCTGGTTGCCTAGCGCAAGTCAGCATAAACAGTTTGCTATGGATAGCAAAATTTCCGAAAGACTCACCCTCGTTGATGTTACTCTCAATCATAACACCCATAATAGCATCCTCACCAGCAGCAAGCTGCTCAGCAAGCACAGCAGCGACCTTAGGCTGGTTCTTGTGGTTCTTCTCGGAGTTACCGTGGCTGCAGTCAACCATAAGACGGGGACGCATGCCCTTAGCAGTAAGCTTCGACTTGGCCTCAGCGATGCTGGCAGCATCGTAGTTGGGGCCCTTCTTGCCTCCGCGAAGGATAACGAAGCAATCAGGGTTACCGACTGTTCCCACAATGGAAACAACACCGGGCTTTGTGACGGACAGGAAGTGGTGTGGGTGCTTGACGGAGCCAATAGCATCAACAGCGACATCGAGCGAGCCGTCGGTGCCGTTCTTGAATCCAACGGGGAAGGACAGACCGGATGAAAGCTCACGGTGGACCTGGGACTCGGTGGTGCGGGCACCGACAGCACCGATCGACAGACAGTCTGCCAGGAACTGGGGGGAGATTGTGTCGAGCATCTCGCTGGCGATGGGCATGCCTTTGTTGGTTAGGTCAACGAACAGCTGGCGCGATACGCGGAGACCCTTGTTGATCTTGAAGCTGTTGTCGATATCCGGGTCGTTGATCAGGCCCTTCCAGCCGACGGTTGTGCGGGGCTTCTCGAGGTACGAGCGCATCACGATCAGCAGCTCGTCGGCGTACTTCTCCTTCATCTTCAATAGGCGGTCGCAGTATTCGAGGGCCATTTCTGGGTCGTGGATGGAGCATGGTCCGATCACTACCATCAGACGCTGGCGCTTGGTATCTGTGCCATGGACGATCTCGACGGCTTCATTACGGCCCTCGAGGACGGTCTGTCGTGACTTCTCGGTCAATGCGATCTCATGCTGGAGGAGATTGGGCGGGGTGAGAGGGTTGTAGCCAAGAACTAAAGCTGTTAGAGACCAATTACGAGTAAAAAAGACGGTCAGACTTACTGCGAGAGTCTTCCAAATGACTGTGGTTGCCCACATTAGGGTTATCAATGAAGAACTGTGGAATTGGCGACGTCAGAAATGTGAAATTCAAAATCAATGAGGGGCTTGACTCACCGACATCGGAGGGGGAGGGAGGGGGATGAAGAGAGGGAGGGCAGGTTTTAAAGGGCAATTGGGAGAAATCAAGGTAATTGGAGTGAACAGAAGAAGATCAATTTCTCAATAATGAAAAATAAAGTGAAACAGCTCGTGAATGAGTCAAAAGCTCCCAGTATAAAGAATTTCCACGTGATCCTCGGTGAACTTAGCCCGGCGCTGGAGTTCCAATCACGGCGAGCCCATTTATAAAAAAATGTGGGAAAATGTGGACTAAAACATATTAATATTATATGATATTGCTATAAGAATCTGGCCACTTGCATGCGATACAGCTCAGCCTTGTCTCATCCTCAAAATAATACATATATCCTGTGATTTCGCCTTACCCCCGCGTCTTTCAGATTGGCCCTTGTTGCACCCGACGGTCGAGCTCCTGCAGTCCGCGAACCAGGTCTTGACATATATCTGCATGTTGTTCCTTGACAGATTGCATTTGTTGCCGGTATAGCTGCATTCGTGCTTCTTGCGCCTGGAACAGGTCATCAAGAATCCGACTACACCCCTCTCGGTAGATCTCCAGGACTCGACTGACAGTGGCCTTTTCTGCCGCCAACTGAGTGGACAAATGCTATATCCCAGTTAACACGGTTCCAATCATAAAGAATTTCGACTAACCGAATTGGTTTGCTGAAGCAGGTGGTGCGCGTCCTTCTGGGCCACTTGCAAAGTTGATATCCATTCCATATCGTCATGACCGCCCATCGTAGAGGATTGGTGCGATTTAGCAGCTGGCTGTGCTGACCCTGATATATCTGTTCGGAACGATTGGTCAAGATACTCGTGATTCTTTGAAGGAGCACCACCTAATGCTCTCTCGCCGATCGTTCTCTGTGAACTTGGTCCATTTGTCGATGCTTTCTCGGACTTGGCCCCATCAGCAGTACCCTCCTGGGAAAACGATGGCTGGTGCTTTTTAGGCGACGGCCATGGGTGAGATCTCGCCAGTTTTTCCGTTTGGATCCCATATTCCAGGAACATGTCTCTCTGGAACTTGGTCCACATGAGCTTCTCATATTTACTCTCGGTGGAAATACTGCATGAGCTTCGACCGTATTCACTTGGGCTGTTGTCCGTGACACTGATTGTCTCTTCGTGGCCCTTTTCACCATCCAGGTCAAACTGAGGTGCAACCATGCTCTTGGCTGACTGGGTCATGAGTCGAGGACTACCGTTACTGTCGACAATGCTGGTCTTTAGAACTGATTTTGGGAGCTGGGGAGACGTGGAATTCAGTTCCATGAGGGATTCATTGGTGAGAAGAGGTTTTTGAGACTCCGGAGTATGGCTAGACCCACGTCCCTCAATCCGTCCTGTGAGATATTTTTCTACATTCGAAATCTCCGATGAGCTATCCGCCTGGCTTTCGCAGATGTTAGTGGCGTGTGAAGAGGTGGTCGGTGCAGATCTCATGGGTTGCAAGGTTGCAAATCCGGGAATATGTTCCATTTCCATGTGATAATCAAGGATCGAAGGGCCGTTGCCCATCAAGCCTCTGCTGGCTTCAAATTCTGAAGAGCTCGCTGTAGTGGACAACCTGTCATCGCCCAGGAGCTTCCAGAAGCTTGCGTCATCTGCCTGTTCTATCTGCACTTCCGGAAGTATTTTGGCAATCATTGCTGGATTGACAGTCTCAGGCTCAGTTTGGTTTTGAGGCATTTTAACTGGAATTGCTGTGTCCAGTACGCTTTCAGCCTTTGGGTGTTCCAACACTGTGTCGGCCGGCATTTGGTCGGACTGCTGCTTTTTGGGAGATCCCTCTGGTTGCACTGGATCAGATGAGATGATGAGAGGTGCAGTTTTATCATTGACTGCTTCGTGCTGATAAGGCTCGGCTCCATGGAGCGCAAGCATCAGCTTGTTGCCAACGCTCTCTGCTCTACCATGATGTTTGGATTGACTCTTTTCATGAACCGCCTTGCTCTGACTTCTTCGTCCCTTTGGAAGTGCCCTTGACTCCAGGATGGTGACCTTTGAAGTAGTCGTGCGAGACGGTGCTTTGGGATCGACGTCGGAGCTTGAGGATACCTCGGACATCACATGAACAGCTTTGCCTTTGTTTGTTTGTCCATTGGACTGTGCCCGATGCTCTAGGATGCTAACTTTTGAAGTACGGGATGGCCCTTTGCCATGTTCTTCGAAATCCGAGGATGAATCGGTTGTCACCGATGTGCAGCTTCTTATCTCGACGAACACACCCCCGTCACTGTTGTTTCCATGCTTGTTGTGGCCATCTGTCGGTGGCGAAGGTTGGTGTGCAGCTTCGGGCACATGCTCATTGCGCTTCGTGGGATCATCTTTGCTTTGCCCATCCAAGGGACCCATATCGGAAGGCCCACTATCACCCAGAGGGGCTGCAGGAGGCAAAGTGCTTGCAGTAAGGGTTACCAATGGCAATTGCAGCCCTCTGGTGCTGCCCTCGTTGGTAGTAGTGCTCTTCCTCGTGTTCGATTTTCTGCGTTTGGCCGAGGTTGTTTGTGGCTTTGATGGCATTGCTCGCTTGCTTGCTGTGTTTCTGCTAAGTGTTTTCGGTCGGTTCGGGTCTGTATCGGCAACGGAGATTCCTCCGTGAGTCCCTTTATTCTCAACTATCTCGTTCGGTGTAGGGCGAAGATCTTCATCCCAGTCCACTTCTTGGGGATTGGATTTGGGCGGCCTTGGTTTTGTGAGCTTCAATCGAACAATCTTCGACTCCGAAGGCTGGGATGGAGGGGCTTTGGGCTTTGGGCGACCTGGGCCTGTGAGGCCGTATCCCGAAGTGGCTGGGTTTTTGACAGTCGCCTTGCTCCCTGTGTCTGGGTTAATTCGTGCAGATGAGCCCTGAACTGGCTTCATGGTTACTATCGGCATACACCTGGAATCAGAACATGAAGATGGGATGTAAGAGAAAGTGTGCTCTCCAGAGCTGCCCAGCTGATGAGGGTGCTGAACTAAGCCCAGCTCCAGCATACGGCATGGATCACATGATACCTCAACTATAACTTCAATGTCCTAATATTATATACATAATGAATATAGATCGTGGATAATCAAAGGTTGATTTTCAGATAGATCAAGATACCTAGCTCTCGTTTTAGTTGATTTCTGTTGATCCTCTTACAGTTAGGTAGCTGAGGATGAGTATACTAATCGCTATGTTCTTGAAGAATCTACATTATTGTAGTCTAATTGCCCTTGAATAGATCTTGGATTTCGAGATTGATAAATCTAGATACTGGGGAAGCAGAAATGTGTTCTATTTTTATCTCACGTTGCGTGCTTGTTATATATTTGAGATCATATCAAAAGCACCTGCTTCCCCATAATATTCTTCCCCATACACCTCAGACCAGATCCAACTCAACTACTATCCTTAACTTACCTCCCACTATCTCTCGGAATTAATGTATCTACAACAGTTGTACAATCCTCATCGATCCGATCGGCCCGTGCAAGCTCCGCGATCCGGGTGTGATCCACGATTAATAATCGCCGCCATTCGATCTGGTTCGCTGACAATGCATCAATTCATGCGGCTGGGGGCTGGGAAACTTTATAAATGTTTAACTTACGCCTAACAACCCTGGTAACTGCCAGGTGTCACGTTCATACGCCCAATATTGCGTTATAGGTCTGCACAATGGCACAACAAGCGCCACAACCCGACGAAGATGCGTCAGCTTCTCGATTCCGGCTCAACGCAACCCAGCCTCTAGACCGGCTTCAAGGGCTTCTCCCCGCTGCCATTGCTAAGCCTGCGAAGGTCGAACTTGATGCCGAGCCTATTCCCAGAACAAATGTTGAACGCCGTCGAGCCTCAGTTGTCACTGCTTCCCTAGATCAAGATGAGACTCTTCCCGAGCAGATCTCCACGCAGCAGGAACACGGGATTGGTGTGTCGGAAACTGTCGCCAGGGATGAGACGGTTCTCTACCTCGCGTATGGGTCAAACTTAGCTTCCAAGACTTTTCGCGGAGTGCGCGGCATCAAACCTCTCTCGCAGATCTGTGTGCTTGTCCCCGAACTCCGTCTCACCTTCGATCTTCCGGGAGTACCGTACGCAGAGCCGTGTTTCGCGGGCACACAATACAGAGATATTTCTCCTCCGGCATACGACGAGACCGAACTCCAAGATGACGAGACAGATTTGTACCTGTCAGAAAAGGCAGCGCTCATGGGTCGAACACGGCAGGTGGAGGTAGTCTCGGGTTGTGACAAGCGTCAATGGCACAAACCTCTAGTCGGAGTCGTCTACGAAGTTACACTAGCCGACTACGCGAAAATTATCGCCACAGAGGGCGGTGGTCGTGGATACCGCGACTGTGTCATCGATTGCCATCCCTTCGATCAATCCTACAAGCCCTCCGACCTCGTCCCAGATTACCCCACCACACCAGCTTTCAAGGCACGCACTCTGCTCTCTCCAGCTGCGGACGATGCCCGCTTTAAATCGCAATTCCAGAAAGGCGATGCCGCGCTGCTGCCCAGTGGTCCGAAGCTGTCGTGGTGGTATACCGTCTGCTTGCATTTCCGGCCGGATCCTAACTACGCTCAGCCGTCTGCCCGTTACCTCGGGTTGATCAAGACTGGTGCTGCGGAACATGATCTGCCTGTTTCATATCAAGAATATCTTGCCCAGATCAAAACTTATCATATTACAACCACGCGCCAGAAGATCGGGAAAGTGATCTTCTTGGCTATATGGGCGCCTTGGTTGATTTTGACCTTGGTACTATCCAGGATATTCGCAGGTCCTGATGGTCGTATTCCACCGTGGCTGGTCGCTCTGGCCAATATCACGTTTTCGGGTGTGTGGAATAGCTATGATTGTTTCTTCGCTCCTGTCTTTGGGGATGGCGAGCGGACTCTAGATGATACCCAGGCCTGAAGTTGCTGATGGGCCCTTTTTGATGGATTTTATAGCTGTGTAGATTCTTGCATACATGTATACAACAATTAGAAAATAATCACTGTACACCGCTCATCTCAATGCCACGTCGCAGAAGATACCATATCATATTCCTATGATACAGACATGCACAGTAGTACAGACATAAACTGCAACTCCAGAGACTTATATGTAATAGTCTCATCTGTCATAATCACAAAGGAAATTAAATTCAGATGACTCCTCGAAGCACACAGTTTTCGAAAGGAAATGAAAAAAAGAATATATCTAGGATACAGATACAGGTGTTCGGGGAGCGTTCTAACAAAACACAGACACAGCGACCAATAGATAGACACAAAAATGACGAAACAGAGAGGCCTCTTTGAAGCACCTGTATCAAAACCGGGGATGTGTTATGGGTTCCCCAGGTCGTACCGGCCCCTTCAGCCTCTCACGTTTTCCCACCCAAAGAAGGCCTTGCTGCAACATTTAACGGCGGGGGCCGATCGGGGGGCTGTACACGACCTTGCGGGTCTTGAGAGGGGCCCACTTGTAGCGCTTAACCCAGACGGAGACGGCGAACAGACCGGTAAGGAGGACAACGGCCTTGACACCCATCTTCTTGCGCTCGTCCATCTCGGGCTCGGCGGACCAGTTCAGGAACTCGACGACATCCTTGGCCATCTGGGAGGTGGTGGCGGGGGTACCATCCTCGTACTCGACAACACCGTCGAACAGGACACGGCCCATGGCAATACCTATCACTGAGTCAGAAACGCTAAAAGAAAAACAATATTATGGGCTTGTCGTTACGTACCGGTACCGGGGAAGTAAGGGTTGAAGTTCATGCCCTCGGCGACGGCAGCACCAGCGGGAGGCTCATCGGGGTAACCGGTGAGCAGGTTGAAGATGTAGTTGCAGCCACCGTGACGGCCCTTGGTGATCAAGCTGAGATCGGGAGGAAGAGCACCACCGTTGGCGGCACGAGCGGCCTCCTCGTTGGGGTAGGGAGCGGGAATGTAATCAGAAAGCTTGCCGGGGCGCTTCTCGATGTTGCCCTCGTTGTTGGGCTCGGTGTCGTACTCGTTCTCCTCGGCGAAGGCCTTCATCTCATCAACGGTGTGCATGGTGCCAACCATTGAGCGCCATGGGACACGAGTGAGGGAGTGGCAGGAGGCGCAAACCTCACGGTAGACCTGGAAACCACGGCGGAGACTTGGACGGGGTCAGTACATGTATGCTGGCGAGAGCAAAAATATGACTTTGGGGAAAGAGTACTCACGCGGCGTGATCGAAAGTCTTGTTGAACCGCTCGTGCACCCAAGGGTACTGAGTGGCGTGGAGTCTGGATAAAATCACCTGTTAGCTTCCACCATTGTTCTCAACCTGGATCGCACAATGCTCGGCTTCACCGAAGCCACAAGTACGGCGATCCTCCTGGGCAATTTCACTCACCCCTCCTCAGCAGGTGTCATGGCGAAGGCCTCCTGGCCATAGAGGTGGTAGTACCATGCGGTGGAACCGGCGGCGGCGGCAGTTGCAAGCGCAGCAGTGAGTGTGAGGTAGAAGGGGGAGCTGGCGGCCTCGGCGCCGGCAGCGGTGGAAGAGGCACGCTGTTGAAGGTTAGCAACGGAGCCCTTCTGTGATCCAATGGAGATTCAAGGAATCGATTGTCCTCTTCCGTGAAGGTCAATGGGTGAGGGCGTACCGTGGACTTCCCGAGGGACTGGCGGGCGATGGCCCGGTTGGACGCGCGCAAAATCGAACGTCCCAGCATGACGAAGTTTAACCCAAGCAATTGAATATGATTGGGAATGGGTGCCGTATCGCCAAAGCGAGAGAGGGGTGGGTGGGGAGAGGAGTGGGATGGTACAGGAGAGAGGTGCTGGAGGTTGAGGTCGAAGTCGAAGAAACTTGACATTGATGATTACCCCCTTGCTCTGATTGGCTCCCGGCCACGCTAGAAAACCGACTCTCGGAACATCGCAATTCTGCTGACTTAAAATCCATTGATCTATATAAAAATATACTAATTGATTACAATAAATCATTGTATTCTGTCTATAGCTTCTTTGTCTTCTTCTGGTCTTGTGTTCTCGTTTTTTTTTCCTTCGGTTGTGCGTATCCCGGGATTCACCGAGAAAAACACATGTGCACGCATCACCGGAACAACAGTGTTCTATTCGAATATAGCTAGAAGATCTTCAAATCAGGTTGCTAATTACTAGCTATATATATCAACTAGTCTATCTTTCCCCCAACATTTACTATCTTCCTCGAAGGTCGGGGTATCTCGGGATCTTCCCTATACCTCCATACATAGCTAAGTATTACTACAGCTATAATTAGCTATATCAACTTGAATTTCAAATATTATAACATCGGGATGAATTCTACTTATCTGTTTGAATTTACACCTTCAATTGGATTAGGAAACAGTGAGTATTGGGGATCATGTTCTATGCTAAGTCTTAACCCGATGTATATATTTAGCCACCAAGTTGCTCCAAACATCTCCAATTTTTGTAACTCCCTCTCTTCTTGGATACCCAGTCGCCATGTTTGAGCTTTCGACAACATCAGAAACCAAATACCACCCAACTCTCTTATTTACTTTCAATTGAAGAAAGCCCGACTCGTCTACTTCGTACAGATGTACCCAATATGGGAGAGCGGTGTACATTTTGCCAGTCGGGGGAGGCGGCGGCGTTGGACCCTGTCCGTGCGTGATCGTGCAGCATTGGAATGTGGTTCCTGATTTGCAGTTGAGAAATAAGTCGTTAGATGCGAAGATGTCTACATGAGAATTTGACACCAAATATACCCCGAAGACGCTGTGTCTGCTCGATATCGAGACCGGACCACCCCCAACAAACCCGCGGGACAGCTTGGAGCAAGTCCGAGGCTGCCTCAAACCCGAGCTCCCAACGAGTGCTCTCTCTTCCGATGAAGAGTCCAGGAACACAACATGTCAGGTGCAAAAAAAGGGCCCACGGCCGCAGCTCGGCCACGAAGAGATGTGCTGGCCTCGCTGCGCATGGCATCAATGGAAGACATCTCTAGAGCTGCTCTTCCGGCAGGTACGTGAGATGAAGGCATGCGGTGGTTGGGGAAACACTTGCTGACAGGAGGACAAACAGAGATCGTATCCTCTATTCTTGACCACGTCGGCCCCGTTGATCTGATCCGAGCAGCACGGTCCTGCAAGCTTATGCACGAGATGGCGTATGATGACACTCGATGGGTACACAAGTTGAAACGAATTGGGTGCTGGGACGAAGCAGATGCTAGAAAGCATGCCGAAGTGGTATTTGGGACAGTCGCCAACATGGAGGTCGTCGAGCAGCTAGAGGAGGCTGAGCTGGGCGATGCACCAGTCCCTGCGATCACTGTTAACGATGACCCTTCCAATGACCTGAAAGCAATATCCGATGGATTCGATAAAATTGAATTAGTGAATACCGCGTCGCAGCCCAATATGTTACAGGATCTGCTGGATGAACCTGTCCTGACGGTGTTGAAAAATGTCCGGTCAATCCGGGGAGAGGCGCGTCAGGAATACGGCAAGATACATGCTGCACTAGCACCGTTTTATGAGGACATCGCGATATCTGGACCATCATCTGAAAACCTGGTTTTCTCGAAATACAAAGATCCCCAGGCCCAGGCGCAGATACTGGCACAGTTGCTAATGTTCTCCAAATCTGATATGACGCAAGGATGGGACGAGCGGGTGGACCGTTTAGAGCGTACAGTCTCGATGTTTGAGACTGCTGCGTTGAAGGAGTTCCGTCAAGGGTATGAAACAGACGACATTGACGGGACCATGCGGAAATACGCACATATTCTATGGACCCTCAACGGTGGGCAAGCTGCCGTGGACCTCTTTATCCATCACAATCACCTGATGACTCGGAAGTCCGACCTAGGAAGCGTCGCTTCCTGCATTGACGGTTCGACAGGCCAGATCAAACTGGAGCAGACGCAGGCTTTCTTCACACGTCTCAGTGTCGCCTTCAACGATGAAATATCCATTATGAACCGCGTCTTTCCCCCGGCCTTGGACGTCACATCAACCTTTATGACAAAAGTTGGCCAAGACGTGTTGTATCCTTTCCTCACGGCAATATTTGACGAGTTGCATCGCGTCAGCATCGACTCATACCTCACTGCAGTCTCGACGACCTTTGTCCAATGTATGAACCTCTCGGAGGCTCTGCTTCCCATACGAGGCTCTGATGATAAATTTGACGAGTATCTTGATAATGTCGTGATCAAGATTTACGAGCCACACCTCGATCTGTATTTGGCAGAAGAGCTTGATTTCTTCAAGAAGGCCTGCGAATTTACAGTGAGGGAGTGGGACCGACATCTCTCTGAACAGGCGGCCTCGACAGAGTCTTTTTTGATGTCAAATGTTAATCGCCAAGCCGACAAACGAGACTTTCTTACTTCTTTCAAGAAAGTGATCATGATGCCGGTAAACATCCTACCGAGCTTTTCAAGTGGCAAATCAAACGAAGAGCCGAAATTAGACACGGAAACAAGTAGTGCGAATCCGTCACAACCATCTAAAAATACCAATCGATTTTCGACAATATCGTCGCCTGCGCCAGTGGCCGTCGAGGAAGTCCCAACTACAGAGCTGGCAGCAAAAGCGGCTATAATGAAGACGAAGATGGAGGGTATCCGCTCATTGTTTAGCATCGAAATTGCACTTGGTCTAGTTCATTCTGCCAAGTCCAGCTTGGAGAGAGCCGCTCAATTCGTGCGACTTGGAGGCGAATTTGGTCTTGCAGCAAAGCAACAATGCGAGGCAATCTTCGTGACGCTGCTACGTATATTGGGACACCAGCACGTTATCGTTGGATTTGATAAGGCTGTCAGCCATCTATCCAACTACCGACCCCGCGAACAAGGGGAGCGTGACCAAACTGGGGTCGAACCCCTGGTCACTTTTCTGGAACTGGTCAATGTCGGCGATTTGATCCTGCAAATGATGGATGTATTCTACGAGCAGGAGTTGATCGGCATGAGATTGACCGATAGAAACGATTTTGTGGACCCTGCCAATAAGGAAAAGAAAAAGTTCGAACAAATGCTCGATGAGCGTGTGGCAGCTGGCCTGAATAAAGGAATCGACGTTCTCATGGAAGAGGTGGACTACATTTTGGCAACGCGACAACTAGCCACCGATTTCAACCCCGGCGTTTCCTCAGATCCACACCGACAGACCATGGACGTAGGCGTTAGCGAAGTCGCCATTGCCGTCGTCGACGTGGTTTCATCGCACACGCAGATGCTAGTTGGGAGCACGGACAAGAGCACACTAGATGTGTTCAATCAAGAAGTCGGGCTGCGCCTATTTACCGCTCTATGTAAACACCTCAAGCGACAGCGCGTCAGCGTGGAGGGATCACTCAAGTTGATCAGGTATGTATCTCGATCTTCAGCCGCGCAAAATACCAAGCTGACTTGACTTCCTAGCGACATGAACCACTATTTCAAGTATATTCAAACGCTGCGAAACAACGAGCTCCTTCTCTATTTCACGGCATTCCGTGAGCTTGTGCAGATTTACCTGATCGACCCTGGCCATGCCAAGGAACTGGCGACTGTCATCGCGGACGCGGATCGGTTCCATGGAATTTGGCGTGTGGAGGAGGTCTATGAATTCGCTGAGCGCCGGGCTGACTGGTATCACGTCAAGCGGGACGTGGAACGAGCTATGTATGGAATTGGTTGCAATGTGATGTAAATAGATACCGATACCCCCTGGAATTGCATATGTAGCGAGTGGCATATAGGTAGCTACAATGCGGACATGCATGCCAGCATGAATGTTCTCCCAGGGAGAGTAGACTCGTACGAGTATATACACAGCGATTGATGTACAAATAAATATATATGCTAGATATTTGCTTCTAAATCCAAAATTCAAGACAAGAATTTGATGTTTGATGCCTAGATGTAGAGAAATCGAACATCGATGTCTCCAATTCTCAGTTTCAGGGAGACAAAAGAAAGCGAAACGAGACGAAACAGACAGTCTACCTGCACAGGGGAAAGTAAAGATAAATCAAATACAAAAACATAAAATCTCAAATGTCAAATCTCAAATAGTTGGATACCGATGCAACCTCCCCTTGGCCCTAAGAGTCTGACGTCAACACCGGCGGCTACTGGAACACCACTGCACCGTATGAAACGGATCTGAAGAAAAAAGTGACTTTCCGATCCAACTGTCGCCCTGCCCGGTTGCATTCTAAAACATTGAAAGGATTTCAAAATGGCTTTGACTTTTTGCTATATTTCTGGTTCCCCAGGAATATTCTTCATACTTCAGGTGTTGAGTACGTCTCGAGCTTTGTGAAGAAGATTATCTGACTGATTTTCCAGATACCTGCATTGTGTCAGCTTCTATGAGAACTCAATACACACAATAAATGGCCATGGCAGCCTAGGACAATAGACAATACACGATTATTGCATCACCAGACACTTCTATCCAAGGGACATCGTCACAGCTTACGGCCGTCGCCTGAACCGGATTCGGAGCCTGGCGCTACTACTATTGATCCAACGACCATAAGGAATAAAAAAACATCTCAGATCATGCAATAGCAAACTACAACTACGACCATCACCTGTCTACAGCTTCAAGTCAAAAACAAGAACTCCAGTCTTTCAAAATGGACCAAAACAACCACACCAAAACTACACGATGGCTGGCCATCCTCATGCTCCTCACCATGCAAATACTCAACGCAAATGCCGACGCAGTAACCGTCTGGACGACGGTAAAAGTACCCGCGGCAACACCAACAGCGCCCCTATCACCATCATACACTTCTCTCGACGAGTTCAAGGACAATATGTTGAAAGTCACGAACGAGTACCGCGCCAATCACGATGCCGACCCACTGAAATGGAATAACACGCTCGCCGATTACTCGCAGGAATGGGCAGGAGCCTGTATATGGAAACATTCGGTGTGTATCAATATCCCCAAGACCACGAGATAATGATGCTAACATCTATTACCTCTGTAGAAAAGTAGCTACGGCGAGAACCTCGCATACGGATACCAGAATGTCTCTGCTGCTGTCATCGCCTGGGGCGATGAAGGCGATATGTATAACTTCGGCAAGCCGACAGGCTTCACCGAGGAGACGGGACATTTCACTCAGTTGGTCTGGAAGTCGACTACGCAGGTTGGATGCGCTGCTGTCAACTGTGGATATACGAAGAACGACAATGGCAAACGAGATGATGGGGTCGAAGTGCGAGAGGATGTCTCCGAAGGGGTGGTGATGGCGCCTCGTTTCAGCATGGATGAAGTGGGACGAGATGACTTGGAAGGGTTGAAGGTCGCGCGAGGCGAGCCACGGGCTCAGGGGTGGTATGTTGTTTGCGAGTATACGCCTCCTGGAAATGTTGTGGGCTCGCATAATTCCTACTTCAAAAAGAACGTCTTGCCAAAGAAGGCGCCTGTTGTTGATTCGTCCACTTCTTCGTCCACGACTTCTGAGTCTTCTTCCACGTCCATACCTGAGCCGTCGCCGAATGCCGCGACATCCACTACCATCGGGAGTCAGAGTCAGCCTACGGGAGGTGCTATGAGGTTCGCCTTGGACTCGACATTGGGGATGATGCTGGTAGCACTGGGGACGGTGGGCATGGGAAGGGGGCTTTATACTTGAGATAGCTTACATACTTTAGATGGTTTAAATAAGAAATACAAGGTTGAACTTTGCTAAGGAACTGGTTTCGTAGCCATCTCTCATGCTTATCCACATTGCACATTTGGTCGGGAGGCGCACCGCTCGATCTATTGATTTTTGGAATGTCCCGATCCTCACTGGGCTTGCCCAGGGGACCTAAAAGAAACACAAGGGGACAGAAGGCTGGGTTCAGGCACAAGCGCGAAACGCCAGCAGAGAAACAGGGGGAAAAGAGGAACAAAAGGAAACACATTATTTGCGACAATAGAACAGACAGATTCATCAGCCAATGACCTCCTCGGTCTCCTCGATAATCTCCTCCACAATCTCCTCGACCACGGAGTCGCCCTGGTCTTCGACAACCGGGCGCGCGTCGCTGGCGGCTGTGGGTAAATCTGCGTCCTCGGGGAGGCTGAAAGCCTCCTTCTCCTCGGCCAGGAGCTCCTTCTCCCGACGGAGCCAGGCGACCCACTCGCTGAGTACACGCTTGCGGGTCTCGACAACGGCGGTGTTGGCGATGTCGACAGCGTACTTGTCTTCCTCGTCGAACTCCTTTGAGTACTCGCGGAGGTTCTTGCGCACTTGCTTCTGCTCCTCCTTGCTGAGAAGAGTGGCAGGGCGTGGGCGCCAAAGGAACTGCTTGAACTTTTCGGTGGGGTTCTCGGAGAGGGTAGTACCGGAGAAGGTGTGCATGTTCCAGCCGTTCTCCATCTATAAGGCCGTTAATATTATGAATCATAATCAAAAATAAAATCAGGTTGAGTCTTACCGAGTGAGTCCAGACACTGGCGCTGCTGACAACGTAACGACCGGTGGAGTCCCAGTCAACATCGGTGACACCGTAGTGCTCGATGGTCTTCATCAGCTGGAGGTTGGCTGCGAGATCCTTCTCAGCCTCGATCTTCTCGCCCTCGAAGTCCATATCCCAGAAGTCCATATCGAAGCTGGTCTGGGAGTGAACCGTGGCGACAATAACGAATCGGCCCTTGGGCGACCAGTAGATGCCGTTGCTGGTCTTCTTCTCAATAGTGCGCACCAGCTTGAAGTTACCGGCAGTGTAGCCCTTCTTCTCAGGCGCGAAGAATGAGACGGAAGTCTTAGGGAGAACGGCAGCACCAGTTGGTGCCTCGCCGTTAGCGATAACGACGAATCGGGATCCATTGGGCTCCCAGGCAAAGTTAATCACGGTATCTTTGAGACTGTCAACAACCTCAACGGGCACACCCTTCTCCCGAACGCGGAAGATCTCCAAGTTAGTGGCCATAGACTTCTTCGACTTGGAGTGACGGTCGACCTTGACGCAGATGTAGGCACCCTGTGATTGCCAGTGCAGCTTGACATCGGAAACGTTGAACAGGTTACGGGTTCGGACAACCTCCTTTGAGGGCACGCTCATCATACCGACACGGGCGGGGTTGCTGCCGATCTCAGGAGTCCAGAAGCAGAGCAATTGCTCGTACTGCTTGATGCCCTCGCGGGCGACGGTGGCAGGGGACCACTCGAAGTCCATAGCACCTTCAATCTTCACGGATGTGCGACCAAGAAGGTTCATGTTGGGAAGTTCGTAGATAGAGAGAGATTGGCCTTGGAGCATGCGAGCAACGTACTTCTCGTCCGAGGACCACTTGAAGGCAGGCCACTGCACCTTCTTCTTAGGTGCAACATCGCTACCCTCGATATCGGCAGGGGCAGCCAAATCGTGCGACACAAACGAACGGAGAGGCTTGCCAGTCTCAATATCCCAGACAATGATGTTCTTGCCGTCCTCCTCGTAGGTCAATATGGGTTGGCCTTCCTCGACCTGGATGGGCCGTGCTGACCACGTTGTCAAGTAGCCCTCAAGGGGGAGAACTCGATCAACTGGACAAAGGGGTGAGGGAACTGCTTTTGCTTGGAGAACGACTCGCCGCCCCAGAGTTGGACACCCTGGGGGTGGACGGAGGCAAGGAATGTACCCTTGGGGGACCATTGGACGAAAAGTTGTGTCCAGTGAGCGCGATCCACGATTTCCTCGGGTGTGTTCGTCTTGTTGTTCCAGAACACGCCAACCTTGTCGTTACGGTAAAGGGCGAATTGATCCCGGGCGCTGGCATCTCCCATCCACGAGCGCAGGTGCTCCTTCTCCTTGAACGGTTCCGGGACGGGTGCCTTGTATTCTTCATCGACGCGACCTTCACGACCGTAACGCTCGATATCCATCAACTTGTTGACAGCCATAATGTGCTTCTTATCGAGGGGGACGCCGTGCAACTGCTTGACGGCGGCAACTGCCATTTCCGGGGTTTCATATTCCACAAATGCGAACCTATATCGCCCCAATGAAAGTTAGAGATCGTCCATGATTCCTCCATATATCTCATTCGATATCCAATACGCACCCTTCGGTCATCTTCTTGTCGTTAACGGGCATGAAAACCGCATCTTCGGAGGTGCTGCCGACGGAGTTGAGTTTTCTCAATAAGAACTTGACGAGTTTTTGTCGGCTATCTTCGGGCACAACGGGGAGGCCATCGATGACGATAAATGTATCCAGTCCCTCCTCGACCTTCACTTCATATTGCTCCTTGAGATCTGTGGACTACCGTGTTAGAGAGAGGGGCACACAGACCACGATAAATCTTGCACTCACCGGAGAAATCAATCTCCTCCTCCTCTTCCTCGTGGAGATCCTGCTCGGACAGGGTATCGAAACTGGGCGCCATGATGGGTATACCGAAGGCGTCTATAGGCTTCGGAGCAAAGATAGATCGGTGCAATCCGCTGATGGATTTTCGGGCAGAAACAAATCGCGGCGGCCAAGCGGGTTCTTTGTGTGGACTGACTCAGCACTGAGTCAGCACTTGTGGATTGATGCCTCAGGTACTATATACCACGTGACTGAGATGCATATGCTTAGTCACGATTTCCCCAGCTTGAGGCCGGGCCCGTCAATCATCATAGACGTTTCTAGAGGCTCTCAATTTGGGATACACATTTCTTTTAGACTGCATATCTTGCACCAAGCTCTTTGCCGGACTAGATCTTTGTCTTTTATCTCATTCATAACCCTCCCGTCCTTGCACTTATTTTGCCTGGCCTTTCTCTGTCTCCAATGCCCCGCCGGTCCTAAGCGCCAGTGCGACTTAGTATAGCCCACCTGACAATTCCGAGCTCTCCCTCGGCCGCCTATTCCTCTACCAACCCTGCGATATCGTCAATTGCGCACTGCACATCTCAACCCAGCTCGGACGTCTGAACATAAGCAGCCAATCTACGTGATCTACTAGCAACAAGATGTCGTGTAAGCTACGGTGTTGCCCTGGTGCCAATTTGGCGGTTCACCAAAAAGCCTCCCAACTGATCGGTGATCTTGCGCAATAGTGACCTCTGACTTGCGCGACAAATATATCGACATAATTGACGATATTCTGGCCAAAAGTGACCTCACTACCATCTCCGAGAAGCGAATTCGCAAAGGTCTCCAGGATGCCGTCGGCTATGATCTCACTCCGATGAAGGTCAGTCAAGTTACGACGATTTATGACGCATTATTATTTCGAAGCTGTTCAGGATGACTGGCGAAGGACTGTAGCTGACATTCACAAAGTCTACGATCAAGCAGCTGATCATGGAACGATTCGATCGTTACGCCGAACAAAACGGTGTGGGCGGTTCGCCTGATGAAAACGTCCCTGGCAATGATCAGCGCGATGGTGATTCAGCTTCAGCTGCGGTGCCCTCTCCATCTCCCTCCTCATCTCCTGTGAAGCGCCAGGCCTCCAGCGATTTCATTTCCGAGCCCGCGAGCGCATCGCCTCCAGCCAAGAAACACAAGCCCGACACTGATACCGATGCGGATGCGGTGTTCGCGGCCAAGCTACAAGCCGAAGAGAATTCGCGCGCGCGACCCACCCGTGGGGGCAACACTCGGCGTGCAGCTCCCGCGAAGAAGAAGAGCAAAGCCAAGACCTCAAAGAGGGTCAAGGCAGAAGATGATTCAGATATTGGATCAGGCGAGGAGCCAAAGAAGGAAGTTAACCGGAATACTGGGTTCCACGTATGCCTTTCTATATCATCCTTCTCAAACCTTCCATCAATTCTAACACGACTACAGAAACCTATGAACCTTTCCGAACCTCTGTCCGCACTTCTTGGAGAACCTACAGTGAGCACCTCTCAATTCTTGGTTATTGGGCCTTATTTGCTAATTTTCGCACAGCTTTCGCGACCCCAAACTGTCAAAAAGGTTTGGCAATACATTCGCGAGAACGAGCTTCAGGACCCCAGCGATCGCCGCCAAATCCTATGCGACGATGCTATGCGTGCTGTCTTCAAGCAAGACCGAGTCCATATGTTCACTATGACTAAAATCCTCAACCAGAATTTGTACAATCCCGATGAATAGTTTCGGGGGTGACAGATTGACTTCGATCATTATGGAAGAGCAGGCTCCAGACCAAGTCCTGTTTCTTAACGATTCTCCTTCGTCTTTCGTGTTTCTTTTTTTTTGCGATGCATGGGGATGCTGGCGTGAATTTTGAGCAATTTCCATTCGCCATTATTATTTCTTTTGTGTTTGACTTGCTTATGCTCTCCAGCGGGAGTTGGTGCAGCCCACAGGTGATTTTAAGGTCCCAAAGGTCCTCGAATCTACTACCTACATGATATACATATGTGCAGATCCTTGCCATGTAGACTGTAGATTGTAACAGTGTACAATGTGTGCCCCTAGGTCAAGTGGACATCATGGAACTCGATGTTGGCTCTCTGCGCAGCTTCTGACGCTCGTTGGTTTGTTAAACCTTCCATGGCCTATCGATACATTATAGGTAGCGGTTTTTCTATTGACATGGATCAAAAAGTCTTTTATTCGGCATTCGGCACTCAGTTCATCATATTTTGACCTGATAAAGCAGACCGGCGGCAACAAGCCGATGAATCTGCCCAATACGTGTGCTCACCGCATGGAGCTTGCGTAAGGGAATGGGCAAACACAGCCATACTATTTGAAGAGATGCTCTATGGGCCACTCAGTCACTCAGCTGGGTTTTTTGCGCAATCAAAATAGACAAAGAGAGTGATCAGTCGAGGACCTCATATCCTCATCCAATGCTGCCTGCGGAATGCGGGATCAGTCAGCGACATCTCACTTTTTCCCTAGAACCTCTCCCCCACCAATCCACAAACTCCAGAGCTCTGCAGCTCCAGCATACCTGCTATTGACGCCAAGCCGTAGCTTGCATTGTGACATTTCTTCCCGTCTCCGCAATGGCCGACAACCAGGCCTCAACCCCAGAGTCATCCAGCCAGGGTCGCGGCGGGCGTCGCCGCGGCCGCGGAGGGGCAGCCCCCTCCGGCCGTGGAGATGCGCAACAAAATACCGGCGATGGAGAAAAACGCACTAAGCCTCGCACTCGCGGCGGCGGTCGTGGCGGCGCCGGCGGCGATGCAGGCCGACAAACTCGCAATACCGATCAGACCAACAATCACGATACTCAGCCTTCGAAAGCCACGACACCAGCAACAAAAAAACCGGTAGAAGCGGCCACGGACGATGCAGATGATGGAGAAGTCTGCTTTATCTGCGCTTCTGCCGTCGAACATACCTCAGTCTCCCCCTGTAACCATAGGACGTGTCACATTTGTGCGCTTCGGTTGCGGGCATTGTACAAGAACAAGGCTTGTGCTCATTGCAGGGTATGATCATCTTGCGATTATTTCTCGACGAACTGAGTTGCTTTTCGTTGGAATTCTGTTTCACGTGCTGACTTGTACCAGACTGAATCGAACTACGTGATCTTCACAGATGATCCAGTGCGGCGATATGAGGAGTTCGACAAGAGGGACTTTGCTCGGACGGACGACAACCTTGGCATCGAATATGAAAATGATGAGATCTTCGGAGATACAGTGTTGTTGCTGCGGTACAACTGTCCGGACGAGGACTGTGATGTGGCTTGTTTGGGGTGGCCAGACTTGCACCGCCATGTTAAGAGCAAGCACAGCAAAGTTATGTGGTATGTCGATCTCGTAACCTGCGCAATCTTTGAATCAGCAGCTGACTGTATCCTCCGAATAGTGACCTTTGTACTCGTAACAAGAAGGTCTTTACCCACGAGCATGAACTCTTCACCGCAGCGGAATTGCGTAAGCACGAAAAGTCCGGCGATGACAAGCCTGGAGCTATAGATCAAAGTGGCTTCAGGGGACACCCCGAGTGTGGTTTCTGTCGTCAACGATTCTATGGTGATGACGAGTTGTACACTCACTGCCGCGATAAACACGAACGTTGCCACATCTGTGACCGACGCTCCTCCCACCGTCAACAACAATACTATATTGACTACAACGCTTTGGAGAATCATTTCCATAAGGATCATTTTGCTTGTCTGGATAAAGAGTGTTTGGAAAAAAAGTTCGTCGTTTTCGAGTCGCAAATGGACCTGAAGGGTCACCAAATCGAGGCACATCCCGAAGGCCTTTCTAAGGACATTCGGCGAGACGCGAGAATGGTTGATCTGGCCGAATTCGATAACATGCGCACTCCTTACCAACAGCAGCGCCAGCGCCGCGGTGCTGGTCGAGGCCGTGACCCCAACGCCGAGCCACTGCCAGTCTCCAGTGCACAACCAATGACCCGTGCGGAAGTTGCATACCAGCGACAAATGGCTATCCAGAGTTCTCAGTCTGTCTCGACACGAAACTTTGGCGGCCAGCTGACTCGAGATGACGTCCAACCCGTGCGTGCTCCTGAGCGATCGGCCGCTGCCACTCCAGTGCAGTCTGCCCCCGCGTCACGCTCTCAGCCTCTTCCTACTGCAGCGTTTGAAGGCCTGAACATTTCTGCCAACTCCGCGCCAGCTACCGCACAAGATCAGACCCGCCGAATGCGCCATGAGGCTGTGGTTGAACGTGCTTCGAATCTCCTCCGCAATGATGCCACCAAACTCGCCGAATTCCGCAGCAGAGTATCAAGCTACCGCGCTTCTTCCATCTCGGCAACCGAGCTCATAGATGCCTTCTTTTCGTTATTCGACACATCCAGTACCGAGCTGGGAAAGCTCATCAAGGAGCTCGCTGAGATCTACGAGGACGAGTCCAAGCGCTCCGGTCTCTTACAATCCTGGAATGACTGGCGTGCTATCAACGAGGATTACCCAGCCCTGCCAGCCGGTGGTCTCTTACCTGGCATGTCAACAGGCGCCGTCAACACTGGCGGCAAACGCGTCCTGCGTTTGAAATCATCAACAGCTAAATCCTCACGCTCTGCCGTGGGCAGAAGCGGTGCCCTCCCAAACGCCCCATCCAACCCCTTCCCTCCACTCTCTGCCGCAGCTGGCCCCTCCTCTCGCCGTGGGAAAGCGTCTGCTGCACTACCCTTGGGCAGCAGCAGCCCCGCCGCCATCTTTCTCCCGTCCTTCGATGCCTAGCCCCGTCAGCCGCCCATCATCAGCAGCACCGTCTTCCAGTCGTGCGCCCGCCGCGCCTGCCCCCCGCGGCGCTGATTCTTTCCCCGCTCTCCCCGCAGCGGCAAAGCCCAATGTCCTCATGGCCGGCAAGACTCGTGGCACTGTCCGTTGGAATGATAACCGTGGCCCTGCCCCGAACGCATGGGGCTCAGCCCCGAGTTCCGGAACCGCGTCTCCGGCTGAACCCAGCAATGACGACTCAAGTAATGGCAAGAAAGGAAAGAAGAACAAGGGAAAGCAAACCCTGTTCCACTTTGGCTGATGCACTGTCACATTCCGATTGATTTACGTTTCTTATGTTGATTGGGCCTTGCTTTGGCCTATGTTTGATTGACCGCATGACTGGGAGCGCCATTAAAACGTGTTGGGGTAGATTTCTTGTTCTTTTTTTGTTGTACCTACTAGCGAATGCAGATACAATGTATTGTATAGAGGTAATCCATGTTATTTTAACTTGATGTGTCTGATATCATATATTAAGGAATGATGTGGCCTTCACAAACCGTCAAATCATCAAACTGCCACCATAGAAATACATATATGATCTACAGGAAGGGATACAATAAGAAGGCCAGTTCACTCACAATCCTCATCAACTTCAAGTCCATCAGATCAACACCACACTATCATTGTCAGTGACATGCTCGGACTCGGAATCCAAATCAGATTCGATCACAATGGGCTCGGACACACGTGTGTTGTCCATTCCCTCAGTACTCTCACTCGAACCCAATGCTTGGGCTTCAGGTGTATGAACCGACAAGTTGGAAACAGGTTCAATAAGAGCCTCTGTCTCAATTTCATCATCGGGGTATAACTTCATTTCTTTGTTGATGGCAGTCATCCGTAGCACAAAGTCATCCTGTAGTTTAATCAACAAAGCCCGAAGACTAGCATTATCCATCGTGCCATCACGAGCAAGGAATAGCTGTTCACGCAGAGACAAAAGCAACTTTCGCTTCTGGGCAATAGCAACAGCACGCGACGGACTGTTCCTACGCTGAGCCAGCTGGTCCATTGCCTCTGAGACAGAGCGCGCCTTATTCAAGACAGCAGGTGGGAGGTCAGCGAGCTTGGCGAGGACAAGTCCATATCGACGATCTGGAACAGGACCCTCTGCAATGCGGTACTGCATGGTCATCTTGGATGCGTCGGGAGCGATGTCTGCTGCTAAGTGGAGATTGATCACACCGCTGCGCTCCGCGAGAATCTGCGCCAGGTCGTGGAAGTGCGTGACAAACCAGACCAGGGCATTACTAGAGATGAGTGCTTCTGCGAGCGCGACGGCGATGGCGAGGCCGTCGGTTGTGCTAGTGCCGCGGCCTAGCTCGTCGATGATGACCATACTGCGTGGTTGGATGTTACGAAGGATGAATGCCATCTCCCGCATCTCTGCTGCAAATGTCGAGACGTTGGCGTCTAGATCATCTGATGTCGCAACGCGGGCGAAGAGCTGGTGGGAGATTGGGAAGGAGGCGTATTGAGCCGGAATGAAGCAGCCTATTTGCGCCATGACTGTAACCAGGGCTAGTGAGCGGATGTAGGTCGACTTGCCGCTCATGTTGCAGCCTGTGATGATCTGGAATCTTGTTTGCGGTGTTGCATATGCGTCGTTTGGGATGAACTTGCTGCTATGAATCTGTTCCCGGATCGGATGACGTCCCGCCTTGATGGCGAGAGTGTCGGTCAGCTCTGGTCTGATGTACTCATGGTTCGTTGCTAGCTGAGCGAATGCCGCAAGCATGTCTAGCATTGCAATTGCTTCACTGACTCGAAACAGCCCGGATACTTCGGTGCACACGTCTCGGAGCAGGTCCTGGATCGTCTGGTCGCTCATATTGATCACCTCGCTGTGGGCATCGGTGATCTTTTGATTGAGCTTCACCAAATCCAATGTCTGGCACTCGATGCGGTTTCGCTTGCGGTAGACGTTGATGAAAACATCCGGCAGTGGACCTGGTTCTGTAGCAGGGATACAGATGTAGTATTGCCGGGCTGTGTCATACTTCAAGTCCAAGACCATATCGCAATTCTCTTGAGATAAGTCAGAATTATTCATGAAACGTCAGAATTTTAGACGAGCCTGATAATTTTTCAATCAGCTCTGTGGCGTCTGCATTTGCTTCCTTATAGGTCTGCCTCGCAACATCGAGGAGACTGTTGACGCCGGCCTGATTCATGTTAGCGATCTGTATCCAGTGTTGAACTATACGAGTTCTGACCTTGACACAGTAAATGCGCTGGTTCCTCAGATCAAGTGGCTTTGACTGGTAGGCCACATGCTCATTCAAAGTTGTGCCAATCAGCTCCTCAATTGAACGATACCCCTCAGGAGCGCACAACTAAAGTGCGTTAGTGCGAGTAGAACACCAAAGGAACCTAGAGTCTACTTCGCGTATGGTAAGCAGCAAATCGCTTTGTGCTGCTCCGAGCGCTTGGAAGATGTTTTTGATCGTAGACACATAAGTTTTGAGCATGATGACATTGTTGACGGACTGTTCCACGTATTGGATCGTCCGCTTGGTGGGAACCAAGATGATCTTGATAATCCGTTAGCACGAGCCTTCAATACTGGCTGACATCGAAGACTCTACCGAGGTCAACACTTTATCTGCATCAATAAAGCCCTTGAGCGCCTGCCTCACAGACACAAACATATCCTCTTTGGTGGCCAGATCTTCCACAGCATTGTATCTAGCTGTCAACTTGGCACGTTCTGTGGAAGGCTGTAAGATGCTAGCTCGGAGTAGTCTGGCCCCCATAGATGTCAATGTCTCGTTCAAGAGTCCAAACAAACTTTCTTTAGACTTCGCATTTTGTAGATTCTGGATAAGTTCGAGGGACACAATAGTCGCCAAGTCAATTGTCATGGACCCCTGGGACGGCTCGAAGCGTATCCGAAGAGAATGCGTGGTAAAAGATCGCTGGAGTTCGACTTCAACATACTTGAGGACCTAATTCCTATGTAAGTAGTTCCTTTTGGCAACATGAATTGTGTTCATACTGCGGCAAAGCAACACGCTGCGAAATAGTTCCCGCCCAGAGTCACCTTGAGCGAGTCGACTTCCTCTGGAAAAGCCAGCCTTTCCACATATTCGTGACCTGTCTTTTCAGACCACCATCTGCGGTCCAGGAAGGTGAAGATAGGATCTGGCAGATTCTCTTGAATGATATAACGGAGCTTCGACTCTTTGGCAGTGTTCATGAACAGAATCTCGCTGGGTTCAAAAACACCAATCTTAATGATTGTCTTGACGTAAGTCTGACTGTCACATATTTGACAGAGCACTGCTTCAGCTGTCGCAAGATTGACAAATGCGAGGCCAACAGTGGATGAGACACCCCGCGATTCACTGACGGCGCAGATGATGTCCTGTGCTGCGACACTGGTGGCCGTTGTGGTCGGTCTTGCCGTTGGACGCCTACTTGTACCTCTGGAGACCGATGGCGAAAAGGAATCCAGAGAATTCAATGAATTCAATGAATAAACCGACATTGTGAAGCTCAACTCTCAGGGCCGAGATGGTGTAGATGGATAAATCGATAGGGCCGATAAGATAAGCGTCGGGATATTTTTTGCTTGTCAAAATTTCTCTTCTTCCCCCATCGACCTCAAAATCAATAACCATGGCGACCCTCTATCCTCCCCCCAGCAAGCGCCAAAAGCTCGTTCAGGCTGATAAGGCCCGTGAGCAGCAGGAAATTGAGAGCATTCCGTCCGATTTGGGCAGTGTTCGAGTTCAATTCTTCGACCAAGCAACCGGGCAGCCCACCGGGCCTGCGGTCTCAGTCCCAGTCGCCGATGCAAATGTGAAGAACCTTGAGACTTTGCTAAACACATTACAAGGAAATGTAAGATTTGACCCTCGTTGACTACTTGACAATTGAGTGTTGTATTGACGGCGATTGCTTTCCAGGAAGATGATGGGCGAGTACCATACCGATTTGCCTACCATTCTGAAAAAGAGGAACAAACGATCGACATTCTCCGCGATGTGTACCACTCCCTACTCCAGCCCGGGATCAAGACCACTGAAGATACGGTATCGCTATTCTACACACCGCAGGCGGTTTTCCGAGTGAAAGCCGTTTCACGATGCGCGGCCTCCATCGCGGGTCACGGCGAAGCAATTCTAGCAACATCCTTCTCCCCAGTCTCATCCTCCACCATGGTCTCCGGAAGCGGAGACTCAACTGCTCGTGTTTGGGACTGTGACACTGGAACCCCGAAACATACGCTTAAGGGTCACACCAGCTGGGTGCTGGCAGTCGCATACTCGCCTAACGGCGCCATGATCGCGACCGGCAGCATGGACAACACCGTGAGGTTCTGGGATGCAAAGCAGGGAACGGCGCTAGGCGCTGGGCTCAAGGGCCACGCAAAGTGGATCACGAATCTGGCCTGGGAGCCATACCACGTGCAGGAGTCTGGGCGGCCGCGCCTGGCATCCGCCTCCAAGGACTCGACTGTGCGCGTGTGGGACGTCGTTTCAAGGGTAACTGACCATGTGCTTACCGGCCACAAGTCGTCCGTTACTTGTGTGCGATGGGGTGGTACTGGCAAGATCTATACTGCATCCCACGACAAGACCATTAAGATTTGGAACCCGAAAGACGGCACCCTGCTCCAGACTCTGGCGGCGCATGCCCACCGTGTCAATCACCTCGCGTTGTCGACAGACTTTGCTCTCCGCACATCCTACCACGACCACACTGGTAAGGTCCCTGTGACCGAGGCTGAGAAGGTGGCCGCTGCCCGGAAGAAGTTCGAGGAGGCGGCGACGGTGAACAACACTATCGTCGAGCGGTTGGTATCGGCCAGTGACGATTTCACAATGTATCTGTGGGAGCCGTCCACTTCAAGCAAGCCCGTCGCACGGATGCTGGGCCACCAAAAGGAGGTGAACCATGTCACATTCTCGCCGGACATGGCCTATATCGCCTCAGCCGGATTTGACAACCACGTCAAGCTGTGGAACGGCCGTGATGGAAAGTGAGTGTTTCCAATCCTTGATTATTTGATTTATAGCTAACATCGCCCCAGGTTCATCACCACCTTCCGCGGCCACGTGGGCGCAGTCTACCAGTGCTGTTTCTCGGCCGACTCGCGCATGCTGGTGTCCTCGTCTAAGGACACTACTCTCAAGATCTGGGACCTGCGCACCGGCAAGCTCAAGATGGACCTTCCAGGACACAAGGACGAGGTGTTTGCTGTCGACTGGAGTCCCGATGGACAAAAGATCGCCAGTGGAGGCAAAGACAAGGCGATTAAGATCTGGCGGAACTAGATCTAGTCGCACTTGACATCAAGTTGCCCAAAACATGCCCTTGACAGACAGCTAGTCTGGTATAGGTCTTTGCCGTCTGATGTGGCATGCATCCAAGACGAGCACAATGTCCAACGCGCGGATATTGGAAGTAGCACCTCGTGTGTACCCTCGAGTTGCATGGGTGCCTCAACCCCCAAGTCAACCCCCCCAAGTCAACCTTCCGTGGGTGATGATTCATTCACATCATAAGTGTATAGGCTTATCTACTCAGTGGCAGAGACTCCCAAGGCTGCCTTACTGCATGTCACGGTCAGTGGCCTGGATAAACAAGCGAATCATAGGAACCCCGAGAGGTGTCTCCGTTTCGGACTAGATCTTGCAAATATAGATGCATGCAAGTTAGATGGTGGTTTAAGTGTGTGGATTGATTGATGAACCCTGTCCTGTCTACTGCCTGGGGCATAGGCTACAAGGATGCCCTTTATGCTACTTAGTTGCACTTTTATGAATATCATTTTTGCGTATTGACATAATTGTTCACTGTAGAGCTCTACATATGTACCATGCAGACAAAATCTAGCTCGTTGTGCCCTAATAGTCGTTTGTAGGGCAAGGGCAAGTGTCCATTTTGGGAAGGTACGTGTGTTGTTGATTTGGGAAGGTGCATGTGTTGTTGGGGGTATAAAAGGACACCCACCACCCCTCCTCCTCTTCTCTTCTTCCTCTCCCCAACCCTCTCGACCACCATCTCTTCGTAGCGGAGGGTCCCCAGTCGCCTGGTGCCAACATACCCTTGCAGAGATATCAGCATTACCAAGTTGCTGAGGTCTACCATTTGCTTCGTTCCGTACCCAGATCAAACCCCAGTTCTCGTGCGAGCTCTCTGATAAAGTCATGGCTGAGCATTTGGGCTCCATAGCCATTGGCGGTCCCACGGAACACATCCCTCTTAATCCTTTGTGATATCTTCTTTGTACTATGCTAGGTAGCTTAAAGTGAGACAACTGAGACAAGTGTTACCCTTCTTCCACAACCCCTGCCGCCACTGACGACATCTTGACTCGAACTTAATTTCGCGTCTGACCGCTGACTGTAGACTTTGAAACCATCCATGGATACGGGTGTTCCTGAAGCTTCTCGGCCAGTTACTGCAGGTGGCAAGGTACATGCGAATGTTTACCATTCAATCCTAGAACATGAAAGATAGGACATAAATTCAACGGTATCAGTTTATTAAATCCAATCTGTATCCAGATATAGAAGGAGCGTAATTATGGTACATTCAAAAATCACAAGCTAGAAAAACGACATCAACAAGAGATCCATCAGAACATCAACAACATCATTAATCTAGATATACTGCCAAGCAGGAACATCCCCGGTATAAGTCAAAGCGATAGCAGAGAACCCGAGACACTCATCAACGTTACCATGGGGCACGGTAGCATTTTGAATGGCGGCAAACACCTGCCAGCGGTTATCATCAGCCGGACAAGCCATGAAACCTGAAGCACCCCAACCAGCGAAGGAATAGTGAGCCCATGGCTCATCAGCAGCGTAGTGGAACGGGCCGAGAGAGGATCCCTGCGGGATATTTGCCGAGTGAGCCTGGGTGAAGCTGAGGGCGCCATTGGGGTCGACGTAGACCTGTTGGCCGCCGGGGACCATGGTGTCCTGTTTATTGTTAGATGGGGTTGTCCTTTGTAGGATGTGAGGTTGGAGTATAGTGTGAGCGGTGACTTACCAGAGAGCTGCCTCCAGGAGCGAAGACGGTTTCGTTTCCGGGTGGGCAGTTTGCAACCTGGGCTGGGCAGTAGGAAGCGGTTTGTCCGCCGAGGTAGAACTTCTGGCCGGCGGCGTTCAGCTGTAGGAAGTGGATGGGCGAGGCAGAGCGGGTGGCCATCACGCTGAAGGCTGGGTTTGCGGGTGGTGCGCTGGTTGGTGCCGCTGCGGCCAGGAGGGGGAGCGCCAGGGTGGTGATTGTGAACTTCATTGTCGATGGATTTGGACTTGGGTTGATATTGAGGTTTGAAGGGTGTTTTGTGTAGTTGAATAGATGCTTGGTTTGAATTTGAATGATACCAACAAAGGGCGGTTGTTGGACCTCTTTATATAGACTGATCAGGAGAGCAATATAAATAGAATCTGCACATGTTCCTAGAAACTGGACCAGGGAAAACATAGATCAAAGGGACCATCCGTCATCGACTGTCGGGTTTGGCCGCTAGGGTGGCTGAGGTGGCGAGTCTCATTGGATGGTGGATGGTGGATTGGGTGAGTTTGAGACAGCATTGAGGTACTTCCGAATACAATTATCTTCTGCATGGTCTATGCAACGGTGTGAGGTTGGGTTACTACCGAGGATGCTATTTTCCGTCGCTTAGACGAAGAGATGTGAGACATGGAGAACAGTTCGTCTGCCAAGACGAAGGAATACCTCTACGTCAATCCGAGTGGCTGATACATACATAACATAGTGGATTGAACTGACTAGAAGTGGATTGAACATTTCTCGACCTTGGAGGAATCGGGGGGTCCGGGTGTAGATCTCTGCCCTTGTCTCAGTTTATTATTGGAACATCAACCGCATCACTACAACCTACTCTAATGATTGAGAGATCTTGGTAACAGTCGGCTTAACCTGCAAACACCCACTTTATTCCATACGAACGACGTCTACGGAGTAGAGTACATTATATATTATTCGCTACTCAAAACCCTCTAACATACGGTATAGGTTGAATCTTCCACACTACCAACCCCCACGCCCCATCAACACCTCGCCTCCTACTTTCCCCAGGAAACACCCTCGACCCACCAACGGCCCGAGACATGAGGGGATTCATTACCAGAAAAAATCCTCTGGGAACCTCGTTTCCGGGGAGATACCCGCACACCGTTCAACGCCACTGACGCCCTATCTAAACCGGCGAACATGCAGCAACATGCGATGTCTCACCGGACCGACCCTACATGCCACTATAGCCGGTGCCGGCTAATCTGATAGTGCCAAAAACCCCGATGCAGTCCGGTCTTGGGACTATGTACCAGCTGCGATATAACAAAAATGTCCTGCAACGACATTGCAGCGCGCATACTCGCGACCTCGTCTGCTCGTACCTTGCAGATACCAGCCCGACGGTGCAGAGGGAATACCATACGCCACCGCACTGGCGTGGAAGTTTCCGCCTCGAAGATGGTGTTGCCCTGTGTCAGGATGTGGCGAGGATGGGCAGAGCCAGTTGGGTAATTATCCAAGACGAGATATCCTGGTTGGCGCGGTTGGGTGATTGGAATCAGTCAAGAGAGGGGTGAGGTCAGTCCGTTCCACGGGTGTTGTACATTGTCCGACGTGGGGAGTTCGTTGAGGTTGATGTTGGTGTATGGGTTAAAGGTTTGTGTTGGACAGTCCGGTGTTTTCGGGTTTCTGTCAGGGACGGTGTGACGTCTTCTGTGAGTTGGGTTGTGTGGCGATGGTGGGTTGGGTTTTGTTGAAGTTTGTTTCGTGTGGCATATGGATTTGTTGTACTACGCTGGGTGTGAGACGGTATGTACTATCATTTATGGATCATGTGCTGTGTAGGGGATGTGTGGCTTGCTGGGTGTTTTCTAGAATTTGCTGGAAGGTATAGGTCCTAGGGTAGGCTAGGCTGGTGATTCTTAGGTTGAAGACTGGGTGCTATTTTGGTGGACATTTGGTTGAATGGATGGTCTGACATGTGAGATATGGTGGGTTATACTACCTGGTTAGTAGATATTATTGATATTAGGGTATTGAGAAGTGGAAATAGTGTGTATCTTGAATATGTAGAGCATCATGAGACTTAGGTTTGATGTATGTTGAACGGCTATGGTATTTTGAACTACAACTACAACTAGAACTATATTGTATGATGTATATTGTACATGGACTAACACCATGCTCTCATACAGAGCCATCTGAGACAAAGCTATGTATGTACGATCTACAGGACCCAATTGAGACGTGTGGATATTACAGGCTCGAGTATACTACTTGAGAGTACAACATCCGGACATATAATTGAAAAACCTCAGTGTATTTGGATATCAAACGACTTTTTTCTATGCCGAGCAAACAGTCTCAACACTCAGCAATTCAAACCGGACCTCGATTCGCCGGAAACAAAAGTGTATGTACGTGCGGGCAATCGGCCGCGGAGGATATGAATAGAGACAGCCAGAGGCCAACAAAAGAATAAGGGAAAAAGAATATTCGGAAGCCACGAAATAAAAACCAGAAAGAAAACCCCCCCAGCACCGGTCCGTGTAGCAATATTGAAACCTGCAAGCCGGAGTCTTGCCCAGAACACCGTAAGCCACGCGCCGCCATTTCCCCGTCTTGATTCATACCAAGGGGGAAGAAAAAGCAAAGAAAAGGAAAGGTGAGACAATACGCCGAGCCAAGTGTCCCCGCATATCGCGTAGTGCACTATGGATCAAAGAATCGCTCTTTTAATAGTCGCCTTCATCATCGTCGTCTCCATCTCCACCCCGGCGGGGGCCCTTTACTCCATCCTTGCGAATGGGGATCTTGATCCCCTGTAGCGCAAAGCACTTGCTGAGCTGGGTGCTCTCGATAACACCGGGGAACTTCTTGGCGGAGAAGACCTGGAAGGGTTCAGAGAAAACCGACGCTAGAACGGGTGCGGTTCCGTGATTGATAACCGGGGCGCCGTTGGATGTTTCGCCAGATGACGTGCCCACGTCAACGAAGCTCATTTTCAGACTGGCTTTCTATTAGCGATTGTTTTGAGTGATCCCCATTATCCGATCGAACTTACCGAAAAGTGCCTTCTGTCCGTACACTCAGATCTTGCAGGATAAACCACACACCGATTTTGTTGTCTGGGTCTGTCAACCGGAAAGCACTGGCGCTGAGGCTTCCGATGAGATTGCGAGTGAACATCCCACCCGGTCCACCAGAAACGGGTTGCGCGGCGGGCGACATGGACGGTGGCATTTGACCACCGGAGTAGTATTGTGGGTACGTCACTGGCTGACCGTATTGATTTTGGTACGCCACCTGCTGACCACCGTAGTAGTTGTTCATCTGCGGAGAGTAGCCCACGGGGTACTGGCTCTGGTTGTAGCCCGGGTAGGTCGGGGAGACGCTCTGAGGCGGGGGAGGGTATGAGGAGGACATGGCGGTAGAGATGGAGGGGGAGGTGGCGGAATGCTTGACGAGGTTGACTTCGTTGGTACCGTCGGCATTCCACAGGTCGACGGTGAGCACATAGAATGATGTATCGATTTCACTAAAGAGGGAGAGATGGTTAGAAAGCCGAGTGGCAGAGAGCGCTGGTCGGACATACTTGATATCGATTTCCTTATCGGTTTGCGCATCGCGCACGATGAGACGAATGCACGGTGGGGGAGTGATGGGTCTCCGGTCCTGGGAGTGTGTTCAGTTAAGAGGTGGCAAAACAATATTTGCGGAAAAATCACCCACCTTGTCACCAAATCCACACATGCGAGCTCGGATGGGCTGCTGCACCACTTGTAATGACCAGGAGCGACCATCTTGGTAGTTTGTCACGGGAGCCAAATGGTCGGATTGCCGTAGCGAGTTGGGCCCCGACGGGTACTGGACGGACGGAGCAGAGATGCGATCCATTGAGAGCGGAGGTGGGACGGGATGATGTCTATCCTCGACGGCGTACATGGTACCGGATTGTAAGGAACCGAGGATGACTCGTGATAGATAAACGACGGGTTCCTAGTTTTTGTAGATCTATTTCGATAGATCTTTAACTACCTGGTTGTTCGAGGAGAAGAGGTGGGGGGTTGGAGATGCGACATGCGACCCCGCGGGATGTTCAGACGTCACACTTGGAGCATCGACTTCCGGGGCTGAACAGAGAAAGGGTGTGCACAGCGAATAAGCAGCGGTCGCCTGAATGTATGACTGATCCACGCCGATTTGTCTAAAGGTGACGAACCCGATTTGATGCGATAGGCAGAAAAATGAAACGAAGGGGTCGGAGAAGTAGAATGAGCTGGAGGGCGGGAGTGGCGATATCAGAGTCCTAGAGTGTTGAACCTCCCTTCTAGAATATTGTTAGCATCAATCTTCTTTCGGTTAAGACTTTTCTTGGGTCAACCGCACGATGACGCTGTCAAAGTGCGGGAGATTGGCTGGGCTTCCACGGAACACACAGCCCTGGGGGATAACATGGATAACATACCCGAGACACAAGAAAAAATGGAAAATAATTCAAAGAGATGTTCCAAGAAGAAAGGGAAAAAAAAAGATCTCAGGAGAGTTCAACAGGTTACAAGTGTTACTCTCGTCTGCAGGAACCACCCAAACCGTCGGGTTTCAATGGACTGACGAATGAGATGAAATTTGAGAGGCTCTTCGAGTCCGCATTCGGGGATCATACCTTCGGGGATCATACCTTAGGTATAACCCGCAAACGGTCTTCATTTGATTCGATGAAATTTTCAACACTCCATTTGAACCAGACTACATGTACGGAGTACATTATATTCTACTTAGGTAGAGTAGGTGAAATTATTGAGAACTATCGGGCGATTCTCGGGGCCGTGTTCTAGTATATAGAAGATTCTACTCCGTATTCATTTTAATTTTGATCTTCAATTGTGCATATAATATAAAATAATATAACGTAATTGTACAGTCCGAAAGTACATACTAACTAGATCGAGAACTCCGGAACTCCAGAGCACCTGGCGCCGGGGGGAATCGTGATTACCAAGCTCCTTGTTATAGCCCTGGAGACCTCGGGATGTCCACCCGTGGGTACCCCCCTTACAGTAGGCATGAGGATGACAGGTCCCGATCGTTTGGTAACCCCTGGACCCCTGGTTTATCAATGGATCTATCACTGTGATACAGAAGCTAGAGGTATTAATAACTCCAATATAGGGGTATAATACCGAGTCATTCCTACGTCGAGCTTCGGGAATACTACCCGGTGCTGGAAGTTTAAAAAGAACAGAACAAAGCAAATATGACTTTAGTATCTCTATCAAAAGGGTATACATAGTATAGTGTATTAATATAAAATGTGATACTCTGCAGATATCCGTAATTCCCCCAAAGTCTGGGGTATTTCGGTGAGAAAAGGGATTGCGGTATGTGAGGTGTTTGAACTGGACTCCCCGGAAACCAGATAGCATTCTCGACATGTCAATGTTTGCGTCTGTGCATACAATTGGTGATGAGGATGCACTGTTCAACCGCCGCGTGTTGCCAATCTCCTTACTATCTCTTAGCGAAGCGATCAGTTATCCCCCAATTAAGCCCCCGTCATACTCGTTGGTTGCGGAGTCCATATCTCTCTCGTGTGTGCTGATCCTCCCTAGCATTCATTGATCAATCTACAGTCGCCTCACTTGCCTCCAACAGAGCCCATTCTGACCAGGGAATGATATGACTTGGTCCGTGACTGCTGGCGTTGATGGCGTCCGTATAATCTGTTTGGCGTGCACGTTCCCCGTACCAAGTCTGGCACCGTCACGAGGTCACCAAGGCCCTCTTACACCACTCTTCGTCGAAGGCAGGTCGCGGACACCCTCGGTTTTTTTCATTTCGACCGATCTCGCCCAAAAAAAAAATCCCTGCGTCAACGGTTGCCGTTTTCTTACCTCACCGTGACAGTCACCGCACGCGAACTTGACCTTAGTTCAGATCTACTCCGATATCGATCGTAGCTGGGTAGGCGGTCAATGTCAACTGGAGCCACTCCACGAAAGACACAACGAGCGCGTTGATGCCCAGACATACTTGGAAAATGCAAATGGCTAAGCGTTGTGGGGCAGCGCCGTCTACGCCACCCGCCCAACTGGGGGCTCCCTCTCCACAGCTGCCGCCCCTTCAGCCTCGGTGCGTCAGCGCTCATCGCTAACAGCACTCTGATCGGGTTCGTACGCCAAGTTGACTTTGGCTGGAGTAGGTTGGATATGCGCATAACCTCGGAACAACCGCCAAGGAAGTCGCAGTAACCTTTGCGGTCGGTCATGCGCGCGAATAGTCGATCGATTACCTTGGCGCAGCTCAGACGACTACTACCGGCCTACTTATGCTGAGACACGGTGGACCTGGTCTCGCATTTCTTAGATGACTACGCCGATGCGAATGAATAATCGAACACTCTCGATCCCTATCCCGTCCTCGAGTACACAGGCAGCGGCATCTACGCCAAAAAATACGCCGTGTCTGAGATTGGCGCAAGTTATTCCAAAGCCACATGTCGCCCCTTGCTCGATGAAGAAATGCCTCTAGGAGAGAGCGGGAACATAATCAACCTAGAATATGCCTACAGCGCGACAGCTAGCTCTGCCCAACTGTTGGCAAAGAAGCGGGCGTGCTGCTCGATGGCGACCTTAGATGGGGCCAGACCAATTGGCCGTCTTTTGTGGAGGTCTTTTGTGGAGGCTACGGTTGATGGTGCTGCGCTTGAACCTTTAACGGTGATTTGTGTGCTTATGTTGCTAATGGGCTTAGCTCGGCGCCCTTCTCCGATCGGATCGGAATTGGGCTGAGCCAAGTCGCGCGTATTGCTAGGAAGCCATACTCTTCCCGTAATAGACCTACGCTTGGGAGTCATTTTGCCTTGGCGGCTTTGGCAGGAGCTGATACTTGCGCTTCCTGAGGACTTTGACTTTGGATCGCTATTTGCATTTGCATTGGCAGCAGCGTCTATCTTAATTTATTATCTGCAATACATGATCATATCGTCGGTAGCATTTCACATTTGACCAACTCAATTGGCACCAATACACTTTATATGTACGTTTTCGCCGCACCAGAATCAATCATCGAACGGGATCATGGTGGTCTAATACTGGCATGATGCCATCCGTGGATTGGGAAGGTGCGACCTGCGAGTATAATCCCCCCCCTCCATTTTCTCTCCGGGGCTTCTTCATGTCGGGTCATCTACTGAGAGGCACGCCATGATGCTGGAGTCAAGTCATACGACTACCCATCGAGTTACCTTTTTCGGTCGATCGTGCCGTCGCGGGAGGTGTCAACCAAGTTGTGTTACACGGCCAATCGTATACCGGCAACTACAACGGCACGAACTGGCCGGGCTACACTACCTAAGTTTTATGTTTTCTCTGATTCCTCTGACAAACAGCGTGAGCGTGGAACTATCCATGGATGGCTTCGGCGACCCGCTGAACTGTATGGTTGAGTGCGGCATTTTCAGCAGATTCATTGTCTCGACGTTGCTCTTAATAAGATATCAACCACAAAATCAAACTTCATATGTACGCTTCGGATGGTTTGGTCAATTCTGGCAAGATAGCTTGTTCGGGCATCCTTAAAAAAATGCACTCTTACACCTTTCTTCCCAAGATGAGTTTACACTTCCTCAAGTCAAAATTCAAGTTGATACCAACACCAAGCTCAGCCTTAATGGTGTGCAGTATATCAGAAAATACGTCCTCCAGATTACCATTCTTAGTGGTGGACACCCGGCATGTATACAACTCAAAATGGCACAGATATACGCGCCGTCGAAAAAGCCTTTTGTGTGTTGAAAATATCCATGTCTAGAAAGTGTCTACTGACCAGACCGCCACCAAACTTCAATCTCTCAGTCTCCAGCCAGCCCAACTTCGGTGCACAGACCAGTGGTATTTAATATAAAACTTGGGAGGGAGGATGCACCGAACGCCATGAATTACGCCTTCTCGTGCTGGAACACCAATCGTATCAAGTGACGCTGTTAATATCACCAACACCAATATCGGACCGGGGAGCAAGGCCTGTGCTTCGCTATCAACGCAAAGACAAGCAAGCAGGTAGCCACCCCCTCATCTTTGCGGATAATCAAATGATAATAATCGGGCTTACAGACATACGAAATCCCCAAAAAGGTGCATATCATCAGAGATCAGATTATATGCGGGCTTCGGCATCAGCAACACCCCGAGGAGCTCCACTGTAGTCCTGCACATCGCAACAAGCCTAAGCGATCAGACAACCAACCCCTGGAACGGAGATATTGCACTGTCCGTCGGAGTAGCCAACTGGACCCTTGTTCTGATGCAGCTACCATTGCCGCTAAGCACAACTCATCACCTCACATCCTTGTTCTTATAGGCCTAGATTGACGGTATTAATAGTGCCTTGGACTTTGGATACTATACCAAAAGCTTTACCTTGCCGCCGATTAGTAAATGTGGCTTGGCGGACGGTATCTTTATCCGCCTATCAAGCTCATGGGGAAGCGCTATCTCAATAATATTGTGGCTTGATCTCGCTGCTCCCCGTGCTGACTTCGCGCAGTTCCCCCAAAAGGGTCAGCGCCAGATGATCTTCGATGTCGCATTACATCTGTAGTATCTTCGGTCAGATCTAGAATACCTATGAGCTGGCACCGCTTCACATCCTAGCATCGACGCCACCGCGCGCAGTGAGCATGTGCTTATTGGCGAAGTAAAGGAATCGGCCTTGCGAAAGGCGGGGGACAAATAAACTGGCGGTCAGCTGTTAAACTCTGTCCAATCTATCGCTGTTGGGGCACAATCACTGCTCTCTTGATAATAAATCCGTCAAAGTAGATCCATTACGTACAATTAGCCTGAATCCGGGGAATTTGGCACTCACAGAACTTGAGCCAGTACGAAGTCGAACAGCCCTAAAGGGCGATGATTATCCAAGCGAGAACATCACGTGTTGCCCTGCATGTCGGAGTTCACAGGGCTCGCTCAACTTGGAAGTGGCAGTCAACACCATGATTACCAAGCACGCCATTTGTAAACAACGCTAAAGCGAAATACCCCAGTCAAAACAAGGGTTGACCCTAAGACCCAGACAAAGAAAATGCTATACGGCTGAGCGGATCGCAAGGCAGCCTGACAGGGCCGTGGGTAGATTGCGTGCGAGCTAACACCCCGGGGCCGAGGACGTGGCGTGGGTTATCACATTAACGGGGGCCGAAGAGGGGGCGGGTTTCTTTGATATGTCTCGGAGGGATTTGGGCAACCCAGCTATGCCCAGTGCTCCATTGACTGAAATCAGCAAAAGGGAGTATAATTTAGGCCTTCTAATGTTTCCATTCGGAATTCGAAGTTTCCCTCAAAACCCTAATGATAGGGCAATGTGGAGCTGTGGGGGGCAATTGTCCGAGCTTACGGGTAAAAACTTACTATGGAAATGAGATGCGATAACCAATCGTTGCAGCTTTCCCAAATAAGGAATAACAAGGGCTTAGAGGGCTAAGGCGAAATTGCGCTAATCAGAAAACAGCTTAGGGCAAGGAAAGATCACGGGCTAGGATAAAGATATGTACCCGAGATGTGTCCACCGGGTCATGCATAAAGTGCATGGGACAGGGGTTCAAGCGCTTGCGTCTTTCCCGATCGGGAAAAAGCATCACTCGTCACCTGAAACTTATTTCGGATACACTTGGCCGGTCCCATATTGCTAGTCCTGAAGGGGCTCTAGCGTGCACCTTTCTAGGGGCTAGTGGGGCTGGTGGGGGTTGCCATAAACAGCTGGACTGCTTTTTCATTTATTTCTCTGTAGTATTGGAATGTTGCTAGCGGATCTACATATGTAGCTTGTGCTTATACTCTACTAGGATAGAGTCCCCGAGCATCTCTCGCATTAGCTCTCTTCGAATTGGGTAAGTATTTTCATATCCCGCATAACACATCCGCTTCGCGGTTTTGCTTTAGAATATGGTTTGGAATACGAGAACATGCAAGTTTGAGGTTGAGGTTAACAATAACCGGACCTTCCAAGGTTGAATATTTAAAGAGCTGAGTGCTTGAATGATTTATTAGGTAGATAGAGGACGAACGTAGGCACAGAAAGCAAATCGGCCGAGGGTCATCAACGGAGTCACATATCGCGAACACGGCGGCCCCGCCGGCGAGTGGGTATCGGATTATGTCATTTGAAGCACGAGCCAGCCTGCATTTTCCGATTTGGGACAGAACGCCACTGTTACCTATTTGGTGCATTGAATGCCGATTTGGCAAAAATGGGTATATCAAAATATTTACAAAATATTAACAAAATATTAACACCTAAATCCCCCGCTGAGGCCTATGACTGATATGACTTTCTCATAATATCAGGAAATCCTTCTTCTTCTTCGGGTGATATCTGGAGGTTGGATTATGATTCAAGTTCACTGCAACCCCCGAATCAAATAAACATTCAGGGTCTCGAGCCTTACACCTCTACAATGCAATCATGCGAATCAACATCCTCTTGGTCAAATAAGCGACGCCAGACAAGTATGCAAAGTGACCGGCGCGTTAGAGTATGACACCCCCTGCTTAGAGCTTCTGGGCCCGTCCCATTTCAGAGCTTTCAATTGATAGTGAGACTGGAGAGTCCAGTTCCCATTGCACATCTCCCTCTTTGAATCCCACCATCTCTCCCACATGTCACTACTAACGCAACTCTCATAGTATAAGGAGCAGAGCTCAACCTGTTTGCATTGCCTGGATCGCAATATGCTTAGCCAGTATCCACCTCGGCCCCGATTGACCCGGCTAGACAACAAGCATGGGTCTTTCATCGCCTCAACTAGCACTTCGCCATCATCTCCAACCACCACGACAGAGTCCTCGCCCTCGCAGTCAAATTCCCAAACCCGACAAGAGCACCCACCAGCATGCCTCTCAACCCACATCGAAGAAACCCTTCACCTAAAAGACCTCGAATTGATGATGCACTGGTGCACAACAACCTACAAATCCATGGCAGGGGACCCCAAATCCGAACGAATATGGCAAACAACCATCCCCCAGCTCTCCCTCCGCTACCCAGCCCTTCGCCAAGGTATCCTAGCCCTCTCAGCGCTGCACCTCGCCTCAACAAGCACATCTTCCCGACGCTGGCGATATCTTGAAACAGCACGCTTGTACCAAGCACAAGCGCTAGCAGGCCTCCGCATCGAGAGCGACGAAGACGCCCCGGAAGCAGAAAGCCAAGCGACCTTCGCGCTGTGCTGCATAATGATCGTATTCACCTTCGGCTTCTCCCAAATCGACAGCGAAAACGAATCAGACGAAGAGCAGCCCGACGTGCTGGACGAGTTCTTCGAGGTATTCCATCTAACCCGGTGGCTAGTCAGCATCCTGGTCAGCTCGATGGAACGCATCACAGCGAGCGAGCTGGACCCGCTCTTCCGCCCCGAAGACCCGCTCCCAACAATGCCGAACATGTCGCGGCTGGTGGTTCTCTCGCTACAGCGCCAGAATGATATAGAGGCTATGCGGGATGCGACGCACCAGACGGATCTGTATGACTCGGCCATTGAACATCTCAGCCACGCGCTCGAGCAGCTGATGAAGGGCGGCGAGCCGAAGGTGTTTGCGTTTTGGTGGAGTTTCCGTATCCCCGCGGAGTTTTTCGACCTGCTTGAGGCACGTCGACCTTTTGCGCTTGTTGCTCTGGCGCATTATTCGGTTATTCTGCATCATCTTAGGGGTTCGTGGTGGATGGGCGATTGGGGGAATAGGATTCTGCAGGAGATTGGGGATATTCTTGACCCGGAGTGGCAAGAGCTTATTAACTGGCCGATTGATGCCACAGGGTGCTTCCTTCCAAGGACTGAGGCGCGAGTGCGAGTGATAGCCCCGCTTGGCTATTGATGACGAGTGTGCTTTTTCTTTTTGTTTGATGCCCTTTCCAAGTGGCTTGATTGAGCGCCAGCATTGCATCTAATGAGACATGAAGCGTGTAATTAGCATAGACATTTGATTGTACATAGCATAGTTTCTTCAATTGAGACAAGGATCGCTTGTCATGGGAGTATATCATTTCTCGGTGTTTAGGGAACAATCCCGGGAAACGCAGATGATCATTGCAGTACACATCAAGCGTATGTCAATAGAGGGAAAACACAACCCCGCCCAAATATATCCTAAGCGCCGCTCCTTTCCCAGTATTCCATGATAAGTATGAAACAAGCCCCGAGTAGGTAAATCCGGGAATGTCGATTGGAGAAACCACGCAAAGAAAAGAAAGAAAAAAACAAATACCACAAACCCATAAGTTTGACCGACAGCTCGATAGAAAAAGGAAGACCCTGGCATCGAAGCAGCACTGCCCGCAGTGATTTCTGATTCGTTTCTGCTCGGACAATCCCCTCTCCTCGGATCGGCACTGCAGCCAAAGAAAAGCAAATCTCCACAGCCAAAACATCAGCTTTCATCGAGCCTTCTCAACGAGAACGAATCAATCGCAAACAAAAGCCCACCCCACCCCTCAATTACCATAACCATCCTAAGAAGCAGAAGACTCATTCCGCAACTCCTGTCTCTCCTGTTCAATCTCCTTAACACGATCCTTAGATTGTGTGCGCACACGAATAAGCTCCGCCTCCTGCTCCTGTATCTTCTTCGCGCGTTCTTCCTCTTCGGGCGTAGGGATGTAAGCGTTTGCCGCGCCGCCTGTGGGAAAGAGCACACCTGTTAGCGGAGCTGTAGGTTTAACAAGCTTGCAAACATCCGAAGTCGCATTCGCTCGATATATTGTCATGTCCAGAACATACCTCGGCCTGTGTGGTGGGGGATCTGCTGGGCGCGCAGGGGCGGTGACTCGACGTCTTGGCTCTCGCGCGCAATTTCTGGTCGCTCCGGATCGTTGTGTACCATGTTTCCCGAGCCGCCGCGGCCTGTTGTGTAGACTTCTTGCTTGATTGTTGGTGTGACGAAGTCTTTGGGTGAGGGTGCGCTTTGTTGCCGGGTTATGTTGCCTGGGGTATAGTGGGTTAGTGGACTGCTGTAGCGCGCTGCGAGAGATGGGGGAAGGGGGTGTCACTTACCTGCCCCTCCGCGGCCGTAGGAGATGTTTCTTGACATTGTGTAGACGGTATGCAAGAGCGAAGATTGGTGAGTTGGGGAAACTCAAATGTGGAAGTCTGGACGGGGAAAAGGGACCTGTGGTGGGGAGAAATTTGCAATTCGCCAAATGACGACAGACTTTTTTTTCCCTTGGCTCTTAATAACCTTGGGATGTAACTACCTAGATATGTACATAATAGGGTATATTCTTATCTCTGTCCAATATTATTATATTTTATATTCCAAGGTTCTATATTCTATATTCTCTATCTATGAGCTCATAGATACCTGAACTTATTTCCGCGCTAAGCCAATGAGGCCAGGGTCTTATAGGCCTTTTAAGCCCCTTAAGCGCTATCTCGATCCGGGGAGAACTTTAATCGAATGGGAAAATACATCTCTGTATCTCACTTTTTATTGAGTACATATAGAGCCAGTCAGCGCGACCAAAAATCAAGAGCTTTACAGAGGCGTGACGACAGTGCATACAAGTTGCACATCCAACTCCAATATCAACGGTCTTCCCCAGTATTTTGATAAGAACTAGAAGCTGGTATCATTTTGGCGTCTGGTTTGAATTGGAACACGTAACGGAGTTTGCTCTCTCGGCGAGTGCGGAAGCGATTGCGCCGGCTATAGTTAGAAGTATAGAGTGAGAGAGAAGCATACTACTAGCAGACAGGGTAGTATTTTTCATACATCAAGTTACATGATTGTTTTTTTTCCTCGTGTGTTCGCCTTATCAGTAGTGATAACAAACCAGTGTGCCATCTGTGAGCATATCAAAGCTTTGTTATCGAAAATAAAATGAAGAAAACAATCTCAATGTCCTTCCTGCGTTAGACCGTTCTGCTGCAGTTCATGCCACTTGCGAATCACCATATTTTGGTCTTCTTGCGACGCTGTACACATCTCTTCAATGCCTTGTGTGATACGTAGTCGAATGATTTCTTTGGATTTGATTTTAGAGAGAGACCCGCGGACCCATTTGTGCAAGCCATCTAGTGGCAATCCAGCTAATCCAAACAGGCCTAGACACAGTTTAGAGTATGTTTGATGTTGTGAGACAAATATCTTACCTGCAGTCGGCTTGAGAAAGACGCCTCCCACCCCTTTTCCGATACCCGTGACCATCCCTTTACCTCCCGATTGCCGAAGCCCCCGGGAGGGCAGTGTGACAAGTCCAGACACACCATGATAGAGCCCTTGGTAGAACTCCTATGAAGAATGAGAAAATCGGTTTTGGAAATAAAATTCATATGTGAACTTACCTTGCCGGCTGCTCTGAATCCACTCTTGATCCCGATAACTTTAGGCATAGGTTTAACTGTATCGTCATGGTATAGTTTTGGTGCATTGTGAAATCCCTTTGACAAGCTGAGGGTAAAGTCGGTTGGAAGCACAAGCACAAAATTCAGTGCATGTTTTGCCGATTTCCCAGCTTGATAACGTGTTTCAGACAAAACTCGCCTTGCACGACGGCGCTTTTTACCGTAGCTTTTCTCTTTTCCCTTTTTCATGGCAGTTTGTCTGCGAGTAAACCCTGCGCCGTCCACGGCATGGGATTCACTCAAATTTGCCACTGTTTCATTGGTTACAGCATTGGAGCTTTGAATTATTTCAGGATGTTCTCGAACGTATTCATCAGGACCAGGACTACACAGTTCTCCACTAGGAGCGCTGGTGTCTGTGGCGGTCTGAGAGTCCTTCCTGCGTTCTTGATTTGACAAAGTTTCCGCAAAATGTGACATAGCCCATTCTCTCCCTCGGAAATCTTGTTGCACTGTTCCAGAGTGAGATCCGGGGAAGATGCTTACTAACTGACTTGGAGCACGAGCAATACCAGTAATGAGATCTGTCATAAAGCCGTACAAAACTTCTGCGCTTGCTGAAAGAGGACCTCTGGGGTCGCGGTTCGTGTCATATTCTCGGACGCGATATCTAAAGCTGTCAGATTTGGCTGCAAGAAAAGAATTAGGAATATTGAGATGCATACAATATTATCTCTTGTGGATTGAGATGGCCTGTGTGCAATAGTATCGAAACTGCAAAGGCGCTTAGCTTGATGTGCGAATATCGGAGCCACCACACTGCCGGTCGATCGGGGCAAATGCTGCATCTTAATTTCTCAACATTTAGATGCTGGTGAAAGCTGTGCACAGCTTTCTGTACTCCCTGTTCCGTGCGCATGTTCTCTCCGATCTGCCTGGCATTTTCCCGAGCCTGTTCTCCCAAGGCTTCTTGAATCGCCGAAGCCAATTTTTCAGCTGTCAGTTCTTTGAACGGGATCGGTCGCGGGCCAGCGCCTGCTCGAGCAACAATGGAACCCCAAAACGGTTGGTCGCCAAAAAAGGGAACAATGACCGTTGGGCGGCCTAGAAGGAGACCAGCAGCAGTAGTTCCAGCACCACCATGGTGCACAACGCACGAGACTTGTCGGAAGAGCCAATCATGGGGACATGGTCCCAACAGAAATATATTGTCAGGAATGTCCGTTTCTCCAGAGCCGATATTACCCCACCCTTTTGAAATAAGCGCGCGATGGCCCGTTTGGCGAACAGCCTCGAATATCGTCTTTGTCAATTTTTTAGGGTTATCAACTACAATTGATCCAAATCCAATGTATATTGGCGGCTGTCCTGCCTTCAAGAAGGCGTCAAGCTCCTCCGGTGGTTCATACTCTGACTCGGTCGACAGAAACTGAAATCCACAGACATCGATATTGTTAGACCAGTCCCGAGGTTTTGGAAGAAGAGATGGTGACCTTCTTGCGTTAGATAAAACCGACAGATATCAAGGACCTACTCACCAGAGGTACGTATATGGGATTTGCAGTCGATGGATCATGCTGGGTGCCCGGATGGCATCCAATGGCTCCAAGCCCAAGTCCTTCTTGCGGAAATGGTTAATGAGGTCCCCGAGTCCTTCCCACATCATTACCTCCACTATCCCATATGAAGCAAAGTTCGCCACTGATGGCTTGGTTTTCTGTGAGCGGACATTGGCCAGCGGGTGTGGAAAAGATTGCGTCGGGGACCACGGCATCCTAAGATATTCAGAATGTGTCCTAAGACTCAAGAAGTTTAATACCCGACTCACGTAAACATCATGTTCAAGGGAACCCCCAGCTTTTCGGCACAGCTAAAATGCACAAATCCCGGGGGATTCGCGATAATGACATCTGCCACAAATGGCCGTGTATAATGGTCGACAGCACCGCCCTGCGTATGTTCGGAGATATGGTGCATCCCCGTCCCATCTCCAGTCTCATAGCAAGAGCGCCAGCATCCAGAAAAAATGGCTTTCATTTCCTGTCGGCGCTTTTGAATCTCGCCGCTGCGAATGGTGCGCATGCCTGGCAACAAACCAGGGTTCTTGACCATGAAGGCCATCAGCTCTTCCGGATTACCACCAATGTTGAAAAATTCGAGTCCCGCACCGTTCACATCCTTGCGGAAAGACATGTGTGTGGCTAGTCGAACTCGATGTCCATGTTTCTGAAGCTCCTTGCCCAAAGCGACGAATGGCTGAACGTCACCGCGGGATCCAACAACCTGTAACACAATGTTCAGTTTCAAAGGAAACTTGGTCTCTTCTTTGGGAACGATGTTTAATTCATCCTGCTGTTCTGCGACCGGCTCCGTAGGTTGCTCCACATGGTTCATAAGGGTAGCAAGCCAGGGTTTGTGCTCTCGAAAATTGATATCCAACCTTCCATCTTCTGCTCTTGCTTGTGAGCCAATATAACACATGTGACTCTAGGATACTACACACGTTTCACTCGGACTCCAGTACTGAGTCCCTTTTCTCGAACCGTCGAAAAGTCATTATTGGTTGAGGCTCTAGAGCTAAGCGGCTCGCCTTGCCAATCTTCCGACGAGATTGTATTTTGGCGTTGTGGCTCAGCCATCACTGCCATGAGTGGAGGCTAAAGAGAATTTCGGGAACAGAAGAGTTTCCAAAATAGCGTGCAAGCTTTGAAAATGCAGTTCCACTCGTTCAAATAGCTTCTTTAAATAATTGCCCCACCGCGATGTTAGGGAGGGAAATAGACTTCGGACATGCGGAAGCTCAACTCAGCTCGTGATGAATTCCCGCGGTTGTATGATATCATCAATTTCTGGCCTTACAAGTCAAACAGAACCATGAACTCTGCAAACTGAAATAAGTCTAGACAATTCTACTGACAATGGATCTCAGCCATAGGCTCGTGGCTTGGCAACAACCACAGTCGCAATTACTCTAAAGTAGTTCATCCACATGGGACCTTTAATACTCTTCATTGATAAGATATATCATCTGCATGTGGTGGCGATGATATGGCACAATCTAGCTTCAACCCCCTTTTTGAGGCGAATCTTACAACCTCTCCTCTTCAAGCTTTTTTAGTGTGGTATTCCCACTTTTGATCAGCAAAGGTGGTTAATTCGTTGCTCAAAATGCAGCCATTCCTTGCGGCTAATGGACCTCGGGCTTCCTGTGAGACATGCAGGAAAGCAAAGGCGGGAGAAGGTTTTCGTCCTTCGTTTGATTCACTGATTGTTGAACTCATATCGTGTGCTGATAATCGCCCATTGTGTTAGGTCCGATGTAGAAAGGAAGGTGTGAGCTGCATGAGCTGCTTACACGGGGAGAGAACTGTATTTTCTCGCCTTTAACCCGAAACCGAACGCTGAAACCGTCAAGTCGAGAGAATAGAACTGAGCATTAGATCTAGCGAGCTCGCGTGCAAACTAACGGATACAACAGAATGGGCTGGGGACTTGTGAGGGACACTCGGAATTTCTTTTATAGTTAGAGAAACCACGTGGCCGTCGCCTCCATATAGCAATTGCTTATAAGGCTAGCTCTAATCATGCAAAGAGAAAACATCAATGCCGAAGTTCTCCTCTCCAACCAACTTCTTCGTCTCATGCAACAAACCTTTTAAATCATCCGCCAATAGTGCACTTGCTACTTGTATGACGGCAAAGGCCGCGTAGCCCGGCTCACACACGTGCAGCACACTGAGGATGTCACGGTCAGCCTTCTTAAGCAGTTGATCCAGGCTGACTGGCTCTGGAGCTTTAAGAAACGAAGGTAACGGCCGGCCCGTTGATATAGCAGTAGCGATCAAAGAGAGAGTGGCAGAAACATCTCGGGAACTTAGCTCTAGGGAGATCACAAGATTCTTGAAGTCTTTCAACCATGAATCTGAGGTCTTTTGAACTCCAGTGGAAGTCGGGAAATTTTGGAATGACTCGGCGACGTGACCTATCATGGTTGTGAAATGAAAGATACTGGAAGTAGTCAGTTTGAGAATGAGTTGACCATGCATATGGGGTGACACTGACTGCTGAGTATGATTAATAAGCCTGTTGTATGATGCTTCTGGGAACTTCCCACCCAACCCGAATTCCCATACCGCGAATTTCTTGTGCTTCTTCATGCCTTCGAGGAGAATAATCTCTTTGGCGAAGAGTCGACTTCGAGCTTTCTGAAGTCTCCTTCCCGGGCTTCTCTCGTCCCCCGGATCTCCTTCTGCTCCTCTTATCTTGAGTGATACTGTTTGATGCACAGAGCAATAGTAGTTGCCCAGCAGATAAAGAGAAGCGCCTAGATCCTCTCGAAGTTGTCGTCGGACTGTAATAATTGCCGGAAAGTGCGTGAAGATGAATGCGACAGCCACGCCACCAAGGACTGTAGCTAACCTGTACGGAGCAAGCTTGTACAGGGGATGGTAGACCTGGCCATTGGAAATCGAGATGGGAATACCGATTTTCTTAACCTGGAGTTCATATCCCACTATCAAGATAACCGTGACCATTCCTATCATTGGAACGACGATGGTGTCAGGGTGCTTGATCAACGGGTAATGGTAGAAGAACATTACGATGCCGAGAAATACGATAATGCCCGCGGTTTGCTGATCGACAATATACCAAATAATGTACGATGCAATCATCGCAAGTGCTGTTCCACCAACTCGTAATAATTGCCCATAAATACCCGACCCAGCGGTTCTCGTCATGCTGATGGCGACCATGATCGAACCCCAGATCAAGCGCTGTTCAATGAAGAACTGCTGAGAATCCCTCAAGAAACAAACGATTGAAATCACCATGGTGGCTGTTGCCACTCGGAAGCCAAATGCTGACTCTGAAGAGCCGAAGATGTGAGAAAAGAGGCGGATTTTATCCGATATTTTTTCCCATGCGGACACCGAGGGAAGGTGTTCAGGATCCTTTTTGGACTGCTCAATGTCGCTAAGGCGGACTATGACAGTACCAGATCGGGTACTGTATTCCTGGTAATCCAAATTGCTGTCCTCTCGAGATACTGTGTCTCTGGCCCACTTCTTAAGTTGTTTCCAAGTTGGGAAGATAAGCCTGCTTCTCGCCATCGTTCCATCATTCACTTTGGATTCAGCATACTTAGCCAGATCTAAAATCGCTTGCGCAGTCATAATGCAAAAATATTCTAGCTTGGAAAGGATCAGCATCTTCTATTTTTACCATGGTGAAAATCAAAATGAAAAAGCTCACATCGAGTACCAGGTGCACCTGAGACAAATGCCGTTGGTGTAAAGGATAGTCCTGTTGCGTCGCGTAGTTCTGCTGAGAAGAATCATCCATACCCTTGGAAGCACACCAGTCTTCAAGGGGGCCTTGTCTTTCTTTAAGAAATTGCTGTATCATCCCTTCACAGTGCGCGGCCCAGTCTCTATTCTCAGGTAAAGAATTGTGGCCATTCGCTTCGAGGTCAGTTCTGACAGAAGATGCGGGCCGTTTCCCGAGTCGCAGAGCATACAATGACTCGTCAAGGCCTATTATCATTCCTTTCTGAAGCTGTTGGGCACGATCGCACAACTGCCCACATATCCACTGCCACTGCTCTCTCTCTCTGTCCCGGAGGTGGACATATTCAGCTTCGGTCAGAGAATGATCAGCCTTTACGCCGCTCACAGCCTCCCAACCACCGCGTTTCTCGATGCGATGCGTGGCATGACTGAGGCACTCCATGCCTAAAATGGGGAACAAAATCTTCCTTTCCAGGTGGCTTATGGTCTCCAAATCCTTTGCGTCTAATTTGTCCCATGTCGCCTCAACCTTTGCATAGCGAAGTTCCGATTGTGACTTTGCTTGAAGTGTGGTAATACCGGTTAGGATCTTCTTCAAAGCGTCGGCCTCAGGCCAAGGGCTGGTCTTCGCGAGAGAATTGTAGTAGTCGTCTCTTCCGCTATCATGATCGTTCGGAGCATACGCAGTACCGTACCAATCACGCATGGGAAGTGACGCCACATATTGACTCAGCGCTTCCAAAGCGGCCTTGAGCCCGTGGAGCTCTCGGGTCATTAGCATGATGACAATATCTCGAGAGGTGAATGGAACAATGAGGAGATTTGTGGCAGCGGAGATTCCAAACCCGACGAAAAAACTCTCCAGTAAATGAGTGACTGAACGGTATTAGTATGAATCCCTTTTCTGCATTAGGAAGGGGACACAACCTAGCGATTCAGCTTCCTTCATAGTTGCAAATTGCGTTCCGTAGGTTGCCGTCACATTGATGAAAATTGAGAAAACGATGGAAGGCAGGAAATATTGAGGTCGATAGGCACGGAACCTGTTCCAGTCGTTAATAGAGGGACGGATGTTGAGTTACGATAACTGACGTGTTAGCTAGCCATACGTCGAAAAAAAGCCAAACACCCATATTAGCGCTGGCTGCTGCATTGTACGGACTAATAGTAGCACCAGCAACCGGACCATTAGAATTCGTTTCTCCGGAGAGATGGGTCGTGTTCTCTCGAGCCTTAACTGCACACCACATCGCAAGTAGCGAAATTGCAGCTGCGAAACAAGTCAAAAGCTAGGAAAGCACTGCCGATTAGTTCATCATATTTCCATAGATGTATAATGAGGCCCTACACAGGTCACAACAAGGTTCTGGCAAAATCGCGCCCGAGGCAGCACCGGAATGGTTAGGATGGACATTATTGGGATGAGATAGCCAATTGTCGAGAAATGTCTCGCAACGGAGTCGATCTGATATCTTTAGCGCATCAGTTTTTATCTCAAGTATATAGGAAGAAAACATACATAGCAATGCCAACGGTAGGCGCAACGGTTCCCCTTTGATTGAGCTGTTAGCATTTTCTTTTGCAATAGGACTCATGGAATTCCGGTAATTCAGCACCTGCTGAGTCTTGAGCAGTTGTGGTTGGTGATACCTTTCGGCCCAGTTGAAGAGAACGGGTAACAGGCCAAAACAATATGGGATAACATACTTAATCATCAATAGCACAAGCGGAGCGTCAATTCCATATTTAGCTGCTATCTTCTTCCATCTCGACGACCCCTTTTGCTGAGCAGTCGCGTGATTTTGAATTGACTCCCGGGCCATCTTTCAAAGTCGGAATAAACAATTGGGAGCACTAGGACCTGATGCCGTATTTAGTCAGCTTACAGGAAGCTAATCTCCCCGAAGAATGCAACGAAATCCCTCCTTCATGATACTCTCTCTGTGTTAACCTAGCACTCGGGAGGTGGCATACATAGATTTGATCCACCCGACAATGTTGGAAATTTACCCCAGTAATCTCTGTATGTCCACCAAAGGTTAAAGCTGGTCACTAAACACCTGCAAATAGAGATGCAAGTTAAAGCAACCTCGAACATGTAAGTGTCAAGTATGTCGAAAGAGCTCCAATGAATGCGGAAGTTAGGCAAGAATGGGTTAAACAGCAGCCGGATAGACAGGATAGTTAATAATTAAATGTGAAGATATGACCTCATCATGAATCTTATATTTGAGGTTTATAAAATCTTATGAACCAAATCGTTCGCCGAGACGAAAGTCAAGGGGGCTGCGCGGCGGAAGATCCATGGTTGACTGGCCATCCGCCCCTCAACCTAGATTCCCCACAATCGCCTTATTCCGAACACATAGATGAGGCAACTCAAGTTTTGAACTTTCAAGGACTATTTCCGATATAGGCAAAGTATCTCAATAACATACTATTCATGGAAATCAGTTTTACAATAAAATGACAGTTCGAAGGAGATTTAGAAACCAATGCCAGGAAATGGATTTCACATTACATTTTTACGTGATGATATTGTTGTTACTCTCGCTTTCTAAATTGAACAATCAACTAGTATAAGATAAACAGTGAATAAACAGGCATTGCTTTCTTCATAGAGACTTCTACTCACTAGTCCAATGCCTTCTAAGATACTCTGCCGTTGATACAGGCTTAATACCAGGACAGAGGCTATTCAAAGTGGGTTCAAAATCCATCCGGCCGAGGGCGATCGCCAAAAGCAGCTGGTAATAAAATCTTTCACCATCCTCCAGGTTGCCTTGAAGAAGTTCTTCAAGATTCTCAACCGGCAAATTCGTAATTTGAAGATCTTTTCCACAAATCGTTTTCGCCAGCAGAGTAACCTCAGTTAAACTCAACTTGTCGCCAACAATTCTGCTTTCAGGATCCCACTTAGCCAAATCAAGGGCAGCAGCCACAAATCGACCGACATCCTGCGTTTTCGTAACTACCACCTGCTGAGACGCATCCCCTGGAATTATGGCCGTACCCGCTTTCAAGTCAATGGCAAATGGTGGGCGACCTTTATAAGCCCCAAGAGCTTCTTCTTCATCTCTCACGCAGCCAGGGCCCCACACGTTCATCCAAAGACCATTCATAAACCGAGTATATTCCAGCCCCGAGGACTGGACAGCTTTCCAAACAGTGATCTTTCCTGAATAGAGGTGGACAATGTCATTGCAGCCACTGTTCCATTCCGATGGCACAAAGCGAGCAGCGCCGGCTTTTTTCGATGCCTCCAAGAGGGCCAGCTCAGCCGCAGTTGAGTCGCTTCCGTGTGGAGAAATACAGCTTATCACTGTATGCACACCTCCCAGCGACTCCGTGAGCTGTTCGATTGATCCGTAATCGACTATGCGGCTATCGATGCCTTGGGAAGTGAGGTGAGGCTGGTTTGACCTCGAGAGAACAATCACTTCGTGTGTTTTTTGTGTTGAGGATCGCCTGGACAATGTCTAATCCTATCCCCCTCCCCCTCCAGCGACTGCAACGACAACCATGCTTCACAAATCAACTGGCCCTAGTGATGGGCTAGATGCTGAATCTTTGTTAGCGACTAGAACTCCAACATTCACAATAGGATATACCTTTTTTAAGCAAGTTAGCACGTGTTAGATATGCAGTAAAATGACAGCTGATTCAGACGAGCTGGTACTTATTAAAACTCAAATGCTGTCGCCGTCGTACAGTTTATGAATGATTTGGATATAACTAACTACTCGTGAGCATGTGGGTATTCATGTAAGCCGGCGCGGTTATCAGTACCCACCTACATACCTAATGTAGCTAGTTTACTTTATAACCGTGGAATCATCACCATGCTCTCGTCAGCCTAAACTATAATGCCATCAGGAGAAACCGATATTTTTGGCAAGGCCGCCTTAACCTACATTTGTAAGGTCAGAAGAAATGAAGTCTCATAAATCTCATATAAAATGTATAAATTCTCTATAGAACTACAAAGTACATAAAGAGTGAGAAAATATATCATAAGATCGAGGCAACGAAGGAAGGCGGAGTACCCCTGATATTTTCATGCTGCCGTGGCCGTGTATGCTGACGTTATCTTTAGAAGGTTTAATCCAACCTGGAAAGGCTCCATCAATGCATTTTGCACCTTATCCATGGATGTCAGTATTGCTTACAATCACCAATTCTCATACTTCCAAGGTAATATAAAGGGATATAGAGGAATATATCTGGTGATTAGGAAACAATGCTGACATAAATGGTGTACATGGCACTTTTTCATGGTTGCGTGGGTCAAAACTCAAGGTTATTTTGGGGCTATCCGAAATTCGGTCCTTTGCCAGATATTCTAGAACCGGTTGTGCTGCCCAGTAGCAAGTTCACTGTCTGCTCAGACAGCATTACGACCATAAATATTGTGTTTAGTCCTACAACCAATGAACATAGTAACAAATATTCTCAGCCTAGTTCTCACACAAACCAACACTCAATAAGAGAATCACACTTCATGCCTTCTCCTCTTTATCATCAACATCTCAAACACTATGGGATTTATTTTTTAGTATAAATATTGTGTACAAAGTGGTTCAGAAGAGTAAATGTAATTTGGTCCCAAACCCTGTCTAAAATGTTGCAAAGTACGATTGTAAGAAGTCGAGTTCTAAGTGGCTATCTAAGCAAGCGATTGAATTCAAACACACAGGTAGTCAGAAGGTACATGGTTCTTCATTCAAATTAGATACAGTTAAGGAGTGAGCCATTTGGACTGGCCAGGCTGAAAGTTATTTCTTACAGACGAACAGACCGATCATCGGCGCATTGGCGTCACTCTGAACAGGATAAAATATTCAACCGATCGGTTCCCCTCAAAAAGACGATCTGATCCCTCGTTATTGCTATTTTACAGCTCAGGTGTATCAGCGAATGAGTCATCCCACCTATTCAGTAGATATTGTTAGTACTAAAAGGAAGAGTGATTTCGAAAACAGAGCACTCACGCAGCGTGGTATCTTCCACCAGAAACACCTGCAGCCTCGACGACAGCTCGAATTTGTTTGTTTTCTTCCGGTGTAAGAGTAACAGACAAGGACTGGATATTGGCATCGAGGTTTTTGGTCTTCGTCGTGCCAGGGATTGGGATAATATCATCACCCTGAGCCAAAAGCCACGCAAGGGCCAATGCACTAGTACTAACACCCTTGGATTTAGCAATCTGCTCCACGGCATCAACAATCTTTAGGTTCTTTGTGAAATTCTCGGGCGAAAATCTGGGTAGGAAACGGCGTATGTCGCCCTCGGGGAAATCATCTGGCGATTTGAGTTGTCCTGTCAGGAAACCCCGTCCAAGAGGCGCATAACAAACTACTGCCACGCTGAGTTCACGACATGCGTCCAGCAGGCCGTTTTGTTCAATATCGAGGCTGAACGGGTTATATTCGATCTGGACAGCAGCGATGTGGTGGATCTTGCACCTGTAGCCCGATACATTGTCAGCGTTAATGTTGAATTCACGATTATCGGCGTACAGCTTGACTCACGCTCGACGCAACGTGTTTGCAGAACACTCAGACAGTCCAAGATACTTGATTTTCCCATCGTTCTTCAGTTCTACCATAGCAGCGACCGTCTTCTCAATCGGAGTGACCTTATCCAAACGGTGAATATAATACAGATCAATAGAGTCCAGTCCGAGTGTCTTCAGACTCCGATCACAAGCCCCTTTGATATACTCAGGGTCACTCCTGACGAGAGCGTTGCCTTGGTCGTCAACACCAGCACCGCCCTTCGTAGCAAGGAAGATTTCATCCCGCTTCCCGGTTCTGGCGAACCATTTTCCAAGGAGTAGTTCGCTGTCTCCGTACACATCTGATGTATCCCAGTTGACTATGCCACTGTTGTAGACATAATCTAGGAATTGGAGACGTTCCTCATCAGGTGCAGCGGGTGCATAGTACGCCGAAAGTCCCATAGTGCCAAACCCCAGGGTTGTCACCTGGGGGCCATCTTTGCCAAGTTGACGAGTGGGGAGTTTGGGAACCATAATGTCTTTGTGTCGATACGTAGACAATGGAAGATCCTAAGTATCAACTCTTTCAGAGTTACATCTTTGGCTTTTAAGTCTGGGATGGACGTCACTCATCATCGCATCAGCAGGCCCACTCATTTGAATAACGTTTTGGCCAGGACGAATCAACTAGGGTTTTGGCTTACGCAAGAACATAAGCGACCACAAACTTTGGGTTAGCGACTTACCTCAGCTTCTGTTGCTTCCAAGGTTGTTTTAATAAAATGTCCACGGAGAAACCCAAAAGGGAGACTCCAATTAGCAACCCAATAATAATATTAATAGTAGAGACATCACAACTGTAATTTTGAATTGGATGTTGCATACATGTATATATATATGGTCGACTATTTTACATATATCTCCTACCAAGGGTATGAGGACTTTTCACCCCTCAACTCACACCACCATCGACTATGTTGATACATTTCGCCATCTGGTCCATCGAACAATATCCACCACTTTTTCAGAAACCATGATTTTACCTCCCAGCTCCGGATGTCCCAAGGGGCTCCGGAGCTCATTGATCACTTTTGTCCCTCCTAGTTGAACCCCAACAAATGATTCCATCATTTCTCAAATCTCGACAAAGCTCGTCAGGGTCGAAGGCCGGGGGTTGAATCTGAATGAGCTGAATGATACGATTTCGGAAAGCAGGAAATGGGAGAATGTCGAGGTAAGGATGATGAGGGTGGGTCAGTTGCGTGGGAGAAGGTCGAAGCAGGGGGCTTGACATGGGCGAACTGCTCTGCGTTCGCTGTTCCGGGTGGCTCGTTGGCCATCCACGCCTGGTAAAAAGGGGACTGCGTTGTTGTGTCCCACAAAACTTCTGGTGACAGCCCGAGCATTGCCGCATTAGCAATGCATGCTGTGACAAATGATATTGTGGTGAGTTGAATTGTGTTCAGATGTATATCCGGGACCTTGCAGGGCTCTGGATGAGTCGTTAGGGGTAGGATTCTTCGAGTGTCATTTTCCGTGTCTGTCGTTGGTGTGATATTTGCTGATAAGTCATTCTTTGGTCGATTTTCTCCTTTCGAAAGGGTGCATATTCCCGCGACCAGAATGTCTTCAAGGGAGTACTTTTCGCTCACACCATTCTCAGATCCTAGCACATTGCTCAATCTGCTGGAGCTTGATGTAGCTTGGTCGACAATTTGTGCCCGCGCCTGCTGATTCTCCTCATGACTGGTTAGAAAATCGGCCTCCACCATCCCGCTGAAATGTTGGCCTGTGTTACTCAAGCGTTGTGGGAAAATGTTGTCCGAGGACAGTGCAAGAGTGGGATCGACTAGGGGCGGAATTGTCGAAATTTGATCCAAGAAGTTCAGATCACTTTGAAGTTCATCAATTGATTCACCTGGTATTGAATCAAATCTGGGAACGCCTGGTATGCTGCCAGGTAGGTCCAGCTCGTTTGCAGCTCCAGGGTTGATAAGGTGATGGGAGTGAGAAGGCAGTTCGAGAGGACTACGTTGTGCGCTCATATCATTATTAGATGTCGGTTCCTCATTGACCCTCTGATAATTTCCTTGACATTGATGCCGTGGAAAGTCGTCATTATGCTGAGACGGCGGTGTGGCAGCGTTTTTCTGTCCCTTAGCGATAGTTTCAAGCTGCTTAAGGTAACTCTTTTTCTTGTCCCCTGATGATTAATCAGTCAGACAAGTCACTAGAAAATAAATCATAGACAAGAATTGGCCGGATTTTGTATTCAAGGAGAACTAACGGTAGGTCTTCTGCGCTATTCTGTTTTGCTCGCGCCTGCGTTCAGACATTGGGCAGTGGCGATGTGAGCCTGTGGTCTTCGGAATGGGTATCGGTCGGTATTATTGTGGTTCCGCCTTTCAACCGGTGGCGCGGGTCTCTTTTGCCAAGTTTTTCTGTCCCGAAGACAAGTTTGACCATATGAAGGAGGAGGAAGAGTTCCGAAGCGTTGCGGGGAAGTTCGGTCGAATTTGTTCCGTTGCATTGAGGCGAGTTTTATGCTTATTACTCATCTATACTAACTTTACTCGCCTATGTGGCTAACTGGTTAATTAAATATGTAGATAGTTATACTAAACTTAAATTTTATAGCATGCATATTCAAATAATCTGGTTGTTAATTATGAAAGACATTTACGACGCTCCAGGCCTCGTTCGTTCGGTAAGTAAGCGGGGACGAGCTTCGATTAAGGCGCTCGGTATATATGTTACCGACATGCTAGTGAGTGTTTTGTACGCAGGGGTATAACGCCCAGGGTTAAATGCCTAAATTTGGTTTGGCACAAAAATAAAAATACCTGAATTATTATTACAGAGCCCTTAACTAATAACTAACGTCATTTTACGCACTGCCAACTGGTCACAGTTAGATTAGAGGTAGGTTATACTTGCCTTAAGCTTCTCAATTCTCCAACGTCAACGATCTGTTCTCTCAACTGTACTGTTGCCTAACAGGCCTTACTGCAGAATGGATCCTTTCGAGGTATCGAGGAACGGTGCCAGGTAGAGCGCCGACTTAGGTCTATACCGGAGTATGGGCCCTGCTCGTAGGCGTTATCAAGTTATAATCAAGTAAGAAGTCACTGAAGTTCCAAAGGTATACACAAGTAACAATGTATGGATTGAGGACGAAGAGCTAAACTAAGTATATAAGGGAGCGTCCTTATATATTCTTCGTACGTGTCGACCTCCCTTCGACTCCTAGAGTCGATCTTAAGCCGACAGTCCCGTCGACCCCCAGTCGACCCCTAGGGTCGACTAAGAGTCTCTATGGTCATGTATCTTTATAGTTCCCGAAAGGGAACTTATCAGTGTAGATATTATCCCGTACCGATAACACATGAGGTGCTAGGACACGTAACTCGCATACTCCGTACGGGAATAATGTTCACTTTTACTCAACTGATATTGGCTGGATGACAATGGACATGGCCTTTTTCATGGACACTCATTTCTACGCAGGAATGAGCGGATCGGTAGAGGAGATGTGGAGTTTCTTTTACGAGCCCCCTCCTACCATTGTACCAAACAGCACTTATTCTTCTGGTGCAATTTCAAAATACGGCTCGCAGGACGTGAGTCCTGCTCTGCAAGGCGGTGATTGAGTGGAAACATATGAGAGAATCGCAACCCAGAAATTCCACCCATTGTACCTACGTCTACATTTAGAAGGGTCGGGCCCCAGATCACCTATACAATGCAGATTTCGCGCCCATCGATCGCAATTCCTTATGAATTTGGACTAGGGAATTTATGCAAGGGGAGTGAGATACAGAGAATTATCTGATTCCATAGAGTTGCCTATAGAAATGATGATTCTGTCGGTAGATTCAAGATCAAAACGAAAAGATCAGAATACAGCATCAAAGCAAGATCATAGGGAAGGCTAAGCCTTCCACATTGACGCCCAATTGGCATCCTGGAAAGGCCACCCACCAAGCCCCATACTAAGCTGATTGCTCTCTTCAATCTCCCTGGCCTTAGCCTTGAGCTCATCAACATCCCAGTTTGCCCACAAAAACTTGCCCTTCAAGAAACGAGCTTCGGGACTCGCAAGCCAAACACAAAAGCTCGCTGGCAGAGAAACTAGACCAAATTCAGCTTCGCATCACCCTAATCAAAAATCCAACATTCACTCACCATGATCCTCAATACCTGTGGCTTCAACACCTCCAGCCTCTCTGTTCATCGCGGTATCCACGATACCAGGCTGGATATGGAACACCCTTAAATTCGGGTTTGCAAAGGCCAGGGAATCCCAAAGTCGGAATACCGCCAACTTGGCGACGCTGTAAGCAGCGAACCCAGGGGCGAAATTCACATGTGCAACAGACGAATTGATGTCAATAGCAACAGCATCTGGTGATGCATGGCGAAGAAAAGCCTGAGAAACTACCAGTGAACCTTTCAGGTTTGTCTGAATAGCTTGAAGGAACTTGTCACCGTCAACATTTGCGACAGCATCCTGCGGTCCAATAACAGCTGCACCGCTGACCAAGATGTCGATTAATCCGTTACCAGCAAATTTGGCAAAAGCAGCGTCCACTTTGTCTTTATCTGTAACATCTGTAGGGGCCACAAATACATCGACGTCAGGAAAGATGCTTTCAATCGAGGCCTTTGTGTCGAGAAGGGGTTGCTCTCTGCGACCAAGGAGGGCGATCCGGGAAATGCCTGCTTCAGCAAAGTGGCGAGCAGTCTCTGAACCGATGCCCGTACCCCCTCCGGTCACTACCAAGGTCTTACCCTTGGCGGAAACCGCCGGCCGGTTGGGGGATATGGACTGGTAGGCTTTCGTGTGCCATTTTGTGGTTGGAGATGGGAACGGTGCTGCCATAGCTCTGCAATTTATTTAGGGATGGAAATGTTGGTTTCGCTTGTTGATGGAGAGCATATTTTGCGAATAACCGCGTCCATTCTTATATGTTTTGAGTATGTTGGTTCATTTCGGCCACGGACTCGTGCAATTTGCCATTGTCGGTGTAATCGGGATTACAAAATTTACTTAAATTTCGAATAGATAGAATGGCCATTGTTAACTATTATGCTCAGAGATAGGTTCGGGCTCTCTCGACATCTCGGCATTTACACTTTGTATCCCTCCGAGCTGACAAATACCCATCAATCGCCTCCCCAGACAGCCCCAATGAACCATCTCTCATACAAGAATTCATCCATGATTTTCAAGATATACACGCGACAGTCAAAATTGAAATGCCCGAACATTCCCAACCCGTTTTTCGGTGTACCGAGTGTAACAAACCGTTTGATAAGGGCAAGTTTCACTTTGACTAGGTTCTAGTGTACAGCTTACTAAATTAAGTGCATTCTAGAGTCTACACTGAAGAGACATGGGTACTATTGTCGGTCTCGAGGAGTGGGTCATACTATTCGACCTAGATCCTGTGATTTCTGCTCAAGAACGAAAACACGCTGTGATAAGAAGAGGCCCAAGTGCTCCAGGTGCATAGCGAAGGGCATTGAATGCCAGTATACCTCAAAGTCACCCAAATCTCAAAGACGCGGTGTGCAAAATGGCAATTCTTTGAGTGTTCCGAATAACCAAGAAACACATCTCAATAGAGATACAATACACCATACTGAGCTTGTTGTTGTAGACCATGAGGTCGCAGATCTTGAAGGCGAATATTTGAACTGGAATGCACCTGAAATTGAGCTACCAGACAACGAGTTCATTGAGTTTTTGGATCTTCAGACAAACGATACCAACCCATATTTCTCAACAGGGGGTTCTCTGGTCTCTCGACACTCACCTCTGATTGACCAAGAATTTCAAATCAATTGGTCAATACCAGCATTGCCGACGCCTAACCCTCACTCACTTACTAAAAGATCAACAGCAAATGTTGGTATGGAGCGAACTGCCACGCTCGTACTACATACACTAAAATCCTATGTCCTGAGTATGCTGCGCCACAAGTCTCTTCCACCATTTATCCATCCGTCTTTGGTATCCGCCGAATTTCTCATGGAGCCACTGATGAACTGCACCAATTTGGTGCATATGATAGGTGGCGAAATGAAAGGAAGTCGAAAGCTGTTCTGGAGAAATGTACGCATGGAGTGTGAGCGAATGTGCGATGAGGTGCGAGGTGTTGTGGATTATGAGGAAAGGTACTGGTAAAGCTGACAAACCTTTTTAGAGTCTGACATTGTCAAAATGGGAGCTGCTTGCTGCTATGCAAGCCCTAGCTATTTACATTATTATCCGGCTCGACGAAGGAGAAACAGAGTACAATGGGTTTGATCCACTTTTAATCGCGACCGTGACAGTGAGTATAGACACAATGTGACACTTTATTGACTTGGTTTTAATACTAGAGTATAGGCAATGGCTCAAAAGCTATCCGAAAGTCACATTGCGGGAAAGTATAGTCTCGACGGAACTTGGAAAGATTGGCTTTTTGAGGAATCAGGACGAAGGTTTGTCTACACCTACTATTTTGCTCTACTATTTTGCACTAAATTGACCGCAAAGTCGCTAATGAATATTTAGATTATCGGTTATTTACAAAGTTTTCAACATGTTGTTTTACTTTGATCCGGCAGTAATGTGCAGTTTACCAACGGATCTAGTTCTCGCACCCCTACCGGCGAGGAAACCGCTTTGGGAAGCAGGTAATGAGGCTGTGTGGAAATCAGAAAGACAAAGGGAAGGCGGAGTTCAGATCGAATTTGGATTGGCTAGCAGCGGGGAGATAGTCAAACTTGGTGAGCATTACAGTGGAGCTGTGATGGTTCATACATCTATTACCGCGAAGAGCCCAGCGAGGACTAGCGCAAGATGGGAGGAGTGGTGCGAGGGAATGGACGGGCTTGGTGGGCTTGTTATGCTTGCTGCTTCTATGGTAGTATAGTTAGTGACATTGAGTCTGATGAATGGGAGGTATGTATCTTGGGTATGGGCTTGGGAGATCAGTGAGGCTCGACATGTGAAAAAAAAATAAAAAATGAGCGACGGCCCTTTTTACTTGTCTGTAATTTCTTTTTCATTCCTGGGATTGGCTCCATCAGAAAAGTTGAATTAGGATAGTTCCGCACAATATCTGGCCGTAGAGTCAATTCAGGATAGAACAGGGACAATGCGAGAAACCCAGTGGTGGCAAGATACGGCGGCGCCCTGTCAATTTTCCTCGTGGAAAACAAGCCTTCAGATCTGCATGAAGACCTTTTCGAGCGACAGAAATGCGGGGAAAGGTCAAACTTCGGACACCCCAAGCCAAAGATAGACATGCCGACCGGGTAGAGTACAAATTCGACTGCGTGAAGCATGTCCGACTGGCTCAGTTCCCCGAGGCTCTCGGCGCACTGCCTTTTCCTCAGGAGCTGAGAGGGTTGGTCTTGAGAGAATGAGGTACGAAATTGTGGGAATAATTTTGTATTGATATCTGCGGATGGGGAGAGAAGGAAGAAGGAGAGAGGAGAGAAGAGAGAAAAACGAACTATCTAACTTATCTCTCTATCACATGCCGATCCCATCGTCCTGATCTTCCAGATCCCCAACAGTTGGTGTTGGTCGCCTGGACCGACGTTGTCGAGCGACTCGGTTGGGCCGCCTTGCAGGCCTAACAGGTTAGAGCCGTCTGAGCATCTAGCGTCGGATTATCCAAGCTAATGTTGGCATGTCATAGAAAACTGCTAGTAAAGAGATCTCCCTTGGCCGTTCCAACCAAGAGATTGAGAGGCTCAATCTCCGTATCCAGGAACAAAGCTGCACAAACTACGTGGGCGACAAGCACAAATTGAAAGGCGAGGTTTCTCATCTTACTGGCCACAACAGGTCTCTCAAGGAGCAAGAAAAATGGGACAGTGAGCAGATGGAAGCTTTCAATAGACTATCGCAGAGAAGCAGACCACAATCTGGGGTCTGACCAAGGAGAATGAGAAGCAGAGAGCTAGTGTGAACCGTCTCGTGGAGCGAGTAAAGAAGATTATTTCTCAGCAAAAGGGAGCCAAACACTTAATTGACGCCCTTAAGGACTGGAAGGCGGCTGACAAAATTCACGACGAGGAGGTTGACAAGCTTGTTGATGCCTTGAAGGAGGTTGAAAGCCAGACTGCCGCGACCAAATAGGCCAAGAAAAAGGCAAAAATCGCAGCCGCAGGAGTCATCACAAATCGACAATGCCCAAAGGGAATCACCGAGCTTGTATCAGGCCAGAGTTCTCCTACGAGCACATCATCCAGGAGTATGGGTCTGTCCTAGATACCCAGTTCGAGTATAAGGAGGATCCCATCGGCTTCGAAACACCAAGATGGGTTTCAAATAAAGCCACTCTTGAATTCAACATGATTACTCTTCTCGAGTGGTATCTCCGATATGCCTTCAGAGCAACTTTCAAGCATCTCGCCCCAGAGCTTTCCGAAAGAGGCCTTCTTCCTATCTCCTTTGGAATGGGATACCACGCAGATCCAATCAAGACATACAGCGCAGACATCGCCTTTACGGCCATCCCTGTGCATGCAGATATTATAGGACACGGGAAGGGTCTCAACAGATTACTAGGTGGCCTCAAATGCTCATGGAAGTGGAAGTCAGCATAGGGAAATCCATCGGCGGATGAGATGCAGAAACGGTTTTACCTTCTTGAGTTATCATAGATTCAGCTATACATGGACAAATATGGAACACGTTATGGCTGTCTCCTTACCGATGAGGAGTTCATTACTATCAAGCGAGATGATACCAGTGGCCGACTTGCATTATCCGAGCCTATTCCGTGGATGAGTGGTGGTACTGGGAATATGTCTGCTGCACTGGCTGTGTGGTATCTGGGTATGCTTGCAGCCAAGTTTGACTGGAAACTAGAGGCATAAAATGCAGGGAAGTAGTGGGCTGGGTCGTGCTTTTTGTGGCAGTGATTTCTTTGCTATTCAGTCTGGAGGTATGAACTGCCGGGGGATATTGAAATGACTCCTTCCTTTCTACTATATTAGAAATTGATAAACCTTGAACGTTCTCGTACCTGGTCGCACACAATGCCACAACAGGTCGTATCGCCTATTTAATAAAGGCCTTCTGCTACTATTCAGTATTCTATTTCAATTACTTACCACTATTACTTATTATTAGAGACTATAAGAGTAAAATTTTGGCAATTCTGAATCACAGAGGCTTTCCTCGTACTCATTTTCCTTTTTGCAGGCCCTCATTATTATTGCAGAGTTCGCTTTCAATACTCAGCGTCAAAACACCCTGTTCTTAAAGAACAGAAGACCACTAAGCGGTCTTATGGCAGGTCTCGGAGCTTCTTCTCTTTCATTGAATTTACAAGAAGTCTCACAACATTCACCGGCTGCCGAGCGATACGGAAGCAAACAGCTGATGAATACTGTTGAAACATTTTAGTCTCAATTGAGCTGTTGACACCTTTCACAGTTCAAATTTTCTTTCTGATAATTGATCCTGGAGCAAAGGGGCTATAAACATATCCGGTATAGGCTGCTCAGTCTGTTACAAGCACATATCGCCTTCCATGTCTTGAGAATCCACCTTTGTAACATCAACCTTCAACAATGATCAATGTAACATTGACAGGCCTCTTATAGAGTAGTCTTTTGCTCCGAGGCCTTTTTAGTCCCAAGCACCGGATCCAGAAGCGGCGTATTGTTTCTCCTTTGGCTTATAGAGGCGACCTCTAAGCTTTGAGTTACCGCCAATCGTAAGCGACAGGTCGCCAGGCCCAACAGTGCCATTAAAGGGTTGATCTCCACTCAGGTCATCTGCATCAGGGTATTCAAGCGTGGTGATAGCAAAGAAGTCTGGCACAGGTCTAATAAAGTGGCCGGTGTAAGCGTATTCCAAACCGTTCAGCTTGTAAGTGGCGATAAATTTGCCATCACCAGATGAGAACATAGTGCCATCGGTAGTGTGCATCTGTTCCGATAGTTAGTCAGTCAAGGCTATGATTCGTTACTCTTTCTAGCACGATCACCTACCTTGATGGTTTCAAACTGAGTATACTTCTGGGAAGGTTGATTTTGAGGCAACTCTTGATCCGGAAATGATAGAGATAGTTTAGGACGATGAATGAAGGCTCTTGCTCCAAGTATAAATACCCGAAGCTCGTAAGACCGGTATGAATTTCACATAGTAATGATATCATCTATGACATCCGCTATATAGGTATATCCGCGGTTCCATGTAACAGTGGACGCACTACAGTTTTCTATCACATTTTTCATCGTATCATACATTTGTGGCGGTTTTCTCCTTATGCTCGTGCCGTCCTTTCACTGTGTGGCTGGCTGAAATATCTGCACATATGAGTTTAGGGAGACCACAATCTTCGAACCTAGACTTGTCTGTAGATCAAGAGCCCTGCATTTTACCAACCGAGCCATATTAACCAAACGTTATCCTCAATATTATAGTCAGGTGTCATTTCACTCAGCCATATTATAAAGCTTATACAAGGACTGAAAAAAATCCAATACGATACACCTTTTCCCCCCTAAAGGATATTCTCTAAGCCTCGATTTGGAAAGATTTGCCTTACAACGTCTGTGACTAGTCTTGTTGCGTGATTTAAGTTCTCGGATTCCAAATCTGGGCCAATTTGGGGTGTTCACTATCGTATGTGGGGATTGATCATGGACCAAGCGGGATCAACCTAAGTTTGCAGACGCCACGGCACGGGCCTAATGAGTGGGGCCGTTTCTCCCCGTCTTCCAAGGTTACAAACAGCATATACTGACGGGTGTATGTAACTGTGCATAATGGCACCCTATCACAACAATAGTCCTTTTATGCGAAAATAGGTCTCTATTTCCACGGAACATTATTGGCTTCGATATCATCACAATTACGTCAAAACTCGAACAATTCATCATCAATGCTTATTTCTTGTGCAACAAACCTCAGATTCGAGGAGCCTAGACTGCAACAGAATGAAGCGCTAAGCCTAAGTAGGAACACTAAACCGCATTGGGTAATTCGCCGTCACCAGAGAGTACGGAGTACACACAGCGAAGTGGACTAAGAAGCCCCGATAAATCGAGGTGAGCAATGGGAGCAAGGCTAGGCTTCATCTCAACAGCAAAGTGCCAGGAGCACAGTAGTCTGAAGCAATGGGTAAAGCCAATTATAGCAGGCATGATAGCGAATAGAGGCGGGCAGGCGAGAGACAGACTAAACAAATTGCTGATCCTTCGTCGTTGGAACTATATCTCTGACACTTTCTCCGTTATTTGCATTGCCATAGTAAAGAGCTTTTCGGAAAGTTAGATAGAGATATGCCATTAGAATTACTAGATCGATGCACTGCTTATAAGCCGACCGTTATAGTGCCAACGCTCTGACAAATGTTTGAGTGAATTGGCCTTGTATCAAAATATGCACGCGGAATTAACAAAATAACTTGCAAATCTTAAAACAGACAAATTGTATCGACTTCTGCAAAATGACAGCCATCTGGTACCCAATTTCTACGTTCAGTATTCTTCTTCGATCTCCATTGAGGTCGGCTGCATTTGCAAGAGTTGCTGCTGCACCTCAGGTTGGCTCTGTTGCTGCCGCTGGGAATGAGACTGTTGTTGCATCTGCTGTTGAAGCTGTTATTGTATTCCAGTATCCCGTAAGAGCGAATCGACTTGAGACTGACTTTGAGGCTGCTGTTAAAGCTGCTGATGTAGTCCGGACTGTTGCGGTTGGGCGTGTTGCTGAATTTGGTACTGAGGCTGTTGTTGCATCTGCTGTTGAGGCTGTTGAAGCTGTTGTCGTAGTCCAGGGCCCAATAAGAGCGACTCGGTTTGATGTTGAGTTTGATGTTGGGGTTGTTGTTGAAGCTGTTGTTGAAACTGCTGTTGTACCCCCTGCTGTTCTACTCCCAGCTGTTGCGGCAGAATCTAAGGTTGCTGTAATTTGAGTTGCTGCATGGCATTTTGCAGCTGCTCAATCTGTTGTGGTTGTGTGAAATGTGATGGGGCTGGTAGCAATTGTTGAGGTTGACTCGAAGCTAGAGCCAATTGCTTCACGCCTGGGTGGATAATGTCTAAAGCCTCCCCCAATGACCTCGCGTCAGGATAATTAGATACGTATTCGGCAATGAGCCTTTCCCCTTCAGACCCAAGTATTGTTTTTAGCGCCGATCGCGAAATATACCATCATTCCAAGTCACTTTCGCTTTTCGCATACCAAAAGCCAACTACAGCAAAAGGAAGTCGCGACTTTGACGGGTTCCACTCGTCTAGTGCCACAAACTCGATCCCATAAATACCGCTTTGACTAACCCTGTCCTTAATATCCAAAATATGTCTCTGGTCTTGAGTGCATATAGGAACACCGGTATTGATCGCTCCTCGTAATGCTTATTGACCACCCGCGGCTGCACATGACACTAACCGTCTGTTTTGCTGATCATCTTCTACCACAAAATGAGCCCCCATTATGCCGAGTTTCTGTATAGCCAGTATTGTTTCCCTTTTTAAGGTGAAGCCAGGTTGAACGAAGCGGCACATCACCTTTGGTTGAAGGCGGATTATTGTTGACAGAGAATCTAGAGTGCTACTACGAAGTAATAGGGTGCTCTAGAAAAACTAAAGTTGCGTAGAGAAAGGAAGAAACTATCTATAGAGTAAAGAGCTAAGTGCTATGCCGTCCCGAAGGGTTTATAGGGTTTGTATTACTTGGTGGCCTTAGGCTGCTCCTAGGGAGTGGCCGGGGTCCCTAGGAAGAAAGAGTTTCTATTATACCTATTACAGCTAATCTGCCCCTCTAAGTCTATTCCTAATATAGTACTGGAAAAATGCGCGGCGCGCGCACGCATCAGCCCTGAAACGATAAGTAGAGAAGGTAGGAAGGTCAGTGCAAGTAAAGAGTTAATTTGGCAAATGTAAACCTGTTCTAAAAACGAGCTACAGAGAGTCGTGTGTGAGATTTGGAAATTTGGGCGGGAACATTTGCGAAGCATGTACATGAGATTCATGTTCTTGACGCAAGGAGCCCAACTCAGATGGTGTAGGCTGTCTAAGCGGACGCGACAAAGACAGGCTTCGTATAAGACGCTGATCCTTGCTTATGGTATCACCCAATCTGCTGATCTCTAAAACTAGTGGCATGCTAGCTGCAGAATTCCGAAACCTTGGATTAAGAGCGTTTGTAAGCAGCTTCGTTGTTCTCCTTATATTCGTCACTGCGTCACACTGCTTGACTAGTGCAATTGCATCAAACGGCTTCCTTTGTATCGGAAAGGAACTTAACATTATACGATTTCTACCTAGCAACCTACATCCCGAACTCTTCCGGAAAGGTCCCGTAAACTATCAATCTCACTAGACCCCTCGCGTCGTACAACACTACAGTAGATCATCTACTAGAAGTTTGAAAAGTATGTTCTTGTCGATCATTCTCCTGTTTTCAAGCGTTATTCTGTAAGTGGAAAACATGGAGAGAAGGAAGATAAAGTACGGAGTATAAAACCTACATTCCCATTTTCTTTTTTCAAGACTGTTGCCTCTACTGCTTTTAAATTGGTCATTCTGTTATTACACCACCGATCAATACTATCACTTTCGTGACTGTTAAGATGCAGCTCTTCCCATTTATCCTTACTTCCATACTTGCTGCCACTGGTACTAGAGCTCTCCCAAACCATGATACCTTACCGAATGGGATAATTGTGCGACAAGAAATGAATTGTACTACATATAATGCTGAGATGAGCCGGCTTCAAAACAAAAGGAACGAAGATCGAGCCGCAATACAAAAGTCTGGGAACTTGAAGGATCCGTCTATTCAAAACGACAATGTGGCAATCGCGGCTCTCACGGAACAAAAGGTGAGTGTGGTCCGTACTAAATAAGTTACAGGCTACATACAGTACTAATATGAAATGGGGTGAATAGCCGCCTGGCTGTTAGCCATACTATCCTATAGAGTTCGGAGATCGTGGGGTAGGATGGAATAAGGTGTAAACGATGACTTGTCCTTGATGGACTCAGTGCCTGACTGTCTGATGAACTGGATCTTGTTATAGGATCGGTAAACTCCCTTAGGGAGTAAGCGATGTGGGCCTTGAGGTGTCGAATACTCATTGTACTTATATTTCAATATCACCCTTCGAGGCTTCTCGGCGCCGCTGGAATAGGAGCAGAAGTGGTTTCAAGTATCCCAAACCTCTATTTTCAAGTCTACGTGTCGAAAATGGCCTCTCGTACTCTTTTCTTTTGAACCGACCACAGTGATACACCATTCAAGGAAGACATTGAATCCCTAATCAGGATCTTTTTCGTAATAACTCAAATTACGTTTGATGAAGCTTTTGAGCTTAGCAAAAATCTCTTTAATCGGATTGAAGTCCAGCGAGTAGGGCAGCAGATAAACTAAAATCACCCCTACGTCCGCACACACCTACGCAATCCGCTCCCAATGATAAAACGACGCATTGTCCATAACCACAACTGATCTAGGTTCGGGCCACTTTCCGCAGTGATGAAGAAGCTGCGCTATGAAGTCCTCGAATACAGTAGCAACCGTTGAACCGCGAAAGACACGCGAGAGAACGATCCTATCTTGGGCATACGCGGGCAGTATCTGATATGGCTGGTCGTGATGGAACTGTGATACTTGCATGGGGGCTACGCGAAGTGGTGACCAGCCTGTCCGCCTGAACCCAACCCATTTACAGTAGAATTCGAAAACAGTTTATTCTTTAAGCACACACACTTTGTTTGTCGGCCCGTACCCGAAACAAGCAGATTCTATATTAGGATAAGCAGGAACTTATTGGCCACTCATAAACAGACACTATTTACGATCTAACCGAATTAGGCTTCAACCCGTTTGGATTACGGGCCGGTAAGCAAAGGGTGTGTGCTTAAGGGGTAAACTGATTTCGAATTCTACTGTATCACATCCAGACTCATCAACGTATATTAGGTGATACGACTGAAAGTCCGATAAATTGTGCAAATAACATGCTCGCAGGTCGGCATTTCGCTCCATATTTCTTACACTGCGATCCCAATATAATGTTTTTCCAGGACCATGGATCGCATTAGAAGTTCCGTGGTAGCCAAAACAAGGAAGCCACGTGATATGACGTCGACGTTGCTTTTTATTTCTCCTCGGCAGTGCACACCAATCATAACCTATTACTAGACTTCCAAGGTTGTTACAATATACAAGCTTTACTTGGCTTTGAATGCGCCACTGAAATCAATTCAGCATATGATGACCCCACTGCCTCTGCCCCTTTCTAGAATTCTAGTAGATAATGTGGGCTTCACATCCATCCTCCATATTCCAGCTAGGTCGTGATCAAACGACAGAGTATACGAGATTCCCTTGTATCAAACACGCATCAAATGAACGATCCTGGTCTCGATGACGCCGTTGCTGACGAGGCAGTGGCTCTCGATTGCACCTCCAGCTCTCCAAATCAGAAGATAGACGAAAACGATAACTCCTTGCAAAACGATGCCCAGTACCAGCAAGCTGCGCGTTGGTGGCTTGCAAGTACGGCATACCCTCTGGTAGCTGTATGCGGAACCCTACTGGATCACTTTTGACGTCCGCATTCTTATTTTCTTTTTCAGGGCACTTTCGGGCCGATGGCTAGCGCTTTCAATATCTGTTCTTTGTCACAACCATGGCGAATGGACCTCACCAGCAGCGGTGGGACAGATGTCCCGGATCCGAAATGGTACTTAATCTGATCAAACATACCTTAAATGATTCTCTGAGTAACAGAAGATGCGTTGCAGGGTCACCGCTATCAACGCAATATCACTTGTCTTTGCACTTATCGCCAACCTAGCCCTCTCGCTCAACATGGCCCGACGCATCCGCTTCGAAACTGCCCAGCCAATCATCATCGTAGGCTGGTACATCTCATCGGCGTTCTTGATCGCAATCTTGATTCCCTTCGGCGTGGACATGTACAAGCCCGAGAACAACGGCCGGATCTACTCGCAGAGTTACTACTACGGCGCATTCGCAGCAGGGATATATTCCATCATCGCATCTTTGATGGTAGTGACTGGATATGGCGCCTACCGTGGCTGCTACAGCCGAAAATACAACCTGACTACCAGTCAACGCACACTTATGCTGCAAACCATCATTTTCTGTTTCTACCTTCTCGGCGGTGCAGCCGTTTATTCCAAGGTCGAGGGGTGGCGCTTCCTGGATGCAGTCTATTTCGCAGACTACACATTACTCACCATCGGCGTGGGTAATTTCTCGCCGAGTACGCACCTCGGCCGAGGTTTGCTTTTCCCATATGCCATCGGAGGCATTATTATCCTAGGTCTTATTATCTCCTCCATACGCACGCTTATGTTGGAAAATGGCAAGCAAAAGATTGGCAATATCTTGACAGCACGCACGCGCAAATACCTTCTCAAAGAAGCCTTCTCGGACCGTTCTCGTGTTAAAGGTATTATTCCCTCGCTCGGGGAGAGGGACGCCAAAGCGGAGGGCCGCAGTGAGCGGGAACAGCGCAAACAAGAGTTTATCGCCATGCGCCAGGTGCGTGAGCTGGCAAACGTCCAACACAAATGGCTCTCGCTCTTGATTTCCTTTTTGCTTTGGATGGCGGTATGGCTGATCGGAGGTGTGGTTTTCTGGCGCTCGGAGTCGAACGCAAAGTGGTCGTACTTTGAGGCTCTGTACTTTGCCTATACAAGTCTCCTGACAATTGGGTATGGAGATTTGTATCCGATTAGTAGCTTGGGTAAATCCTTCTTCGTTTTTTGGTCCCTGCTTGCCGTTCCTACGATTACCATTCTCATCTCCAACCTTGGCGATACTGCCATTCGATTTATCCGTGACATTACGCTATTCATTGGCGAGCTCACTATTCTGCCCGGTGACCAACCCTTCATGGATCGACTTAAGGCACTAACTCACATCTCCTGGATCGGGTGGTGGATCGAAGAAACGACGGGCGAAAAGGAAGGTGCAGGACAGCCCGCAAACAAAACCAACGATCCCGATAAAGAACCAAACGACAATCCTCTCGACGTAAAGGAACGCAAGAAAGATTACCCACCGGGGCAGCGCGGCGACACCGCCGCTGAAAACATCCACCAATACCTCTACCTGCTCTTCCAAGAGCTGCGCAAAATGACTGAATACGCCTGCAATACTCCATCCCGGAAGTTCGACTATCTAGAATGGGAGTATTATATCGGCCTGATTGCAGGAGATAACAAGCCCGATATCCTTAGGGATGAAGCCGATGATAAACAGGCGCAAGCAGCACGAGAGTGGAGTTGGACTGATAAGAAAAATCCTTTGCTTGGCGAAAAGAGTGAGGTTCAGTGGTTGCTTAGGGAGTTGACTGAGGTACTTGGTCGGGAATTAAGTAGGGCGAGTCGGGGTCATGATGTCCCCGCGAGAGCAAAGAGGGAAGAAGAAGATGATCAGATCAGTAGTAGAGAAGAATGATATTTTTCACCCTTGTCACCGATATCTAAAGCAATCTGACAATATCATATTCTCCAGTGGTAAATTAATTACATACGACCATAGGGTGTGGAAAACAGGGCTTCCCGTCCGCTCAGCCGTACTTAAGCCACATATAGTACACGGCCAATTCTCAAGACGCCTTGAAAATTAAAATGGCGAAAAATTTTGTCTTAGGGTGAGTGTGGGTGATATGGGTGAGAATTCTGGAGACCGAGGTGACCGAGGTGAGAACGGGGTGAGAACGGGATGGAGAGCCATCCAACCAGAAAATATACTTCAAAGTCGATAAAAACGGTATATTTAAATCATCCCATTCTTATACCCTTGTATGCAAGTCATTAATCATACAAACTAATAGTTGCACTTTTACATCCTTCTAAGGCTTCCATTCGGTGTAAGGCCGGTCAATTATCATCTCCTTGACCGTCGGCAACTGGGCTTGACCCTTTCCGAATTCCACTGCCATTGCCATAACTTCTCTCCAACGCAATCCCGGAGCAATCTTACCCGAGATGGTATTCGGAGTCAGCGTGTCACTGTTAATAGGAACAAGAGCAGCACGGCCGAGGATAGCCTCGAGAGCCTGCTGAGCGAACGAAACTGCCTCCTTGGCATCGGAAGGAATACCCGTCTCATCAAGACTGAGAATCTTCGAATTTGGCAGCTGCGCCTTGAGGTACTTGATGATGTTGGGGTTGTGGGCACCACCACCGCACATATAGACACCGGCGATCTTGTCAATATCAATGTTGAACCGGGGGAAAAAGGTGCGGTACTGCTTGACAATGTTCTGGGCGGTGGTGCGGGTGATAGTGGCGATGATGTCGTACTTGCTCATGCCCAGAGCCAAGCACTCGTCGATGATCTCCTGGGCCCCGTTGTCACCGAAGGTCTCACGACCCGTCGTCTTAGGGGGCAGATGGTTGCAGTACTTGTTGTTGTCGAGGAACTTGTCGACTACTGCCTGGTTGATGGTACCCTGAGCACCCCACTCGCCGTCGCGGTCATACTCCATCTCGCCGTTGGTGAAGTAGCGCATTGCGGCATCGATGAACATGTTACCCGGGCCACAGTCCCAGTCGACCATGGCATCGACGCCGCCCTCGCTGTCCGGTGGAATAACGCAGAGGTTAGCGATACCACCGATATTCTGGCAGATGCGCCATTCAGTGGGGTGATGAAGGAGGAGGCCGTCGATCAAAGCGACGAGAGGAGCACCCTGGCGGCCGACCGCCTGTTCAGCCATGCGGAAGTCGGTAACTGTAGTGATGTGGGTCAAGCCACTCATGATAGTTCCCTCGCCGAGGCAGAAGGCGGACCGGGTCTCACTAATCTCGGGCATGGAGAGAAGCCAAATGGTCTGGCCGTGCGAGCCGATGAGGTCGATGCTATCGATGGGTACGTTGTGCTTCTCACAGAAGAGCTTGACTGTCTCGCCGAACATGTTGCCGAGCTGGACATTCAGCTGGGACATGAGGGAGGGAGTAGTTTTTGTTTCGCGAAGCATGGTGAGGACGGGCTTCTTGATATCCAGCGGAACAGGGAACTCGTCGTACTGTTTTAGGGTGATTTGTCAGTTCCGCTAGAGTTGATTGGAGAAAAAGTCTTTCAGAGGACCGTCGTACCTTAAGGATCTCCATGTGCAAAGGAGCTTCAGGTGAAGCCTGGCGATAACGAACCAGGGCGCAGTCAATGCCATCCATGGCCGTACCGCTGTTCATTCCCATAACTGTGATGTCGAGGGTGCCATCGGCAACACAACGGCGAGTGCCGTTGACGTGAGCAGAGCCATTGGGCTCGGGAAATCCAACTGAAGTGACCATTTCGTAATGCAATTCGATGACTTTGATTCCAACTGTAATCCAGAGGAGCGAAGAACCACTTCATATACCTTTGAAAACCCGACCCCAATTCGTGCTGGGCAAACAACATACCCCCATCATTCCTGATTGCCGAAGTCATGCGCAAGACAGAATGCCGAGAAGGGCAGATTCGGGGATGGGCTTCGCGAGATCCATGACCGAGCCCGAGGAAGCAAGCCAGAATTGCCTAATTGGGTATCTTCGAGACGAGGTGCACGGACCGGCACATCCCCGGAGTTGCGAAAAAGTGGAGAACCGTTTAAGCCGTCAGTCGCAGGCCGTTTATGCGACCATTTCCGGTCCCTGCATCCCATGTCATTGGTCGAGAAGATCGTATATGCGTGGATGGGTTTCATGGATGGGATGGGGATGGCGAGTGAATCAATCCCGAGCGCTGGTCAGGGCATCCCTCTCTTTTCCATTGACCAGGTGAGGATGATCCGTGCTATTTTCAACTAACTAAAAATACTTAAAGAGTCTCAGGAATCTGCGGTTCCGGCTTCCCTGACCTTGCCCAGTCGAATCTATTACAATCACATTATCATGCCTTCCGCCACCATGAAAGCTATTCGCTCGGTTTGGACCTCGGATGAGGGGTCAATGGCTAAACAGACGGCTGAGACCCGATGGGCCAAAATCATTCAGGGCACCGTGGACGATATGGGCGAGACAGCCGCCATGGAGGATATTGACGACCAGAAAAGAGTGGAGAGCATCGCCATTCAGATTGCCCTCAAGGACATCAAGAACGAAATTATAAAGAACTATGCCCTTACGTACGTACGTCTTCTCCAAGCGCTGAAATGCAGAAACTCACGACCCGTCAGACTATTGCAAGATGACGGCAAGCCCGATGTTCAAGAGTGGAACAATCAGTTGGCTTCAATTGGCGAGTGCAGTTGGATCAACTGCCCTTGGCTCTTTGGAGAGTGCTACATGTATAGGTACGACTGTTGCTGTTGCAAAAAACTGATCCAAGAATTGCGCTGAAAATTCCACCAGACGTATCCAAGGCATCTTCAACTCCTCAAAATACTGGCAGGACTATGATGTTTTCAGGCGCCAAAAAGACTCTACCTTTGTCAAGTCAAGAGCTGCCGTGGAGGAGCTCGCCAGCCGTTACATGCAGACCATTGCCGAAAGTGGACTTGTCCAAGATGAGAGCAAAGAAGAGGCTAAGAAGTTGCGTTTTATCGAGATGACGGAGGTCACCTTGTGGGGAAACGCCACAGACTTGTCACTCCTCGCTAATCTGACTCTGGAGGACTTACAAAAATTGCAAGGCCGAGATGCCATCCAGAAGAGCCAGCGCAACATCGTCGACAATGACACGGACGACGTATGGGCGTATCTTCGACGCACTGCCGGTCAGTCTAGTCGCCAGATTGACATTGTCCTCGACAATGCTGGCTTCGAGCTCTTTACCGATGTGCTCTATGCCGCTTACCTGCTCGATGCCGGCATTGCTACCTCTGTCAGACTGCATACCAAAGAATCCCCGTGGTTCGTCAGCGATGTCATTCCCTCAGATATCGAGTCACTATTCAAGCATCTTGATTCGTCCGATTGCTTCCCAAGTCGCGAGTTTCTCGACCGACTCACCCCGAGACTGCTCAAGTTCTTCCAGTCGGGCGCGATCACGACCACGAGCGACCCTTTCTGGACGACATCGTTCTCGTTCCACGAGATGCCGTCCAAGGCACCCGCTCTCCTCAAGGAGCTCCAGAACAGCTATCTGGTCATCTTCAAGGGCGACCTCAACTACCGCAAACTGACGAGGGATGGATTGTGGCCTCATACCACGACGTACGAGGAGGCCCTGGGTCCCCTTGGAAAGCAGAGCGGCATCAAGATTTTGGCCCTTCGCACGAACAAGTCTGACGTTTGTGTTGGCGTCCCGACCCAGAGGGAGGTTGATGCGTTGAATGAGGAGGCGCCCAATGGTGCCTGGATCCAAAACGGAAAGTATGCCGTGATATCGTTTAATGAAGGCCAATGAGTTTCCTTTGTCGCATAGATCAATTCCCTTTTATTATTACCTGATGTACCTAGGTAGGCAGTGTGGACGAGTTTACGTTATCGACCATTCTTCTTTTAGAGAATTCACTATCCAACTCGTCGGCCACGCATGCTTCGTTTCCATATCTCGCAGCAATCTCATTAGTTCCTCCCTTTCTGCTGAATCTGTCATCAAGGGACCCCCTGTCAAATGTCAGTAACTGGATCCCACATGAAGAAGGCGGGAAAGGTCTCACAAATAAAGGTGGAATGACATAGCGTGATCAACGATGGCACCGTCGAAGGGGAACTGTTGCATGCACCACAGATGGCGCGAGCGTGCTTCATGACCCGGATGTGATGGTGTCAAAGAGGACTCATTCATACAGCAAAAATCAGAGCTTACATCAGACTCACGAGCTGTGCCATGGACCCCTCTGACTGCAAATTTCGGCGATGGCTTGTAAATGATCAAGAGCATACAGGCAAGATGATAGTATCCGAATGCCATAACTGCAAAGTACATTAGACAGCGCAAAGTATAAGACTTCTGGAACACATACTATGCCAGTCTGCCGTAAACCATATCTCTGGGAAAGGGTTTCCACTGCCCGGAACGGCTTCGCTATACCAGATTGGATCAAAGGTACTCGGTCGGGTGCTCATCCAGCTATCGACGGCCTCGGATAGCTCTTGCCATCGCAACATTCTGGTAGAAGGTTCAGGATAACTTGGCCCAAAGCAGAAGTGTACCACAGTGGCACAGATCCAAGTCATAGTGTTGGCCCATGCTGTTTCCGAATTCAGATTGCTCAGAGAGTCACCTTCGCTCGGAGGGGGGATGAGAACCAAGTCCAAATCCACATTTGGAGACTGCTGATGAACACAAGCATTGTACAGGCACTGACGCAGATACACCCAGAAAGCCGCGTGCCGCAACCTCGGGGCCGAGGGGTCCACCTCTCGTCCTTGCGATGCCCGGAGCAGAGCCGAGCAGCCGGCTAAATGACGCTCCTGATCGCTACCAGTTACCATGACTGTTTCAGCCCCCGAAGAGATTAGCCTGGGCTTCTCCTGATGACTCGTAACTCTCTCAGACTCACCATTCAACTGTTCAAAAACCCGCAGGATGACAATGGTACACAGCAAGATGTCATCGTCGGCAACCGTTTCCGAGCTCAGAAAGAGGATCAGTAGTTCTACGCACCGCTCATATGCCTGCTCGGCCATTTCGGCATCGCCGACGTGCCGGGACGCGTAAGAAAGCACAGCATACAGCAAGATCGGTGATTGCTTGACCAGGATGGGGATTTTCCGAGTGAACTGACGGGATGCATCGGTGCAGTCAAGCCATTGCCCGAGGTGCGTGGCAAAGTGGTGTACAAGGTAAGCTTCTCTGTAAGTCAGTGGAGACCCTGCATGTATCGCACCTGCGTGCGAACCCGGAGACCATGGACTTAACGAGTCCGGTTGGAGCAGCTGGGAGATCTGGATTCCAGCCACGTTGAAGTAAGAAGATGTGGTAGTATCGTTGACTGAGGATGCCACCAAAGGCGTGGAAACAGAGCCACTGGTGTGTTCTCGCAGGATAGTAGATCCTTGAGAGTTGTATGGTGATGTCACTGAGGTAATTTCGTGTTGGTGGTTATGAAATTCGGCATAACTTGGATTGGTGGTGCGTTCAGGGCTGGTTGCATTAGCAACCACTCCGTCTGCAATTCCGTGTTCCGGAAGGTGTGGCATTTCATCATGATCATGGCTAGGAGCATCCTTGGGGTCTTTCCTAGCCTTTCTTGGTTGATACGGCCTGATTCTGAAGCGATTGGGTGGGTCTTCTCGTAGACATTGCCGGTTCTTTTTTTGGCATTGCCCACAGATCGGCTGGACTTGGTCGCCTGTTCTCAGGTAAGTATTGGATTTAGCCTACATCGAAATTTTCAATGGCTTACATTTGACATGTCTCTTCCGGCAAGTTAGGCTGTGATGAACTTAGCAATGAATAGCGATGAATGATGGAGCTTGGACACTTTGTCGGCAACAGTCACGCAGTCCATAGTTCTGCCTGGCAAACTTTCCGAGAAAACTCCGAAGGCAAGTAATGTAGATCTGAACTAGCCACAGTTCCACTCAATCCTCGATAGGCGAGGTGTATAGCTTGTGTAGTGTAAGGAAAGTTTGCGGGGGAAGACTAACCATCCATTTTTGGAGCGAAGCTTTCCCATGTTGAGACCTTTGGGGTCTACCGGAGTCCAAATTAGTATAGGATTATTGCAAGATTGAGTGAAGTCCGTCTGAAAGAAGAAATCTCGAGACGAGATCAGAGAGTAAACAGGATCAAGTGGAGAAAAGGGTTGATTATAACTTGTGGGGAAGATGGAGAACTCGGGATTTGGGGTTGCGGAGGTGGAGGCGAATCTGAAAGTGGCAAACTCGCCCCGAGGCTTTTGGATTTAGAGTTAATTCTATCTCTACCCATGGAGAAATAAGAAACCATGAGAGTTTGCTGGTGTTAATCCTATCTCTATCATCATTCATTCTACGGGAGGGAACCACTCATGGTCTATAAACATCCCCCATGTCCCTGATACAAAAATGATCCCTTCTCTATCAATAGGGTTGAGTCTCTCTTGGTTTCTATACATTTTCTATCCATTCCAAGTTGCCTTTGCTCATTGTTTCCTCCCTTAATTCACTGCTATCCAACATGACCCTGAAAGGATTCTGGCGGACGGTCCCTGGACCTCGGCTGCTCAAGTTGATTACTGCAGTCTCTGCCATTGCCATTTCATATGAGGGCATGAGCCAGGGTGTAATGGGCGCTGTCAATGTTGCCCCAGAATATGGAGTATGTACTGCAGTCCTCTGAACCATGATCTGACTAGAAACGGAAGAGTGAACTAATCGAATATCACAACTGCAGTATCGTATGGGCTTCGCCGATGAGCATGGTAAAGTCATCAAGCCCTCTCTGCAGGGTGGCATCGCTGCCATGTACTATTTCGGCGCTCTCCTCGGGGCCTTCTGGGCCGGCAGTTTCTCCGATGCCTACGGACGTATCAAAGGGATCTGGATGGCCTGTCTCTGGTGTCTTGTCGGGGTTATTCTTCAGGCAAGTGCCATGAATCTCACGCACATGCTCTGCGCCCGGGTCGTTGCAGGTGTTGGTGTCTCTTTCATTATCGTTATTGCTCCCTCGTGGACCGCAGAGCTGGCTCCAGCGAGTCATCGCGGTCAAATGATCGCTTTGACTTTCCTCGCTAACTTCGGAGGCATTTCCTTGTCTTCCTGGATTGGCTTTGCTACCTCTTTCACCGACTACGCCGGCGGCACATTTCGATGGCGCTTCTGCTTTGCATGCCAAGTGATCCCAGTTTGCTTCCTCGTCCTTGGAACCATGCTCATTCCTGAATCGCCTCGATGGCTCATCAAGGAGGGACGGAACGAAGAGGCATTCGAGATCATCACCAAGCTTCGTGGAGATGGTGACCGCGACCACCCGGATGTGCAGAAAGAAATTCGCGAAATTGTCGCTGTCGTGCAGATAGAACATGAGACGCAAAGCTCCAGCTATTTCAAAATGTTCTTGGGCATTGGTTCGGGGGATATTCACATTTGCCGTCGTATCCAGTTGGCCTTTTGGCTCCAGGTTATGATGCAGTATGGCACGGGTATCGCGGCGGTCGTCATCTACTCGGGCAATATCTATCGCACTGCTGGCTTTGATGATTTTAAATCAAACTGGTTGTCTGCCCTGTGTATGACCTGCGGTATCCTGGGAACTGGTGTCGCTGCCTTGGTGTTAGACCGAGTGGGTCGTCGCAGGACCCTCTACTGGGGAGCGGTCGCTCTAGGTATAATTCTTTTTACTCTGTGAGTACCAATACATTTCGCCCTTGGCGTTGCTCTTACTGACTTTCCTCCAGTGGCGGTCTGAACCGTGGAGCCGTCAATAACCCAGATAAGGCTGAACAGTACGGAACCGGAGCCGCTGCCATGGTTTTCCTCTACGTGGCTGTCTTCAGCTCTTCCTGGTTGATGATTCCTTTCATTTATCCGACCGAGATTTTCCCGACATGGCTGCGCGCTAAGGGTAACGCTTTTGGTGTTGCGGGTTGGGCAGTCGGCTACGGCGCTGGATCGCTGCTGGTCCCCGTTATGTTCGCCGGAATCCAAGAAAAAGTTAGTTCTTTCCTCCCTTTCCCATATTTTAATTTCTGACTTCTTTCTTCTCAGACATTTTACGTCTTCGGTGCCGCCATGTTCTTGTACATCCCTCTCATTTATTGTTTCTTCCCCGAGACTGCTGGCCGCACACTTGAGCAGATCGACTTCCTGTTCGCCAGCAAGAGCGTTTTCGTGTGGGATGAGGAGAAGGAGTTTGCCAAGCGAATGACTCATTTCAATGCTGAAATCCAAAAGATGGAGCTTGAGAATGGTGAATATGCGGGCGACGAGAAGAGATGCGAGGAATTTATAGAGAAGGTCTAATCAGGGAGATTACCAGTTACAAACCAAACCGTCCGTGATTGTATTACTATTTAACACCGCTGTTCTATAACTTACCAATCGCTCAAATCTTACCCCTAATCTAACATAAGCCAGACCCGCTCAGAAATCATCAATATGTGCACTCGATTTGTCTATACCACTAAATTTGTTAATTGCACTGCACTGCCTAAATACGTCCTCACAAAATATGATCCTCAGCCGCTATGCGGTAAGAAAAATTGCGGTGGATATAAGGACCAGCATATGGGCCAGTCTAACAAAAAGGGAGGCATATTTCCTAGGTGTTGAGGCTTAGAGACAGCGATTACGACGTTTCCTCACTTCATGGCTTTTATCGCTTCTATTTTCTATCTTTAGATTGTTCTGTGCATTTATACCGTTCTCTCTGTCTACACAATTTGGCAATGATAACATATAGCTAGGTGATAGGTAACGAAGTAAATTTGGTAGCTCCTGTCGTTCTCTTTTCTTTTTTTTGCTAGATGGCACGTTGATGTGCTGAATACATTGAAGGTTGATTTATGGCCGTGGGAATCAACGACTGTAACAGCAGTGAACAGTCTTTCCCGCTATGAGCTTAGTAAAATTGTTGAAGTTGCAATTCTAACTTGCTTAACCTGCACGCTTTATTTTCGATTTATTTCCCTCATCAACCTTTACCTTGACCGTACTAGTATGCTTCGTCAAAAGAGATCAACCGTAGGCCTTACATTGGTATTCAATTAGTCCTCATGGGCCGAGAACAGGATAGATTCTCCTAAAGTAGCAATAGAGGAGTAATGCGAAGCAACACGATATAAAGACGTACAATGTGTATCGATTCCCGAATATGTTTTAGCGCCTACCTAGGTAATTTGAATGAGAGAAAGATCTAAAACAACCTCAGCAGCCCGCCGGTATTGCTGCTTCTAACATTTTTCTGTAATTTAAGAGTAAGGGTGATTATCGTTCGGGAAGAGTCCATTTTGGAAGCGTGACAAGATCTCTTCATCATCCTATAAGCTGTCAAGTTCAAGAAAGACCTCATACCCAGTCATAATAAAGTAAATAGCGGAACCAAGCGCAAAAAGATCGGTTACCACACACGCATAATCCCTATGGACTCGAGGCTGATATGACTTTAAGCACTCCCGAGAGAGTCGATCCAGCAATGTGTCGCCATCAACGGACTTCAGCATCCCCTGGAAGTCTGCAAGTAGTATATTAAGATTGCTATCAAGCAGGAGATTCCGAAGGTTTATGTCACAGTAATAACACGTTTTCCATGGAAATAACTGATTGCTTCGGCAGCTTTTTTACACTAGAGGAGCCTCCTGTCAAGAGGTATGAATGACTATGATATGATATATTCGTTCCAAGAACCGTTAGATACGCGCTAGAGAATAAGACCATTTTCTATGAGGCCTTTTAAGGCGATAACATAGGGATAGCCTGTAAGAACATCAAGAAGCTAGGCCTCTATTTAAACGCTCTGATAATCGCCAGGAATGCATGGATATTTCAAGACCGTAAACTCATCAATGGCACCGACGAAACACTCGCTACCGCGACCGATAATCTCTATAACCCCTAGGGGGTAATATCGGGGCACTTCGATGAAATCAACATAGGGCTCAGCATTTACGTGTTTGGTCTAGCCATTCTATAACCATAAGCAATCAACGAAGTCAACAATTACCCCTTGGTACTTACAATTGCGGAAGTCGGTAGAGAAGACGTATCATTCGCGTCAGAGTCACTAGTATTTTGTATCTGACCTCGCAAGGCCTTGAAGATTGAACAAAATACGATATCTAAGGGATACCATATTACTTGGAATAGGTGAAAAGTCCAGGAACAAAGAATGTGCATAATAGTTGGCATGTTACGAAGAGGAGATGTGAAGGGGTCTTAGTGTCACAATTAGAAAATAAATACAGTAGGGACAAATTAATTAAACATTTAATATCGCGCGTGGCCACCGCTTGACCTGAGAAGCCAAGAACGGTGCTAATCGTCATTCACCTATCCGTTGTAGGATCCTCCGGATCCTGTGCCGGTAAGCGCGCATCGCGGTTCTTGCATTTAACTTCCCTCAGAACCTGCACCCAAAACCCATTTCTCGCATCTTTTGCATTTCCTTTTTGGTTTGTATTCGGACCCATCAGGTGATAGTACTTGGCCTCCGTGTCGTGGTAAAATGTGGTCCCGAGCATATTGCCTCGCCTTGTTCCCAGGTACAAACCATTATTGCGGAACGTGTCGAGGGACTCGAGCGCTGCCCCGTGAAGTGGGCCCGACATGGGCAGGCAAAGCGTAAGTCTGAGCAAGACATATGGGGTGGCGTCGTTGAAAAATCGCTCAGGCCAGAGAAGACGTTCGAAGAAAGACTCTGTCGCAGCTTCGGCGCCTAGGTAGCCGATGACAGAGCCGAGGGCGCCAATTATGATCGATGTGGATGACATTTCCGCGTTGTGTTGCTGACGGCTTCGAGGAGGACTGTGAGCGAAATTTGTATTATCTCGATTGAGGCTCCAAGCCAGAGCGGACCGATATAAAGGTGAGGTCAGGTTTCCTCGTTACCTGGAATTCGCTACCGACTGTATCACTGACAGGATGTCAGCTGCGGCCGTTGGTAAAATATACAGGGCGGAAGTACATAGGGGCAAGGCAGAAACAATGGTTGGGGAGGGGGATGCGGTGAATATCGGAGGTTGTGAAAGAAGGCAACAAGAATTCGCCGGGTGCGTGCAGTAGATAGGGAACTTTCTGTGTAATGCGTGGCAATGGTCTCTAATGTTTGCGAAAGATTCGGCCAATGCCTGTAGCCTTGACATCAGAAACAGGTGCGGCGATCTCGAAATATCACGAGCGTGATCGTCATCATCCATCCAAAGACATGACCCTGTCACATTTTGACAGCGTGGCTAAGGGAGTATGTTCCATGTGCCATACGGTTACTTGATAACACGAGTACTAGGCCTAGCCAAAACCCTCCCATGGTGAGCTCAATCCAGCTAAATTACGGTGTATATTTTGGTAAATATGTATGTTTGATTAACAGGTTATCAACCTAAATCTCCTATATGCTGTTCTTAATGACTAGACCAATCGCCATGCAAATTTTAAAGTTATAACTAGCAGTTGTTATGATGCTACGAGGTTGTAAAATATCGTCTTTAATATGATGTTTTGGGGTGGCCCACTGGCTTGTACGTTAACTCACTAACCGGCGCCACCATTTATTGCCATGCATTACGGGCCTCGTGGTAGTAATATTAGTAATATAAATTCTAGAAGAAAACGGCGACGGTCCATAATGCATGGTAATAAATGGTGGGGCTGGTTATAAGTTTAAGGTTATCTGTCGGGCTTGTTTCCAAGGTTGAAGCTCAGACCCGCGTTTGGGCGAGGTCTAGGCAACCGGCAGTTGTACTTACAACGGGAGTGATGTGAACATGTGGCCCATGACATGGACGGTTTCATCCATCCACCAAACGGGCGACTTTTATGACTTCACCAGTTGAAGGGGACTGGAAGCTAAGACGCAGGTTGAGACGTGGGATCGTCAGCCCTGGTTTCTGCTTCCCTGAGAAGTCACGAAATTGGCCGCACAAGCATTGCGTGTAGAAAACCATCAAATTTCTCTCGGGCTATACAAAACTTTCCAACTGCGACGACGAACTTTCTCCGTAAGCAAGCCGCAGTCTTCAGTGTTTCCGATATAAATATAAGACTTGCACTTGCCCGCAAAATGCCTCTACGCGACCTCTTTCATCCCAGGCGATCTAGCCCAAACAGGGGTACTTTTACACGTACTTCTAACAATTCAAATTCTATGAAGCTGGATGAACTACTTGAAGAGATATCACAAATCTCGACTCAGGGTTATGAAGTCCAGCTTTTTGAAGCATTCCAGTGGTGGAGGGAAAGTGCTGTAGCGGACGGCACACTAAACGACGACTCTGATATGCTGGACTTACAATACGTCTTTGGTACCGCAGTCGACCTTGGGTTGGCAAAATGGGTGGCATTAGAGCCTCCCGACGTCGAGGAGTCGAGCGAGCCAGGACCCACCAGGGCCAGGGAAACCTGCACGGAGGGACAAGCCCTCAATACGGATCTGAAGTGGGTTGTAGACCTACAGTTACCGGAACAGTTGAGAAAACTTCCAGAGAAAATGCCCCACAGTGGAAATTATGAATGGCTAGGCCCAGAGCAAACTGGATCGCCCAAGTACCTTTGGGACAGTGTACTTTCCGAAACTGTTTTAGCAACTCCCGAACGCCTTCAACAAGGCTATATCGCCGTCTCGTATACCTGGGGAAGGTTCAAAGAAGGTTACAGCCGAGTCAATGGCACTCCCTGGAATGTCCCGGTTATCAAGCCAAATATTTTTGGTGAGATGCTCAATCAACTCAAAGGTATTATGACCGGTATTCCTGCATGTCGGTATTTCTGGGTTGATGTGCTTTGCATCAACCAAGATGACATGAATCAAAAGAAGGAAGAGATCGCAAAACAAGCTTCTATTTTTGAAGGTGCTAAGGCATGCTTAGGCTATTTATGGTCTCTTGATTATGAGGACGACCTCGCGTATGTCATGGCAAGTTTTGGAGACCAGTTGCTGTGGTCGCTTCTTTTAAGTTCTTCCAATTTTAGAACGGAAAGTCAGCTGAATGGTATCGACAAACTTCCGCCTCATATTCAAAAGAGGCTTGACGGAAAACTGCGTCTAGACCCCTGGTTCACGTCCCTCTGGGCTCTCCAAGAAATGGTGCTGGCTCCGGCGCAGATTTGGATGACAAGGTCCGGCAGCTTCTGCTCGGTGAACGGATCAATAGTAACGACTCGACTTTTTGCCCAAGCACTTGAATTAATGCATTGGGCTTTCGGATTCCGTCGACGGGTGTGGAAATCAGCCTTCGTGGGCAAATGGCCCGTCTTAGACCGTTGGCCCGCGGCAACGGCGATTGCCCAGATAATGCAACAGCACCAGGCGGAAGAAGATGAAGCACAGAAGTCATGGGAGGAGAGCGTGACGGGCGAACAGTTAAATGCTGCGGATATGAGAGTCAGAGACATAAACATTATGTCAGTTATGATGCCTCAGGACCAAGAAATCCGAAACGTTCCCAATTCTCTTCAGCAGAGACAGGCCGACGAAATCATAAGTTCCAAAAACTTGAAGCGCTGGCTTGATTGGGGTTTTGGAGAAGCCTGTCTCAATATTTCGATGCAAGCATCACGATCTGCCATTATAGTTGCAGGAGTAAACCGCCATACAAGCAACCCACGGGCGGAGGCCATGCTGGCTGCGCTCAAAATTGCTCGACTGCCCCAAGAATATAATCCGAACGAGGACCAGACTCCTAGTTCTCTACCGGAGTGGCTCCAACAAGTATTGGTGGCATTCGAGTCTTCTATGTACTTCTATGTCTCTCATTCATGGAGATCCATATCCGAGAAACGGGCAAAATCGTCTACCTTGTTCGTCGAGCACGCTTCAGTCGACACTCCCTTCTTGGCTCACGACAACTTCCGCTATCAATCAGCACCTCTGGTTCCTTCTCTAATGTCTGCTTATCTCCCCAGCATGCTGCCATCAACGGGAACCAGGTCCTTTCCGCCCACTGACTTCGTTTTAAAACAATTTTCCGCATACGTGATGTCGGCCTGGCATATTCACCGTGAAGGCGTCATGCATATCCCTTACGGAGCTGCCATCCAAGACATCCGCACCAATGATATCGGAACCATGACTATCTCGACAAATGGACCCGAACAAGAACTAAACGCTTCCTTGCCATCCGCAGTTCGGGCAATTCAGGAACTTGACTATGTCATAGAATCTCTCGGCCGATCCTGCCGCGTTATTTTCCTCCCGCTACTTTTTATCGGAAACCCAACTGCCGGACTGCCGCATGGTAGCAGCCACACTCTAACCTCAACGGGATCCGACCCTGTCGTTCGGGGTATCGTGATAGTCAGCCGGGGATCCAGCAAACGACACCATTCGATGACCTTCTGGTCAAAAGCAGGGCTGTATTCGGCCACGCTCTGTCGCGTTAAGCCTATCGAGTGGCAGGACGGCATCCTGATTGGTTCCCTATTAGAGGAGTCCACGATTTCTCGACAAAAAGAGCTCTGCGATTTCAACTTGGACAACAAGCCTCATCTGTGGGGGCCGAAGGTCAGGCGACGGTTATTCGACGTTGACTGAGTCATTGAAGCTGATCTGTAATGGGAATTCTTTTCCCATTTTCCTTGAATTGCTGAGAAGTGTTCTCAACGGTATAGGATTGGAACTCTTGCTGGAACCACCGCATAGTGCATTGTAACGATGCCCTATACAACTACAGGTAGGTCAGTTTTCCAAAGCCCGCGATGGGTCAGAGCAAGTGCTGAGCCGGGGGTGTTCCGAATATGAAGGCAGGTAGAGAATTGATTCACAACTTCATTCAACAACACTCAGGTTCCAAATTGATCAAATAATGCACCATTCCAAGTCTCTCACTGTTGGTAAATCTGATTCTGTCGTCTCCGCTAAGTCCCATATCATCCAATTCCAACGAGCACGAGCTCTTTGGTGGATGAATCCCGTCCTTCGAGCTTTGATGACGACTTTTGGACTTCTGGTGCACTATATCTATATCCACCACATGCAACAACTTCCTGCAGGAATATTTACAGGGGGTGCGACTTGGTTAAGCCGCAGAAATGGAGCATAGCAAAGAGAAACAGTTGGCGATATGCTGACCAAAACCCATATTCTTTTGAGTCCTCTCTTCGTGCAAGTCGTTCTCCGAGGACTGGATCTGAAAGTGCTGTCCCTCGGCAGACATGTAGTATCGAAGCATAGTCTGGCGGATGGTGCCTTTGAAATCCACTGGAAGGACGTTATGACATTCGTCATAGCTTTGAGGTATTTGGTGGTTCTCAAGGAAGGTCTTCAAAGATGGAATGATTTCCAAGTAGGTTAAGACGGCATGCTGCGATCTCGTGTGTATCTGGCTAAGGCGTAAATAATTATGGTCTAAAAATAGACCAGTAGACCATGGTAAGTTCCAAACGATTATGTCGAAAACTGAGTTGAATACATGGTTGAATATAGGGTAGTTTACCCGGCGACAGCGAGGTTGATCTAACATAGATCTCAATTAGAACAATACGGCCTTATAACTGACAGAAATCCGGCTGTATGACAATGTATGGTCCGATTCAGTAGTATGCAATTCTGACTATCGCCCGTCCATTGAAAGTCTCGCTACTCAGACCCGATAACTGGAAGAGATACGCTGTAATTTAGCAGCCACCTCCAGAACTAGAGCTGCCTCCTGAATCACCGCTGCTACTTCCACCGCCTGAATCGCTGCTGCTACTTCCACCCCCTGAATACCCACCACCTGAATAACAGCTGCTGCCACCACGGCCAGAATGATGGCTACCGTCTCCGCCGCCGGAATGGTGATGGCTGCTATTGCCAGCTCCTGGGTCGGGATTGCTGCTACCAGCCTCGACATAGTAGTTGCTACCACCCCAGGTAGTCGACGGGGCGGATGTGGAGGAAGAGGTATAGTACGGAATGTAAGTTGGTTTGGACGCAGCGACAGCCGCTTGCTGGCGCTTTCGGTCTTGCTCTTGTTGCTTCACAATTCGGTTCTTTTCTTCCTTTCTTCGTCTGGCTTCTTTCGACCGAAAGAGATTGAGAAACATCTTTCAATATGGAGCCAATCGAGTCGACTAACAATATGTTAGTAGGATTCCACACTATTTGTAGACGTCAAGGTGTACCGTGAGATATAGTTGAAATAGCTTTGGCAAGTATAGCACCTGGAGATATTTATTGGAGATGTTGTTGTGCAAGGTAACCAATTCTTGAGTTTTAAAAACAAGCCCAGACGAGGCTCGCAATGCTGGATTGTGGTAGTGAATAATACAAAAAAGGACGTAAGAGGTAGGGAGTTAAATATATCTTACAATAACCAAGCACTGGGGAAGGATATCGTGCCAATTGTACAGCCCGATTAGGACAGCCCCGGGCAACCGGGCAACACAGCCTCTGATGTATTCTTGGTCTCCACTCACTTAATACAATTGGTTCTCCGTAGATCATACACTCCATTTTACAGAATCATGCTGATTTTGTGTGGTTTTATTATAGCGTCTGACTCTGCCTCGCGTTATCGCACTGTTTATGATTGCTTACGGTTGAAAGTTACATAGCTCGGACCAAATGACGTTGAAGAGCCTCAATCTAGGAAATTTGCATCCGCGGCCTAAAATCCGGTACATACTGCTACACGTGTTTGTTAGAAAGACAGATGTTGAATATATGCACGTATGGGGCAGATGTGGCCCGTGTCATGATTGCTGACGCCTGTCAGAAATATATCCATGGATGGATATGTACTATGTATATAATATACCGGGCTATATGCCATCCCACTATTACTATACACATGTATGCACATGCTCTTCGCCAGATGATTCCACTTTCTGTCGAACACTGGATATTTGCCCCTAAGAATACTTGAGATACCAGGCCTCAACTGGTTATAGATAGCTCATTGTGTTTTAAGCAATCAATTCTATCTCTTCATCCTCCATTTCTTTTGTAGTAATCTTGGCTCATTATAGTCTCCATCTACTTCAAGTATTTTCAGGTGTAACTTATTCCCTAACATATCAGATCAAGATGATGTCGGTTCACGCCCTTCTAACCTTGCGGGCCCATTCCGCTTACATAACCCGGCTCCACCTCCAATTCTCACTTCACTCTGCAGGACTTGGAATCTGCAATTAAACCAATTCCAATACCTCCCCGAAATGCACGCCAATCCCATCAGCATGTCCATCCGAACAGCCATGTCACTTGGCCGACTAAACCCCGCCGCGCCCTCGCTCGCCGGCGCCCTCCGTCCCCTCCAGACCACTCCCCGGATGGCATCCAAGCAACTCACACGCCTTAGCTCCACGACAGCTCGCCCGGTCGCCGCAACACTGAACCTCGACTCCCGGCCACACGTCAAGGTCGCATCGCCATCACCCATCGCTCTGCGCGCAAACTCGACCTCAGCACCCGCCAACAACGAAGTCAAGCTCGACTGGGACTCATTCTTCAAGCTCCGCGCTTCGCGCCGCCGATACTCCCTCGTCTCCTCAGTTGCCAGCTCCGCTATCAGCACCAGCGTCGGCGTGCAGGTTCTGTCTGGGCAGGACCTTGAACATCTCAGTGCGACGGTTATGGGCCTCGACCCATTTGTTGTCCTGGGATTGGCGACCGCTGCGTGCGGTGCTATCGGATGGCTTCTTGGACCGGCTCTCGGCAATGGAATTTGGGGACTTGTGTACAGAAAGTACAAGCCCTCTGTCAATACGGTGAGTAGTTGCAAAACAAATGGGTGGTGATTTATGTCTGGTCTGTGCTAATGCGTTTCTTTCCGTTGTGTAGAAAGAGAAGGAGTTCTTTGATCGCATTCGCCGGTTCCGTGTCGACCCCTCAACCAACTCCATCGCTAACCCTGTTCCCGATTACTACGGCGAGAAGATTGGCAGCGTGGCTGGCTACCGAAACTGGCTGAAAGACCAGAGGGCTTACAACCGCAAGCGCCGAAACTTCATTGCGTAATTTCTTTTTCTCTCTCTTTTTTATCTTGTGATATTGGAGCATTTCTTTTTTGTTCGTGTCAATACGGTTGAATCTCTTGGAGCTTCTGTTCAAAACCAAATCTGGTGACTTTCTTTTTTGTCCGGGCCGGTGTTTATTTTGTTACAATATCATTAGCGGTCTTGGTAGCTGGGGCATTGCAATGTATTGGGAATGACCTTTGATAACGCGGTCAATTTATAGCTATTTTCCGTGAAATTTGTTCAGGACTTTCATCCTTCGGACTGTCTTGTGCACTAAATGAACCAAAACGTGCTATTCGCAATCTATCCCTATTCTTCATGTTTTCAAAAAGACTCGCCTCGCTACTACAACTTCCAATGTCAGGCTTCGGACTTACAGCTTCGAATGTGCCTTTGCTTTAGGATTCCGGCCAGTATCAACCTCCGTCCACCACGGCACACTCGGCGGCGGGTTATCATCAAGGTTAGCCTTGAAGTTCGGCTTTCGCTTCTCAAAGAACGCCGCAACGCCCTCCTTCTGGTCCCTGTCCGAGAGTAAGTATCCGCAGCCAGCTTCCTCATATAAACTTCACTTACTCTGATCCAAACATATGGTTGATGACTCGCGACTCGATGAGATGAGCAGCCTCTGCGGACCCAGTATCGCGCCACATAAGGGCCCGATTGAGGTAAGACGAAGCTGGGCTCACATTCTCCGCAATCTCGGTGGCTAGCTCGAGAGCGCGCGGCAGGACTTGCGATGGGTCGGGGAGGATCTCATTGAAAAGGTCGCCGAAGTGCTTAGATGTAGGTGGGAAGACTCCTCCCGTGCTGACGAGGTAGCTGGCGTTTGAGTGACCGACGAGACGGGGGAGGAAGTATGAGGAGCATGATTCTAGAATTATACCTCGGCGGCCGAAGACGAAGCCGTATTTGCCTTTTTCATAGCCAATTCTAGAAGGATAAGGGACATGCATGTTAACAAGGCGGCTCTGGAGGATATATGTTTTCTGGACGCGATTGACCTACCGGATAATCGCTGGAAGAGTCATGGTCATTCCGACTCCAACAGCTGAGCCTTGCATTGCTACAATTGTTGGCTTGCGGCATCTATGGATGGCTAGTGCGACTCGTCCACCACTGTGTTGGGTTTATTAGCGAGAGTATACAGCGGGATACTGGGTGGACGTCCTCTTACCCATCACGATGGTCCGCCGTCCTACCTTTACCACCCCCGAAACCAAGATCAAGGTCTGCACCAGCGCAGAACGTCTTACCCGCGCCTGTCAAGACGACAACTTTCACGCGCTCGTCGACATCGAACATGGGGAAGAGCTTCTCGAAGTCCAAGACCATTTGCGGTGTGAACGCATTATGTTTAGCAGGACGATTCAGCGTTACGATGAGGACGGAGGTAACTGCCGGCGTGCCTGGGGGGTAATGAGAGACGACGACATGGCCGGTTGTTTCAACGTTTTCATAAGAAGATGGAAGCTCAATAGGATTAGGATCGAAGATCATGATGGATGTTGGGCGATATACTATTTTTGTTCAAGTAGATATAGTCGCTGCGTTTAATTTGCACACTATTATATATCATCTCTCGGTTATATTCTTTAACAGTTCAATAATCGTAAACAGCCTACATTGCAAGCCGCGGCCTCGGCCTCGGTTGGACTGGCTTGGCGTGGAGAAGCTGGGGGATCACCATCAGAGACCCCGCAGCGGAGTCGTAGATTTTGATCTTGACATACATCGTGCAAGGTTGGAGTCCGTTAGATATCCCAATGATAATAGATTTAGCTATGAAGCTATATATATATGCGCTAGAACGAATTGTTCCTTGCAACTTGGAATTCGGCCCGTGTAATGCAAAATGCTGGCCAGTCGTGGAATGGACATGATGATTTAGTTTAGTGACAAGCAGAGGATAGTACTAGGCATAGGTAGTGGAACGTGGACATGGATGGTGAGAGGATATAAACAGAAGAGAAGCACAAACCTGACATGCCAGAAGGCAAACCTTTGGGGCACATCGCACGGTATCTCGCTTATTTAGAAGGTGAGGGAATTATTGAGCCTATCACATCTTCCCAGTCATACTATATAAGCTTAGACCATTGCCAGACGTCACGAGCACCTAGGGTGTGTAAATCAAGGCTGGCAAGACCACCCAATTTTGAGACTTCAACCCGAGAAAGCTCTGATGCTAACCTAGGAACTGACCGCCAGCCAGGGCAATCCAAGGCAGGTCTTTATCCCAGCAGTGCTGCATCAATTGACGTGCATTTTGAATCTAGTGAATACGATGTTAGCAAATCTCTCCAGACGAATGTGAAACCAGTATAGAAGCGTACCTGTTTCATGCCCGAGCTCTCCAACACAAAGAACCGATCCAAAAGCTTATCCCTTTGAACCGAATCTCTGGATTCACAACCGGCCGTGAAGAGCGGGAACAAGGAACAGACTTCAGTGGCTGCCCCAGGGCGCATGCGTCCGAGAGCGTCAATGAGCTTGCGCAAGACCTCCTTCACGGGGAACGAGTCAGGGGGAGACCCAAGGACACGGCGATGGAGATGCAGAAGACCGGCAAATCGGAAGGCTTCCTCAATGGCTTTCATATCCGAGGACTCAATACCATGATGGTGTTCCGGGCTGGTATGAGCACGCTCGCTGATCCCGTCGATATCACCAAGTACGGATTGCGCTTCCAGGACCATTTCCGCAGATGCATGCCAGTCATGTCGGAAGTTACCCATTTCATCAAAGCGTTGGTTGTCACATTCCTGCACCAGCCGTGCGAGACGAATCAAAAATACTCCGGTGCGGGGAGTGAACCCCGTGAAGCAATCAACACCGAACTCATCATGACCGTCGGGCGCGGAGCAAGCTGTCAAGATGGAGTGGTATATCATTAGTGGAGGGCCGGCTTCGCGACATGACAAAGATCCCATGGTGTCGAGATAGCCCAGCCAACGGGCGAAGAACGCCCCAATCCTGTTCCCAGGCTGCGCCATGCTCTCGCTCCGTGCAAGGAATAAATCGCGAGCAAGCTTCAGGTGAGTCTTCCAGGTGATCGGCACTTCAAATGTCCCTGGAGAAACAATCTTTAATGATAACAGCATAATGGCCGTGGCCAGGTGGCTGTCAGTGATGTCTTCATTGGATGACTCCAATGCCATACGCAAGGTTGGGAAAACCTTGCTAACCCAATGAGCGATTCGATTGGCGGGCTCGGGATGACCTAGGTATCGAGCGCGATGACTAGCGGAGTACGCAAGCAGCAAATTGAGGAGGTTGGAATCACCGATTGCCACTGTTTGGTCAGCTTTCTGAAACATAGCATAACATAAAGCAGTACAACTCACTTGAGGGCAAAACTGATATAAATGGATTATTATCACAGTTGTGCGGGACAAGCATCCGAGCAGTGTGGTTCAGGAAATGATGGAAGTACATCAAATTGATAGGGTTCTCCAGCAGCGATGACGGAAGCGGAGACAAGTACCTGGGGACATTGATGGGTACCGGGGAAGCATAGTAACCACTACAAAACTGGACCTGTGGTTCGGGGTCAGGTTGAGAGGCCTGCGAGTGTGAGGACTCCTCGTTGCGCCATTGAGAACTGATCAACTCCAACGCATAGTTGATGTCTATGGCGGCATGGTCGTTGTTGAAAGTCAGATCCTGATCAGGGCGTCCGGAGTCCAATCCATAATTGTCGGTTACACTATTCAGATATGTCTGCCATTTGTTCCGGGCCATTGAAGACTCGTGGGATGTTTGATCAGCTTCGTGATTGCTGTCTGTCGATACCTGATGATCCGGAGTCAATTCATTGTGATAGTCATGTATAGAGCCCATGTTGCTGGTTGTCTCGTGGAGCCTCGGGGACGAGGTTGCATCATTTTCAGCAATCGAAGCTCTGTGTGAATGGAAAAGCATGGAGGACAGGCCGCCAGTATCTTGCGGGCTGTTTGAGGATCCGTTTTGCCCTGTCCCAGACGCAGCGCCAAAATCCATGCCCTGGTCATCATGTGACCCTCGAGAAAGGTGCCCTTCATCACGAGAGTGCGATATAGATGGACCCGAGCAGTGATTGGGAGCATCTACAGGGTGGCGCATGTATGAGACTGGCTGCGACACGGGGTTTGTATGGAACGCAAAGGCAGATAGTGATCTGAGACCGGATGTGTGATTCACCGAACCCACATATGATGGGTTATCAAAACTGTGCTGTCCAAATTGATATTGCAACAAAGGCGCTGAAGATACTGATGCCGTCAATGGAGGAGATTGTTCTGCCCAAGTTGTGGAGAAACGAGGCTCTAATTGGCCCGGCGATGTCACTTCTTCAGAGTCCGAACCGAACCTGGGGGATTCGAAAAAGCCCACTGGTGCTGGTGGACTTGGAGATATTGCTCTGGGCGAAGTCAAGTCCCCGGGATGGGTGTTGATAAATCCATCTGCGGGGTTGTTGCTTGCTGGAGTGGGGAACGAAATCGGGCTCAGGTTGTTGATAGCGAATGAGTCCGAAAATCCAATTACAGCTCCTCCATACCCACTAGATTGTGAATTCGGCGAGTCAATTGACATGCGTTTCGTCCTTCCTCCCCAGTTCAGACGGACACTATAGTCGCAAGGGTCGCCTTGTCGCTGGCAATTAAGACATGCTGGTTTCTCCTCCCCACTACATAGAGAATTGTTAGCTACACGAGTATTATGCAGGAACTGTGCTACTCACCATTTTACCTTGCGTGCTTTGCATGGCCTAGTATGATTGTTAGCCTTGGCAAAGCTTGGGTTGACATCTTAGTAACGTACCAACATCCTTTACGGCTTCGGCGCTTTGGTTCTGGTGCGCCAGGTCTTCTAGGACGAGGCATTGCACGTCAGAGGGTGTCTGGTCGAGTGCCGGCGCCAGCAAAGAGGAAACGGCGACAATCAAGATAACAGAGGCTTGAAATAGCCGAAGATCACTATGTACTGTCCTGCCGCCATACACACTCAGTCTTTTCAAGTTTGTATCAGTCCAGTTGAGACTCCTTACGCCGAAAGCACGTCAGAATTGGCACGCTTTCTGCGTTTCGATCCTGGTTGACCCCAAGTAGCGATGAAGCGATAATCGACCAGACACCCACACCTAGTATACAAGCACATCGAGGTATGGGAGGGAGATGTGCCAGAAACAGTTCGAGTCCCACTGCCCGTCAGCAATGGGAAGGCAAAAGAAGCCGATAGTAACCAGGGTAGTGTCGATATCAGCGACCTCGGAAATGAAACAAGACGTCAAACAGAAGATGGCTCCGTTCAATATGATCAATTGACCCACTAGGTAGTCGACTGACCTCACTCTGTAAACAAAGAGCACAGATTTGCAACAAAAGCCACAATTTTGATGCAAAGAAGAAAGGTTGTCTTTTGGGCGCAGACTAAAGTGTGGGGAAGCACGTGGGAGATAAGGAACAATGAATCAGCCGGGTTATGTTATAATCCGATACCGACCGGCATACCGCGGGAAGCCGGGATTGCCCGCGGACAGCCTATTAGTCCCGCCTGTCACGTGGACTCGTATCTTGAACTTAACGTCATACCTTCCTGTTCCTTGGATGCACATTGGTTCCTTGAGCTGCGCTTTGATAGCATTTTCGGAGGAGTTACTTTCTAAATTACACATTAGACTAGGACTTTAGAGCGCTTGTGTCCTAATTTGTGTCCCGATATGGCCAAATCTTTCATCGATAGGCACCCGCTTCAGTGGATGCCGAGCCCTTCACGTCGCTTGTCAGCCTTGGTTCATGTAAGTACCGTGGTCCTTTCATTGTTATTTCGGTTCAGTACTAACGGGTTGCTTTCCAGTTGGCCGGACTTTCGAGCTTTTTGTGGTCATTCAAATAGTATGGGTCCTTTCAAGCTGTACTTTGAGGGGTTGCTGACATTCTTGAAGCATGCACGAAAACCCTAACCAAGCGTAAGCCCTCGTCTAGTTTCGATACTGTTAACCATGCTAAACTTTATATTTGACAGTAATCAAGCATATGGTTGGCATTTTCAATATCTGACCGTGATTGGCCTGTCGTTGTCAACACTCACTTTTGCGGTTGCACTACTAGCGGATATTACCTCGTCCCGGCGACTGTTCCTGATCAAAAATATCCTATCGACATGCAGTGCCCCCCTTGAGGTTGTGATCAGTGTTTTATACTGGGGTCTTCGCTTGGTAAGTGATTCGATTCTAAATCCGACATTCATCTAACCCAAGTATAGATTGATGAGCGTTTGGTGATCCCCGAGGATATTTTTATACCTGTTCATGCCGGTATGTCTGTAAAAAGTACATTTTGAGATACCCCTAGTAACACAGTTATAGATATCAGCTTCCACGCAACACCGTCGGTGGTGATGTTGATTGACCTGCTGCTCCTATCCCCACCCTGGACAATCACTGCCCTCCCTGCACTGGCGTTGTCTGGCACTATCGCCTTCGGATACTGGTTCTGGATTGAGCAATGCTTCTCCCAAAATGGATGGTTCGTGTATGATCCGGCACTTCCAACGTCACTCACTAATTAGTTTAGGTACCCATATCCTATCTTCGAAGCACTGCCCACATCAGGTCGTATTGGCCTATTTACTCTCAGTGCCGTCGTTATGGCACTGAGCACCATTACGCTGAAGTGGCTCCATGGACGTGTCAATGGATTTGATAGCCTCATGAAGCCGGAATCCCGTCCGGGTGATATTAAGCGAATGAACGGTCTGTAGGTGCATGTATCGCAACAATACTGTCACCTTTCACCTTGATCGGGGTCAATTGGCTCTTGTATCTGCCTCATGTGGCAGGCGGGTTCTAATCTTGAGGTATCCACAAGAAGGAAATTTTGGCGCATTGCATTGATCATAAGCGTCTTGGTTGTCGCCTTTTTTTCCGGGTACATCCATGAATTTTGGGGTCTCCATCATCGCTGCATCTACACCTCATCATATCTCAAACACAAACTATGGTTACAATACTATTAGAATCAAACTTAAACCCAGGACCAATAAGCAAATCATCGCGAGCTTTCCAAAATGGTTTCACTATGCTGCCAAGAACTCAACTGCGCAGGTAGGATGTGTTAAACCGCCGAAAAGTTTTGCGCAGCGAGGTTCCAACAATTAGTCTTTTTAACTTAGCATGTCCACGAGGCGCCTATTACAAACCTTGGTATATCAAACTAACCCCGAATTACAGTTGCAGTTTACCGGTGCGTTGCTGCAACTTGGTGTGCGACGATCACCCCACGCGGGGTCGTCTAACCTTGGAAGCCGTGCGCACTTGAATGCGGGGCTTAGCGTGACTGAGAAAAATCAGGGTACATATACTTAGAGCCCCTTACGGTGTTGTATTGCTGTATGCTCATTGGCACGAATTCTTCGGGGCTACGGAGCAAGAGTCGAGGTCAATGCCGAGACAATCCTTTCACTGTACTGAGTCGGAGCCACTGTCCAATCAAAACATGGGGAAAAGGTCATCACCCCTTGGTGGATCCAAGTGGCTACACGGTCAAAGGCTAGATAGCTGAGGCTTCAACCGCACCACTTCGACTAGCTTCGGACTTTGATTATTAACCTTCATTACAGCCACGTCGGCCGACACCACCAATTTGTTCTCGGCCGAGTGCACATTGCAGAAACGTTTCTGAGCAAAACCGAGGTCTCTCGTTTTAATCAAAAGGAGCGGGCGTTATGGACTTGGCAATACATACATGATGCGATGGAGGCGGGAAAGCTTCGCCCTGTGGAGCCCGGGGTATGCGGGAGATGCCCTAGTTTCCCCCAGATGCCCAGACTCGGCTTTATCCCCTACATCACACATGGTATACTAAAATCCAGGGTCCAACACTCAATATTAAACTAAATCAAGTGCCGCACAATGATGCTGCCTCTTTTCTTCCCGTCGAACTCTCTTCCATTAGGCTATCTTTCTACATGCCGATCATGCCCCAACCACTCAAATCTAGCCGATCAGCCCGGGGCCCCAACGTACAGATGCAAGCTAATGCGTCAATCCCTGCACGCGGGCTAGGACACGGGCTAGGATGTATCGCTCGTACCATCATTCAGCCAGACCCTAGCACCAAATCTCGACCATCTGCCGAACATAAGTGTTAGCGTGTTTGCCCCTCTTTACATAGTTCTTGGTGGCTCTCTTTTTCTACTTTGACTTTTTCCTGTTCTTCTTAAATAGATCGCAGGTTGGCAAAAGGCAGTCGCACATTTCGGAGCATTCCCCTTGTCGATCTGTTCGATTTTGCGTTATGGCTGTTGAATCCGAAAAACGAAATGAATCCCGGTCTTCTGACCCCGAGAAAATTCTTGATTCTAAGGATCCGCTTGCTGCAGCTGGGTTTGAGGATCCCGATGCGGGATTGAGTGACGAGGAAAGGGCGGCAATCGTGTGTTATCCCTCAACTTGCGTTACTTCAACATCATTTGAAGTCACATAACTAATCAAACCACAAATCATCCATATAGGACCGTAAGCTACTATGGCAACTCGATATCCGTCTCGTGCCATGGCTCAGTCTACTATATCTCGTTTCGTTCCTTGATCGGTAAGTAAAAGAATAATCATTTGCGCACTCGGTTCCGAGGAAATATCACAAACTAATCCCACCTCATTCAAGGACAAATATCGGCAACGCGAAACTTGTCGGCCTTCAAAAAGACCTAAACATGACAAATGCCCAATACAACGCAGCATTGACTATATTTTTCGTCTCGTACTCCGTCTTCGAGCCGGCGACTAACGTCCTGCTCAAGCGATTACGGCCGAGTATATTTATCCCACTTATTATGATGGCATGGGTAAGTTAAATATACCCATCCTCTCACAAAGTATTCCGCTAACAATTCCAGGGAATCTGCATGACCTGCATGGGCTTGGTAAAAAACTACAACGGACTAATGGCCGTCCGCTGGTTCCTAGGCCTATCCGAAGCCGGTCTCTTCCCAGGAGTAGGCTATTTCCTTTCATGTTGGTATAAGCGCTCCGAATTTGGCGTACGAATGGCAATTTTCTTCTCCGCAGCCGCACTCGCGGGTTCCTTTGGCGGTCTGCTCGCAGCCGCGATTGCGAAGATGGACGGCGTGGCCGGCAAGCCGGGCTGGTCGTGGATTTTCATCTTGGAAGGCCTTCTTACGTTCATCATTGGCATTGCTTCGTTTTGGTGTGTCTATGACTTCCCTGATCAGGCGCGGTTCTTGTCGGATATCGATCGCAAGCGTGTGCTTAGAAGACTCGCTATGGATCAGCAATCCAGTGCTGAGCATGAGGAGTTCAAGATGGAGTACTTTTGGTCTAGTCTGAAGGATTGGAAGACTTATACTGGGGCTGTGATTTATATGGGGGCTGATGGGTCGCTTTACGCATTTTCGCTTTTCGTGCCGACTATTATCAGTGAACTAGTGAGTTGTCATATCCCTACATATGTACATTGGAGATTGTGGAGCTAACATGGTTTTCCTAGGGTGAATATTGACCTTGACTGTTGCGTTCGGTATATTGCAACTATTTACTAACTGGCTGCTTCTACAGGCTACAGCTCGATTCGTGCACAGTTGCTGAGTGTACCGCCATATGCCGCTGCCGCCGTATTGACAGTGACGGTTGGATTCATTGCAGACCGTACCAGACAGCGTGGTCTCTGCAATATCGCCGTCTCGTTCCTGGGTATGATAGGATTCGCTATGCTACTAGGCTGTGAGTCTGCCGGCGCTCGCTACGCAGGAACCTTCCTCGGGGCTATGGGCATCTACCCAGCCATTGCGAACACGATTTCATGGACTAGTAACAACACCGAAGGTAACTTTCACCCTGGGTTCCGCTTTATCTTGGATAGGTGATGAAATCCAAGACTAACTCGATTGCTGTCTAGGTGTATACAAACGAGGTGTCTCCCTAGGGTTTATCATCGGCTGGGGAAATCTTAACGGCATCGTCTCATCCAACATCTACCGCGATCATGACAAGCCAAAATACTACCCCGGTCACGGAGTAGTACTCGGCTACCTGGTACTGTTCCTCTTTGGTGGATCCGTGGTGCAGTATCTCCTGCTGCGGCGTGAGAACGGCAAGCGCAGACGCGGCGAACGCGACCACTGGATCGAGGGCCTGGACCAGAACCAGATCGAGTTGTTGGGTGATAAAAGACCGGATTTCATTTACACGCTGTGAGCAGCGGTGGGATAGCCAAATAGGCGTGGAAGGGAGAGCTGAGGCAGATCGAGATATGAGTGGAAATATATAAGCATATATCATCACGATCGTGATCTCAGCAGTCGAGTCCAAGTTCATGTAAGACGTCTATAAGTTGGAACCTGCTCGTAGCCTCGTGCGAGAGGCAACGCAATTATACCCATATCATGCCTCCTTCTCATACCGATTAACAATATCTTGCCCCTTCTTCGGGCCACGCACAACATGTCGACTAGCCCAACTAAGCACCTCCCCAGTATCAGGCTCAATGCGAAATGCATACGCCGTGCGATACATATCGTTGATACACAGATGGTTTCCCCTAGCATTGAGCACAGTAGTCTCATTGCCGGAGGTCGACACAGCGGGCGGCACGGGCGGAGCGACGAATTCGCCAGGATCCTTCTGCGCAGATCCGGACTCCGACTCTAGCAGCGAACCGGAACCCGAATCAAAATCGAAGTCGTGGAATAGGTAGTCTGCTTCTTCCGGGCCCGGCGCGACTTTCACGAACCAGACGCTGACGCGTCCGCTGTCGCTGCCCAGGCGCCAGATGTACTTCTTTGTCCAACGTAGGCCCGCTGGTAAGGCGCCTGTACCAACATTGCTAGGTATCTCGCCTTCTTCGCAGTACAGCCAGTCGCGGTCGGTTGTTGTGGTGGGGGGTTGTGCGGTAAAGGTTGCGGTCCCGCGGAGCTCGCCGTTTAGGTCGAGGGGGTTTTCACTCCGGAGGGTTCGGGTTAAGGTCCAGCGGGTGTTGCTGAGGGAGGTTATTAGGGTTGAGAGGAGTTGACGGGAGGGCATTGTTGGCATGATTGGTATAATAGGAGGTTGTTGGAGAAGGGAGGGAATGCGGGGGAGAGGAATAATAGGTGGAGTTGTTATCCAATCATCGGGTTTTCCTCTCTGATCAGATTTCTATTGCTTGTTTTTCGTATTTACGTATCTATTTGCGTAGATCGACTAAAATTGTCCATGCATCGTACTCCGTACAAATAGCGTTGATAACCCCTCAACGGGGGAACTGACCTAAAAGGGACATTCAATTTATTTTTACCTTCTGTGGCTTGAAACATAACCACATTACATCGACTGAACTCTACTAGCCATGTGGCTAAGACCTCTTTTCCTGTCTGCTGTATTATATGCTCTCACACAATCTAAAATTATGTATTCTCTAACGTGTTTGGTATGTTCTATACTTATCAAGTTCCATGTTCAAAGACGGATCTATGCGGAGTATACTCCGTAGTATACCTAGAATATGACGCCTTTTCAGCTACCCGGGGCTCAAGAGTATATACAAAGTAGTACATAATAAGCGATGCCAACGGAATTCACGAAATGAATTTACGCGGCAATGGGTGGGGGCTATATGCACCTCTACATGAGATAATAATATCGCAATCCATGGATAGTGATCAATCTTGAACATCAAGATTTATATACTCCATACCAGGGTGTCTATACAATCTTACAATCTCCACTTAAGACGTTGAAACGGATTCATCGCCTTATTCCAACCGTCTCAACTGCCGATCGTAGTGGGCCCTCGTTTGGAGTTAATGAAGGACGGGGACGAGTTCCTGGTGAGTGAATTCGTTAGAAGAAAGAATAGAAAAAATAGACAACTCAATTCCTACGTCGTACTCCGTACATAGCACATCGATGTACGGGTACGGAGTAGAATATACATAGATGTAACTCCTTGCATGGGAAAAATATGATCTTCAGCCAAGGCGATAGTTAGTCCAAAATAGCCTTAAAAAACGTGGGACTTGGTCAATCATTTACTGCATCCAGCGATGGAACCGGATAGAAATCGACCCTGGAGCTTGAAGCTTGGGAGTTATGATTTAAAGATCTGGCAGGTGTCAGAATGCGAAGAGAGTTAGGAATGTTGAGATTTCCACGTTGATGGTCCGTTGATGGTCCGCTTGCGGAGATTAAAAAGACGCATTTGATCAATGCTACAGTCAGGTACAGTACTACAATACTACCCAGATACATTATAAGGTAATTAAAAGAAATTAAAAAGCTATGATTCGTCGAATTAAATAGTCCCTGACTATCCTGTAGGGCCAGAAAAGGAAAGAAAAAAAAAGCTGAATCCGGAATCGTTCGGCCCCGACTAGACCAAAACCATCTTCTCGTTTTCTGGTCTTTTGGTCTCTTCTTTCTTTCAACTGCAGTATGTACTGAGAGATTCTATCCAGACATCAAATCGAGCCTCACGGCTCTTCCCCGACATTCGCTACTCCTCATTAAACGATCATTAACCGAACATCGAAAACATCGCTCTCACAATGTCACTCACTACGCGCCTCCCATTCCTCTTCCTCGCCCTTATCGCCCTCACAATCTCAGCCCTAGCCGCCGACAGCATCCTCCCCACAGCAGCCTCCAGTAAATTCCCGCAATGCGGTCTGACTTGCACCACCCTGACGGGCGCGCAGACTTCCTGCGAATCAGGCGAAGCCTCATCCTGGACCTCATGCTTCTGCCAGTCATCCCTGCTCACCGGCCTCAAATCCTCCGGCAGCATCTGCTCCACCTGCAGCGCCGCAGACCAAGCCACCCTCTCAACCTGGTACAATAACTACTGCAACTCCGGCGGCATGGATACATCTGGCACCGAAACCACCACAACAACAACCACGGCCTCAGCCGTCGCAGCCTCTACATCTGCTTCCAGCTCCAGCGCAACAAAATCCGCCTCCACCACAGAGGAGAAGAAGTCATGGTACGTTTGACCCCAACACCGCAGCGCAAATCAGAACAGCAACTATACCCGCATCGAAGACGCACTAACAAAACTCCCATACAGGTGGAGTTCCCACTACCGATGGGTCATCATGCTCATTGTGCTGGTCATCGGATTCAGCATCATCGCCGTACTCGGCGTATGGTTCAAGCGTCGCTACGACGCTAAACGGCCAAATCTCTACCACGGCGGTAGCAGCAGCTTGCTGAGCACAGCTTCCCCGCCCGCTCCGCGCGATGCTGCCTGGGGCGCGAAGCCGGTGCCTGGTCAGACCACAGGCCCTGCTCCTGCCTCCCTGGCTAGTAGCTCGCGCTCTACGATGGCGAAGACTAGTACTCCTGTTCCCGGGGCTCGGACGCGATTGACGAAGATCGAGCAGGGCTCTGGGGATCTGGAGATTCGGCAGGTTTAGGATCTGTTTTGGTTCACTTCTTGTTTTGGATCTTTTGGTTTTTCTTATGTCCTTTTTATCTCTTTGTTATTTGCAAAATGCGCTACTTCTATACCATACTCCCTGGCTATGGTTGCATTTCTTGGTGTTTGATACGGATAATGGGCTTCACGTTGTGTTTTTCTTGTTGGTTTTGCGCCCTTTCCCCCGTCCTTTCGTTCCGTTTCTTTTACTTGTTCTCTCGGCCTTTTGCCCTAAAGTGTGGCGTAGTCGATTTCTGCTGACGACTGTTGATTCTCTTTTTTACGCTGATATTCGACCTTTTTTTTTCAAGCTATCTGATCAAGTGACAGAGTACATAGTACAACGCGTGCGCGCATTTCATGATTTCTTATACACATATTTTGTAATACATCTAGATTCCACCTGTGGCTGATATATCACGAGATACTAATACTAACAACCTTAATATCAACTTCCGGTTTCTCCTTATGCGTCCGCACATTCTCAATCTTATGCACGATATCCAAGCCCTGCACCGCACGCCCAAAGACAGTATGCTTATTATCCAGCCACGGCGTCTTCTCCGTGGTAATGAAGAACTGACTAGCATTTGTATTGGGTCCGGCGTTGGCCATCGACAGCGTATATGGCTTATCGTGCTTGAGAACGGAGAACTCGTCGGCGAATTCCCCGCCCCAGATAGACTCACCACCCGTCCCGTCGCCTTGCGGGTCACCACCTTGGATCATGAATTTGCGGATCACACGGTGGAAGATTGTGTTATTGTAATAGCCATTCCGGGCGTGCGTGACGAAGTTCTCCACAGCGCGTGGTGCAGCCGAGGGATACAGGCGCAGGTGGATGTCGCCAAAGGTTGTGTGCAGGATTGCAGCAGTGCCGGTCTCAGCGGCTTTGGTAACTGCCGTACCCGTGCCGGCTGCTGCTTGGGTAGGCTTCTCGTTTTGGACGTCGCGGACGGATTTCGAGATCTCGGTTTCATTCGTGAACATGTAGAAGCGTACCTTGGCGAAGCCGGTGCAGAGGAGGATCGGGTCGCGTTCTTCGGCTTCCTGGAGGAGCGGGTTGCTACTGGCTGCCATTGAGACGGTTACCACGCCTTTGCGTTGCGGTTGTCCTTGGTACAATGCGAGGTTGAGGGCTCGGAATGGCTCGTCGCGGCCGTAGACGCGGACTACCCGGTTTGTGTACGTGTTGATACATTTCACGCCGTAAAGAGAGCCATAGAGGAGGAAGTGGCCGGATTCGTCGAAAGAAACGTTTACTTTGTTGCGCGTGGCTTCGTTTTCGAGTTCGCGCTCAACACCTAGGCGGCGCCCGAACTCTACTTCGTCAAGTTCGTACGGTGCTGTTCCCGCTTGCTGCATCTCCGTGATTGTGGTTATTGATTCGTCATATGTGCGGTAAAGCTTCCCGGTTGCGAAGTCAAATACTCGGATTTGTCTGTCTGGGAAGGAAACCGTGGCGAAGTGTTCGCCGGACGGAGAGATTGTGATTGCTGTCGGGACCGATTTGGCTTTCTTAAATGCGAAGAGATTTGTTGATGATTTCAGCTCGAAGACGTTGTCGGGCTTCTCGAAAGATCCGTCACCGGCTCTCCAATACTCGATCATTCCCGATTCGTCGGCGGAGACGACGCAGTCGAAGGCGTTGTTGAATGATAGTGAGACGACGGGGCTGCGATGGATCGATTTCAAAGTGTGCAATGGCTGGGGGTTTTCACCACGTCCATCGAATACTTGAATCGTATTACTTGACTCATCTGTCACTGCTAGCAGGGGCAGCGAGGCCCCGCGCGGGTGTACCCAGCAAACACATCGAGGCACGAAGTCCAGCGTGTACATCGCCAAGAGATCTATTAATGTCAGTAAGTCACTAAGCAACAGCAGTCACACGTTCTGAGCTTACCAAATGTAATAACATCAAAGATCTTCACCGTCTTGTCCATTCCCGCTGTCGCGAAACTGCGGCCGTCGGCGCTCACAGTTACGCCCCGAATCTCGCCTGGGTGAGCAAGGAATTCCTTCACGAACTCGATGCCTTCCGCCATCTTCTTCCAGAACTTAACAAATCCATCGACGGAGGAAGTGATCACAAAGTCCGTATAGGGCGCGACAGTCACAAACGACAATTGGTCCTTGTGCATAAGGGACTTGGAGTACCGCGCGGAGACTGGTAGCGCATTGATGTAGACTTTCTCGAAAGGAAGCTTGCGCCTCTTCTTTTTGGGGGCGACCTCCGAGGGCAGCGCAGGGCCGAAATCATCGTCAGAAGAGTCATCACCTGGCAATCGCATAGAGTTAGTATCTATTACGTTCCGTTCGAGAAGCGGTCTGCACGGTATCCATGATGCAGTGGACTCACTGTTCTCAGCCTCGACAGCAGAGTGAGCCCGCTTTTTCGCGGGAGCTTGAGCGAGTTCGCTGGAGTCAGCCATTGTCGATATTGACAGAAACAAAGTCAATTCCAGCGAAAGGGATCGTCACGACAGAAAGGAAACGTCGAGAGGCATCGCGGGCGGTGATGGAGTGCAGCCAATCAGAAGCTCGGGCCAATCGTGCGGCAACTTTTCTCCTTTCCCACCCCACTGTTGACAGGAGAAGTTGATTCAACCTTTCCAGCAAGACATTTGATCTTTGGTCGATTGCCTTATTCAGCTGGTCATCATGGTATGCTATTCCCAAGTCGACCCCGCGAGATCGTGGAAAATATGTGTTCGCACTGGCTCACCCTTACCCCTCCTAGGCATCTTTCGGCAATCCCACACAGATCTTTGGTGACGATGTCATTGAAGAGAAGGGCGAGAATGCCCGTCTCTCGGCCTTTGTCGGTGCTATCGCCGTCGGAGACCTCGTGAAGAGTACCCTTGGTCCCAAGGGAATGGACAAGATCCTACAATCTGCGTACGTGGGGGAGATTGATAATCCTATGACCCCGGAAATACTGACATGGCTGTTCTCGCAGGTCGACAGGAGATATCCTCGTGACGAACGACGGTGCTACGATTCTTAAGTCTATCGCTTTGGATAACGCCGCGGCTAAGGTTTTGGTCAACATCTCCAAGGTTCAGGACGATGAGGTGGGTGATGGAACCACATCGGTCACCGTTTTGGCCGCCGAGTTGCTGCGTGAGGCCGAACAGCTTGTTGCCAAGAAGATTCACCCCCAGACTATCATCGAGGGCTACCGGATAGCCAGCAAGGCTGCCCTCGCCGCTCTTGAGGCTACGGCGGTCGACCGCAGCCAGGACCCCGAGGCTTTCCGCAAGGACTTGCACGCCATTGCCCGCACAACACTCAGCTCGAAAGTTCTGTCCCAAGATCGGGACCAATTCGCCAAGTTAGCTTGTGAGGCCGTTCTGCGTCTCAAGGGATCTACCGACCTTTCTCACATCCAGATTATCAAGAAGGCCGGTGGAAAGCTGAGCGATTCATACCTCGATGAGGGTTTCATTATGGATAAGAAGGTCGGTGTCAACCAGCCCAAGCGGTTGGAAAATGCCAAGATCCTTGTTGCCAACACAGCAATGGACACAGATAAGGTCAAGATTTTCGGTGCACGAGTCAAGGTCGAGTCTACCGGCAAGCTTGCTGAGTTGGAGAAGGCAGAGCGCGAGAAGATGCGCCAAAAGGTCGAGCGTATCAAGGCTCACGGTATTAACTGCTTCGTTAATCGTCAGCTCATCTACAACTGGCCCGAGCAGCTGTTCACCGAGGCCGGTATCATGTCCATCGAGCACGCCGATTTCGACGGCATCGAGCGCCTGGCCCTTGTTACCGGCGGTGAGATCGCCTCCACCTTCGACCACCCCGACCAGGTTAAGCTGGGTGGGTGTGACCTGATCGAGGAAGTGATCATTGGTGAGGACACCCTGATTAAGTTCTCCGGTGTGGCCGCTGGTCAGGCCTGCACCATTGTGCTGCGCGGTGCTACCGAGCAGCTTCTCGATGAGGCCGAGCGTTCGCTCCACGATGCTCTGGCCGTCCTTTCGCAGACTGTCAAGGATCCCCGTGTGACACTTGGCGGTGGCTGCGCCGAGATGGTGATGTCCAAGGCCGTGGAACAGGCGGCTCAGAACACGACCGGCAAGAAGCAGCTTGCTGTCGACTCTTTCTCTCACGCTCTGAAGCAGCTGCCTACCATTCTGGCCGACAACGCCGGCCTGGACTCCAGCGATCTGGTGACTCGTCTGCGCTCGGCCATCAACAATGGTATGACCAGCTCCGGTCTTGACCTGTTGACGCCCGGCGGTGGTATTGCGGATATGCGTGAGCTTGGTGTGGTGGAGGCTTATAAGTTGAAGAAGGCGGTGGTTTCGTCTGCCTCAGAGGCAGCCGAGGTATGTAATTCAATATTTTTTATTCTTGATACTCAATTTGGAATAAGTGCTGACTTTCTTTTAGCTTCTCCTGCGGGTGGACAACATCATCCGTTCGGCTCCCCGCCAACGCAACCGGATGTAATGGACACGATTGTGATGACATGGATGAATTCATCTCTGTACTCTTTCTACGAAGGAACTAAAAATGTGCAATAGAAGTTCAACTAAGTACATGATCTATCCATCTAGTCATTTGTGTAGTCTGCCGAGTAGATATACGGTGTACTATGAGCTGCGCCCTGTGGTATTGGTTACCCTAGATATAGCTCATAGCCTCGAAGTCATTGCATATCCCCCCTCGTGAATGTACTAGGTGCACATGGTCTAGAATCTTCTGGGGCCTGGATCCCCAGGCAAAATGATCGGATGCAAGACCGGCCGCTGTATAGATCTTTGTTGTATGCACTTACTGTTCAACTACTACCTACGTAATTTGTCTGACAGGGTTCGAATCTGTGGTTTTTTTTTTTTTTGACAAATCTATCCAATCCCAATGATGATAATACTTGGCACCGTTGTTGTACCTGAACGTAATAGGGGATCCTACAATATGAGAAGTGAGCCATCCAACTCCAACACTCACATGAACAACATGGAAACATTCTTAAAATCCATACGCTTTGTGGGACAATAGTTCACGGGTATTGTCAATGTGCCTTGGAACATATGTCTAGAACACAAAAGGCCAAATCTGAGGAGATATTACCTGAAGAATAAGGCATCAACTCGTCCCAAAGCGGAAACCCCAAAGCGGTCGCTGCCCAGGTGAGATTGAAAAGCTTAGCGCGTAGCCAAGAGGCAGAGCCAAGGCAGCATGATAGATGTATGCCAGGTACGGAGTATATAGATTTTAATCATTCTTCTGTCTTATAGTGATCCATTCTCATCCATCTGAGCAGATATAGCGACATCTATACTCCGTACATCGTCTGTTCTTAGATTCTGACAGGACGATCACATTCCCATCGCGTGGGTCATAAGTGGACAACAGAACAAACAGATCGGCATTGCCTGAACAATATTACTTTGTACGGAGTACCTTCCATAGAGTTGTATATTAAGATCAATGCAAATATCAAGGGGTGTCTCAGTTCTAAGGCCGATGTTTCATTTTCCTACTGCAGGACCAGATGTGCCGCCAGGAACTGAGTCTAACCGTCATCGTTTTCTTTTTAGGGGCAGTAGACCAGTAATCTAGCAAGCTAGTAATCCAACACTCTCTACTGGAAAAGATGAAGAACAAATATGTAGATTTAATTTTTAGAATATGCGGAATAATAATAGTAATAAGAAGGTTAAGGCGTTAAGATAGTTCAACATTCTTAGACGGAGACAGCCCACTGTACCAGGGACTGTAACCCCCCGGTTGCCGGTTACTCCCAGACCCCGTCATCTTTTCTTAGCCACCACCTCTACCTTCTCTCCAAACTTTTATTCTCTTTATTCAACTCCCTTATGCCGCTGGCCCTTACGCTCGTTTGAGATTCTACACATGATTTTGTCCAAGTGGCTGACTACTCTGCTGGGCGGCGCGTTCGCCGTCCAGGGTGCCCTCGCTATCGAGTTGAACATCGATGATGAGAGTACGTTTCCCCTCCTTTTGATCGCATTTCTTGTCTAATTCAGTGCTTCTATCAGACTCCCTCAAAAGCGCGGCCAAAACGGTCGCCACCACCATGATGAAATACTACGACGCTCGCGACTCCAAGGACATCCCCGGTAAATTCGATGGCACTTGGTGGGAGGGCGGTTCCATGTTCATGACCCTTATTCTGTACTGGTTTGTGACCGGTGACACCCAGTTCAACGACGCCATTCAGGATGGAATGTACTTCCAGAAGGGCGACGACAATTACTTCCCCAGCAACTACAGTCAGTACCTGGGCAACGACGATCAAGTCTTTTGGGGTCTCGCCGCTATTACCGCCGCGGAATTCAACTACCCCGAAAGAGAGGGCGAACCCTCCTGGGTATCCCTCGCACAGGGTGTCTTCAACACTCAGTACCCCCGCTGGGACACGAGCAGCTGCCACGGTGGTATGCGCTGGCAGATTTGGCCGTACCAGGACGGTTACCTGACGAAGAACGCGATTTCAAATGGAGGACTGTTCCAACTTTCGGCCCGCCTCGCCCTCTACACCGGAAACAAGACATATGCCGACTGGGCCGAGCGCATTTGGGATTGGAGCGCTACCACCCCGCTACTCAAGCAGAAGAACTGGAACATCGCCGACACTACCACCTGCGGCACGCAGTGTACGGATCATGGCGATTTCCAGTGGACCTACAACTATGCCACCTATATCAGTGGTGCTGCTTACATGCACAACTACGTACGTCCTGCTATTCTGTGCCCAACGATGGGTTGATACTAACTTCGGACTAGACTAATGGCACTGAAACGAAATGGAAGGAAGGTGTTGAGGGTCTCATCAAGACCTCCCAACAATTCTACCCGACCACAGGATTTAATGGAGCCGGCGGCCAAATTCTATCGGATATCACCTGCGAAGGCAGCGGTAATTGCGATCGCAATCAGATCACCTTCAAGGCCTATTTCACCAACTGGCTTGGAATGCTGACTACAATCGTCCCCGGCACCTACGACCTGATCTTCCCTCAGCTGAAAACCTCGGCCCAGGCCGCTGCAAAGCAATGCTCGGGTGGCGATGATGGTACGTATTGTGGTATGCGCTGGTACAAGCAAGCCACTTGGGACGGGACCAAAGGTCTGGAGCAACAGATGTCTGTGCTAGGTGTCCTGTCTGCCAATCTGATTCCCTTCAAGAACAAGGCGCCATTGACCTCATCATCGGGTGGAACCTCAAAGAGTAACCCGAACGCCGGCACCAATACCTCGGACAATAAGGTCCCCGTATTGAACACCATCGGTACCGGTGACCGTGCAGGTGCAGGCGTCTTGACCGTCATCTTCGTCAGCGGTTGGGCTGTTGCTGTGACCTGGATGATCCGCGGCGGTTAAGGTCGTCTCCTGTTTACTATCTACCTTCTATCTTTCTTGGGATCATACGTGATTCCTTTTTGTGTTTTATAGTACCTTTCTCTTCACATGCTTTTGTGGCCACATCCTTCTACACCTGTAACTATCTTGATTCTTATTGTGTTTCTCCTTTTTCTCTTTTTTACCTCCCCTTCACTGGCACTTCCGGCGTGTACTGCACGAGGACGAGGTTGCGGCGTTGGATGTGCTGCTTTGATCTACATAATTCTTTTTTTAAAAACATCCTTGGTGATAATGGACTCTGATTCTTTCTTGAGACCTTACAGTGTAGCGTGTTCTCTCGCCCTTGATTGGTCTTAACCCCTGACGCTGGGCAGGGGTGTCTGACCCACCCTCCTGAAAGGCTGGGGGTTCAATCTTCATGATCAGCATTGAAAGATCCACTGTGAAAGACTCGTTTAAAATGATCAATCTTTATTGTGAATGGTGTAACCAGAGAACAAAATGTCTACTATGTAAAGATGACTGTGTATAAAACATAGAGGGGTATAGAAGTTACATGTACATAAGCACATACTCCGGAGTACATATTCAGACCCCAATGTCTACATATGTATTAAGGGGATAAGGGATAAGACACTGGAATGTTCTTATTGTTCTAGGCTACGCTGTATTCAGTGTAGACCGAAGGCGTGCGTGGACTAAAGTACCCATACCGTACTGTTACAGCTGTGGAGGCGGGAAAAACTCGTCACAGCCTGTAATGTACACGTGCAGTACACACAATCTCTCTGCCTGCACATGTACTCTCCAGTCTCTCTCCTTTCATCTCTTCAATATTCTGACATCCTCACATTCTCATCATTCTGCATCTTGCATTATTATTAGACTACAGACGAATTTCCTGCCGTTTTCCATTTCGATCATTTGTGGGGGATGATCCGCTACCCGGATTCTCGACTCGCTCCACACTGCCACTCGATCCATTGAACCTTTCTCCGTTTCAACATCGGCCCATGAGACGCCCTCCGCTACCTCCTTCGCTCCCTCGATCGTTCACCTACCCTTCAATCTTTGTGCTGACAGCTCCACGATGCGGTGGCGGCTGCCGGGCGTCCGTTCGACACTCCCCGCCAGTGTCGCACTCCTCCTTCTCCCAGCTCTGGTCGCTCCGCTGCAGCAATCAGACGCCCATGACCCTATCTCTCGAGTCTCTGTGCCACTAGCACAAGAGTCATCAAACCAAAATGCGGCCCATGTGGCCGCACCACCCATCGTGAAACCCAACGATGCGAGCGCCCTTGCTACTCTGGCTCTGGCAGGCTCCGGCCGCGCCGTTCGAGCCCCTCCTGTCCAAGCCAGCAGCACCGCTGCGGGCTTGGCTTCGCAGCTTCACGCGCGGTCCTTGCAGGACTGGGAGGTTGAGGATTTTGTGCTGCTGGCGACCGTCGACGGAACCATTCACGCCCGTGATCGCAAGACCGGGACTGCTCGCTGGGCCCTGGAGGTCCCGAGCAGCCCTGTGGTCGAAAGCATCTACCACCGAGCGAATCGTTCCAGCTTTGATGACACAGAGCCCGAAGACGACTTTTTATGGATCGTCGAACCGAGCCAAGATGGCAGCCTTTATATCTACAGCCCCGCCCCAGACGCCGGCTTGCAAAAGCTTGGTTTAACTGTGAAGCAGCTTGTCGACGAAACCCCCTATTCCGGCACCGAGCCTGCTGTGACCTATACTGCCCGGAAAGAAACTACATTGTACACCATTGACGCCCGGACTGGCAGCATCCTGCGGGTGTTTAGTTCCCGTGGTCCAATTACCGCTGCACCTGAATGTCGGAAGGTGAACGGAGAAGATCTGGACTCGGATGAGTGCGAGTCGACATCTGGTACATTGGTTCTTGGTCGGGTCGAATATGCCGTCGCCATCCAGAACACGGAGACGGGAGATCCAATTTGCACCCTGAAATATTCTGAGTGGGCACCGAACAACCGTGATATGGACCTACAGAGCCAGTACTACAGGACAATGGATGAAAGCCACATTTACAGTATGCATGATGGCGTTGTGCTGGGATTCGATCACTCCCGCATGGATCGGCCTCGCTATACCCAGCGCTTTTCATCTCCTGTGGCGCGAGTCTTTGACGTGGTTCGTCCTGCCAACAAAGATGCACCAAATGCCTCGACCCCGCTTGTCCTGCTCTCGCAACCTATTCAGCCACCGGATCCAGATTATGGATCCATTGACGATGAAAGGGACATGCGTGTATTCATCGATTGCACTGAGTCAGGGGGCTGGTATGCCTTTTCGGAGGAAACCTATCCCCTTGCCACGGGCCGGGCCCCAATGGCTCAATGCTACGACAAAGACTTCTTCCGCCAGGGGCAAGCACTGATGAGTCTGACTGCGCGTCAACAGCGGAATGCGTTGGCCGGTGTCCACTCTCTTACTGGCCCTCGTATCATCCGTCCACATATTCCTAGAATCGGCGGTTCGTCTACCTCTGAGCTCTCAAACGATACACCACGAGATATCCTTCGAAGTCCTTCTGAGCTGGCTTTGCCACCCGCCTTGCGAAATAGCGCCATCATTCGCAAGAGCTGGGACAATGCTTTGGATATTGTCGTGACGTTGATTTTACTGTTCGTCTGCACCTTCATTTACTTCAACTCGCATCACCTTCGCGATTTGGCCAAGCAGAAATTGGACATCAAGAACATCATCAACTCCAGTGATAAGCCTTCTCTCTCGACCCCTTCCACCCCTGTTGTCGATGGTGCACCGGATATCAAGCGTGCATCTACACCAACCCAACAAGTTCCTAGCGTCACAGTGAACTTAGATTTGGATGATTCGTCACCAGAGGGTGGATCAACCCCGCGTGCCTCGCGAGACTACACTCCAGATTCCACCCCGCGGGTTCAGATTCGTGAGCCGTCACGTGGACCTGATGATGAGGACGCTGATGAGCCTGGAAAGCCAAAGAAAAAGCCCCGCGCTCGTGGATCTCGAGGAGGAAAGTCACACCGCCGTCGCAAGAAGCCTGGCAGTGAGGGTGATAGTCCTGAGGGCGCCGATCAGGCCGTGGAGCAGGTCAATAACCTAGCCCCCCAGCCTCGACTTGAGCCCGATGTCCAGATGGTCCGGACGGTCTCGAGCGAGATTATGGAGATGGATGGCGTCGTTCGCATTGGTCGGCTTCAGGTTTTCACTGATGTTGTCCTTGGACATGGCAGCCATGGCACCGTGGTTTACCGGGGCTCGTTCGATGGACGAGACGTCGCGGTCAAGCGTATGTTGATGGAATTCTATGATATTGCATCCCACGAAGTGGGCCTATTGCAGGAAAGTGATGACCACCATAACGTGATTCGATACTTCTGCCGTGAGCAAGCTACCGGGTTTTTGTATATTGGCCTCGAGCTTTGTCCAGCATCTCTTCAGGATGTAATTGAGCGCCCTGTTAGCTACCCGGAACTAGTCCAAACCGGCTTAGATCTGCCCGACGTACTGCGGCAGATCACCCAGGGTGTCCGTTACTTGCACTCTTTGAAGATCGTTCATCGTGATTTGAAGCCGCAAAACATTCTCGTGGCTATGCCACGTGGCCGCACTGTTTCGCGGTCATTGCGGCTCCTTATCTCGGATTTTGGCCTGTGCAAGAAACTTGAAGACAACCAGAGCTCATTCCGGGCAACCACTGCCCACGCCGCTGGAACTTCCGGCTGGCGTGCCCCAGAGCTCCTGGTGGATGATGACGGTCCTATATCTCTCGCATCGCAGCACACCGAGTCCTCGGAGCCGGCTGTGGTGGACCCGCAGACAAACCGCCGCGCCACTAGGGCCATTGACATCTTCTCACTGGGTTGTGTGTTCTACTACGTCTTGACCCGTGGCAGCCACCCATTCGACAAGAATGGCAAGTTTATGCGCGAGGCAAACATCGTCAAGGGCCAGTTCGACTTGGAGGAATTAAACCGCCTAGGCGACTATGCTTTCGAGGCGGATGATCTGATCCGCTCAATGCTGGCTCTAGACCCTCGCCAACGGTAAGCATCTTTCTTTGCAGAAATACACTCAATTTACTGACATGAATTCCTAGTCCTGACGCAAGCGCTGTATTGATGCACCCGTTCTTCTGGCCCCCATCAGACCGTCTCACCTTCCTCTGCGATGTCTCTGATCACTTTGAATTCGAGCCTCGCGAGCCTCCATCAGATGCACTGCTTTGCCTGGAATCAGTGGCCAAGCAGGTAATGGGTCCTGAGATGGATTTCTTGCGCTCATTGCCGCGAGACTTCAAAGACAATCTCGGCAAGCAGCGCAAGTACACCGGGGCGCGGATGCTGGATCTCTTGAGGGCTCTCCGCAACAAGCGCAATCACTACAACGATATGCCTGAGCATCTTAAGGATAATATTGGCGGCTTGCCCGAGGGATATCTCAATTTCTGGACATACAGGTTCCCAAGCTTGTTGATGAGTTGTCATGCAGTCGTTGTTGAGCTGGATTTAACTCGCAATGATCGCTTCCGGAGATATTTTGTGCCTTCGGAATAGATCTGTGTCCAGGGACATTATTTGGAAATCATATATGAAAATATTCTAATAATTTCTTATCTGCATACTGTTTAGGAATGATTTATATATGTACTAGTGCATCTCCATTGTATGGAACTTCTCAGGAACCCGTAAGTTTAGAACGTCAGTCCACATGTACACATGTGCAGGATCTAAACAGGAATAAAATAGCATGAATGATATTTTCTTCCTTTTCCTTCTCACTTAAATTAGCAGATGTGTCTTACAGCCACGGCAGATAAGTGGATCGTGGACGTTACTACTTCGCGCCAGTTTCTTCCGCGTTCTCATTTCACTCCGCACTTTTTTTTTTCCTCTCACCCACTCACCCTGCACCGTTCCGTTTGGTGTTTGGCACCTTGTCTCTTTGAGAGGTCATGTGTCACTAATAAGTGCATCTTTCTTAATTTGCTCCTTACCATTAATTACTGTTTCACGCCAGCTCTACCGGTTTTCATTAGCGACTACCGTTACCTCATCTTCCCTCCCCCACGCGCCATTATTCCAATCAAAACTATTACCTGCATGCGCATCTACTGCCTGTTCTCTCCTTTGGCGCAATGGTGTTCCTCCGACTTTCAGTCAAAGTCTTCCCGCGGGAGCAGCTGAGCTCGAGCTCCAGCTCCAGCTGGGGCCGGACCTTCCTTGGCGCGCGAAAGACTACCAACGATGACTCCAGCCAGGGATCTGCAGTCTCGACGACCTTGAAGAAACCTGGTGTCTTCTTGCTTGTCCTTGAGCACCCCGAAGAGGTTTCGCTTGGTGGGCTTGCGGGCATGATCCAGGAACATTGGGCAAAGCTTCACCCAGAGCTAGAGTGAGCGTTCATATGCTTGATGGATAAGCACCTTGTCCGGTCTCTCGAACTCCAATTGCTAACTGTGTTGGTTGATAGACCGCTTTCGATTAAGAAAATCCTCGACGATACGAAGGAGGACCTCGATCTTTATCCCGACCTCACTGTTGCCGATGTCTGGGTTGACTATGGGAAAGCTCGCACCGATGGCCTTGACCAGCGTGGCTCCGTTCGAGTTCTTCAAAAGCCTACCGCGGCCGCCCCGGAGCGATTCCCTTCTGTCGATCAGGATTGGGATGCTGCGATTGTTGCCTACGAGCGCAAGCGCGCCATAAAGGATAAAAAGGAAGCCATGGGAGCCCAATTCCCTGCCATCCAGGAAGAAGATGAGGAGAGTAACGCCCAATCGCTGCGTACTCGCTCTCGGTCTCTCTCTCAATCTCATATCCAATGGGAACATTCGCCTGAATCGCCTCAGCATACCAATAATATCCCTCATTCCTCAGCTCGGAAGTCATCAGTTGAGCACCGTCACCGCGATTTACCTCTGTCTTCTGTTGAAATCGGCAACCACGTCACCACTTCCCCACCAGCGAAGTCTATCGGCCCTACAATTGCTGGCACGCCGCCTCTCAGGCGCGAAAGTGAGGAGCTCGGCGAGTCTCCATCACCAGCCGAACGACGAGAATCCAGCGCCAGATCCCAACCTGCACCTGCATCTGTAGCTGCCGGGTCCCAGGAACCGCAGCCTAAGCCGCAAATGCTCGTAAAGCTACCCGTGGCGAGTAGTACAGCTAAGCGGACAATTACGCAAATGCCCGACGATGCTGAATCCCCACCCATGTCGTCTGCGCCCAACCATATCATTCCCCACCAACAGACGCAATCTACCGAGGAGGCTACCGCGAGCTCAAGTGACATGGAACCAGAGTCTGCTCCGCAGCGCATCGTGAAAATGCCATTCAAACCGGGAATGGCCAATGGAGTCAACGGACAGGGACATCTGCAGGCAGTGGCTAAGAGTGTATCCCAACCCGCGCAGAAAAAGCAAGCGGAAACGGCGATGGGGATCTCCAGTGAGGAGTCGAGCGAAGAGGAAAGCGACAGTGAGAACGACAAGGTTGAAGCGGAGAAGAAGAAGAATGCCGAGCAGGATGAAAGAGAAGCAGAAGATCAGACTGGTTCTGACAACTCTGACGAGTCCGACTCAGAGTCTGACTCGGAGTCTGACTCGGACTCTGACGCCAGCGAAGAGAATGGACCCAAGGATGTGATAGATCTAGAGGGCGATGTACAGATGGAAGAACCTATGGTTACTAGGAGCTCCCAGTCCTCAGGTCAGTCGGATCTCTCGGTATCGAAAACCAACGGTACAACCCATGAGACTCGATCTCGCAAGCGGAAGCAGGCCTCCGAAGAGCCCACATCGGTCAAAGAAGCTCGCCAAGGACAGGCCCATCCCTCGACCCGGCCCCCATCTACCCCTACCCCTCCTCGGTCTGTGCCTGCAGTCGTTGTGCCCTCTGAACAGGCTCGGCAGTCCATGTCGAATTCCCCAGCTGCCCAAACAAGCCCAGTGCGCAGACGAGTCCGTGCGCCTTCTTTCTCGAGCCCAGCCCGACAGGCCAGTGTTCGAGAGGAGAACCAAGCGCCTCCCAAGCCTCCTATGTCTGGAATTGGGCTGGGGATTACACAGAGCCCTCCTAGCAAGCAACCCGTTAGGCTGGATCTTTCGCAAGAATCCCACGTAACATCCACCCATAATTCTTTTGGCGGGCCGCTTTTCCCAAGTAGCAACGTGCCTGCTACCGATGCGACTTCGTTTACTTCTGTTAACAAACAGACTCCTGCCATTGACAGAACGAAAAAGTCCGCTATCCGTGCCAAGGATTCCCCGGCAACGGAGAGGCGATCTGTGTCTTTCGCCGAGGGAGAGAACCTTGCTTCTAGCTTGGATCCCGCTCCACACTCCACCCCGCGCAATACTGCCATTATCAAATCCGCCCCCACCACCAACACTACCAAGGGAACGCCTTCGAGCGCAACCCCACGAAAAGCCACACCCAAGGCGACACCCAAGGCCAAGTCCTCTCAGCAGACTCCCACCCCCGCTGTCAAATCTACTCCAGGAACACCTTCGACCTCCACGTCTAGCAAAGCCGCGCCAAAGGGCAAGGTCAATAACCAAACACCCAAATCCACTTCCGAACATGCTGAGGCAACACCATCCAGTAGTCAAGTGGTCTACCCACCCGGCTTTGATATCGGCGAGTTGACTCAGCAAGTTGAGATCGAAAAGAAGGCCAAGGCAAAGGCTAAGGAGGACGAGAAAATACAAAGGGACAAGGAAACCGTCGAGAGGAAAGAAATCGAGCACAAGCTTCGGGAAAGCTATGATCCCCAGCTTACGATCGTTTTAACTGAGATGCAGGACCTCTTGCAGAAATTGGCCAACACCAAAATCGAAATGGCCAGGCGAAGGACGCTCCGCGTTAAGCTCAAAGCCTTGCGCTATGACCTGAAAGTCTGTGAACAGAGGCTGGAGGCACAAAAATCCACCCCTCGGGAACCTGTCGCAAAACAACCCAAACCAACCCTCAAGGACATGCTGAGCAGCCAAAAGCAGGAAATGGCTGCTAAACTGCAACCTGGGCCCAAGTCTGCCCCAGCTCCCCGCAGTGATGTGTACGAAGTGCCCAGCTCCGGCGAGTCTGGGTCCGAGTCTGACTCCGACTCCAGCAGTGACGATGATAGCAGCAGCGACAGTGAGTCGGGCGACATTATGCCCGATGGCCATTCTGTCAAACTGCGCAAGCCCCGGTCTCAGCTATCCAATTAAGATGCACGTTTTGCTTTTTAAGATATCCTATTTGTTTCGCATGCATACGATGCCCCGCTTTGTTTCCCTGTCCACATCGAAATAACCCTGTACATTGTTTTCACCGGTGTATGTATGATATTGAACCAATGCTGAACCCGAAATGTAATTTTCATTTCAATTGCATTTGTATTTCTATACAATGTAAATGGTACATATGCACATATCGATTCTATACTACCTCGGCCGTTTGGGTTCAAATGGGTGTATTTGGCTGATAATAGCCGGCCTTAATTTCCGGCTCGGATATATCTTCTGGAAACCCACAGGACCAACCAATCCGATGACCATTCATGACCAGTAATGGCAATTCTATGGCTTTTTGGCCACTCGCCTACGGGGTGATTCCATAGGACATCATCTTGATGTTACTTTGCCATTGCTCCAATTTTGGCATAACCAAATCTTTCAACAATTGGAGCAAACAATCATACATTAGCAGGATCAACAGTTAGTTGATCAGCCCCCTCGATACTCATTCTCATTCGAACTGTTATTTTGCGTTGGCGATCGACAACTACTCCCAACCATGGCGGCCGTAATGCCCAGGTAAGTATCGCCACCGTACACAGCGAGCCTCACTCTAATGTAACACAGCACGGCATACACGCCGCACCCTAGCAAAATGATGAAAGCAGCGCAGTGGATGGGCCCACAAAACGTCGAAGTGGGAGTCGTACCCAAGCCGAAGCTCACAGACCCCAGCGACGCCCTCGTCCAAATCACCCACTGCACGATCTCCGGCTCCGACATCCACCTCTACGAGGGCGAGCTCAAAGACGCAATGGAAAAAGGCGACATCCTCGGCCAAGAAGCCATCGGCCTTGTCGAAGAAGTCGGGCCGAAGGTCAACACCCTCAAACCCGGCGACCGGGTTATCATCCTACCGGTGATCTCATGTGGTAGCTGCGAGTATTGCCAGCGACAGGAGTACTCACTCTGCGACAACACAAACCCATCCAAGGAAATGGAAGCCGCGTACGGGCACCGTCTCGGCGGGAAGCTGGGCTACAGCCGGCTCTGTGGCGGGTATCCAGGCGACCAGGCGGAGTACTGCCGCGTGCCGCATGCAGACCTGACGTGTGTCAAGGCGCCGGATAATATCGATGCGCGGCAATTGCTGGGTTTGACGAACGTCGTCACCACGGCGTGGCATGCGCTGGAGCTGGCTGAGGTGCAGGATGGTGATGTGGTGGGTGTGTGGGGTTGTGGGCCTATTGGACTCGCTGCACAGCGACTGGCGAAGCTCCGTGGGGCGAAGAGAGTCTATGCCATGGATAAGGATGCGCAGAGACTGCGGATTGCGGAGGATTTTGGCATGATCCCTGTTGATGTGGATGGTCATCCGGATGTGGCTGAGTACATTCTGTCGATTCAGGACCATGGCCTTGATCGGTCCATTGAAGCGAGTGGGTACCGTAGTTCGCAGAAACCCGAGTATCCGGCTATGCGGGCGATCGGGCTCGAGAGGGATAGTAGTGATACCTTATCGGCGATCATCAAGGCAACCCGCAAGGGTGGGAATGTGGCATTGGTTGGGGATTTCTTTTTTACGACGCATGATTTCCCGATTGGGCCTTTGATGCAGAAAGCGCTGACAGTCCGTGGTGGTCAAACGTGGCCGCAAAAGGTAGGTTGGGTTCTTTTCTTCCAGTTTGGATTAATATCTTACCAAGTGCAGTATTATCCGTTCTTAATGGATCTAGTGGTGCAAGGCAAACTCGATACATCGTGGATGTTCACGTATGTGGATGAATTCGAGAACATCGCGGAGATGTACGAAAAGTTCTCGCAGCACGAGGTCCCAGGCAAACTGAAAGTGTGCTTAGTGACGGCCTTTGGACGCAGTGAACAAATGCAATCCTACAGCGACCTGCCTGTCCATCGCGGGTTGGGCTCTGATAGTGAAGAGTAGTCAGCATACATATGTAGTCAGCAAAAACCTTGGAAAACCTTAAGAATCTCCAGATATAAATAAGCGTGGGCCCCGCGGGGATGGGCAACTCCACAATTCTTCATCATGTTCCCCCCACCACCCATTGCACTCGATTGGAATAACATAGGCTTTAAAGTCCGGGATGGTAAGCAATTGCCCTTTAGTAAACCACAGTAGGTTCTTATTTATACCAGGCAACGGCCATGTCGAAATCCACTTCTCTCATAGCGGTGAGAACAAATGGTCAGCACCGCAATTCGTCGCCTCGCCCTTCCTACCAATACACGGGATGGCGCCGGGCCTGAACTACGGCCAGCAAGTCTACGAAGGCCTCAAAGCCTTCCGCCACCCCGCCAATGACAAGATAACCATCTTTCGTCCCGACCGCAACGCCAAGCGTATGCAGTACTCCGCTGAAGTAGTCTCCATCCCTCCTGTTCCGGAGGATCTGTTTATCGAGTGTGTGCGGTTAGCAGTCGGTGCAAACGCCGAGTATGTACCACCCCACGATTCCGGCGCCGCTATGTATGTTCGACCCATGCTCTTCGGCTCATCTGCGCAGCTGGGGCTGAGTCCGCCGGATGGGTATACGCTGGCGGTATTTGCTATGCCGACTGGCGTGTACCACGGGGCTAGCGCGGTTGAAGCGCTGATCTTGGAGGACTTTGATCGCTGTGCACCATATGGAACTGGTGCTGCTAAGGTTGGTGGAAATTATGCGCCTGTGTTGCGGCACAGTGACCGGGCGCGGCGGGAAGGGTTTGGGATTACCCTTCATTTGGATAGTGCGACCCGCACTGAGGTCGACGAGTTCTCGACTTCTGCTTTCATTGGAGTGAAGCGTGATGGAGATCAGGTCACTGTGATCCAGCCGGATAGCCAGAATGCGATTGACTCGGTTACGGCAGCGTCGGTGCTGGAAATTGCCCGCACCCTGGGTTATCGGGTGGAGAAGAGGCGGGTTGCTTATGAGGAACTGCGAGAGTTCGATGAGGTTATTGCTGCTGGTACGGCGGCGGCTTTGGTGCCTGTGGGTAGTATTACGATGCAATCCCGTGGTGATAAGTTTGAGTACCGTTGCGGTGCGCAGAAGGAGGGTGGTGAGGTTTGCGTTAAGTTGCTGCAAACCCTTCGTGGTATACAATCTGGAACTGTCGAGGATACCTTGGGTTGGAACTATGAGGTGCAGGCACCGCCGAAGGGATGGACACAGCAAGAGCAGGAGGAGGTCGAGCTGAGTGGTGCCAATGTCCCCTAAACAGGGGTTCATTCAACTAAAATACGCCTCAAATTTCGGTTTTATCTACTAAAAATAAAATAAATATTATGTTTTTACATCACTGAGATATATTCTCGTGCGTGAAAACTATATTGTGGAGTTTCTGTTCCACTTGATATATATGAATAGTCGGCCGCTTGTGCGGCCTTGTGATGTCTTTTTTTGGTATGTCTTTTTTTGGTAGTCTCTTCAGATATAAGATATAATGTACACTGATGTCCTGTATTTAAACCCTCAAAAGGAGGACTTGAGAAAATACTGCCTGAGGATTAGGGCTACAACTATGAAGATGCAAACCATGCAAAAAAGACCATCTAGGCCATGGAGATAGGGGAAATTCCCCCCTAATCACCGATACCTCCAGGGCTAGGTATTTACATGCATGCTCGGGGTCGGGATGCATACTCCGCGTGGATCCACGTGGGCCCAATTCTCGATGTAAAACTCGTGCCTTTTGAAATTGGAGAGCTTAGATCAGCACTAATATCTATTTATGCACTCTGTAGTTAGTTACTGTGTCATAATAATAGGGGTCCTGAGCGGGATCCTGAACGGAAGCGCAGGTACGGAGTAACTGGGACATTTGATGGGCATGCAGTATGATGCAACCAAACTTGCTTTTTTTATTTATATTTTTTGTACACAATTATCGATCAGATTGGAACAAAAGTTGTTGATACCAATAATAGGTTGTCACATCCTGGGTAGAGAGTCAGGTAAAAGACTTCGCTCGGCGAAACGGAGTCCGTTCCTCCGTTATACACCGGAAAGCCTCCACCCCGATGAAAGAAAGATGGATAACTCCGGTGGCCTTGTTGTCCGTTCACCGATGAAATGGTTTTGATTAAAAGGGTCGGGTACGCTCGATGCCTGTTCCCAAAGTTTAGACTTCTACAATTACACACACTAGTCTACTCCTCGCTATGGAGAAGGACTATGATGAGCCCGAGTTCGCTCCAATCACGGAGCGAATTGGAACTGTACTAGAGGAGCGAGAACAACAAACCCTGACTCGCATTGCCTCCAGTAAACTTGGCCAACAGCTTTCAAGATCGGCAAGCAAGAAAGAAGGTGTCGCCCCCTACCTCGATCCTACCAATCCCCAATTTGATCATCGCCGATGGGCGCAAATGGTGTTGGACCAGGTCAACGATTCAGGCATCGATATCCCCCACCAAGGCGTCGTCTTCTCCAATCTATGCGTGAGCGGTTCCGGCTCCGCTCTACAATACCAGGAAACCCTCACATCCAGTTTGAAAGTGCCCTTCCGGGCTGCGACTCGAGCTTTGACTGGGCGTACCTCACCACCAAGACAAATTCTCCGCAACTTCGATGGCTTACTCCAGGGGGGAGAACTCCTTCTTGTCCTGGGTCGACCAGGTAGTGGATGTACGACATTCCTGAAGACTATCTGTGGGCACCTTGGGGGGTTGACCGTGGAGCCCGAAAGTACACTCCATTACAAAGGAGTTGCATTTGACCATATGATTAAACATCACCGAGGAGAGGTCGCATACAACAAGGAGGTCGACCTGCATTTCCCTCACTTAACTGTGGGCCAGACCCTCACATTTGCCGCCCATGCTCGTGCCCCCCACCAACGTCTGGAGGGTGTGACTCGCAATGAATATGTTGAGACAATCACTCAGGTGGTTCTTTCCGTGTTTGGGCTGTCCCACACCTACAACACCAAGGTGGGCAGCGACTACGTACGTGGTGTGAGCGGAGGCGAGAGAAAGCGAGTCAGTATTGCCGAGATGTTTCTGGCTCGCTGTCGCATCGGAGCATGGGACAACAGCACCCGTGGTCTGGATGCTGCGTCCGCTCTAAAATTTGTGAAATCACTACGACTTTCCGCTGATATGGGGCAATCCTGCCATGCCATCGCAGCCTACCAAGCATCGCAGTCAATGTATGATCTTTTCGACAAGGTGGTCCTCCTATACGAGGGATACCAGATCTACTATGGACCTAGGGAGCGAGCAGTACCCTATTTCCAAGACATGGGCTGGGAGAGACCTGAACGCCAAGTTAGTGGTGACTTTTTGACTGCCATCACTAACCCAGCAGAACGCATGGCACGGCCTGGCATGGAGGGCAAGGTTCCCCGCACAGCGAAGGAGTTTTCCGAGTACTGGAAAAAGAGCCCGGAGTATCAGCTCTTGCACAAGGATATTGCAAACTTCGAAAGTGAACATCCGCCAAATGGAAATGACGCGAAAAGACTCATGGAAAGCCACGAAGAGCAGCAAGCCCGCCACACTCGAGCTCGTAGCCCTTTCCTACTCTCCATCCCTATGCAGGTGCGGCTTTGCATGCATAGAGCCTACCAGCGAATGCTTCAAGATCTCCCAACAGCTATGGCACCGGGTGTTGTTCAGATCATTCTATCTCTGATTCTTGGATCCATCTTCTACAATACCCCGGACTCACCCAGTTTCTTCTTTCAAAAGGGTGCAGTGATGTACTTTGCTGTGCTTATGAACGCCCTCCTTACGATCAACGAAATCCTTCAACTCTATGCTCAGCGCCCTGTTGTCGAAAAACAAGCTGGATATGCATTTGTCCACCCGTTCACTGAATCACTAGCCACCCTCGTGGTCGATCTACCGATCAAGATCATACGAATCTCAATCTTCACAGTTGTCCTCTACTTTATGACAAACCTGCGGCGCGAAGCGGGAGCTTTCTTCACCCACTACCTGTTCTTGCTCACTGCAGTCCTGGCCATGTCTGGCCTGTTCCGCAGCATCGGTGCATTGACCAAAACTGTTGGGCACGCCATGGCGATTGCTGGTGTGCTTGTGCTCTGCATTGTTGTTTATACCGGGTTTACTCTGCCGCAGCCGTACATGCATCCGTGGCTTTCGTGGATCCGGTGGATCAACCCGATCTACTATACCTTCGAAGCGCTCGTAGCCAATGAATTTCATGGTCGAACATTTGACTGTTCCGCCTTTATCCCAAATTATGGAACTGGCACGTCCTTTATCTGCTCCACTGTCGGTGCCATCGCCGGTCAGCGAACTGTATCGGGGGATGCTTTCATCGAGAAGAACTATGAGTACAAGCATTCTCATCTGTGGCGGAACTACGGAATTCTTATCGCCTTCTTTATCGCCCTCAATGCCCTCTACTTGATTGCCACGGAGTACATCACTGATGACAAGTCAAAGGCCGAAGCCTTGGTCTTCCGCCCTGGACATGCACCCAAGTACCTACAGGAAGGTCACAGCATCGAGCTTGGAATCCAGGAGGTCAACAAGCTGGAACTGCAGAGAACCAATGACACCATCCACCTACCGGAGCAAAAGGATATTCTCTCATGGAACTCTCTCAACTACGACATCCCGGTGAAGGAGGGCACCCGACGGCTCTTGGACAATGTCAATGGCTGGGTCAAACCTGGCAGCTTGACTGCCTTGATGGGTGTTTCTGGAGCTGGAAAGACAACACTTCTTGATGTTCTTGCGCAGAGAGTCTCTATTGGCGTTGTCTCTGGTGATATCTTCGTGAACGGCAAGACCCTTGCGGCAAACTTCCCTCGTCGGACTGGATACGTGCAACAACAAGATCTTCATCTGGACAGCACCACAGTGAGAGAAGCCTTGCGTTTCAGTGCTATGCTTCGTCAGCCCCAAAAGGTTACCAAGCAAGAGAAATATGAGTACGTGGAACAAGTTATCCAAGTCCTTGGCATGGAAGATTTCGCCGAAGCGGTCGTGGGAAGCCTAGGAGAGGGTCTCAACGTCGAGCAAAGGAAGCTGCTTAGCATTGGTGTTGAACTTGCTGCAAAGCCTACCTTGCTTATTTTCCTTGACGAACCTACCAGCGGTCTCGACTCCCAGAGCTCTTGGACTATTTGTCAGTTCCTCAGAAGACTTGCAGATCACGGCCAGGCTGTCCTCGCGACAATCCACCAGCCTAGCGCGCAGTTGTTCCAGACCTTCGATCGTTTGCTTTTCCTTGCCAAGGGAGGAAAAACTGTCTACTTTGGTGACATCGGAAACCAATCATCCACTCTTCTAAACTACTTCGAGCACAATGGTGCCCGACCATGTGAGCAACTCGAGAACCCCGCTGAATACATACTGGAAATGGTTGCCGGCGATACTTGCCCAATAGACTGGGTTGAAGCCTGGAACAAAAGCCCAGAGTATGAAGAGGTACTTGCTGAGGTCGAACGACTTCATCACGCCCGCAAGCCGTCTATTCATCAACCTTCCCTGGACGAGTCTGACAAGTTTGACGACGACAACTCTGAGTTCGCCATGCCACTCAGCAGCCAGCTGTACTATGTCCTTACACGAGTCTTCCAACAGTACTACCGTCAGCCGGAATACGTCTACTCCAAGTTCATTCTGGGATGTGTGTCTGGTTTATTCCTCGGCTTCTCGTTCTGGAAAGCAGACAACAGCCAACAAGGCTTCCAAAACGTGCTCTTCAGTATTTTCCTCCTGTGCACAATTTTCAACACCCTTGTGAACCAGATCATGCCCAAATTCGTCGTCCAGCGCTCCCTCTACGAAGTCCGCGAACGCCCATCCCGCATCTACTCTTGGAAAGTCTTCATCCTTTCCCAAATGCTCGTCGAAGTCCCCTTCCAAGTGTGCCTTGGCATCTGCTCCTGGGCCTGCTTCTACTGGTCCGTCCTCGGCACCGACCAAGACTCCGAGCGCCGCTCCCTGATCATGCTCTTCATCGTACAATTCTACATCTACGCCGCGAGCATGGCACAGCTAGTCGTCTGTGCAATCCCGGAGCCCGCACTCGCAGCTATGGTTGCTACGATGATGTTCGGTCTTTCCTTCATCTTCAACGGCGTAATGCAGCCGCCCGATGATCTCCCCCGCTTCTGGATCTTCATGTACCGCGTCTCGCCGTTTACCTATTACATCAGCGGTATCGGGGCTACAGCGCTCCATGGCCGTCCGGTCGAGTGTAATGCCGCGGAGATGAGTGTCTTTGATCCGCCTGTTGGTCAGACCTGCTTCCAGTATATGGAGAAATACCTCGCTACTGCACCCGGAAAGCTTGCTAATTACAATGCGACGTCCGGTTGTGAGTACTGCTCTCTCAGCTCGGCAGATCAGTATCTAGCTGGGAGGAAGATTGAGTGGGATGATCGCTGGAGAAACTATGGAATCTTCTGGTGCTATTTCATTTTCAATGTCATTGCTGCTATTACGCTCTATTACCTCTTCAGGGTGCGGGGCTCCAAGGCTAAGACAAAGAAGGCTTGATTGGTCCAGTTGGTAGATGGTTCCATGAGGTTTTGCGTTTTGTTTGGTGTTTTATTGGTCTTCTTTGGTCTCTCTCTCTATTCGAGAGTTTTGTTCTTGTACATTTGCTGCATATTTTGATACCTGGCTCATTTACACATAGACGCCGATAAAAGGGATTGCCTCAAGATATATAATAAATTGTCGCATTTCCTTCTTTTGCTTTTGTTCATTCGCAACATGTACGATCGGTAGACATCGTCCTTTGTTGCTTTTCTTCATGTCTTGAAGTCAGAGAAGATTTAGCCATTCAACAACACAAGAATAGTCAACCGCTCATGCGGCCTCTGTCCTTGTCGACGTAAGAATGTAATAATCTGATATATTATATGTAAGAACACTCTGATGTGCTTCGTGGATCTCCTTTTAGATGGCTTTCTAGATGCATTTTTGGACGTCTTCAGATGTCTACGAAGGCGGCAAAAAGCACAAACCACATAGAGGAGGGTTCTATGTATAAATAGCGAGAAGGATTGACTTAACGTTTTTTCTCTTTAGATTAGATACCTGAGTCTAGAATATTCATAAGGCTCAAATCTTGTCTCTCATTCTTTCATGCTGAATATTTTTGGTTGTTCTCCCAGTGTTTGAAATCCAACGGAACCATCTGTTCTGTGTCTCAGATGATCTATATATACCACCTATTTCCTCCTCCATTTCCCGCTTTGTCCATCACTCCAGCATCGAGCAGTTCGCAATTTTACCCTTCTCAACCACATCAACCGCCTTCATCCCAGACTCCTGATCAGTCCCAACCCGGCCAAAATGAACGAGCATTGCGTTCCCCGAACCCAAATCCCGAGCGTCTCTACCGGGTGCAGCACGACAAATCCTTCACAAAGGACGTGGAAGAGGGGCTAGTTGCAGCTGACATGCAAACTTTCACCGAGGACACATACGAATTTGCCATTGCCCTTGAGAACCACATCAACGGGTTCAAGGAGGAAGGCAGAAGCATGTTCATCTCAACTTTTGCCAGCAAGGCTCAGGCCGAAGACTGGATGTGTCGCAACTGGCGTTTGTATGGCGAAGGAGCTCAAATATTGGAGATTGAAACCTGTCACCTTGGTCATGGGTACGTGTACCGCGCCGGCGAAGTGGCTCACACTCTAGAGGTAGACACCTCAGAGACCACATACAAAGACCTTCACAATGAGTATTTGATCTTGCACTTTGTTCCTGCTCGCGCTATCATCGCTCGGCGGGCTCGGATGATAACCCATGACTTGGACAACAACTCGGATCCCATGGGGACGCCGGTCTCTACAGGAAGCAACAACTCATATGCGACGATGGAGGCGTCACAATCGCCACCACTTCTACCGGCGGCTGGCCAGCCATCTTCTGCACATCGGCGGCTGAAGACACAGGACAGAGCAAAATTCGTTAGGTCAGCCCGAATCAGAGAGTCTTACCCATCTTCGCGCCCTTCAAACTCTGGGCAAGCCCCCTAGGTTCATTCTCTGCCGCCTCATTTATAGGTCAGGCGGATCTACATCTAGTTACCTAACTATGAGGTTACCTATAGAAGCTTATTTTCTTTTTCTTATCCAGAATTTAATTTCAGTGTTTCCTTTGATCTGTTTTATAGTTCGCTTGCTGGTTTCTTTCCCTGGATACATAGACTGAATTCAAGTATCAATACAAATCCCAGCGTCCCGCCATTTCTTACAAAATCAAAATAAAGAGAGTCGCCGTACTATGCCTAAGACATCCCAAACTAAACCGCCAACGCATATAAGGTATACCCATAATACAATCCCATAACCTTGCGCAGAAACATTTAGAAGCATAAGCAAGTGAGGGGTTACGTCACCTCCGTCACCTCATCAGTCTTCAGCCATACCAACACTCGTTTTTATTTTCCAACTCTATATGACCCCCAGAGAGTGAATGGATTTACTCTAATTAGGGTCTAACTAAGCCTTCTTGACAAGCACACCCTGAATCCTAGGCATCAAACTAAACGGTTCTTCGGGTTCTTCGATCTCTTGTGGATTTTCCCACTCTCCACTGTTGAGAATGTCCGTCAATACATTCCTGTTCAAATGGCATCCGACAAATGTGCTCCATGCAGGATTACAGCAAGCTAAGGTTTCTTCATGTTAGCCGGTCTGCATCACTGAAAAAGGAAATGTTGGCAGAGACAGGCATACCTTGCGCTACAGTCGTCAAACGGTCTCTACTCCATCCATGTTCCCAGAATATGAACTTGCCCCCAGGCTTGAGCAACTTCCAAACCTCCTTCATCACGTTCCTCGGGTCGTTTACGGCACATAGAACTTGGATGCATAACACAGTATCCAAGCTTCCCTCCGTGATTCCCTCTTCTCTTAGAACATCGCTATCTTCAACGCCACAAACTATAAGCTTATACCTATCCCGCAGGCCATGCTTGTCCAACTTCGCATCTATAGCGTCTTTGAAGTGGGGATTAGGTTCAATGCCATAGATGTGTTTGACAACAGAGGTATCATAGCGATGAATCTGATTGCCTGGCCCAGGGCCCAGTTCGAGAACAACGCCGGTAGCGGCTTGTACGAGCGAGGGAACAATGGTTGTGTCTTCGTAAGCAATAAAATTGCCAGCTGCGTATAATGGTCAGGCTACTCCGCATACGAGCTGAATGAGGGAAGATATGGCGAGTGGGTTAGGTTACAAGTTATACTAAGCAAGCTTGCTGAAGCGGTATCTCGAATTTGTCGCGGGCGGCTAAGTGCTGCGAGGCCATCTCGACGAACCGCTTCTGTCAAAGCTTTCCAGTGCACTGTACGGGAAAGGATGGTTAGTAGTCTTGTGGTAATTGGTGGGGGTGACAAAGACTTACAGCAAATAGAGAACCAGATCATACCCCATAGACGGAGAATGGAAGAAATGCGACCAGGTTTGGGGGACATGATTGTCTACGTGAGACGGCAATGAATGATGTCGAAGCTTTTTTTGAGAGCGGCCACAAAAGCGAAGGAGACGATCAAGACTTTCGTAGAATAGGGGCAAAATTTGCGGGGAGAAAACAAAAGTTGGATGTTGGGCGAGTCGGTCGTGTATTATTTATAGTCAGAGGCCGTGTTGGTTTAATATCAACCTATGCTAGTTTAACTCTAGCTTAAGTTGGGTCTCACAGACCGATCCCGGTCGCGCACGGCTTAGGGCTCACGGGGGGCCGAAAGTATCCACAGTGGAGTGCGCCGAATAGAGCGAGGGGACAGACTTCGCTTGCGATGATCTGCTAATCAGGGCCTATGGCGTAATCTCACCTGTTACGGAGAGGGTAAGCTTAGCGAAAAACCCAAAAGCCGAAATGATAAGATAGTGTGAGATAGTTCAAGGTATTGCGGATACCTTGTATCTTGTCGCTCGGACCAAACACTGTGCAAATTTCATCACAGTCGCCTTTACAAATTAGCTGGTAGACCAAGGTCTGCAAAAATGACCATGCCTTATGAATCAGACGTAGAGTTCTGCCGTCAAAGCGACAATCATGAAGCTATGGGAAGGCGCGATGATGCCTGAGCGGAGATTTCCTCATTCGCTCCTATCTAGCTGTTTTGCACCTAGAGTTATTGTATACCAAGTGTCCCTCAAGGAGGAGCTCTATAGCACGGCTCATAGTGGATATGCATCTTGGGGGTTGTCGGTTGAATGCTGTTTTGTGTATATGAATGTAGCGGATAGGGAACGGTAGACTGTATCTACTCCATCAACAGGGAAAAATATATAGTAAAGAGAGCACATGCTAGCAAGCTACATAGAAAATACTGTGGAGGTTGTATCTGGGGCAGATAATCTGGGGTAGATCATCTGTGTCACCCCGAAAGGCCCGAGCTGTCACCATCACCACGTGGGAAGTTTAAACAAAAGCGGAGATTATTGATATGTACTTTATTAATAGTTACATAGTATTTTCGGGGTGTTCGTGGTGTACAGTAAAATGCTAGAGGAATGTAGAGACCTCGGCCGCATGCGGTGTTATTTCTTTGTTCCCCTCAATAAGAGAAGGCCAAGAAACGACTACTCGTGATCTAATCGTTTAATCCTTTTAACTTGTGACCATTCCAATTTGAGAATTAGCGAGGCCAAGCCGTTGGAAGGATCCGTGGTACTTTAAGTCTTATTGGCCCCTCCCGAGGTCGTATTAGCGCAGGCTGAACTCTCACTTTCATTTTATCTTCTCCATCTTGACTTACAAAATCCCCTTCCTCTCTGCCTAAGCTGGATATTATCCAGCATGGCGACCGCCAACGCGACCGCTACGGCTACGGCCAACAGCACTCATGTAGTCAGTCCGCAGGGTGGCATCCTCGAAGGTGGCAACCCAACCCATTATGACCCCAAGAACCCACTGGTGCTGTTTATTATTCAGGTAACTATGTCGTCATCCGATAAAAATGAGATTCAACTGACAAGCAGGCTGTGATAATTATCGTGCTATGCCGCCTGATCCACTGGCCCCTCTCAAAGCTTCGTCAACCCCGAGTGATCGCAGAGGTTATCGGGGGAATTGTTCTGGGCCCATCGGTAATGGGTCGCATCCCCGGATTTACCGACGCCATTTTCCCGACCGCCAGCATTCCCAGCCTCAATGTAGTCGCCAATCTGGGCCTGATTCTCTTCCTATTCTTGGTCGGTGTCGAGACCGACCTCCGATTCCTGGTCAGTAATTGGCGGATCGCTTTGAGCGTGTCCGCTGCGGGCATGATCTTGCCATTCGGGTTGGGTTGTGCCATCTCGTATGGTCTCTATCATGAGTTCCACGATGATGGTAGCACCAGGCCCATCGCCTTCGGCACCTATCTCCTGTTCATCGGTATCGCCATGGCCATCACGGCCTTCCCCGTGCTGTGTCGTATCCTCACTGAGCTGAAGCTGCTCTCAACCCGGGTCGGTGTTATCGTGCTGTCCGCCGGTGTTGGTAATGATGTGGTGGGCTGGATCCTGCTTGCACTGTGCGTCGCTCTTGTCAACGCGGGCAGTGGCATCACGGCTCTGTACGTACTGCTGGTCTGCGTTGCCTACATGTTGTTTTTGGCTTTCGCTTTCCGCCCGCTCTTCCTTCGCTTCCTCGAGAAAACAGGAAGCCTACAAAAGGGACCCAGCCAGTCGGTGGTCGCCCTGACATTGCTTATTGCTCTGGCTTCGGCCTTCTTCACACAGGTTATTGGTGTTCACGCCATTTTTGGAGGGTTTGTTATCGGCTTGATCTGCCCGCACGAAGGCGGCTTTGCCATCAAGCTCACTGAGAAAATTGAGGATTTGGTCGCTGTCATTTTCCTGCCACTTTATTTCACCCTGTCTGGTCTAAGTACCAATCTGGGCCTCCTTGACTCTGGAATCGTGTGGGGTTATGTGGTTGGTGTAATTGCCATCGCGTTCATTGCGAAAGTCACCGGAGGTGCTGTTGCGTCGCGGCTCTGTGGCCTTTTATGGCGTGAAAGCTTCTCAATCGGCGTGTTAATGAGTTGCAAGGGTTTGGTGGAACTGATTGTGCTGGTAAGTACTAATCCTGCGCGAAGTTCCCCGATTGAGAATGTAGGCTAATTCAACTACCACAGAACATTGGCCTGCAAGCCAAGATTTTGAGCACTCGCACGTTTACGATTTTCGTTGTGATGGCCTTGGTCACCACATTCCTTACCACTCCATTAACCACTTTGTTGTATCCAAGGTGGTACCAGGTCAAAGTCGAGCGATGGAGACGCGGGGAAATCGACTGGGAAGGCAACCCTCTCCAGCGCGATAACCGCAGTGACAGCGTCGCCCTTGCCAAGGATCAGTTGAAGACTGTCCCAGTGCGAAAGCTCCTAGTCTACCTTCGTCTCGATGGTCTTTCAGGTGTGTGTACTGTAGCAGCCCTCCTCAGCTCAAAGCGACGTGCATCCGTGTCATCACGCATTCACCCCACAAAGAAGCCAAAGCAAACCGAGGAAGCTGTTGAAGATCCTATTACCCCAGAAGAGGAAGAAGACACCACCACACTTAAGGTCCATGGTGTTAGGTTAATGGAATTGACCGACCGTCATTCCAGTGTCATGAAGGTGACTGCTGCGGGCCAGCACGCGCTGTGGGATCCGGTGGTCAACACCTTCCGCGCCTTCGGAGACTGGCATGATCTCTCGCTCATGGCTGGTGTGTCCGTCGTTCCCGAACACTCTTACGCAGACACCGTCATTGGCATGGCGCAGCAGGACTCCGCCGATATGCTACTTCTCCCCTGGAGTGAGACCGGAACACTGGCCGATCACCATAACGGGCTAGAGATCGACGACGCGAATCGTTTTTCCAATGGCGCCTACACAAGCTTCGTTTCTGATATCCTAGGGCGGGTCCCGGGCCACGTCGGCATCCTAATCGAATACAGTCCAGCCTCGGCCTCATCAAAGCGACCCGTGATCTCACGCACCGGCAGCGGTATGAGCATTCAGGGCTCCATCTTCGCCCGCCAGCCAACCGGCAGCCGCTCCCACCATATTGTCCTGCCATTCTTCGGCGGTGATGACGATCGCTTCGCTCTTCGGATGGTCATGCAGCTCGCTCAGAATGACCAGGTCACTGCGACTGTTATTCAACTTGGCGGATTGGGCAGTGATGGCACCAAAACAGCCGTGGCGACTGTAGTCTCTGCCTCGAGCTCAAGTTCGCCCCCCGCATCCAGCTCTCAATCGGACATGATCTTCTTCGAGACACTCCGTGATTCAGTGCCTGAGGAACTTCAAGAGCGCGTCGTCTTCCACCAACCAGCTGCCCACGAGACCATCACCGACGCAGTCCAAATGGCCGTCGTATTTGTGCGTGAAGAACTTAACCAGACTTCCAACAAGGCGAACAATATAGTCATCGTTGGTCGTCGTAGTATCTCGTCTGAGATCGAGCTGGGTCTTTCGGATGACGGTATTGGCCATGATACCCGCCGGGCTCTGGGAGCCGTCGGTACTGCGATGGTACAACCTGAGAGTAAGATTTACGGCAGTGTGTTGGTGCTGCAGGCTGGTACCGACACTGGGTTGGCCGATTACTATCGATGAACATATTTTGAGATCTCACTTGGAGCAATTGTGAACATTTGGGAGGAGAGTTAATTTGTTCGTATGGATTTTTGGAAACATACTATATCACCTGTAAAGATGTAGAGATTATCGACATCTATGTGACCAAGTAGAACACCGGCGCTTTATCAAAACAAACCCAATCAAAAGTCAAAACCAAACCGCCACAGACCAAAATGCGTTACCATGGATTCGGCAGAACACCAGATGAAGTAGATGTAGAATAGCCGGAGCTCCTCCCTTCCCAAAGCCACGGCGGACTGAACTGGAGACGATCCCGCATCGGCCACACCGGATTCGGAACCCGATCTCCATCCGACGGAACCGAGCTAGTCTCGTTGATCTCCCGCGCGCTAGAGTGTATTTGCTGACTGTCGGAGGAGCCACCGCGCGCAATCGCGATCAGCTTACCAAGGATAGCATATTCAAGCTTCAACTTAATACTATAAGCGACAGGCTTGAACATGACCTGCACGGCATAGTAGCCGACATATTCGATGACGACGACCGATACATCCAACACAAGGATAAGGATATTGATAACCAGCAACTGGTTAAGAATTCCATGAGGACGACCTTCGGGCCTGAGATGAAGCAACTTAACCGTCTCCCAGACGTAGATGCTGGATATAACTAATTCCTGCACGCAGAAACCGACGAGCTGAACGCGCTCCATGACATCGTACGCGCGGGCCCAGTGACTGGTCGGTTGAGCAACAGTCCCGTACAAAAAGACCGTGGTCGGGACATGGAAAATGAAAGCGTCAATACAGATCATCCACAGCACACCGCGCAGCAGCTTCCGATTCTGCAGCACTAGATGCAGCCGCGACCACAAAACGACCGACTGGCCGGTGACCATGCCGTACCAGCCTATTATGATGAGGGTCACACATAGAAAGGGAGTGACGCCGGTCCGGAAGAAGAGAAGGACGAAGCCGAGGCAGTATGGTATGATGCAGACGGAGGAGATGAGTAGGCTCCAGAAGTAGGTGCCGTTCCAGCGTTTGAAGGAGAAGAAGCAGAGGATAATGAGCTCGATGACGTTGTACCAGGCTAGTGCAGCGAAGGCGGTAAAGATGCCTGTGCTAGCTATGTCGGATGGACCGTAGCCGTTAACGAAGGAGTTTGAAATGCTGCTGGCGATTCGGGTGGCCATTGGTGGTGGACATTGCTGGTTGTGCCCTGGGGTACGGAGTAGTTGGATAGGGGACAGAGATATAGGGGGTATGAAGGAATAAACTATTAATTTTTTCGTAGTGCCGAGCTGGATAAGGTTCATTCAAGGTGTGCACCTGGACAGTGGCGGCAGAAGCTTAGACTCTATCGGCGGCGAATGGAGAGTATAGACCTGATTCAATGACAGCTCCTTGGGTCCGCGGGGAAATTGGCGAAATCAGACTGGACGAGGGAGAGATGGGGATGTTCCCGAGCCATGGGTTCATGTTCGGGGAGATTCGGTGGTAGCTTTGGAAGTTATACCTGAGTACGGACCTCGGGAGTAGCTACTCCGTACATATGTGTAGATATCAAACAGGGATGAACTCCCTTGGTTATTCCACCGCCATCGCATTATTGAACGGTGGCTTGATTTCTGTTCTCGGTTGTCGATCCCCCTTGCTTTCGGGATTGTATTTGAGAAACATGTTGTCCTAAGAACGAAGGCCAACATGAATTCAATATGAGCCCTCGGGACGACAAGGGTGAAATATAAGTACTTCGTATTGAATTGCAGGTCTTTGCAGACAAAATAATTGGTCTCAGAATATGAGCTTGTTCGCACCCGGCGCGTGATTGGTCACAAAGCTGGACGCTAGATCTGCCGTAATATGTAGGCCGAGCTGAGTTGCTGAGATCACTAGCATAACTGGGATAATTGGCAACACTAACATAACTAACATCACTGGCATGGGAGATCAAAAAATACCTCAAACCAGGTCCAGATCGGGGACAGGGACGACCAGATCGGACTCTTGACGTCACCAGATCTGAACTCAATCTCCGATCTCTAGATCGAATGACGTGGGATTCCCTTTTTAACTTTTGTTTTTCCTGGTATTGTCAGTAATGCAGAATATCCCTACTTGCCATTTTCGATCAATCTCGCGCCTGTTTCCTTGTAGCCAGTTGCGAGCCCAGCTTGTTCGCAACTTATCAGCTATGCCGGCAAAGAGGAAGGCCGCTGAACCGGCCGCTGAACACCCCAATGGTTCGCCCGCTAGTAAAAAGGGCCGTGTTGACTTGCACCAACCGCACCCAAACGCCAAGCAAACCGAGGATTTCGGCATAGTCCTACGCCAATTCTATCCACCGGAGATGAGCAACGAGCGCTGCCAAGCATACACCGATGGCGCGCTGGAACGCCCAATTGAAACACTACAGAAAGCTTGCCGGGAAACCGCCGACAAGCGCAGGTCGATCAACATGGGTAGTGCCGTGGTACATTGGTTTAAGAGCGATCTCCGGCTTCATGACAACAGGGCGCTGCACGCGGCCTACCAATTTGCGAAAGAGCACCAGGTTCCGTTGATCGGTCTTTACATCGTCTCCCCCGAAGATTGGATTGCCCATTTGACTAGTCCCGCTCGAGTGGACTTCACTCTGCGCACCCTCAAGCGATTGCAACTGGACCTGGGGGAGTTGGATATTCCTTTGCACATGGAAATACAGGAGAAACGAAAGACGATCCCGAAACGGATTGTGGAGTTGTGTCAACAGTGGGGCGCGAAGAGCCTATATGCGAATATCGAGTATGAGGTAGACGAACTGCGCCGCGAAGCCAAGCTTGTTAGACTCTGCGCAGATAGCGATATCAATTTCACTCCCACTCATGATACCTGTGTGGTGACTCCGGGCGCGTTGGCTAGCCAGCAAGGGAAACAATATTCCGTTTATACTCCGTGGTATCGCTCCTGGTTGGCATTTTTGAAAGAGAACCCTGATTACCTCGAGGTTTCTGGGGAACCCGGGTCAAATCCAGGGAATGCGCGCCAACAATTGAAGGAGCTCTTCGATTGCCAGGTGCCAGCCGCACCTAAAACCCACATCTTGTCGGACGAAGATCAGAAACGGTTCGAGGGGTATTACCCAGCCGGTGAGCATGAAGCTCTCCAGCGACTGGACAACTTCCTTGAGGAGAAAGGTAAAAAGTATGAGGAGTTGCGGAGCATGTTGTCTGGTGAGCACACCTCGGTGTTGAGTCCCTATTTTGCATGCGGGGCGCTTAGCGCAAGGACTGCTGTCGGGACAGCGAAGAGGGCCAACAAAGGCCACCTCGATCGATATGACCCCGGTTACATGACCTGGATCAGCGAGCTGGCCTGGCGGGACTTCTACAAGCACGTCCTGGTGAACTGGCCCTTCATCTGGTGAGTGTCTGTCTTCCCAGACAACAGGTTTCCCATTCTAATGCAAAATTTTCCTGTAGTATGAACAAGTGCTTTAAGCCCGAGCATACCAACATTGAATGGGAGTACGACAAGGACCAATTCCAAGCGTGGTGCGATGGCAAGACAGGCTTCCCAATCGTCGACGCAGCGATGCGCCAGCTCCGTCACTGCGCGTGGATGCATAACCGCACGCGCATGGTGGTCTCATCGTTCCTTACCAAGGACCTGATGCTCGATTGGCGCCGTGGCGAACGCTACTTCATGGAGAATTTGATTGATGGCGATTTTGCGTCCAATCACGGCGGGTGGGGGTTTGGGTCCAGTACTGGCGTGGATCCGCAGCCATATTTTCGCGTCTTCAATCCTCTTCGCCAGAGTGAGCGATTCGACCCGGACGGAGAATATATTCGCCACTGGGTGCCGGAACTCCGCGAGGTGTCTGGCAAAGCCATCCACGAACCTTATGCGAAGGGGGCGGCGGCCATTGCACAGAAGAATGGCTACCCCAAGCCCATTGTAGACCACGCAGAGAGCAGAGATCGAGCTTTAGAGCGGTTCAAGAGTGTACTTAAGAAAGGATGAATGCTGAGCATGTAAATAATAATTAAGCGCGCATTATCATCAGTGTTGATCAGATGAGATGCACTGCGTACTGCCGCGTATAAAGACTAAAAAAGTTGGAGAAATTGCATGCCAAGTAGAATTGCGGGTGAGACATTAGTGCCTTTTCCCCGCAACATTCTGCTTTTCTCTTCGGCTTCTTTTTTCTACACTTGACTTCGCCAATGACGTCCCAAAATGGAGTCCCAGGGTGATCAGCCGTCCCCGACCCCCGACTCACTCGAGGTTGAGCTAGCAAATGGCAAGCGACGATGGCGCCGAAACAGAGTCGCCTGCGACTCATGCCATACTCGCCGCGTACGATGCGACCGTGCTTTCCCCTGCTCGAGATGTCTGCGCGGTGACATAAACTGCCAATTTACCCGCGAGCGTCGGAAACGAGGACGTATCGCGAGATCGAAGCCGACAAATGCAAATACGAATGTCGAGGATGAGACTGTCCAGGACCCCACTGAGGGGAAGCAGGCCAACGGGGAACACAACCGGGAGTCTCAGTCGCAGTCACAGCAGGTGTTGTCGCCGATTGACAATAATTCTCCTGCATCGACCTTCCAGCAGCGATCGCCGGCATCAAATGAGATCAGCGCCGTGTCGGCGCCAAGTGTCGAGGAACCTCGGTCTGTGCTGGATCGTCCACAACCGCAGCGGGCAGGGCCTGCCGCGAATGTCACAGAGGAATGGCTCTCAGCGGCACATCTGTCGCCAGACTCGTATGATCTGCTTGCAGGCACTGGTGGCAGTGACGCGCCTCTGCCTCGGTTGATGGACATTTGGAATCCGGTTGAGTTCGCTGCCCACCGACCGGTTCAACGTGCCCCTCCCATACCGTCTGTGTCGGGGGCGAACATTCCGAGACAAAGACAGCAATCGACCTCCCGGTCGCCATTGAAGTACCCTGTGTTGGAACCTCTCATGCCATTTCTCGAATCGAACCTCCCGCGTCGACTGGTGTGCGATCTGCTTGAACTCTACTTTACCAGTGCTTTCTCAACCCATATGCATCCTGTGTGCCATCATATTCATTGCTATGTACTGCGAAAGACTTCTTTTCTAAGTGTCGACCGCCCCAGGCCCACTAGTCCTGCCTTGCTGGCAAGTATGCTCTGGGTGGCTGCTGTGGATGACCGGGCCTTCTCTTTATCCATCTCACCATTACAAAGGAGAAAGATATGCCAATTTCTATGTGCGCTGATTATTCGCTTACTGCGACCTTTGATACATGTCTCGTTCAAAGACCATGATCCATCACCCGCTGAAAACACAACCACCCACGACTTTTCAGCCGGGGCTTACCGCCCATTCGAAGGAGTCGGTGATGACAAAGGGCTGGTAGGCCCTGCAGGATCTTTAGATGATGTCATTACCTATATCCATGTGGCCTCGATTATCTCATCTAGTGAACAAAAGGCTGCAAGTATGAGATGGTTCGTTGTACCCCTGTTCCTATCCCCTGTCCACTCCACTAACTCCACCCTAGGTGGCATGCGGCCTTTACACTAGCGCGAGAACTCAAATTGAACCAAGAGATGGAAATAACACCCAATGTCAACAGCATGAGCGATGGCTCAAGTCCGTCCTTCGGCTACAGTCTAGGCGGGTGGCCTGGTTCCCCAGGTGGGCTGGGTTTGGACTATCCGAATACCTCGCGCCCAAGTCTGAATTGCGTATGTGACAAGAACCATGATTTGCACAATGGTCCTATCACAGAAGAGCATCGTGAAGAGCGGCGCAGAACCTGGTGGCTGCTATATATCATGGACCGCCATCTCGCACTATGCTATAACCGTCCACTGGCCCTACTCGATGCCGAGAGCGAGGACCTGTTGCTTCCACTGGATGAAAGCTCCTGGCAAGCAGGAATAATTCACAGCAATAGTCCTCGTCCAGATGGGCCTCAATGCCCCCGCTCGGGCGACCAAAACAAACGTCGCATTTTCCCTAACTTCATTTGCCACGACCACTCTATTCTTGGCTTTTTTCTCCCACTCATGACGATCACTGGCGAACTCATCGATCTAAACCAGGCGCGAAACCACCCTACTCTTGGCGTTAGGCTTCAAGGAAAGGAGGCGTGGGAGGTTCACGTGTCAGAAGTGCTGCGCCAACTTGAGATCTACAAAGCTAGTCTGACAACCTTTGCCGCGGCGACGGCAGCAGACCCAGCGGCCTCATCAACGACTGCCTACACCCACAAACCAGAACCTGTTGATCCACAATTGTCTCAGGCCTATTCTTGGCATACCCAAACCGTGATTGCCTATTCCTCCTACCTAACCCACGTCCTCCATATCCTGCTCGTCGGAAAGTGGGACCCTGTCTCACTAATCGAAGACAAAGATTTCTGGACATCTTCCCCGGCCTTTGCATCGACCATCTCACACGCACTGGAAGCCGCCGATTCCGTGCAACAAATCCTCCGTTTCGATCCCGACGTTAGTTTCATGCCATACTTCTTCGGAATCCAGCTGCTACAAGGCAGTTTCCTCCTCCTACTTATCGTAGAGCGCCTACAAAAGGAAGCAGGCGAGGGTATACTCAATGCCTGCGAGACCATGATCCGAGCGACAGAATCGTGCGTGGTCACCCTCAACACGGAGTACCAGCGCAGCTTCCGGCAAGTTATGCGCTCAGCGGTCGCGCAGGCTCGCGGTCGCCCGGTTAACCCGAGTGAAATTCGGCATCGCCGAAAAGCGGTTCTCGCGCTTTACCGCTGGACGCGGAAGGGGACTGGCCTGGCCCTGTAAATACCCCATATGCAGGTCCGGCTAGAATTTCTCTGTTCCTGTCGATCTCTGCGCCCTACGGAGCTAAACCACGCGTCCTGCGGGTTTCCGTACCTGAGGGGAGCGGTGGGAACCCCTTTCCCCACGGTCGATCTCCGAAATCCTGGGGTTGACTGGATACTACTTTGATACGATTGCTCAGTGTATACTTCTGGAGCGGCGTTTTCTTTTGGATATATGGCGTTTTACTCGGTGAAAGCTTCTTTTCTATGTATTATTGAAGGCGGATAATTCTGCATGTATATAATTTACACCTTAGGGCATCTCGGTCCATTCTTCCATTGTGGCGTCGACAGTATCTTCCTCGTAACCTTATATTACCCTGGTTATACCTACATAGTAAATATGAAACAAAGCCAATGTCATTCCCCGTTCTCCTTTAGGTTCTTCATGTCCCAAGCGATTTTATTTTACCCGCTTAACGGCGGGGTCTCGCTTAAATTCTCGATGCCGAAATACAGGAATTCACCGATTGGACAACCACCTCCCCCAAATGCACGGCCTCGACTGTAAAATCCGGGGAAATCGGTTAATTGAACAATTTCAAGGGATCATGCGGTCTCCAGGGATATTTGCCGTTGGAGCTTCGGGGCCCCAGGTTCTCCGCAACTCCACAGCTCCTCAGCTGCGTGGTTTGATGTTGTATTAGATTTTCTTTTGGTTTAAATAAATCTAGCATGGCCCCGGTTTTGCGGGGAATTATTCTTTGCTTTTTTCCTTGTGCTGGTTGCAAGATCCCAGGGAGATACAAACTATTTCGAGCTTCAACTTATAGCTTCAACTCCTACTCCAACTCCAACTAGAGCTTTACTCCTTGCTCTGTGTCTTGTTCCCTATACTTGCGCCATCGGCATTTGAGCCTGTGCCAACTTCACCACATTCGCCATGACCGAAGCTCAGTTCCCATACGAGATTACCTCCTGGCCCATGGAGAGTCTCCTTGATTCGCATCTGGGACAACACGATGATCTCAGCCCGCACCCTTTCATTGCCAGTGACTTTCCTCTCACGATACAGCATGGACTGGATCCCTCCTTGGCTGCCGAGAAGTTCGGCTGGATGAATGAAAACCCGGTTAAATCGACCGCGTTTCAACCATATCCGCAAATGTGGTATGACGCCGGTCTAGTGAGAGAGGACTGTGGACGAATGAAAACCGATACTACAAGGTAAATTAATCTCCTCGCCTTTTGCTAAGAAACCCCCAAAATGGCGAGCCAGATCAAAAAAGAGCGCATCTAGAACTAGCTAACTAACATGTGCAACTAGTTTCTCACTCCACCAATCAACCCCCTTCCAAACCACCGAGAATCCCCCGATCCATCCCCACCCAGATTTCCAACTCGCAACACAAAGAGCCCTCTTCATGACTCCCTCCCCAAATGTCCTCGCTTTCCCCTTCCCCGGATCTCCAACTTCAGATCCCAACGCGTCCCCAGAACCAAGCCATGCTTCATCAAGCGGGTGGGAAGGGGAAGCCGATCACGACGATGCCCAATACATGCAATTCGACTTCGGGCCGTCGGATTTCGGGGCCTCGGCATTAGACACCCAATATCAGGCTCATGGTCAGACCCACAGTCTCAGCTCCCCGCCCCGTCGACACTCCCAAATAGACGAAGAGTGTCTCACACCACTCGAGATGCCAGATGGAAGTACCCGCATGACATCAAATTGGCTCCCTGTGGACCCTGAAGCTGGGTTTGCGATTGGTTCTTCAATGATGATGAACGAGGATGTAGCTGCATTTCAGGATATGAAGCATGCTTTCTTTCCATCGGTCCCCGCGGCCTGGTCGTATGATGGATGAGAGTGGGTGGGGATGCATTATTGTTTCGCTTTTGCGACAAATTGCTGAACTATTACCCGTCTCCCCTCTAGTGCCGGCTGCGCTATACCTGGACCCGTCATTGTGCGGTGCTGGTAACCCAAAGGCTTATTACGTCCGCCGCGACGGCCCACATTCCTCGCCTCTGGGAACTGTAGTTCGAATTCCTAGTCTCAGGCGGCGGATACAAGTGCGCACAGGACGTGGGCCGAATATAATTTCGAAACGCCATTATTATTTGAGATGAAGAGCATCACAGGCGAGGATGGAATCGCGCCAAGAGCGGAGACCACACGCCTGGGCCCAATTTCGGCGCCGTGGACAGGACAAGAAATGATGTCGTATGAACGGCATACAAAATCTTGATATTCAGGTGCAGGCAATTGTTACCTACACAAATGTTGTTCAGGGACAACTGGAATCCCAGCAACCTGCTTGTTGACAAAATATTGTTATAGAAATGAAAGAAAAAGATAATCTGATCGATATATTTTCTGTTAACTATAGCTAGCCGCAAAGGGGTCTTATCAATCTTTCAAGGTCACTGTGTCTGAGAATAAACGTCCAAACATTCATGCATAAGGTTGTTTTGATTTGCATGCGATATCCTCCCACATCAAGACCTGAAATGTATGAAATGGCCAAAGCCCATCCAAAAGTGAATGAGCATATTTATATCTGGCTCCAATCTAACCAGACAGTAATCCCCTCCAACTCATCCCGATGCTCCATGTAATAAGCCTGACCCAACATATGAAGCTTCCGCCGATCTGTCTTTTTAGACTTGGTGCGCGGGACTCTATCAATAAGGATATACAGCGCAGGAACATAGTACTTCGGCAAACTCTGGCGGACCGCCTCACTCAGCGACTGGGTGAGCGAATGCACAGCGTGCCTCTCGCTGATCGGACGGAACTCCATCTCTTCGACCGGACCGCTCTCCATGTTCATGGGGTTATTCGCCAAGTATAAGTATACGGCAAGAATGGGATCGGCCTGGCCATCGATAGCGCCGAGAACGTCCACGACAGCCGCATCCCCGGTCGACAGGTTGCGCCGGATAATGTACTCCACCTGGCCGGCTTCGACGCGCGCTCCGTCAAGCTTGAGCATGCTATCCTTCCGGCCCATTAGCTCGATCGTCCCGTCATGGTTGTACCGGCCTAGATCCCCGGAGCGATAGAGACGGTGATTTGGTCTCTCGGTGTGCAGCTGGGCCATCCAGACTGGTGGCGCGGCGAGGAAGTTCTCCGATTTTCCAGAGACGTGGTCTAGATATCCCTTGGAGAGATGGGGGCCCTCGATAAGTAGCTCGCCCACGGCTCCGACGGGCATCAGTTGGTCGGGGTTATCGGGATTGACGATCCAGATTGCACCGGTAGCAGGTCGACCGACGACTGACCCCCGACCCATCTGAAGATTGCGGTTATAAGCGCAGAGGGAGGCTATCTCGCCCATGCCGTATTGATTCACCACCTGCACGCGGTTCAGCCATTTCGCTAGTACCGCGTCTGAGACTGGCTCGCCGCCGATACACATCATCTCCAGTGTGGGGACGCGGTCTGGTTCCATGTCGATGGCAACGGATGGTGTGATGAACATTATGTTCCCCTCCAGATAGTTCATGTCGTTCATCAGGGATTCCATCGCCAGAGATTTAGTGGGAACACAGCAGCACCCGCCAGCCATGAGAGGAGCTAGGAAGTCGTTGTTACTGATGTCGAAGGTGTACGAATCGAATTGGAACATCCGGCTATGCGGTCCCATGTCCATGACTCGGATGTAATCTGTCAATGCTGAAGCATAACTACGGTGTTCTTGGATAATTCCCTTTGGTTTTCCCGTGCTACCGGATGTGAAAAGCACAACGCAAGGGTCGGTGGGCGTGACGGTCGAACAAGGGATTGAAGTCACCAATGGCAAATTGGAAACGGAAGCATCGCTGACTTCGAAGAGGGTTTCAACCCGATCGGCAAACCGTTCCTTGTACCCGGCGGAAGTGAGCATGATTTTCATCTGGGTGCGTTCGAGGACGGATGAAAGATATGGTGGTGGATCAGAGCCATCAACGCAGATATATGCACCACCAGCCATGAGGACAGCCAGTCTGGCCACAATAGCCCAAGTTGATTTGTAGAAGGCACAAGCCACATAGATCTTTGGTCCAACGCCTTGTCCCACTAGCCAATGGGCTAACCGAGAAGTCAATTCCTCGAGTTGGCGATATGTCAGATCCCCATCCCAAGAGCGAACAGCGGGAGCATCGGGGGTTGTCTTTGCGTGTTGTAAACAAAGATCATGTAGCAGTGCATCATTGGCAGGGCCGATGGTTCCAGTGAATTGGGTGATCAGGTCACGATCTTGCGGCGAGCATAACTCGAGGCTACCGATGGTCTGTGTGGACGATCCATCAATTGATGAGATAGCCTGGTTGAAGCTATTCAAGAGGCTTGTAGCCAATGGCAGGCCAATGCCAGTGTTTCCAACATCCAATCGGGCATATAACCTACCGTCGGAGGTATGGCGTATTGAAAGGCGGAGACCAGTGAATGTCGAGTCTACGTCCGTTGACTTTATCGCCGGTATGCCACAGCAGGCCTGGCATCCGCCCATACATGCATCCTGACTAGCCAGGATGCGTTCCGCCGGTTCCTTCTGGTAAACGATTGTCATGGCGACGCCAGAATTCTCAGAGAAATGGCCGGTATGCCCGTTCCCCGTAACTCCGACATGGGATAATGGGCCCAATGATTCAACGCTTTCGTGGGAAGAGGTCTCCGACGGTATCATGGGGATCTACGTGGATCTGGACGGTCGGCTTGAAGTAGCCATGAGCTGCCTCGCCTATGTAGCATTGACCCTTTGCATAGTCTTGACCAATGTATAGGGTTGTCGAGCAGGAAAATGCTCTGATCGTGGTAACCCAGGCCAATTGAAGGAGTCGCTGGATATGAATATCCGGATGTTCTTCTTGGGCGGGTGGAGGAGGGTTGAGGGCATCGGCAAGGTGCAGAAGTCGCCAAGAACGTGGTTTCAGGGTGAGGCCAACTCCATTTTTAGAAGTACCATTGACTGCTACCTTCAATGGGGCAGTACTCGGGTGAGAAACAACAATAGTGGGTTCTAACAGGACAGGAGCCATGATGAAGATGAAGATAAACTGTAACTAGTGTGGAGAAAGAAATTATCACAGTTGAGTATTAGGGATTTCCCTTTCCTAAATGTACGGCAGTTTGCACAGGGAACAGACATGCAGAAGCTGTCTCATTGTGAACATGCCTCTTGGCACCGGTCTCTTTGTTAAACCAAGTGGGCAATCAATAAGATCTCGTTATTCACGCCACGGGCATCTATTGAGCAAATCATAGCCATAGTTCGGCAAGTTTGGAGCTCGCAAGATGTACTCTGTACAGCACCACCACTTTGTGCTCACGGAGTGTTTGCTCTGGTGTGAGAGGTCATTGTATTGTGAAATGGGCTGCCTGAGCATCCGAGCTAACAGAGCGGGCAATTGGTGCCGGGGGTTTTGTGGCACTTCGCGAATAAGATCAAAGATCAGCGCTGATTTGCGTTGTTTTTCTTGCCCTCTGAATAGTCAGCTCTGAAGTAGCAGTAGTACAAAGAGTCAGCTGCAAATGGAGTCAATGTACTCCGTTATATATTAGGTGAGAAGGAATTGTTTTAACAGATGCAGACTTGTCTTATGAATTATGTTCATTTGATTCGTTAATACAAATTAAATTAAAGTATTTCCAAGTCCTAGCAACCAAATCAGACATTCTGCATAATCCCAGGACGAACGCCCTCAAGGATCGACGACAGCTCCGCCCATAGTTTCTCACGGGCTTGACGCCCCTCATCACTGCGGACAAAAGGAGAAAACGCAGTGTTCTCTACATGTCCATCTGTCATGTATGCACCGTGGCTTTCGAGTCCAGCGGCAGCGCCCGCCACCAGCGTTCGAGATCCAACCTCTGTGGATCGCGCCAATACCATTTTCATCAATGTTAACTTCCAGCCACCCTCTCGTGTTAGTTGTGAGTGGCAGAAGCCAGGGTTGACCATGTTAACGATCACCTCTGATCCAGGCACCCGCCCTGCTAATTCCTGCACAAGCAGCACCTGGAGCAGCTTCGATAATGGGTAACGCTCGTGCATTTTGGCATTTGTTTCGTCGCTAATGAACTTCATTGGCTCGTCTTCCTTCCATTCTGTGAAATCCACCCATGCGTGTACCTCGCTAACAATGAAGGTAAGTCGGGGCGTGCGGGATGGGTTCTTTTGACGTGTAGCTTTCAGGGTTGGCAGGAGGAGAAGACCGAGGAATAGAGTGTTGATGACATTGACAGTGACGCTTCGCTCATAGCCCTCGGCAGTGCTGAACTGTGTTGTGGCGATTGCTGCATTGAGGATGGCTGCGTCGAGCTTGGGGAGCTTTGAGATGCGCTCGGCAAAGGCAAGGACCGAGGCGTGGGAAGCCAGATCGATCTCCCACACTTCACAGACGCCTGGGCGGCCTGTAGACTTCTCAATGTCTTTTTTTGCTTCTTTGCCTGCAGCCACGTTTCGAACACCAAGGATCACTCGTGCTGCGCCTAGTCGCGTGATGTGACGTGCAGCTTCCAGCCCTAAGCCGACATTAGCGCCGGTGATGAGCACGGTCTGGTCGGCGAAATCCTGTGTTGGATATGTTGGAGTAACGAGAAATTGTGAGTAAAGGAAACCCATGATGAGTAAATATTCAAGCCGATGATATTTCAAAAGAGAAGAAAACAAATTGAAGTGAAATGAATGTTCTTAAGTACAGCAGAGATGGCAACGTCATCAAGAGTTGGCTACTCGGAGATTAGCGGCTTTAGGCTCAGTCCGCTCTAACACCATACGTGCACGGGTATCTTCACTGATCTCGGCATCCGGTGTTCTTATCACCGAATATAGTCGAAATCATTACACATGCAAGGCACAGTATGTCCTGAGTGAAGACTACAATTGATCATGAAAAGGGTGTATTTAGCTAGACGCCTTAGGTCCGTAAAACGGTATCTGGATGTAAGGCGATCACGAAATTAGAGGAGTAAGTGGCTTATATCCATTTCTCTTACCCAACATAACTTGAAAGTCTGCTCTGAATAGGTTCCCCTTGAGAGACTAGGGGTAGCATATATATAACCGCGATCCAACAATTCCAAAGTCGAAATGTCTGTTTATCCCCTTGAACAGAACGAACCACCAGAGTCCTCAAGGCCACCAGCGAAGCCAATGTCATGCTGATGGTAAACCAAGAAGATGAAACACTCCAGAACATCGGACACCATATTCCCCAACCCAGCATGGGTAGGGCAATAGTCCATCGCGCCGCATTATCACCCCACACCAGAGGCACCGTTCGCCGACCGCGTTTAGCATCTCCAGGCTGATCAGACATGTCCTGCAATTGGACAGTGGAGAAAATAATCCCGATAATGACAAGAAGCCACCCTCCCAACCACCCAAGCTGGTGAAGAGGGAGCAAAGAGCCGCCTAACGCCACTTCCATCGCCCCCGATGCGAAACAGGTATACCCTAGTCCGTTGATAATATTCCGAATGACCGGGTTCTTGTCCGCGCCACCCCAGTTATTGTACCACACCCCTAACCATATCAAAGTGATAGAATGTCGGACTCCCCCGGCGAATACAAGACTATATATCGGCGCAAATATATATAGGATGATCATGACTCGCGTGCCCCACTGATGAGAAATGCGGCCGCGAGGAAACGGGCGCCATGGCTTGTTCAAACCGTCCTCGGCAATGGCTCTTTGACCCCGTTGGTTATTGATGGCGAATGGAATTAAGTTGATCAGAAGCCAAGATAATGCCGCGAGAACTCTTCCAATCGACTTTGGAGCATCGCTGATGGTCTGCGGAGGAGACAGAGCTCCCGCAACATGTGGGTCGTATTTTGACGCGGCCCATGCGTTTGTGATTCCGAAAATCGTACTTGGTACCACAATAGTTTTGAAATCGCTGAAGACGAATAGCCAGAGGGTATATGAGTGGTACCACAGAGATTCGAATGCCCTTTGGACAATTAAGAAACATCGGCTCATGACTGAGGAGTATCAACGGTATATGATATATCTGGCGTGAGTCGGGTGTTTATATCAGACAAGGTTGCATTTAAGCCTTGGGACCGGAACTTTGGGAATACATGAACAATGAGCGATCAAACGAGAGGAAAATAAGAAGCAAAGGTCGTAGACTTTTGAATATCTCGGACAAGGCGTTGAACCAATGCTAAATAGTTGAGCAGTTGCGGCAGTGTATAGACGCATTAGGTTACCTGCCTAGGTAGATATCAAAAAAGGCTGAGTTTAGGTCATATCCTCCGATGGCCGAGAATGACGAGTGCTGTCCAACATTGTCGTTTGGTCTTTCTTTCACTGTGACCTTTATGAAGCAAAGAGCTCTGATCGGAGCCACTATAGTACACGTCCCACTTTGAGGCTGGAAATAGCCATTGTTACAGTTCCAAAACATTCGGTTTGATCATTATCATGCTAGCTCCAGGGGCAGTTGCAATTATTGCAGGGCTACTGGCCCACCATCTGGTCTTTATTCACGGAGAATGGCATCTTAAGGCCCCTAGGGTCGTTGTTCTTCATCTTCTTTCTGGGGGTCTATTTTATGCAAGCTGTTGGTTTGGTCGTAGAAGGACCCAGGCCGGCTTGGTTCAGACAATATACTTGACGACATGCTATCTCTTATCACTATTCACAAGCATTACGGTATACCGACTCATATTCCATCGATTGAGACACTTCCCGGGTCCAAAATTAGCTGCAGTAACCAAATTATGGCATGTTTGGAAATGCCGTGATTCTCGCGGGCATCTCGTCTTGCAGGCCTGGCACGAAAAATATGGGGAGTTTGTACGAACGGGTAAGATATGCCACACCCCAAGAGGGACTCTCCAATGACATTGGGAATGGATCTTCAGGTCCCGCCGAAATTACCATGTTCCACCCCGAGGCCTACGAAGCCATGGATGGTGCTGACAATCGCAACACACGCTCTGATTGGTACGACCTTCTATATCCTCGGATATCCTCAATCTTTACTCGCGACCGACAGCTGCATCATGAACGGCGGAAGATGTGGGAGCAAGCGCTGAGCCGAAAAGGTCTGGTGAACCCAATGGCCCATAATATGTTGAGTACTAACACGGTCGTTCAGCATTGGCCCAGTATCATCAGCGGGTGGTGGAAAAGGTACGAACACTGCAAAGTCTAGTTGCTTTGGAACAGTCACGCCCTGTTCTTATAAATGACCTGATGTATTTCTTCGCTTTTGACTCTATGGGTGATTTTGCCTTCAGCGAAGATTTCGGCATGATGAAAAACAAGAGGTGGCATTCGTCGATAGCCATGCTGCGCTCGGCACTCACGTTGCTGGGTCCATTCAGTCCTGCCATATGGATCCCGAGACTAGGGTTTGCATTTATTCCTTCGCTGTGGAAGGTCCGGCACTGGTTTCATATGCTCGAATTTTGTGATCAATGCATGGCTGGACGGATGAAGGTACTGGAAACTGTATGGGCAACCGAACATCTGACTAACATAGAGCTAGAAAACACTCCCAGATCGCGATATTGCATCTTGTTTCATTGATGACCATGTTAAGCACGGATCAGATCCCACGCGGGCGCGCTGGTTGAGCGGTGATACTGCAACACTAGTTGTAGCCGGAAGGTCGGTATGACTAGATATCATGAGGCAATAGACTGATAACCTTAGTGACACCACCGCTCCAAGCCTAACTCTCCTCTTCTATTTTCTCGCTCGCTATCCCATGGATGCTGAGAAGATATACGAGGAGATTCGAGGGGTTGACAGGGGGAATCCAGCTGCCTTGGCCACGTTGCCACATTTGACGGGGACTATAAACGAAGCAATGCGATTACTTCCAGCAGTACTAACCTTCAGCTCACGAGTAACTCCACCAGAAGGACTAATGATAGATGGCACGTTTATTCCGGGAAATACCAAAATATGTGCACCACGCTACACAACTGGTCGACGTGAGAACCCCCTTATCCTCTCTTAGGTCAGAAATACTAAAATTAATTTCAAGTTGAGACAGCATATGTCAACCCCCATGAGTTCATTCCCGAACGGTGGTACAGCCAGCCGGAGTTGATCAAGGATAAAAGGGCATTTGCTCCTTTTGGCGTCGGTAAGCTACAACCCTACCATTGACCCGTGTGGTCAGATATCCCATGTGGCTAGTTGGGTTGCACGGAAATAACAAGAGGCTCGTATTCTGACTCTCTGTTTCGAAAGGGCGTACGAGCTGCGTTGGCCGTCATTTAGCCCTTGCCCAAATCCGTCATGTAACCGCTGCCTTGGTGTTCCATTATCGGATCACATTTGCATCTGGTGAAAATAATGGCGAGGCTGTGGAACGGGATATGAAGGACCAATTGACCGCACAGCCTGGTGCCTGTCGGCTTGTGTTTCAAAGTCGGGTATAGGCAGGTGAAGCGAGATAGGGCTCAATGTGGAGGTAATATGAGTAAAAATAATTCTTCATCGATTTCGATTGCCTTGTTTAAAATTCCATGTGAGAAGTGTTGAGCTAGATACATCTTGTAGACAATGCCTGTTCATTCTTCCTCCTCGGGCCGAAATCCCCAGGAAACGTGGATGTCAAATGTAACATAACAACCAGATTGAATATCCGCATAAGCCCTCTGCTCCAGATCCTCAATTTGCTGCATGGGTAGCGCCCCCCGCGAGCCCCTAGCAGAATGAAGACGCGCCCACGCGAACATGGCCCTCATCCCATTTGCAGTCAATCGCGCGCGCGTATCATACACGCGATCCGCAGAAACAGCCTCAGTATGGACATTGTCAAGACCCGCAGCGCGCATCTCGGTCGCCAATCGGTTCCAGCCAGACTCGAATCGGGGTTTCATGGCAGTGAGAAACATAGCCCCTATGGTGCTAGCAGCATCGGTCGTAGAATCAGGTCTACCGGGGAGGTGGCGAACGTTAGTAAAGTCGCACTCTTCCCACTGCATAGCACCACCAGGCTTTAGAAGCTTAGCAAGATTGGGAACAACTCTCCCCCATTCGGACGCCGCGAGACCGGCGGCAATCAGTCGAACGTGCACGATATCATACTGTCCGTAGAGGCTGACGGGAACATCCTTGCGGGCGTCGAGAAGGTGCAGAGTCACGTTTCTGGGGAGGGTTCTTGCGGGTGGATAGAGCGAAGTTGATATGTCATAGCCGTGTAAGATTGCGTCTGACCAGTCATGGGCGAGGTCGCGCAGGAAAGCTGCAGTACCGGTGGCGATGTCAGCCACTCGCGCGTGGGGATGCATTTTGTCTCGAACGGACGGGTGCAGCAGGTAGCCGATGTTTCTGTGTCAGCAGGAGTCAGTATGGTTTACTTGTGGGCTGCTTCGCAACACAGGACTTGGCGGATTTACTTACTCGGTGAGAAGATCGAATTGCTCGTCGAGCCTACCCAGCCGATGTTAGTATTTGATGTTTTCATTGGCTGTTGGTGAGTTCTTACCTTTGCGCTTCGGTGGAATCTCGCTGCATATTCTCCGCGTATGTATCCCTGAAAAGAGGCATTTTGAGTAGAATACTTTGAATCAAACGGACGAAGGTCGCTGTCTCGGAATGTACCGATGGAGAGAGGATGCAGGGGGCTGCAGTGGGTTTGGTGGGAAGAGTGTGTCTCGATGTCAATGACCGAGCCACTGTAATCTCTGCCTAAGAACAAATTTGGAAGTTTGGCCCTCAATGCAGTTGCTAGGGTCTCACCTGGGTATTTCCCTAGCTGAAACTCTGCTGATCCGCGAATTAGAGGAAGTTGAGGTGAAGGTTTTCACGTTGTACGAAATGAAGTCTGCAGTGTTCATGGACGCTTTCCGTATCAGACACTATTTGCATATGCTGTTCTCTAAATTGAACAACCATAACACATTAGTTGAAGTGACTGGATTTCTTGAGTTTGCAAAATGCCATTGTTCCTCTCGACATAACACTTCCGCTATTAACCTACGTAATATATACCGTCGACCAACTTTGTGCTATACTGTCAGACCTCGTCATCGCTGACTCCTTTCTCAAACATGATCCACTTGAATCATCGCTCTCCGGTTTTGATTGTGTGGAGTTTAATATTTTTCTTCATTGCTGCAGTAGCTGTTGCACTTCGGGTGGCCTCTATACATATTCGACGTCGAGGCTTGAAAAGTCATGATTACCTTGTTTTCTTCTCACTGGTGTGTTTGACTTGGTTTCAAGCTCTTCACCCCGCTGATTATGATTCCAGGTGCTATTGACTGGCTATGTGGTGGACATGCTGATTGGTGAGCCGATCCGATTGACTCAATATGCGGCAAACGGAGCTAAGATTTCATATCAGGGGCCACTACAGCTGGCTATGGTGGACATACGGCGACCATGGCTGTACGAAACCCAGGAGAGTTGGCTAGCGCATTGAAGGTACTTGATCTCCTGCTTGCAGGTTTATGCGAGATGTTAACCTAGTTAGATTTTCTGGGCATCAGAATGGATGTGGGCAACCTCGACAGTCTGCTTTAGACTCTCCATACTCCTTTTATATATGGAGATCTTCCCAGGAAACCAGAAATTCTTCTGGTGTGCGACTGGGGTGGGATGTCTCGTCTTCCTATACTGGGTGTCTGCGGTATTAACCATCGCATTGCTTTGTCGCCCAGTTGCCTACAACTGGGACCGCACGATTCCAGGGAGCTGTGGGGATGTTTTGAAGATACAGTATGCATCTGCAGGGTTCAACATGGGCATTGATTTGGGAGTCGTGTTGTTGCCGCTCCCTATTGTTTGGCGGCTGCAAATGTCGAGTCGAAAAAAGACCGGCGTCACTGCATCTTTCGCGATAGGCATCCTGTAAGTCCCCCACGAGCCCAGTCCCGTTCCATTTTCAGTTGCTGACCGCTAGTAGCACGGCCGGTATCAATCTGGGCCGCATTATTCAGACCAAGTTGTGTCCGGCTGACGACCTAATTTACTGCCTCAGAGATTCCTCTATTTTTATCATGGCAGAAATGACAGCAGGAATCTTGGTGGCCTGTGTTCCAACGTTTGGGCCCCTATTGTTTCGCAAGCGAAACGTACATTCAGCGCAACCACGCGATTTGCCCACAATTGGGTCAATTCGAATCCGCCGTCGTCCTGCGAAATTCGATTCCCTCCTTTCCATACTCGATCGCAGTCACAATGAGGGGGAAGAGCGAGGCCATACAAAGGAAGTGGAGCCTGTCGGTGCGCCGACGGCACTTATTGGGGCTGGGGCAGAAAATGAAGCTCCAGAGACAGGCATTTTGGTGACGCGCGACCTGGATGTGCATAGTCTAAATGTGCTGCCTCGAGTATCAGAGAATTCTACTGTTTGAAGGCGGGGATTCTTGTCTCGGAGTGGGATGTTCAAGAACATCCTTGACCTGCACGTTCCCTTTTCCTTGCGGGAGATCTGCACGGCTCAACAGTCAGGAACTGGACTTTTTTGACAACTTCCAGACCTGACAACGCGCCAGGACGGGGATGCTTATGCTCCGTAATGCATGTCAGATTTGTACCACCTTGATTCCGAGCCGTTTGTACTGGTCATTTTATCACATTGAAATTAGTTCAACAAAAAGACATAATTGAAAGAGAAAACCAATTGCATTAGATCTATCCCTCAAACATAACGCTCAAAGCATAGATAGTCTCATGAAATTTTTTTTTTGCCATCAGGCATCAACACGATATATGGTTGTTAAACCACGTGCGGGGAACCTTTGACTTTCTTTTGCCCCCAACTCTTCCTCCTTCACAACTCACCATGGTTTCCGATTCCTTTGCAGTTGTGATCTGTCATGGCTCCTACCATACTCCCGCCCCATATCAAGCTCTTGTCGATGCCTTGACTGCTAAAGGCATCGAAGCCCATTGTCCCCAACGGCCCACTTGTGATCTAAGTCAGCTCAATGTCGGCAACCCCAACAACCCTGATTTCGACCGCAAGGCTCCCCCAGGAGGCTATCCTCTCCCTGCAGATGATGCAGCAGAGATTGGGATGCTGCTCGACAAGTTGATTGCACAGGGAAAGTCTGTACTACTCGCAGGACACTCTTCCGGTGGTTGGGTCGCCGCTGAGGCTGCACAATCTTCTCGCCAAGCTCCTGTCCGCGCAAGGGAAGGAAAGATCGGCGGTGTCATTGGGATATTCTTCATCGGAGCCTTCATTGTTCTGCAAGGACAATCAGTCCACTCATTCTTTCAGCCCCCGGACGGCAAAGTTGTCGTGCCTCCGTTTATGCAGTTCCATGTGGGTTGACTAGTGAACCAACTTATGTTTGTAGATACTGACCGTTAATATTAGAAACACGGAGTGAATGGCCTCGGGACCATGATATACCCAGAAAAATACCTCTTCAACGATGTTGACGAGGCGACTGCGAAGAAGTGGGCCTCCACGCTGACAGCAGCTCCTGTTATGAATAGTCCCCTTACCCACAATCCTTATGATGTGCTCCCGTGCGCCTATCTTGTACTAGAAAAGGACCTTACATTGCCCAAGGAGTATCAAGAAGGAATGGCAGCGAGTCAGAGCAAGCCATTCACAGTGTACCATGCGCCCTGTGGTCACTCGCCGCATATTAGTTGGACAGATGAGCTGGTTGCGAAGATGGAGGAATTCGGGAACCAGGTGCTAGCTAAACGCAGGACAGATTAAATGATATCCAGAAATAAATCTCCGTTGAAAATATATAAAGAGGAAAAATAAGTTACACTTGAACAATCCCACGGTTTGACAAATATGGGAAGGTGAAGAAGTTCGTGCAACGCGCCTTCCATTCGAGGCCAAACACTTTCCCTTTTCACTTTCTCATTTCTTCGTCTCTCTTTTCGACATTTTCAACATCTTCAACAATCTGCCCTCTGTTCTTCCATCCAGCCATGGATACCCCTCGCTATGTATTGGGTGCCCAAGGATTCGGTGTGGCTTGGACAGCTGACAATGTGGACCATCTGATGATGAGTCTCACGGAGGCTGGAATCCATCAATTTGACACGGCTGCCTTGTATCCCGCCACAAATCCTGGTGAATCGGAGGAACTACTCGGTAAAAAGAAGCCAGAGAATGCAGTCATTGACACGAAGGTTCTCTTCATGGGCGATGACTCGTTGTCCTTCAAAAACATGGGAGCCTCTATCAAGGCCAGTATGGAGCGACTGCAGGTGAAGAAGGTCAGTAAAGGCGCACACTTGCTATATGTATAACGCTAACACGATTATTACTAGATCCACACCCTGTATGCTCATGCCCCGGACCGCAAGACCCCCATTCCTCTACAAGCTGCACACTTCGACCATTACTATCGTGAGGGGTACTTTGAAAGGTTGGGTCTCTCCAACTACAGTCCGTCTGCAATTCGTGCCTGGATGGAAATCGCAGTCGAAGAAAACCTGGTTATGCCTTCCGTTTATCAAGGCCAGTACAACGTTTTCTGCCGAGGCTACGAGGATGAGCTGTTCCCCATACTGCGTGAGTTCGGCATTGACTTTGAGGCAACCTCGCCGTTGGCGGGCGGATTCCTCACCGGGAAGCTTTCTTATTCTCCATCCCCTGAACAGTTGGAGGGTACCCGCTTCGAGGTCGGAGAGGGTAACATGCTCGGTGCAGTTTATCGTATGTGGTACGATCAGCCCCTGTATCACCAAGCGATGCGAATCTTGGACACTATTGGTAAAAGGGTGGGGACCACGGGGGCCCAATGCGCCCTGCGCTGGCTGCTTTTTCACTCCAACCTCAAAGATCCTGACCGAATTGTCATCGGACCAAGCACTCTGAAGCAACTTCAAGACTATGTCGACGCCCGGAAGGCCGGACCACTTCCAAGTAACGCAGCAGGCGAGATCAGTGCACTTTGGCCCACCCTGAAGGAAGTTGCGGCGACGATCATTGAGAAGGGATGGTGGTCTCTATGATTGATATGATTAACTTTCGGAAGATCACGACCAAATTGCTGATGACAAGAAACTCCAATGGATGACAAGTTATCCATAAGCAGTCGTCAGGCTGGACTACAAGCCTACACTCATCCCGTTAAGCCTTAAGCTCACAGATACACACAAACTACATGCAATGTTGTCTTCTGGTTCATCATCACAGGAATAGTCGGCTGCTTATGCGGCCGTGTCAAGTCTTTTTTGGTAGTCTTTTTTGGTAGTCTTTTCTGGTAGTCTTTTCTGGTAGTCTTTTCTGGTAGTCTTTTCTGGTAGTCTTTTTAGATGTCTTTTCAGATGTCTGTTTTCATAGATATTGTCTCCCCCTTCTCTTCACGACTTACACAATCGTCCATTCTCAGCCACCGTCCAAGCCTCACTACCAACACCCTTAAAAGCGTAGAACCTATTGTGAGGATCATACTTTCTCTTAATCTCTAGTAAACTGTCATAGTTGTCCCCATAAAACGCCTGTTGCCAATCCCTTTGGTTTGGATCGGCTTCATTCAAATATGCACCACTTCCAGGTGTCAACTCTTCTAGCGGTGGCATAAGAACATCGGTAATGAGCTGGTGGCGAGCGACATTGCTATCCGCGTCAGTGTAGTCAAACAGCCTAGATTAAGATTAATAAAAGCTTGTATAACCATTGAAAGGAAGATAATGCATACGCTCCAATTACAACATCCATCAAAGCGTCTCGCCAGGCTGGATTGACGCTGTTGTCGGGATATGCAACTCGAGACGAGTTTACCATAACTGCAGAAATGAGGAATCCGGCGGTCTTTTCGATAATGTTACGGAAGATGGTGTTTAGACCGGCCAGGTTCTGCTCGACTACGGATCTTGGAATCAGACGACCACCGGCAAGTTGATCAGTTATGTTGTCCGGTGGGCTCATGGTCTGGTATGCGTCGTAGTATGTAGGGAAATCGTTCACATAATATGCTGTTCACACTCTGTCAGTGCTCGCTCCAACTTTGTGGCATCTTATACATACTGTGTTGTATGTTGTTTTGTTTGAGGAATGCAATCAAAGGACTAAAAAGAGAATTGGAAAGTGTCGCTGTGCCACCCGGAATGGTAGTAGGTGTCGTTGACAGAGTATTGTTCGTCAACCACCAAACACTTGCACCGCCAGCGTCCCCGATCGAGGGAAGAATCGATATGAATATGGAAACTGCTGTAAAGAATGTATCTCGCGATATACCCGTGTCGGAGAATGACAAGTTACCCGATGCCGTGGGCAGCTCTGGGTAAGCCTTGCTCGTCATCGACACAACAACACCGTAAGTCCCTCCACCGCCACCTGACAATGCCCAGTAGAGATCTGGATGTTCTGTTGGCGACACGGTCACCAGCTTCCCATTTGCGAGAACGACCTCCCATTCCAGGACCTGATCAGCGGCGAGCCCCACATGGGAGACCAGTTGGCCGTGCCCGCCGCCTTGGGAATACCCCCCTGCCAGCCCGACCGTTGGACAATTGCCGCCAACGATAACAAGTCCAGCTCTATAGGCGGCATCGCTGCCTTCAAAGGATTGAACCCCAGCTCCCATCTTCATGGCTTTACCGGAATAGTGTGACGACACATAGTCCACAATGGAAATATCTTTCATGTAATGCATCCAGATCGCCAGGCCTCCAGCTCCAGTGGACTTCCCAAGTAGGTCATGGCCAGTATTACGGATGACGAGGCGGATGTTGTGCCGAGCTGCAAAATGAATTGTTTTCTGGACTTGTGCGGCGTCTGTTGCGTTCACGGCGTACTGGACGTAGTTCCCGATCGTGCAAGGTGATGTTTTCGACGAGAAGGGATTGCAGCTTAAGTTCGTGAACCGTGACGCCATAATTGACGAGGAGCTTTCATAGTGTGTTTCCGGTAGGCCCCAATCGGACTGGAGTTGTGCGCATTGCGATTGATCGTACAGTGCGAACGAGTCGATATGACAGACGCTGGCGATCGGGACTGTCGCAATCAACTTCCCATCGACTGTTTTGTTAAATTGTGCCCATCGATAATCTTCAGGCCAGCAAGTGTCTTGTGGCATGCAATGGCAGTCAGGAAACCTGGTGTGATTTGCGATTGAAAACCCACAAACCACAGCTGCGACAGATAGAACAGGTAGACAGAGCCACCTCAAGGCAGGACAGGGGTTGGTCATTGTGATACTCGGACTTCGGTTTACTTGATGTTCCCGTTAGTAGCCAGATTATATACCTGTATCAAATGCATAGACCCGAGAACATGCCATGTTCTGCAAAGTGAAACTCAGGCTCGCACTCTAAAATAGCGCGGACTGCATATGAGAACCTGATATACGCCGAAATATCACATCACTCCGGCCCCTGCATATGTAGCTGTGACCGCAAGTCTGACTCAGAGCCTGGTGCGGTGAGGGCTTTAGTTGAAATTTCGAGGAAGAAAAGACTCGGCGGCTCATCTTAGGTGTGAGAGGCGGCTCCCGTCAGTTTTAGACTGCCTAAAATTGGTGTAACCAGGTACGGAGTGACACGTAACACCTTTAGATATTCGTAGAGCTGAATGCTCTTTATTATCAAAACTATCTCAAAAGGAATGAAACATTGCGGATCTTGCTTAGTATATACACCAGGGGGTTTATAGCGAGTGGAGCATTTTGCTCCATCTACCGGATTAGGCCGGTCATGGCTTTTAGCTTCTATAAGTTGTCTTTTATGATTTCCTTTGTCTAATATATGCCTCCAAAACCAGGCCATTCTATTGTTTCTTTTCATAGAAGCTGTCCACATGTGCTAAAGAACACTTTCACTCCTTTCCTCTGGTTGCCATTAGGTCATGTATTATCTATAGATCAAGAGGTGTGGCAGGTCCCCAGAAGGTAACCTCACAACTTAAACCATATTGTGGATTTTATATCTCATCTCTGTCAAACCCCGCATTAACTGAGCGACGATTTACTTTATCAACAAGCCTCAGTTCAACGTAAAGGCTATTTAATCCTCACCCAAATCCCTGAAAGCAGAAGTGGCCAGTAACGAAACATACCGTAGAGCCTGCGCAATCTAACAGTCAAAAGTTGAGACAATTTATGTCTACTTCCATCGATTCCGAGTTCTTTACGCTTTACCGAATCAACTCGAAATTGATCAAATCTGGGCATATTGGTGATACCCAACTATCTCGAAACATGAACTTGCACATTGTACATACATATGCATATGTGTAATGACGCCAATGGGGACATGTCCGCACGATAGGGCATGTGAGATATTCCTTTCTCGCTTCTTGTGTTCCATGTTTATGAATCGCTATTTTAATAGAGAAGTTCCTTCTAAAGACACATCTGGGCAGATTGGACAAGATATAATAAGCTCTTATCACAGCTATCTATACAAGTGTGTCTCTAAACTAGTAGGTATATGATAATTATGGCTCCAATACCTCTGAAGCATCGACTTATAAAACGAGAAGCAAGAGTGTCAACTATATGCTCTGTCCTGAACCAGGTCAGTATTCAGAGGGGTCGATTAATGCAAATTAAATTAGATGGACCTACTCCTTCCATCAACAAAGACCAACGGGGTTTTTCTTTTTCGGGCATCATTCACCTCTGTTAAATCCGCCACGACGAGGGATGGAAATGCCAGAGAACAGGCTCACCGTGACTGATGAAGTGCTTGTCAAACGGAACTTGGAATGCGGCATCAGCACGATATCCTTTTGAATCGTTTGCTCTGGCAGAACGTACTGTTTGGATATTCCTTCCGTCTATATCACTATAGAAGGTTCTGGCCAGTTGACACACCCAACATTTCGGCAACTCTCCTTCCGTTTGTCCCCGGTACCCCCGCGTACCGGGAGATCATTCCCCGTTCTTCCCCACAAAAGATCCTATAAACCATTGGGCCAAACCCCCTATTCAACCGGGTTGAGCTGCAAGCTGTCACTATCGCACCATGTCTGCGCCTGCTAAATCGGAGCCTGAGCCACAAAAGTCGAGGGTAATTTATTCAATTGAGTATCAATTAAGTACTCTAACTAACTTATTCCAGCTTCACACGCCCCAGTGGGTGTCGCTCGTGGCCGGAGGAATTGCTGGTGGAGTGGAAGCAGCCATAACGGTCGGTTTCTTGATTTGCACATAATTATTCAATGACTGACTATCACAGTATCCATTTGAGTATTCAAAGACACGCGTTCAACTGTTGAATGACAGTGCTATTCGGACGTCCAATCCTCTCAGTCTCATCATCCAAGTTGCGAGACAGGAAGGTGTGGGTGCTCTGTACACAGGGTGCTCAACTCTTGTCATCGTTGGTCTATTCATTCCGAATGAAAGTTGACCTCACGTTGACCAAATTCTGCAGGGAACGACTGCAAAAGCCGCTGTCCGGTTCGTATCATACGATACAATCCGCAACTCTCTTGCAGATGACCTGGGTGTTCTCTCAGCTGGCCGGGGTATGCTTGCCGGAATGACCGCCGGCGCTGTAGAGAGTGTACTCGCAGTAACACCGACCGAGAGAATTAAAACAGCACTGTTGGTATCCCTGCCATTGTTGTTCGGAACGCATTTGAGCTGACCGATACGCCACAGAATCGACGATGCAAAAGGCGCTCGACAATTCAAGTCGGCCATACATGCAACTCAAGTTCTAGTACAAAGGCATGGTATCACCGAGCTTTATCGGGGTCTTGTCTCCACGATGATGAAGCAATCGGCCACTTCTGCAGTTCGTATGGGAACATACAACGTGCTCAAAGAAGCCACCAAGGCTAGGGGCATCAAGACAAACGTGTTCACGACGTTCGGCATCGGTGCCTTCGCGGGTGTAGTTACTGTCTACGCTACACAACCATTTGATACCATCAAGACGCGTGCACAGGGGGTCCAAGGGGCTGGGATTGTTGAAGCCTCCCGGAGCGTTATTCGCGACTACGGGATTCGGGGGTTTTGGAAGGGTAGTTCCATGCGACTGGGCCGGCTACTTCTGAGTGGTGGCATCGTATTTTCTGTCTATGAAGAGATAGCCGCCATTCTGTCTCCCGGGACGCATCGATAGATCTCAAAAAGAACCGAGAAAGTTGTGTACACTCGGTTATGGATAAAATAGACTACACTTGCTGACATTAGAATCGATATGGAATAATACAGGCACATGGTCACAGAACAGGGCTCGTGTAAACTTCAATAGAAGCCTTTTCCACGGTATTCCTCCACCCGGGAAAGAGCGCCCGTGGCACAATCAAAATCCGATCGCCTGCTTGAAGATTTTGCATCCAGCGTAATTTCTGGTCGCGGTGGAACATAATCCGGTGATGCATCGCTGCGCGTCCAGCGTGAACATTGGTTGCCAGACGTAGATTTTCATCTTTGGAGATATCGTCTCGTCCTGGTGGTCTTTCGATAGCAAGATCAAACCACGTCCAAGAGTTTCTGAATGTGCCGTGATCTTCGCGATAGCTGCTCCATCCTTGATCATGGCTCCAGATGTTGATTCTGATTTCACGAACGGGAAACCGCTCGCCTTGAATGGGCTCAGATGTCAAATATGGGGTTCGGTCGCGACAGTCGCTTTCAGTATAATCCACACTGTCTTCTCTGTGGACGGTAGATAACACCCAGTACTCTGCAAATTCTAGGATCTCCAGGACGAGTTCAGACGGCAGCTTTTGTCGGAGAGTGTTAAAGCTCTCGACGGCATCTGCTGAGTGTCTTGGGTAGTATATTTTGTTCCCTTCATGAGAGGGTGAAGCTTCATGTCGGACAGAGTTGACATCCTCTGATGTTGTGGAGTATGAGGATCCCATGCCGACCAGAAGAGTTGACGTGGTTAAGCTCCCCGAGGTGTGCGCCCGATTAGCTTAGCTCGGCCACTAGTGGCTTGGCATTGTGATCGAACTGTGGCTATGCAGGATCACGGGATATACTTCTTTTTTCCAGATCTCAGCTAGTTAACAGCCCAATACTTGGGCAATGGAAACACGTGTTTATAGTTTTTCAAGTCGTAGACACTCAAAAAAAACAAGGCGACCCCGGTTGGTGTAAACTCGTACACAGTGATATATATCCCTAGTCATCGGACACGAGTAGTATCTTTGGGCTTTCTAAATACCCCAACAGCAGGGAGTATTTCCATAAGATGTAACCTAGCGTTTACAGTGAGACTCAACGCGGACTTATTGAAAAGCGAGCAATAATCTTGTTTATCAATTTATCAACGAGGGTACCGAATCCCAGTGCTTCTTGTCTTGTTTTTCCTATCGCTTTGCCCAACGTTTGTTCCCATGTAGCCTATCATCTCGCTCGTTTTCCTCTTCCTCTTGTTCCTAATCCTCCTCTTCGTCCTCCTCTGTGTTCTCCTCTTCATCCTGCTCCTAGTCATCCTCTTCTGGCTCCTCTTTGTCATCCTCTTCTTCCAGCTGATCCTCCATCCCCACCTTCATAAGCTCGAATCCAGCAAACACATTTTCTGCATCAGGATCGTCCCCATAATCACTAGAAGAATCGATATGACCAGCTTCGGCAAGGAATCCGGCAACTTTCGCGATATCATGGTCGATGCGATTCTTGGCAGACTTCAGCGAACGGAGAGTCACTCGTTTCTCGTGGGTCTTCCGTCAACCCACGCTGGGATCGTCAAGAGGTGATGAATACCAAACCCTATCGTATTGGGATCTTGTACGGGAAGGGCTGTCCGTAGAGGGCTCGTCATTATCTCTATTGGCCTTGGGAGCAGGAGCATCGGTGGAATGTTCCATAATGGAGTGAATAAGCAGCCCATCCATCATATGCCTAGGTGTCCGACTAGAGGTTGCTTGTAATGATGAACAATAGCTTTTTGTTTCTTGGCGAAGGTATTGAGGGTAAGTAGCGAGGGAAAAGGACGCTGTGGCAAAATTTTCATAATTTCCAGGAGCCAACTTAGGAATGTGCCTCTCCTGTTTCTAGCTGAAGACAATTAGCATTAGCCTGCAAAAAAGCGCAGCAGAGAAAACCACACCGAGACTACAACCTCGGATGGTGGGCATGCGGCAATTCATGCAAGCACCAGCGTACAGCACCTTGGGCACCCCCGTTAGATTATAAGTGAATACGACACATGACTTGAAGGGGCCCCCGTAAAGCCGACACTGTTCACAATCTTTCCCTTTGGGTTCGAGCGTTCCAATCTCTTGCCAAGAATGCTGCATTCTTCTGAGTTACACCGATTAAATTCCGTGGACCATTTGCCCAGTCCAGAGGCCGAGAAAAGGGGGCATATGCCTCTCCAAGTTGTTGCACCACAGAAAGTGATCTATTTGATTTGAGTTGGGTTCGGTCAAACCCTACCCTCGCGCGTAAGACCTATCATGCCTGGTAAAAGTTCAGAGTCTTGCCTCAAACGATTCAAGATAAACGTACTGCCAGTAGAAGAGATTGAGCATTAAAATCCCTCATTATGGTATGTCTCCTTGAACTATCTTACCTTTGGATTCTTCGGAGGGCATGTTGACAGAACGATGAACGACCAATAACTGATGAAGCAGTGATGTGCTGAAGGCTGAAAGCCTTCGAAAAATAAAAAGGATCAGTGTTGAGGAAACTAGTTGGATGCGAAAGGAAAGAAAGCTCAAGCGATAAGCGCAACACAAGATTCTATTTTATATGTACAGGTGGGATAGCATATAATCCACGCGATTGAGCGGTGTTAGTTGCATCAGGCTTTGGTTGCCATACAGCAAACAATCAAATATATAAATGGATAATACCTGGAAGGGGCGGATGCTCACTGGGGCAGCCTCATCCTCCGCCGTGCTGCCTCCTCCCTAGATATAGCCAATGCTGTTCCGGAGTGTCTGAACCCACAGCCTTCGCGTTCAATAACATCTACCCTAAATGCCACCGAGAGGCAGCAGTGGGTGCTGAATTCTTGCGGTTCCGTCGAAATTACATCCAGCAATACGAGCGTTGAAATCAGGGCGGATATTCATATATCGATGGTGGCATCAAATCCTCCGGGCGTTGCCCAGGCTAGCTTCCACGGACACTATGCTTCATGTTTATTACTGTAAGTTGGTTTGTTTGTCAGGACATACTTCCTTCCAATCTTGGAAGGTTGCTAATGGTAGATCTTCTTCTCTTCGCTCTTCCATAATCATCTATCATAAATCTTTTCTCCCGTGGCTTCGCTATTATACTAAGAGTTTGAAAGACGACTCTATTGAATTCCTCGGGAATGTTGTTCCTAATAAGCATCACCCCTAAGGGTCTAATTCTATACTCAATTTCTTTTTCTCGTGCGATGTCTCGATGAAGATGATAGCAAAGGATTAATTGTTTTTATTAAGCTTTACTTCATTGTCTCTTTTTTTTCTTTCCTGCTAGGGACTGATAAGGGTTTCTCTGGATCCTCCACCGTACGTGGCGAGCTTTCATTCACACAAAAAAAAAGGTCCCAAGGAGCCTCCTTCCGTTTCAGAAAGCTATAACTCGGCGTGAATTTCAAGGTGAGTTTTTGGTATTGCAGATCGAAGACTGCTTCGATAATGCGTACTTGACGAAATTTATATCCCGAGATATATAGTATCTGCTCAGAGGTAAGTCATCGCCAGTAACCGCTATTGAATTTCTCTTAAACTTACCGGAAAAACCGATTCATGCTCAAAACCTGGTTGATACACACGATTATAAAGCACTGATAAAATACCCCTCATTTCGGAGCCCAACAGGGCATTTTCTGGAGCGTAGCAGTTGTGGGAAACATTCATTTTCACATGGGGGGAGGAATGTAGATCGGCTCTTCGGATTCGGGACCCTTCCACTCCTTCAGAGTCTGGACTTTCCAGAGATGCTCACCCTCAATTGGATAACACAACCCATTTAGCACACCAAAGAACGGGCTTGGGGTGCTATAAAATCATCTTAGTATCTCATGTTAACTGTTCGCTCCAGGGATCCAGGGCCCTCATATTTGCTGACATCATATAGCGAAGCGTTAAAGCACAGAGACATACCGAAGTGAAGCCCACGGGCCGCGTTCACTAATGAAGGTGAGACCGAACGGACGGTTTTTGGCAAAAAGCATTTGCTGGATTTCCCTGTATGAATGAAATGCTTCTTCCTCTGAATTTGGATCTCGAATATCCCAAGCATCCACCTTTATCTTAGGATGGAAGGTAGCATGAAGCCGAAAATGACCCTCATCTGAGAAGAGTGAATCTACATCTGGGAGGGCAATTGCTGTCACCCCGCGACGGGCGAGGTCCTGCGCGGAGAAAATTTGCTTTTCCTGGCGTTGAAAAAAGCCAATGAGGTTGTGTAGCTGAGGACTGCGCTCTCTTTTGAGTTTTACTCGTTCTATCGCGTCTGGATCGTCCGCTGTAGCAGGAGATGCAGATAGGAACACAATAGACTTAGCCGGCATGGTGAATATAGCACTCGTAAAATATCATAGAGGTATGGGGTCGAAATATAAAGGTCGTGTGTCAATATATATGCCCAGGTGTATATGCTAAATATGGTGATAATGATGACGATCCAAAACTTTACATCATTCTAATTGTATACATACAATCAATCCATGGGTGTACCTAGGTACCTATGTACATATGTAGGTAGCAGAACCTTGGAAGCTAGCGTGCAGGTGCAATAATGATAGAATGTTGACAGAAATCTGGCAATACGACAATGTATGGACAAAACCAGATATATTAAAATCTCTTTTCTAACTAAAATGACAGGATTGGAATTCTCAGGGGAATTTCCACAGGCATGCTTAGTAACGATAATATGCACTTTTGTATGGGATCTGGAGTAGGGGTGCACTTTGTGTCCAACATAGATCTGAGATTGACTGCCCACTTGCGTTCTGCTTTTTCCGGGCAGTGCTAGGAACAGCTCCACTTTTTACTTGGCTGATTTCGCCATTCTGGGCCTGATGATACGCTTCGTATTATGGGGAAGTGGGAGCTTGGCTTGAAAAGAGGGCAATTAACTGACTGAACAGTTGCTGAAGCCCGCATTTATGACGGATGTGAAGGAGCAAAAGAAGCATGATATGTGACCGCCAACACAAGTCGAGCACACATAGATTCATAGACATATCGACCCCAAATTAGAAGGTCTCTGTATTGCATACACCTCTCTCTTGCAAAAAAGCGTTTCAATCGAGCGCTTGCACAACCTGCGCCCAATCCCCAAATCCATAAGCGCCCGGCACGTGTTCACCATCGAATAGACTTGCCATAATCACTCGATCAGATTGCTCGCCTTGCCAAGGTTCTCTACCATGTTGCGCAATGATGTTATCGTAAACCAACACATCACCTTCCTGCCAACGATGTAGAACCCGAATCTCATCCGTGATCTTCGCCAGATGTGCAAGATACTTTTCAGGAATAGGCGTCCCATCCCCAAAGAGCTGTTGCGTGACCTTCTTGCGCGCCTCGGCATCAAACTGGGTACGTTTCCAATACGCTGCCAACCCAGTGAAGAGAGTTGGCAGGTTTGTACCGGGCTGCGTTCGGATGACAGGTAGCCGGTGCGTCAAGACAAGACCATCCTCAGTCCACTCCCACGTCGTATGCTCCCCTCTGGCGTAGCGCGCGATCTGAGCCTCGATCTTGCGGCGTTTTGTCTCTTCGTCGTCTTCATCTTGGATTTCCTTGCCAAAGGCCTGCTTCAGTGTGGAACCCCCTTCGAACTGCTTCTCCACTTTGTAGGTCACTTTACTCAGAATTCCTTTCTCCGTTAATTCATCGATAAATTCTGGGATCTCTTGCTGTGTGCGGTTGAATAATTCCAATGAAGAAGAGATCGGTGATTCCCCGCCTTTCGACGGCGCATGATGCCCGTAGAAAAAGATATACTCGGGCGCATGTGGTACTTGCGGCGACTCGTTGTGGCTGTATATCAAGACCTCCTTAGGCGCTTCATTCGCGGGCGCGACATTTGGCGCAAGAAGTGGTCTGTCGACTACAATGCCAATAATCTCGTGGGGTTTGTAGCCGAAAGCATGCGCGAATTTGCTGAATTCTTCTGCGTTGTGGATTGGTAGATTGCGAAACAGCAGCGTGCCATGCCTGGCGAGTTTCTTGGTCAAGATGCCGTCTTTTTCTTGGAGAGTCTTGATTGTCTCTACCACAGCTTCGAGAGTTGCCTTGGCGTCGGACTTGGCGGGTCGCAGTGCAAGCGGGATAACTGTGTTCTTGGGATGCGGTGGTCCGAGGATACGTTGGTTGGAAGCTGGGAGGCTGAAGGATTCAAATGTGACGATAGAGTCCTCCAACAGAAGTTTCTCGATTTGCAGCTCTTCAGTAGTTGTTGCCATTTTTCCTCGAGTTAATGTGAGATTGTAGGTGATAAGTTATCACAGTCAGGCACATGCGGTACATTTGTAGTTGAGAGGACGACCCCTCACAACTGCCGAGATAGCGGAGTATTATTGGATAGCCCTCACATGATTCGTGACACGAGACACCTTTCAAACCCGCTATGGCTTCTTCATCACTTGCCGAGCGTTATCGTGATTATGCCATGCGGTTATAGTGTTGCGTGCTTGTCTCGGCATCGCCCCGATAAACGGGACATACGAGTCTCCATCTGATCATATAAAATAGACCTTACTGGGTCCTGTACATGAAAACAGGGATCATATTTGCAGTAATTTACTCACCTGCAACCCCACACTATAATCATGTCAGCATCAGGGCATTCCAAAGTCAAAGCCAATGTGTCAACGACCGTGGAAAGCCAAGATGACCACCCACCACCTCGTCCCAAATTCTTTTACAGTACACTTTTTCAAATCCTGGTCGTAGGGTTATGTGCATTCTGTGCGCCAGGGATATGGAGTGCAATGAATGGTTTGGGCGTGGGCGGATCCCAGAGCCCAGATTTGGTCAACACGGCTAACGCTTTACTATACGCCTTGATGACAGTGACCTGTTTCGCGGGTCCATTCATCACAAATGTGATCGGCTTTCGCTGGACCCTGACTTTGGGTTCAGTTGGATACCCACTATACGCGGCAGGGTTGTATTTGAACAATCGCACTGGCGCAACATGGCTTGTGTATCTTGGTTGTGTCACATGTGGCATCAGCGCAGGTTTCTTTTGGAGTGTTGAGGGTGCCGTCGCCACTGGGTACCCCGAGCAACACAAGCGCGGTCGCTACATTGCAACCTGGTTCACGTTCCGCAATTTCGGCAACATCATCGGCGGTGCCGTCTCTTTGGGCATAAACCACCGCGTCAATCAGCGCGGCCAGGTTGGGTACCAGACATATCTCGCTTTTATCGCCATCCAGTGTCTTGGACTGGTCATCGGCCCCCTTTTGTCAAACCCAGAGAAAGTTCAAAGAGACGACGGAACGCGTATCGAGGCCCCCCGCGGCATCCACTGGCGTGAAGAGCTCCGCGCGATGTGGCGGCTGGCAAGGAGTAGGTCGATCTTGCTCCTTGTCCCGCTGTTCTGGTATTTTGGGTGGATCCAGGCATACCCTGGCACATATCTTGCGACCTATTTCACCGTTCGCTCTCGTGCACTCGGAAGCTTCATGTCTGCGGTTGTGGGGACACTGGCGACTTGGTTGGGTGGGTCGTTAGTGGATCTGCCTTGGTTGAAAAATCGGAAGCATAGAGCAATTGTAACATTCGTCGTGATTGCGCTCATGAACAGTGCGACCTGGATCTGGGCAGTCATTATTCAGAACGAGTACCGACACACCAACCCCGTGTTGGACTGGGGCAATCAGCGCTCCTTCGGTCGTGGCTTTGGCTTGTATCTGTTTGAACGCATCAGTCTTGGCTTGGTCGAGAATTACATTTACTGGTGTATCGGCAATTTGTCGGACTCACCCGGCGATCAAATTCGATACAGTTCATTGCTTCGGGGGATCGAAACCGCTGCAGTTGCAGTTGGATTTGGTGTTCAGGCTGTGCCGACAGCGTTGATTGCGACAGCCAGTATTAACCTCGCTCTGTGGTTTATCGCCCTACCTTTCAGTTATTATGCCACGCTCCAAGTCGTTCGAAAGTTCGAATTGTTGGAGAAGGGAAAGCAGAGTCCGGATGGAAGTGACAGAGTGCCTGAACAGGACGTGGCTGAACGATGAACGCTACCATCTCAAGCTTGGTCTGACTGGTTTGTACCTTCTCTCAAAATAGAAATATATCTAGATCTCCAAATATTTTATGCCTTCTTAAGTGGTTTTGGGAATGTCTTTCAAGACACTCGCTTTCGATACTAAGTGACGTGGACTTTCTTGAGCTGTGCTGGATAGCTTGGCTGTTGGTGGAGAAGACGGAGTTCACAGAGCTCTGGGAAACAGGTCTACTTCTCTCTCACTGAGCCTCAATTGTCACTTTGCTGATCTTGCTTCGTAGCTCTTGCAGAGGAGATGGTCACTTCCATGAGACTTCTTTGTGCCTCCAACGTGGGCAATCTACGATCGCACCAGGTGAGTGCTAACAATATATATATGAAAATTCCGAAGTGCACGAGTAAATGCTCATTGACTACACCCAGGTCAATATCACTACACTCGAATATCAGCTTTATGACAGGCCATCAAGGGGCGATCTGTTAGAGTCCAGTCTGCGGGCTAAATTATAAACGTTGGTCTCGCTGTTCTTCTATACACCGAGGTCTTCCCACGGCATTCAGTTCGGCTACTTGAATTTTGAGCCATGATTAACAAGCGACATAGCAATGAGACACGAATATATTTTGCAAATTAAAAATCCGACGTCATTCGACCGAGGCCCTAGACGCCGTAGATTGAGAATGCCAAGACGGCGAGTCGGCTATATGCAAACAACCTAGATGGTATATATTCGACCCGACCGAGAAGCTTCTCCAAAACTCTAAACATAATTGTAACCATGTATCGGTCACAAATCCAACGCGCTCTACGGTCACAACAGCCTGCACTTTTGCGAGGTTCATGTCGGACGGGGATGTCCCTTCAAGGTCGCGCGGCATTCTCCACCTCAGGGCGGCGCGACATTATGGGCATGACGGGCTTTACGGAAGAACAACTTACAGTCCGTGAAGCAATCTCGCATATTTGTTCCAAGTTCCCGAATACGTATTGGCAGGAGCATGATCAACAAGAAAAAGACCCAAAGGAATTCCATGCTGCATTGGCTAAGGATGGATGGCTTGGCATTGCCTTGCCCGAATCCCTCGGAGGCGCTGGTCTAGGTACAGTTGCGCAGACGCTTTGTTCTCATACAGATCGCTAACCCTCTTTCAGGTATATCTGAGGCCACAATGATGATGCAGACTATTACACAATCAGGCGCAGGTATGGCCGGTGCCCAGGCTATTCATGCCAACGTCTATGCGACACAGCCATTGGCCAAATTTGGCACCAAGGAACAGCTAGAGACTACCATTCCAAATATTATCAACGGCACATGGCGCACATGCTTTGGTGTCACCGAGCCAAACACTGGGCTTGAAACTCTCAAGCTCACGACCTTGGCTAGCAAAACCGATGACGGATATTCAGTCACCGGCCAGAAGATCTGGATTACCTGTGCGCAAGTGGCATCAAAAATGATCCTCCTCGCCCGAACAACACCTCTTGAAGAAGTCAAGAAGACCAGCGAAGGTCTCTCCTTGTTTTGCATCGATATCGACCGTGAAAACCCTGGTTTGGATCTGCGCAAGATCAAGAAGATGGGCGGACGCGCTGTGGATGCCAACGAGGTCTTCTTTGATAATTATAAGATTCCCGCAAACACGTTAATTGGCGGGGAGAACCAAGGTTTCAAGATTATCCTCCACGGCATGAACGCAGAGCGATGCCTTTTGGCCGGTGAAGCACTAGGTCTTGGCTATGCCGCCCTGGAAAAGGCCGCGCAATACGCCAAGGACCGGGTTGTATTTGGACGGCCAATTGGCCAGAACCAAGGTGTGGCACATCCGTTGGCTGATGCGTTCATGAAGCTGGAGGCGGCCAAGCTGGCTACCTATCACGCAACACGTCTCTATGATTCGAACGATGGATCGGTGCCTTTCCATGAAATCGGTGTGGCGTGCAACAGTGCCAAGTATTTGGCTGCAGAGGCTGCTTTCACGGCGTGTGAGAGGGCGGTTCTGGCGCATGGTGGTATGGGATACGCGGTTGAGTACGATGTGGAACGGTATATGCGCGAATGTTTCGTGCCTCGCATTGCACCTGTGAGCCGGGAGATGATCTTGAATTATGTGAGCGAGAAGGTGCTTGATTTACCTAGAAGCTACTAGGTACTCTCTGTACAATAAATGAGAATAGAATCAAACACAATCTGCTGTCAAGTGTTGATTGGAATGCGAAGATGGGATCACCATTTGGGCTGTTTCGTATGGTGGTTATATTATCTATCCCCGACCAAAGAACGGACTGGAAGCAAAGTGCGAGTGAAGGCCAATTACCCGTACTTGTTTTTGGTTGTCACAACTTTGATAATCCAGCTCTTCCTTGGGACTATCAACACAATACCTTCAAAGTGGCCATTCTCTACGTATTAGCGTTTTCATCGGCATAATCCTGATGCTCGCCGCACCCGGTTCAGTACCAGATCAATATTTGAGCGTAATCATCGAACCTTTATCCATGGATGGCAGCTTCAATTAGGGCTTCCATTCACAGGCTTGGCGGGGCCCATCTTGTTTTTGGTTTCTCAATCTACCCCGGGTGAAAAGAAGCACTGTGTTGACTTCTAGAGGGTTTGAATTTGTCTTTCTTTTTGATCACTGGGTTTTCCCCTACTTTGCTTGTTAGTTTGTGGGGGTTCGCCAAATATCTCTAACTTTTGGCTCATGTGTTTTATGTTTCGTGTGGTCTCCTGAGTTGGTCTGCTAATGACGTCAGGCCTAGAATCTTTGACCGACAAAAGAAAATCAACATATACGGAGTAGAAGGCGCATTAAGACATCTATCGAGACACCCCGAGAGGCTGCTGTAATAGCGAACAAATATCAATTGATGTGTGCATTCCCCCAGTAACGGGGCTGACAACGACAGGTATCCAATTGGCGGGGAGGTTTCGCCCTTCTCCGGTTTGATTGTCGGACCGACAGACCCACTTCCTGGAGCTTCCGCCTTTTATTTCTTGTCCCCCTCTCTTCTCCAGACTTTCAATTGTATTGCTCTATTTGGTGGTTTTTGGATACTCATCCATCTCATCATGCTTTCCCAGACTCGGGCCCGCGCGCCCGCCGCTCTCCGGAGCTTGTCCAGGTCTAACCCTATGTGAGTTGATTCAATTGCCGTTGCCTCAATTGCTTCTCTGGTTACTGGTTACTAACTTCTTTTTTCTTCCTAGTCGGGCTCTCTCAACCACTCTCCCTCGCTTCCAAAATGATAAGGCCCTCAACAAGGTCTCCCGCACCATCACCCAACCCAAGTCCCAGGGTGCTTCCCAGGCAATGCTGTACGCAGTCGGGTTGACCGAGGCGGACATGAACAAGGCCCAGGTCGGAATCTCGTCAGTGTGGTTCAACGGCAACCCTTGCAACATGCATTTGCTTGACCTGAACAACAAGGTCCGCCAGGGTGTCCAGGACCAGGACTTGATTGGCTTCCAGTTCAACACCGTCGGTGTCAGTGATGCAATCAGTATGGGTACCACCGGTATGCGTTACTCTTTGCAGAGTCGTGATCTTATTGCCGATTCCGTCGAGACCGTGATGGGTGGACAATGGTACGATGCCAACATCAGTATTCCCGGCTGTGACAAGAACATGCCCGGCGTTCTGATGGCTATGGGCCGTGTCAACCGCCCCAGTTTGATGGTCTACGGTGGAACCATCAAGCCCGGCTGCGCTGCTACCCAGAACAACGCCGATATCGATATTGTGTCTGCTTTCCAGGCCTACGGTCAATTCCTTACCAAGGAAATCACCGAGCCCCAGCGCTTTGACGTCATCCGCCACGCCTGCCCCGGCGAGGGAGCTTGTGGTGGTATGTACACTGCTAACACCATGGCTTCCGCCATCGAGACCATGGGTATGACCCTTCCCGGTTCATCTTCCAACCCGGCCAACTCCCAGGCCAAGTACGTTGAGTGTCTCGCGGCTGGTGGTGCCATCAAAAGGCTGCTGGCCGAGGACATTCGCCCTCGCGATATTCTTACTCGTCAGGCCTTTGAGAACGCCATGGTCGTTGTCAACATCACCGGTGGCTCTACCAATGCTGTGCTGCACTTGATTGCCATCGCTGACTCTGTCGGCATCAAGCTCACCATTGATGATTTCCAGTCCGTGTCCGACCGTATTCCCTTCCTGGCTGATCTCAAGCCCTCTGGCAAGTACGTGATGGCCGATCTGCACGCTGTTGGTGGTACCCCGGCACTACTGAAGCTGCTCCTCAAGGAGGGTCTTATTGATGGCTCTGGTATGACCGTTACTGGTGAGACCATGGCTCAGAACCTGGAGAAGCTCCCTGGCTTCCCCGAGGATCAGAAGATCATCCGCCCCTTCTCCAACCCCATCAAGAAGACTGGTCACATTCAGATCCTCCGTGGCTCTCTGGCCCCCGGTGGCAGTGTCGGCAAGATCACCGGTAAGGAGGGCATGACCTTCACCGGAAAGGCCCGCGTGTTCGATAGTGAAGATGACTTCATCGGCGCTCTGGAGCGTGGGGAAATCAAGAAGGAGGAGAAGACCGTTGTTGTCATTCGCTACTGCGGTCCTAAGGGTGGCCCTGGAATGCCTGGTAAGTGCAATGAATCTACAAAATCGCTGACCATAATGCTAACATTATTCTAGAAATGCTCAAGCCCTCTAGTGCCCTCATGGGTTACGGTCTCGGTAACTCCTGTGCCCTCATCACTGACGGTCGTTTCTCCGGTGGTTCTCACGGTTTCTTGATCGGTCACATTGTCCCTGAGGCTGCCGTCGGTGGTCCCATCGGTCTCGTCAATGACGGTGATGTCATCACCATCGACGCCGACAAGCGCATTCTCGACGTCGAACTCTCCGATGCTGAGTTTGCCGAGCGCAAACAGAAGTGGGAAGCCCGCAAGGCTGCCGGCGATCTCCCCGAGACCGGTCTCACCATGCGTGGTACTCTGGGCAAATATGCCAGAACCGTTCAGGATGCCTCCCTGGGCTGTATCACTGATGCTGTGGAGTAAAATCTTTCCTTGGTTTTCTTTTTTTTGGTCTCGGGCCCTATCTGAAACACAAAAGCGATTCCCCGTTATGGAGCCTGTCTTATATATGATATCATTTTGAATAATACTTTCTTTCTTGTTCAACTGGATACCGGATACCCTTTGGCGATTTTTAATTTGTGTTGGAGTCTTTCATTCCACTTATCACATCTTCGTTTCTCTGGGTATATTACTGCAATTCATCATCATCCGTTACACGATCCCAACAATCACTTGCTGTGTGCAGCCGCGCGCTAATCTGTGATTGAGCCTGACCAATTAAGGCGTCCAAATCTCACCAGCTACTAGGTCGTCCGACTCGACGGAACTACTGCACACAGTTGCATGCTGATTGAACTAACGTTTGATATCATTCCCAGCCCCCGGAAAGACCAAGGTTGATCCCTTGCTATATGTGTGGCCATTCAATCCTTGCCACCCCTAGACCATCGCCGCAATTCAATCACATGACAGAAGCTGGTATTCATCGCTTTCACTGCGAAAGGGCTCCCATCGTCCACATGAATAATCCGAAGCCATTAAACCGCCATGTTAATCCGGCTTGCAGTTATGACCTCCAATATGTCAGACAGCAGGGATGCGCCTGTGGGGCCCTCAATTCGTTGCCAGCTTTCGGTCGCACCCATATTCCTGCTGAAATGGGTGACGACAATGTCATATCGGGCGTTTAGTGGGCAGATAGCTCTGAAACAGAGATTCGGCAAAATGAGCAATATATTCAGGAGCTGCGCGAGCCATTGAAAGATTATTTGACTACTGTTGGGACCACTTGGATGTGTGGTATTCTCGCATCCACCTTCCTTCGTTTCTTCACCTCCACGACCCGTTTCGGTTCCCCTGTCATTCCACTTCCATAATTCACCTCTTATTTTCATTGATCCCTCCTACGGCCCTCTTTTCTTTGGCAAATTTGGCCGACCACGAGTTCCTCAGATAAATGTGCTCACCTACATGTACTTAAAAGCACAGGATATATGGAGATGTAACTTTGCTTCGCCTAAGAGCTTTCACCCGAGTAGGAAAAAAACTGCTCCTCTAGTTCCACTGTATAGCTCGGGTTGATTAATGTTGAGATGAAGGCACCAATTGACACGGTGACTGTCACCCTGCCTAGTCCACTTCAATCAAAATGACCAACATGTGCCTGCCGTCGCTCCTCAATAGCGAGGCGATTTATCATTCTCTCTATTCTCTCTAGAGCTTGAAGATCCGTCGCGGTGGACCAAGGCTGATGTACCAAGTATCGGATGGCCGTCTGTATCCCAATGACTGCATCCACAGCAGGAGGTACAAGTTGGTACGGCGGAATGGACACAATAGCGTCATCCAGTTCCTGGAGAGTAGGTTCACCTTCAACGATAAACCCGGCGACATCTATTACACCTTCGAAATTCTCGTCCACGGGATGAATAAAATTTTCAAGGCTGGTAACCGTTCGACCATCAGGATTGTTTCGTGTTACAGTCTCGTAGAGGGTTGTCAGATCGGGTGATTTGGGGGCAGTGATGAAATCGATCTGCGGGTCCAGTAAACTGCTCTTCCGGAAGGCTCTATAAATAATCGCATTTGCAACGTCGTGACGCCAGCTCCGGGTGGCCCAGGATATAGTGTGATAAAGACTCATCATGTGGACTGGGTTTTGGGACGATTCCATACCTGCCACAATGTACGCAAGCCATTGCTTGCGATAATAGTGTTTGAGAGTCTGTGAAATTCCCAAGTTGATCGGCTGCTGCTCATTCGAAGTGCGAGTTTGAGTGGGGAACAGTTGAACATGCACATTCGGAGGCGGCGGCGTAGCCTCGACAGCAGCTTGGTGGTCTGGATGATTATCTAGCAGAAGCAAAACTCTGCGCTCGCCTACATGGTCGTAGAAGAAGAGCAGCCATTCTTGCATGATCGATTGTGTTAGCCAGCCCTGCCGATGATATCGCCAATTGCAGTCCATGGCTTTGAGATTCGCCCTGCGCAGTGCCTCCGGCATATGCGTATGTCCGATGACCCAAAGGGGCAGCCGATCTGACCCAGTGCTGTTTGTACAGAGCACGAGACAGATGCGGGAATTTTCCCTGTTTGTTGTCAATTGGCCCTGAGTGGGGGAATCGCCGAATGGAGGCTTTCGCCAGAAAAGGCCGGTCTCGTCCATGTTGTAAATATCGTCTTCACGGAATTCACCACATAGCGTTTTCAGTGCTCTCATTTCCTTGCGACCAGCTTGGAGTGGAGGTGGAGACACCCCATCTTGGCGATCATGGAGTTGGGTGGCATATCGTTTCTTGAATCTGTTCAACCACCCATTGCTAAAGTGAGGAAGTGGCAGGGTCTGGTATTCCGGAATTTGATTCCAGATTTCGCGTGCTTTGGTAATAATAATATCGGCCGTGGGTGTTGAGCCGGGTTCTTGACTCGCGAGCCATTCACAAAGTGGTGTCTCCAAGAGAGGCCATTGTGGTGCCAATTGACGTCTTAAGGTAGATGCCGGACCGGCATCTAGGTGGTCGAACTTTTTGGAGAGGATTGTTGAGATGGTGGATTGGGAGAGGCTACGTCCATAGGTTTGTTCAAACCAAGCAGAACATTGGGATTGCGATGGACGGGGGTTCTGACTTTGTGCCCAAACTCGAAGGGCTTGTTTCTGGGTCCCCGTGATTCCCAAAGCCGGACGTTTCGATGGCGTGGACATGCTGTGGCTTATGAGAGTGCAATTCACTTGGAAAATAAATTTTCGGCGGGTGGGAAGTCGGATACTCAATAATACCGTAACTGCGATCGAATCCGATACGTCTGTTACGCGCTCTACAGCCTCGAAGGCGGGGGGAACTGTGTTATGCTCGGTTTTATTACCACTATCGTCCATTGAGCGCATGTCGATATTCCTTCCACTGAAAAACTACCTACATGGAGTTAGTTGGCACAACTCAAAATATTCTCACAATCTGACATTCATAGGATGTCTATGCAGAAATTGCGAGAATATATGTAAAATGACAGTTCAATCTCCAGAAGAAATAGCCAGCCGTCCGACAATGTGCAGAGGCTAACTGCGAGTCGCCATCGAGGCCGACAAAACACCGACACGAAGCAAGCTGCTAAGATCGGACTCTTGTGCGATCTGCATCATTGCTCCGAAATAAGCATTGGTTAGACCAGCGGGACCCAGGGACCAGAACTTTAAACTAGATTTCAGCACTCCCTGCTCGAAATGGCCTATCACGTCTGCACAGCTCATGCAACCCCATCTCGATCGTGTTTCTCTTGGATTCCTTGAGATCACGATCTCATACCTCGAACATACAGCAGCGCTTATACCGACAGCATATCGTATGTGGATGATCGATCTCTGTTTTTCTGCACGGCGAGCACTTATTTCCCCACTACAAGGCCGAGCAATACGGGAGATTTGAAGATTTGAAGGATCAGAGTTTCAGCTTCCCCGTTCAGCAATTGAAGCATTAACAAAGCAAAATACATTACATATGACAGACAAGAAATCACAGGTATCAACATACATATATAGGAAAACCACATCCATTCGCGCATGAAAGGAAGATAATCGAACGCCAGCACCACAACCCCCCAAAGGTATAAAGCACCCACCCCGTACCCCAGACTCGACTCGACTCGACTCGACGCTCCCTACCGCATCCGCATCTCCAAGGTTTTGACATCTGTTCAGAACCGATACCCCGGGGTGCTACCTGGTGCCTCCCAGATCATGGGGTGACCCTCCAGCTCTGTGGCCATTGCGCTTGCACGGGCACGTTGAGGAGGCTCATTCCAACTCCCGTGGCCCTGCTGCATTGACGGAGAACCAGCACCAGAGATAACTCCCGCCCCAGGTGAAAGTGTGCGCGCATTCGGATCTGGACTAGAGACGGCGGGGATATCGATATGAGCCGGCTTGTGGGTAGGGACAGTACTCCCCGCTTCACTTTTCCCGTGGCCGTATGGCTCGCCGTGGTTGAAGAGTGCCCAGCGTGCGGTTCGTTCCGTGCGCCCATCTTCCGAGGACATCCACTGCGAGTACACGCGATTGCGACCGAGGACGAAGAACAGTGCCACCAATATAGCCACAAAGACCACACCTGCAACCGCGATACCTGCAATCGCCCCCGTACTAAGACCATGCTTATCGGCAGAAGAGCTGTCACCGCTGCTTTTGTTATCGCTGCTGGAACCACTACCGTCGCCTTCGGCGGGCATGGACTGGCCTGGAACTAGCATATAAGGATATTTCAGAGCTCTTTCGTATTGCGTGTCCCATGATTGGGTTGTGTTCTGCAGGTTCTCGTCAGTCAGCCTGAATCCATGCTCGAGAGAAACTGAGTGTTATACCGCGTTGATCACTCCGACCATTCCATTCTTTATGCATGAATCTATTGCAGTGCAATAGAAAAAGGTGGGCTACATCAACTTATTATTAGCCTTTGTCCGAGGTCATGGGCATGTGTTTTGACTAGATACATACCTTGGTATCATTCACTCGCAAGGACCAAGTCGGGGGCTATGTTGCATATATTAGCCACGCTGCTTTGATGAACATTTTGTTTAGCAGTTCCAATTTTTATACTCACTGGTCCGACGAGTTGTCCATCGTGCTCGTTGAAAGTCGTGAAGGCTCCCGAATAAAAGACGTTCTCACTTGCTGGTACACAAGGAGCGAGGTAGTCTGATTTTACGACAGAGTGGTTCGTTGGGTAAAATTCAAAGACGACAATGTCGCCCACTTTGGCTGTTCTGTCTGTTGGGACAAATTGATGTGGATTTGACTTAGGTCCCACCTGGATTGTATGGGTTGATATACCGGTCGAGGAAGAGGTTGTTGAAGTTGCTGTCGATGATCCTGCAGCCACTGTCATGGTCGCCAAAGCTAGCCATGCCAGTGGCCAGGCCAGCCGGCTCACAAACATTGCGCAGGGGAGGTTTGACGATCTGTCAACACAATATGCACACCCGCAATCTAGTTATTTGGGTTTTTCCACAGAAGAAAATGGGGACGAGGGTGAGAAAAGAGAACTAGGCTGGAAGACAAAGAAATTCAAGTTCAAAGCCAGGTCTCGGACAGGGACGAGTACTATTGGGAAGGCTTTTGGGCTGAACACACTCCAGAGTCGATCTTTGATGGCTTCTTTTGATAGGACGAGTTTCGCCCGAAGTGGTTAGTTATTTGTCTACCCCGAACGTAAAGGGTATTTTCACTACTAAAGGTGCAGCATTTATCTATTGGATGCGAACCTTTCCCTCTGTCTTCGTAAAGGCTCCGGTTGTACTATAGAGAAACAGTTGCTGCTGTCTTCGCCTCCGATATAATGGAACACTGACCCCGCTAGTGAGAACTACCAAGGCAATGGGGACTCAAGGTGGCATTACAGCATTTACTGCGGTCAGGAAAGTCAGCATTGGAATGCTTGCATGGATGCATGCTCTCATCCACCCCTCAGGCCCCTCGGGCCTCTTTGTTCCATTAAAAGAGGTTTTTGCGACTCAAAGACTCGAGCCTGACGGATTTATTTTAAATTTTGACTTTGACCCATCAAAGAATCTGAAACGTAGACTAACATACTTTGCAGTGCGATCGGATGAAGGATGAGGAAGGCTTGACATGATCTACATGACTCGATAATCTGAGATCAAAAAGTGTCACACGGAGCACAAAGTACAATTTAATCTATCCTACCTGCAATTATTATGACACTGGAGCCCATTAGCATCGTGTCGGCAGCCTGTTCTCGAACTAGTCTAGGCTTTGTCTGTATAGAGATAGCCCACGTTGCATTGTGAGGCTGAGAGACTGCCACGATATGATCGACGCCAAGACTCGGATTGGCTGTTTTCTATGTTGGAATAAAAACCGTATGACTTTAGGGCTTATCAGATCAATACTTTTGCCAAGTATTTGCTTTCAATCTCTTCCTTTACCATCATGGCGCCTTTGCCTCGGCGTTCATGCCAGTTTCAGATTCATTTGTTATTTATCCCACAGAAGTTTGGAGCGCCTATATCAGGTTAATGACCGTGTCTCCACCCCCGCATTTAATCTTCCTTTTCGATGTTCATGCTAATGGAAATTTGAACTGGCTTTGATTAATTCTAGCGTTTAATTGTAAAATGGAACGTAAATATGAAATCTGCCCGAGGATATAAGTGGCAGAATAACCATTGAGACCAGCACAACGTCGGCAGGAACATGAGAGCCACTATCTACTTTGTATTATCTGTAATGGATAGCACGTGCACTCAAAAAGGGGTGATATTGAAGCATCCGCTACGATTAACTACACCAGTCCTGATTAAGACGGCTGGTGATAGTAAAGTCATGCATAAAGTGTTGGAGAGTCTCCTTTCAGCGTATGAACTTCAAAATTTGATTTTATGTCGTATGTGCTTCCTTGCAACTTGGGCGCGTTAAGTTAGGAGTAGTCGATTGGAATTTGTTAACACGTTGTGTGACCTATAAAGGGGCCCTAGGGATGACTTTAGAGCTAGACGCTGCCGGTGTCTCCTACAGAGGTTTTGTTATTATATTGACACGGTAGCGCTTAGAACATATTTTTCTTAACGAAAACAGCTCAGCCTACGCTGTAGTAGTGGTGCATTGTTCCATAGGTTTTTAATTTTCCCTTCACACTACTACTTTTGAACACGCGATCGCGGTCGTTGTTCGATCGAACATTTGGCGCATATTCTAGCAACCTGACCTTATTTATTCTTATCTTCAGGTGTGACAATTACATATGCTCACCATTCTTTAATAAAAGGTAATAGATAAGGTGCTTTATATGGAACAGTTGTAACAATTATATTAGCTGTAATATTTACTTTCTTCCAGCTGAATATTCAGTACCTTCTTTCACTATTTCTGATAGTGTTGGAAATGATATACATACACTTGACTTGACTAACGAACCCTAGAGCTAAGTGCTATATAATTGATCTTTGAATGCGAACAATCTATCCCTTCAGAAGAGGCCGGTCTTATTTAAAATTGAACATTGGAACTTTAGGGTTCAACAGTCGGATCCTTACGCCGAGGCTCAAAGGACCAATAGAGTAGCAGGCTTGGCATCGGAGATCGTCTTGTTTAGGGAAAGCGCGGTCGAATTTCGGCCACATGGTAACATGAATATCCACCTGGGCACATTCTCCTTTTTTTTTCTAATCGAGTCATGTACTCCATACTCCGTACAAAGATTAAGAACAGATGCGTTTGATTCAAGTCCAACAATAGTTCCACAAGCGTGTTTTAAATATAGCATGTTTGCTGAAACTTCACCTCTCCCCTTCCAAGCATATGAAATGTGCACCGCTTTTATTCAATCCCAGTCCTATTTGCTTTCTCTTAGTATGGAAGGTAATTATCACTGAGTTGATATCAGAATTGATTAATACGTGGGATTTGGGGAAATTAAGCACATCACAATCATCAAATCTCGACACTCCAGAGGTTTCTTCTACAATAACAATCATCCTTTGCAGCGCATGCTTCCCGTGGAAAACGAAGTACCACATATGAAAAATCGATCTATTGATCCCCGATCTGGACTAATGGAGCCTTTCTGGATCTTGATCTCCCTTTGATTTAGCGCCTTCCTTTGACAATGGCCGCCTCCCCCTGGCCACACGTCTGGCACTACTATCACTTGCCAAACATCCAATATCACTTGACCACGAGTACCTGGTGTATATTTACTTACCATAATTTAGCGACGAACATTGCAGAGTGAAGTATGCTGAAGTTGGTATATTGCTATTATTCTATTATTATTGTTTTTGCCATAAATCAACATTCATACGTAATTAAAGCGAAATTCTTTTTAAAAAACCGGTAGTTTCACTTTAAAAAGGTTGATCTTCATCGTATTTGTCCTTCGCCGAATGAGGGCGCACACAGCGGCCGATCTAGCGAGGTCTGGAGTCCGTTGGGTTTCTTGGCGATGAGAAAAATTGTCCTCTACTAGCGGGGGCGATATTTTCCTGGGCATCCTACAATACAGAAACCACCTGAGCACTTCATAACAATGCCGATTAAGCTGAATCCATGGTTCCAAGTGGGGACGATCACTGCGTTCCTTGTAATTATGTGGGTGTCGTCGCGTGGTCTCCGATCCCAGGACCCATTGTAGAAATCTTCTGGAAGAGGTACCCGCTTTCGGTCTCACCGGAGCACCAATATCAAAGCTCGTTTCACTTGAACCAGCTTTGGGAGCGGAGCATTTCCTTAGCGCATGGTCCAATCATGACTGTCTGCTTAGGTTTACTATTGAGATCTATACCTAGACGCACGCCATTATACGAGATAGATAAGCTTAACGTGCAAGGAGTGTCCACGCCACTAACTCGGGACCATTCAAATCGAAGTTAACAAAAAAACCCGCTACTGCCCCAGGGGGAAAAATTCTCCCCTCTTGATCACCTTCAACGTTGTTTTGAACACGTTCGTCACCATCATGAGGGGTCATTTGTTCTTTTTCACCCTTTTGGCTCTGCTTATAGTGGGGATCCATGCAGCAGATTCAAATACAACGGTCTTCCCATCTTGCGCGGTTCGTACATCTCCCAACGGAGTTGTATTTATTGCTAATGAGCGTGCTAGATCACATGTGACAACCAGCTATTCTCTGATTGCTCGTTGAGTAACAATACATCATGCTTCTGCGCCAGTGACTCTCGTACCACAGCCCTGTTAAATTGTGTTGAAAGCAACTGCACGACAAAGCAATTCTTCAGTTCGTTTCAATCGCGATTGATCTACCAAGTCTACTCTAACTCTTCTAGCTACGAAACGACTGTACGAACAAGAATGTGATATAACACCGCTCAAAGGCCCTGCGGTGGTCAACGCCTCGACTCTAATCCCGTTTATTCTTGCAACTTTTTTCTTCGTCATGAGAATAATCGCCAAGAGCAGCGGCCTCGCTGGTGGATGGGGATGGGATGATTATACAATCATTGTCTCATATGTCAGTGTCACTTCTCGGTGTTCTCCCGCGTGGTATTAACAGCATCGCAGATCATAGGAGTCGCCATATATGTTCTGGATATATACAGTAAGCCGGCACCCCGGGTGTTCGATTTCACAAGAAGGAAGAACTAACAAATCAGTGATCCGCAATGGCTTCGGTCGAAATATCTGGGACCTCCCTTTTCCCACAATCACCAGGTTCTACCAGGTTCGGTCCCCTCTCCAAGGCTCAGTTCCAATCTAACAAGAGCAGTTATTTCAAGCTATGGCCGTTATGTATAAGGTTCAAATTTCCCTCGCAAAGATCTCCGTGTGCCTCTTCCTACTCCGCATCTTCCAATCACGCACATTCCGCTATTTAGCATACGCGCTCATCGGTATCAACGCATCGATCGGTATCACCTGGGCCTCGGTTGATGCCTTCCGCTGCTCGCCGACACGCCTAACATGGATCGGCTGGACGAACGAGGAACCCGGATACTGCATCAATTTTATCGTCGCGGTTCTTGTTAACTGTCTGGTGAATATTTTTGTCGACTTTATATTGATTATGATGCCGGTGTATGAAGTGATCAAGTTGCAGTTGCCTTTGCGAAAGAAGCTAGCTGTGGCATCGATGTTTATCGTGGGCTCTGTGTATGCATTCCCTAGTCTGGCCCTTTTTAATTTACGTGTAACTAACCAATCTCATAGTCTAACGATCATCGCGATAATCCGAGTCGTCGTCTTCTGGACCAACCGCTGGGGCGCCAATGAGACTCTAGGACTATATCCCCTCATGCACTGGTCCGTCATCGAATCTCAGATTTCGGTCATGTGCGCTTGCTTGCCTGCATTCAGAGCTATCGTCCTTCGATGGTTCCCTCGTTTCCTTGGGGGATCGTCGAACCGAACGAATGCATCTCACACAGCCGAGTACTATAACAAAAAGTCCACGGCGAGCGGCAATATCAACAAGTCTATGACCTACTCGGTGAATTATGAGTCCCGGTCACCAACGAGTAGCGATGTGGAGTTGGTGGATATGGATTCGAAACATGGGCAGTGATGGATAGACTTGCACTTTTACTTCTTGTTATATAACTTACATACATATTCATAGCAGATGGGATCTGATTAATACATGGATACAATATTCTTTGAATCATGAACTGATATTATAGTAAACTTGGCTCCACATAGTGTCATTATCTGAAGATACTAGTAGCTTGAGACTTCGTATTTCTTCATATGAGGATAGACCATCTTCCGGGGAAGGAAATGTCTCTGCACCCATTTTCTGTTATTCAACTTAGCTCTATTCACTGGACTTCCCCGGAGTACCCAAGAAACAAATCTCTGTCATTCAAAGTTTATAGCTCAGCTGCACCAACAAAGTCTTATCAGTGAGAAGTCATTTTCCGTATATTCAGAAACAGTTGGATCTCAGGATCGGACAACCAGATTAGACTATTTGACTTCCATCACACAGCCCCGAGGCTGTATGTAACTGGGGGCCTGCCTTGGGGTCCATGTTTGGCCTGATGGCTGGGCCAATGGAGAATTCTACGGCCGAATCTTGATACAGCAAATTTGCATGAAAGCTTGGGCTCCAGAGCTGGAGATATTGGCCTGTTGACAGTAACAGATTAATCTAAGCTTACCATCAAGGATGATAGTCATATGCCGAATATTTATTAGGTCATTATGACCTTGGAACTCACAAGATGTTCAATTGCTATCTGTTGGAGTATGGGCATTTTCTAGGAGCAACACGACAATGCGGATTCAAATTATATAATTGAGAGTTCTTCATGCTTTATTTCAATGTTCTTTGCCTTAGTTCGAATAGGATAAAGTAATCAAGAAGCAGATCAAACAAGGCAACCGGAAGGGCACCAAGCAACCTAAAATGGAAAAAAGGATTGTCTCGAGAAAGCGACTGGTACGTTCAAACAACGCGTACATAATTTAAACCTTGGAAGGGCGTTTGCCATGCGACAAACAACACCTGTCTGCCCACATCCCACATCCCCTTTCCATCTTACACCTCTCTTCTCTCTGCGAGACATCTCCAGTCCTTTCCATAATTGTGCTTCTTCTCAAGTGATCCATCACAAAGTCTTTATTATCCATTTCTCGTCACTCGGTTCTATGTCTTGTAGTCAAGATGTACGAATGTGGCACCTGTGACTGGGAGTTCCGCTACCAAGAGGACTGCGACTCCCATATGGACGAGTACGACCATTGGGTGGAATGTGACACCTGCCCTCGACAATTTCGCACTGAGCGTAGCTGCGAGCAGCATATGGATGCGCTTGGTCACTGGGCCCCGGTCTTTGAATGCGAGACTTGCCCTCGCACCTTCTTCTCCCAGGCTGCCGCCAATCAGCATATGAATGCCAAGAATCATTGGGAGCCGACTGTGCCCTGCGAGACGTGCTCGGAACTGTTCCACACTGAGGATGCTGCCAACCAGCACATGCAGGCCAATGGACATTACGAGAACTACTGTGTGGAGTGCAAGCGACACTTCATGAATGAGAACTGTCTTCTCCAGGTACGAGAACCAAGCCAGAGATTCCCAGCCCTTTAGCTAGGATGAATCATGGGACTTTGACTAATCTGTGTCTGTCTTATCTACCAATAGCACTTGAACTCGAGAATTCATCGAGGCACGGATATCATGTGCCCATTTTGCAACGCTAGCTTTGTCACTGCGAGTGGCGTCACCCATCACATTGAATCTGGTACCTGCTCAATGGCTGACAACTGGAATCGGGACACAATCCACCGCATGATCCACCGCCTCGACCCCAAGGGGCTTGTCACCAACAAGCAGATTGAATGGCACAATGAACAGAACATACGCTACTACGCTACGGAGCGTGCCTTCGATGGAACAAGCTGGGTGTGCTACCTGTGCCGAAAGGGATTCAACTCAATGAATGGTTTGAATTCGCATCTCAACTCACCAGTCCACAAGGAGAAAATCTACCATTGCCTCAACAAGCGTGGTGGTTGTGATAAAGAGTTCATCTCCCTCGGTGCTTTATTCAATCACTTGGAGAGTGAGTCGTGCGGCTACATCAGGTTCGGGGATGTTCAGAAGGTTCACCGACGACTGAACGATGCTATTATGAACCGCAAGATGATCACTGCGCTCTAAAATCTCAACGATGAAGTTCGCTTGGGAGAAAGCACGCGACGAGTGTTTTCCTTGAGGTCAGCAATGAACGATTGATGAAGGGGGAACCCAATATGAGGTGTTGAGCTGGGATGATGAGGCATCTTTCGGAATGAAGTTGTCACGATGTGGAACAAGGTCTCAAATATCAACAAGGATCTAGTAACCTAGCAAGAGCATACCATACTCTTAGTATCTATTCGTTATCTTGCAGTTTATATTGGCATAATTGAAAAATCTACTTTCTTGCCGTTTGGTATTGATATTTTTATATCTCTGATCTATCAAGGTATATTTCAAAGAGGATAAGATGGAGTACAGAGTACTCGAAGAAATAATTTCCGCCCCAGAATGTGATTGGTCCTACTCACGTCTAAGCATTGCCCAATCTTCCTTGATCAGTATGGCTGTGTCATGTCTGAAAACCTGTAACCATATTCGCACTTCGACAATAGTCTTATCTTTCACCTTGTTAGACGGACTGCCCAACTACAGGTTTGATAGTTGCAATTGTCATCCATGGGCGGACCCGAAGTCCGTTCACTACACCTAGGCATAGGGCCCCCGGCATGCAAGTGTTAGTGCCTAGACTTGAAATAGATATAACTCACAAAAGCTCGAAGCTCCCGCAATATCCTGTTGATTCTCATTTATTCCCCTCATCGAGCAATACAACGCTAGCCCCAATTTAAGTTTCTTGCCCCAACGTCACCCACTATATATCTTGCGGTTATGTTAGCATTTCCATCATCAGTTTGACAAGAAACCGGGGTTGTGGGGTTGAAAACTTTTCATATTGGTCATATAAAATCGGCCATCTTGAGGGCGTACTCCCTAGAATACTTATACCTTTGTTCTAAAGACAGCTTTTCCTCTATTGGGTGTCGGCCATTGAATTGTTCCCTCCTAAGATACTATCTACTGGTCCTGGGGCATCATTCCGCACTAGCGCTTGGACGTTTCTAATTTAGACGAACTGGGCAAGAAGTTTGGAGCCTTCCAAGGTTGTAGTCCAATTTTTCAGGCCCCGGAACCGTGGGCGTCCCACAACTGGATCCGGGGGTGGGGCGTATTGGGGGATTTCCGGTCTATTCACATCCGAACTATAAGGTAGATCTTACCACTGCGGAGATTGTCAAGGTAGACGAAATCGGGATAATCACGGCAGATGGTCAGCACCGGCCTGTCGATATGCTTGTATGTGCGACTGGTTTTCATACATCATATACTCCACGGTTTGTGATCAAAGGCCGAGGAGGCTCGGCACAATGGAAGGAAACGCCGGAAATTTATCTCTCGATCGGGACCTATGGCTTCCCGAACTAGTTCATTTCCCTTGGGCCTAACGCCGGGTTAGGTGAGGGTAATCTTCTCCTCCTTATAGTATCGAGAGAGCGTTAGAATACGTCACAGAATGCGTGCGCAAGATGCAGCGGGACAATGTCCGCGCTGTGAGTGTGCCGGATGCAGTCAAGCGCTTCACACAATACTGCGATCAATATTTCGAAGGAACTGTATTCAGCAGTAAGTGTCGCAGCTGGTATAAGGGTGGCACTGAGAGTGGTCGGGTCCCCGCTCTATGGCCAGGTATGTGTTATCTTCTCAATTCCCACTGCACTAGCATTGACGGCTCCATCCCAGGTTACTCCCTGCACTCCATGAAGGCGCTCGCAAACCCCCGGTGGGAGGACTTCAAGTACTGTTATGTGCATTATAACGCGTCTGGTTGGCTTGGGGATGGTTGGACAGAGAATGAGAAGCAGAACAAGATCGATGTGGATTACTTGTTGATTTTCCTCGTTCAATGGATGCCACCGAATACATAGGATAGGTCGCGGCATTACATGCATGTACTGTGCAGCCTGAACCATGAACAAGGACTATTCATTCAAATACCAATAGCCTGGGGAGTCAATTGGATTAAAACATTTAGTGGAGAGAAAAGAGACACCACCAGGTAGAACAAGAGTATGTTTACTGTTGAGCGGGCCCCTTTAAGCACATTTGGTGATCTCATGAAACTGACCATACCATACTCAACTAGTAATATTGTCAAGTATCTATTGGCGCTAGCATAGCCCAAAATGTACCTCTTCCCTGCAAACCATACTGTAATACCAGTACCTCACCCTTTCCCCCACAGCCTCGATCCTTTCTCTCCTTACCCCGGATATTCCCCTCCTCCCCGGTGGCCCACCATGAAGCCGACAGACAAGCACTTCCGATGTGACATCTGTAATCGTGCATTCACGCGTATTGATCACCTCAAACGCCACCATTTGCGCCGTATGTGTGTCCGTTCTGCAGCTACGCATGCCACATACTGAACCTCAACAGATTCTGGCCAGAAACCCTATTCCTGCGTATTCTGCAACGACTCGTTCGCCCGCTGGTTAGACATGCCAAGACAATCTATAATATTAACTCTGGGATCTGATACTTGGAATTTAGTGACAATCTCCGCGTCCATTACAATGATTGCGCCAGGCGCGGGGATCGCGAAATTCCCGAGACAGGTCAGAGGGGTAGGCGGCGTCATGCTTGTCAAACGGTTAGTCCACGACAAGATTGCATCAAACCTTACCATAGGTACTGACCTTTCTTTTGGTCGAATAGTGTACCTCGATGAAACTGCGGTGCGATGGACGAAGCCCTTGTGGATCGTGCCAGAAGAGAAAATTGATGTGCAACAACGAGCGGACGGCAGGTCAGAGTCACCTAGGGACGGAAGAAGGTACAACAAGCAAGCCTTGGGTCAATTCGGTTGCAATGGAAGACTCATACAAACCATACAGAAATATTGGGGAAACCCGAAATCTCCGAAGAGCCATCCGACCGAGGATCAATCAAATTCCTACTTAATGGTGGCACCGATAGCTTCACAGAAAACTTTCGACTTCCCCCACGCAGTGATCGTACGCGCAGTCTCAACTATCATAATACAAATGGCTTCGAGGAATTGCAGGGCACAGGGTTTCCATACAACATTGATACCGCTCGGCCGGAATACGGCTCTGGGTTCATCGATTCCGAACCTGTCGCGCCGCAGTTCTTCCAAGATACTTTCCTGGACTTTTTCCACGGCCCTTTTGGTCATGGACATAAGCCCACGGAAAATCCTTATCATACCGGTGAACTGGGCTACCAGTCCGCCATCCCTCCAGGGCAGCATCCCACTACATTTCCCAGGGATCCGCCTATCTTTGAACCGGAGCGACCGTTCGCGACGACATTAATTCATTTAATATTAACACAAGCGTGGCAGGTCCCGCTTGATTCCAAAGCGCAGGAGGAGGTATCCGAACACCTCAACTTTCTACTAACCACCGCGCGCATACGGAAATACGTTACGCTCTATTTCAAATATTGGCAACGTAGCTGCGCAATGCTTCCTATATCCTTTGATCCAGAGACAGTTCCCCTGCCGCTCCTAGCCGCGGTAATCTTTATGGGCGCAATGTACAGTAGCGACCAGAGGGAAGTATACGTCGCTAAGAGAGTGCTGGATTTTGCAGAGCTATTCATCTTTGCGAATGATGTGTTCTCGGCAGAGAGCGAAATCAGCGCCACGTTCTCAGGCGGCCGGTGCTTCGACGAGGAGAACAGTGATTGGGATTGTTTCCAGAACTTTCAGGCTGGGGTTATCATCACTATTGTTCAATACTGGGCGGGAAACCGTTTGTCTCGAAATCGCGCGATGGAGAACCGATTTGGTGAGGTTGTGAAGGTTGCTCGACGAATTGAACTTGTCAAAGCCCGTCACCTTCCTGATGACCAGGTCCTGGAGCGCTTGTGGATCCAAAAGGAGTGTCGTATTAGGTGCTTATCTTCCTCCCATCTTAGGTCTGCCCTACTGATATTGACAGGACTATTTGTACGATTTCGCTGCTCGACTGCGCATTCTTTTTCTTTCAAAACTACCCGTGTCGCCTGACACATACTGAAATGGAATGCGATCTGCCCTGCGGTGAATTGCTTTTCTTCTCCGAGCACCCATTTGCGGAGCCAAATTTCCGCTTTTCACGCGGCATTAGGCTTTCGGAGGCTTTTAAAAATTTGTTTGACGAAGCACCCGAGTCTAATCCGATGGACCTCACTGCTTTAGACATGTTTATCTTGATTCATAGTAAGCTGTGTCGAACGCTGTATTTGATGCTTTGCACCGGCTGACTCTTATGTTTAGTTCTGTTCTCATTTATTAATACCCACATGACACTTCTTGGTTCTTCTGTACGCATGGGACATTTCAAGAATCCCAGGAAAAATGCCGGGGTAGGCACAAAAGACACCACCGCGATTCCTGAAGATTATATCCTCGTTGCGATCCGGACTGCTCTATCCCGCTGGCGTGATCACTGGATGGCACTGCGCAATAGAGTTTCAAGTGACGAATGGGCGTCGATGGGTTTCTATAAGAATGGGTATAATTTTTGGCTGGTATCCCAACTCCTTATCACCAGAAAGGATGCTGTTGATGTGGTGATGCAGATGGAAGTGCACTGCGAAGACAAATTGGACCAGCTGAAGGTGTTGCTACTTGACGATCAGGAAGATGTATAATTACCACGACAGAACTAGACATGTGTGAAGTTAGTAGACTCTGTTAGATGGACTGGGATAACTTGGCCTCGGCGCCTATAGACCGGCAGAGTTCCGCTTTTGCGACCTCTTGTGCCATTTTGCACATTGTACTGTTCATCCTACCTGGCGGCTTCTTGCTGTTAATGATACCCATGGATGGGGCCATCACGTTCATATATCTTGATATCTTGTGAACTTAGGAGCATCCTAGAATTCAGAACCACTACTAAAAGTGGAGCTGGGAGATTTCCGGTCCCTGATTCTCGTGCAATCTTCAATCTCCATATTGAGGATCTCTCTTCTCATAGTTGTTTGGATTGTTTTCATTAATATGGCTTGGGTACATGTGAAGGAAGCGGCCTCGGGAGCTCGAAGCAGGTTCTCGGTCATCTATTCGCGGCCTGATTGTGACACAAATTATGGGAGGTGGACAATCGGGCACCAATGTGCTATATTGACTCGACCTGCTATTTGCGAAACCTCCCACCCACGACACTTTTAGGATGCATTGTACTCTTACATCCTGCTGCTGCGTCTGTAATCACGACGATGAATGCAAAGGCCGATCAAGAGCCCGGCACAGGAATTGTGGATGGCTGAGGTCCCACAAAGATGTGGAGCTGAAATGGCTTCGAAGGATTACATCAATTTATACGGAGTAGTTCAAGACCGATCAATTCTCGATATCGCTTCTGTTCGAGATTGATTTATATATTTTAGACACTCATCAAGGCCAGGCGATTAGTTAGTCGATTGTACTTGGAATCCACGGGGGAAAAGATTATATGTGAAAATATTATGTAGTTTATTACCCCCATACCAAGCTACACCCAATCAGAATTATTTGTAATGGAAAACAATCTGAATGTCTTAACCTTGGAAGTGTCCGATGTCCACGAACACATCATCCTGCACGGAAACACTAGCGCCCCCACTAAGCCAATTATATCCCCGATCGAGATACTAGCGTCCGCAGTGATGGCACTAGTGCTCATCATGTGGGATTGGCAAAGTTATATTCCACGGAAAGGGTCCAGGTCAACGTTCTTCATTACTATGGAGTATACCTCCCCCACACGAATTTCCCGGTAAGATCTCCTTGACATACAGGCAGCTTTAAATTAGCGGGTACGCGAGGGAACCCGATCTCAGTCAATCTCTGACGATCCTGTCGATCCCGACGATCTTTTCAGCTTCAGCCATCTCAGCTCGAGATGCACCATTTCGACTAGTGTCCCCACACGCATGCGCCTGTTTGAGTTATTTTGTAGACACTGTGGGTAACAATTGCGGATGCCTATAAAAGGCCTTGTCTGTCGCTGCCGTGCGACCTTGTGATAGCAGTAGTCGCGTATATCCTTCACCATGGTCTTCATCAAGGCAACATTCGCGTCCGTTCTTGTCTCCCTGCTGGCATATGCCACCGCTGTGGAAGTCCCTAAGACCGATTACGATGTCATCGTAGTCGGCGGTGGTCCAGCGGGTCTCAGTGCACTCAGTGGTGTCTCTCGTGTCCGCCGAACGGCTCTCTTGATTGATAGCCAGGAGTACCGCAATGCTCCTACCCGGGAAATGCACGACGTTATTGGCAACGACGGTGAGATTGGATCATAACTCTATCCCAACACAAAGTTTCTTCCCTAACACATTTAATCCTCATCAGGCACCCCACCCGCTACTTTCAGAGGTTTAGCTCGCTCGCAGATCGAGAAGTATCCTACTGCCCACTTTACCAACGAGACGGTGGAATCGATCGTTCCTTTCGGAAAGGGAGACTTCTCTGCCTTTACGGTGACCGACACCAAGGGCAAGAACTACACTGCCCGTAAAATTGTGCTCGGCACTGGTGTCCGTGACGTTCTACCCCCCACTCCTGGTCTTCGGGAGGGATGGGGCCACGGTATTTTCTGGTGTCCGTGGTGCGATGGCTACGAACACAGGGACCAGCCATTTGGCATGATCGGTGATATCACCGATATGTTGAGCAACGTTTTGGAAACCCACACTCTGTACAGCGATATCATTGCCTTTGTGAACGGCTCGCAAACCGCAGATGGCGAGGCCCGGGCAACGGCAAAGGTCGCAGACTGGAAGGAACAACTTGCCGCTTGGAACACCACCATCGACAACCGCACAATCTCTTCTATTGAGCGCCTCCAAGATGGCGGCGACGACAGGGGCGAAAACGGTGATGAGCAGTTCGACAAGTTCCGCCTTCACTTCACTACTGGCAAGCCTGTCGAGCGCAATGCTTTGATTGTCAACTTCCCCACTGTCCAGACCTCGACACTCCCAGCCAAGATGCACCTGGAAATGGTCGGTGATAAGGTCAATGTTACCAGCGGGATGCGTACCAGTGAGTCCGGTGTCTTTGCCATTGGCGATGCCAACAGCGATGGCAGCACCAATGTGCCACATGCGATGTTCACTGGCAAGAAAGCCGCTGTTTTTGTTCACGGTATGCTTCCTTACACTTGTTGATGCTAGATAGATGACTGACAATATTTGATCACAGTGGAATTGTCTCGCGAGGAGTCCAAATCCAAGGTCTCGAAGCGCACCGGACTCTCTCACCGTGAGCTCGAGAGGGAGGCCATTCGTGCAATTGGCGACAACCTTGACAGAGAATGGAAGCGTGCTCAGGAGTAATGGACTCCCTTAATTAAGGTTGCGCTGGTTTGTGAAGACCGGCATCAGTTCAGGCCCTCCAACATTTACATATTCGGCTAGCTGTTAGGCTCTTCCACATGATAATAATGAATGGTCTACGTACCGCATTCGATTTTGCTGTCTTCATTCGAGCTCGTTATCCCCAATCTAAGATGCTGCGTAAACTCATCGGCTGCCCTGGCCCATGAGTTCAGTGGTTTAACCTAATTCTACATGCGTAACTAGGTAAAAGGAGCTGGATAGATGATTGGTATGCTAAATGGCTGACGACTATGGTATTTTTATAGGATGTAGACAGACACAAGAGCAATCAGCGTGCGTCGTATTTCTGTCACTGACTGCCAGATGTTTCTAACTTGACATATATTACTTTTATCAATATGTCCCTTTGTTATGTACGAACAATTTTCCGTCGCTATCAAACAGGTGTGGTCTGGTTTGTACATGTATCCTTCTTCCAGGGCCAGCACATCCCCCACGAGCACTTGAAACACTCTATAGAGTAATCCGGAAGCTTTGAGCAAAATTTCTCTAGTCTCATACTTCTTCTCCTCCAACTCCTCCATATCGCAATTTCTATGAATCATCCGAGCATTCAACCACTCCCATCTTTCCTTCACGAGCCACACAATAGTATCCACCGTCTACCTCTTCAATAAAAGAAGCCTGGAAGATATCAGTTAATTTTTCTGTCAATTCAGCCCTGACGGCCCTGGAATAACAAGCCAGCACATTAGGCCTTCACCTTAGTGTTCGATGGCAAGGCTTTCTGTAAAGCGGCAGATAGCAAACCGCAAGTTCTGATATGCAGACCCGCCATTCGTGATGAAGTGCGCTTAAATCGATGACACGTTGATGATTGTTTTTGTCTTTAACCTCAATATCATAGGAGTAGGTAGCGGGAACATAGGTATGGGCCCTTGATGTTAACGTCCCAATCTTTCATCCAGTTCCTGTTGGTGTGATGTAGGGATAGGTGTCATGGCGACTTGAACGAATGCGGCGTATTTCATCCCGTTGAGTGGACCGATTTAATCCAACTATTCAGGCTTCATATTTGACGGATGGTTGTTTGTGATGCGATTCAAGATCTGTGGTTGGTAAGTTGATGTCGTGGTACGTCAGGCTTTGCCGTCGCCTCTTTGGGACAACACACATTTTCAGTCACGAAGATTGGGCTTCGAGCAAACTGCTAGTTAACTTGTGCCCAGTAATTTATATTAAAAGTACAAGAGTGGTTTAGAATGGCTAGTATAGCTGATGCTTGCAGATCGCATCCATGTAGTACTCGTAGGAGGGGAAATAGCCGCCTATATCGAAATCTCAAGATTAACGTTCTATTTGCAAACAAGACTATATATATTGTTGTTGGGTTGACTGCTCTAGCTAGAGGAAACACAATTCACATCCAGTAAACTGTCATCAACCTAAAGGTGGAGGAAACAAGTCAGTAAATGTGTTGTCAGCGTTGCATCAATCTTCAAGATAAACCCACATTTGTGCAAGTGAACTTGTCATCCCCGTCGGGGCTAACAACGTCAATGTTACTGGCATTGATATTCGAGCAAACCTATACAAGTCAGAAGGTGAGTTTTGACCTGTGGTGTTCGAGTAGTACTTACATCGGGGCTTGAGCAGACAATCATTCCCACATAAGGGTCACGTTTGCCAGAGGTGACACCCTTGATATTCTTAAAGATAACATCTTCGATAGCAAGGTTGCTCTGTGTGGTAAATATGTTAGCCTTCGGCAACCAGAAACAAGTGATAGTGACGCTATCAAGGCGGAATGAAAGCAAATAAGGACAACAAGAGATTGATGGACACATACGGGGAACTCGTTGCAGAGAGTCAAATTCTTCTGACCGTAGCACTGGGTCACTTCGATAGCATAGTCGACATTGTCAATGGTCATGCCGTCGTAGGTAACGTTCTTCACCAGGCCGGATCCGCCGCCGCCCTGGAGATCGGGAGAGAGCGCAGAGGAAGCTCCAGGCCAGACTTTGATGCGCGCACCATCCTTCATAATATTGTTAGAAATGTAATTATCTCACCCGCAGTACTAAACCTACCGATGCGTTGAACATGGAAATATTGTACACCAGCACATTCTGCACAATATCAACCTCGCCCGGATATTGGCCCAGAGAGCCAACGGAGATACCGTGGGAGCCGTTACAATGAAGGTTCTGGACCAGAATGTCGGTAACATTTGGCTTGAACGACACGCAATCTTTGACAAAGTTAGTAACAGAAGATGGGGTCCAAATTTTCAGGGGAACCGTACCATCTCCGTTGTTGATCACAGA